AAAACTAATCCCGTCACAAGCTCGGATCGGGCATAGTATCTGCTGAAAAGAAAGAATATCAAATTAACCGAAATAAGAATTTGCTGAAGCGACATGTCTGGCGCATAATCTATGCAAGAGGCAGTGGGGTGCTGTCGAAGTTTTTGGTCCCGATGTCCGGAGTAGATACAAGAACTACAGTACCAGGTATCTCAACTCGGCCCCTACCTAACAACCTGGGATCTACGCTATTTACGAGAATGGTGAATTATATTGAAACGTGAATCTTAGATGCATTTTGAAGTCTATGAAACGGAAGATTCGCTAGGCCAAATCAAAAAGATCTAAAGGGTGAAGCAGCTGGAGGGAATAAGCAACACACAAGAAACAGCGCTCATCATCAGATCATCATGCCAAAGCAACACATCTAGTACACCTCCAGAACATAGCGCTCCTCATCCTTGAGCTTTTCAATCTCCTTACGGGTTTCAACCTTCTTGCCATTGGCCTTGGCCTCGGCGGCGATGGCCTCTTCCAGGACGGCGGTGACATCGGGAACGGGCCAGGTGGGGCCGCACAGGTAGAAGGCACCCTCCTCGCGGACGTACGCCTTCACAATCTCAGGCAGCGACTGGCGCATGCGATCCTGGATGTAAATCTTCTCCGGCTGGTCACGAGAGAAGGCTGCGCCAAGGAGGGTGATGACACCGGCGGCCTGGTAGGCCTCCCACTCCTCACCGTAGCAGTACTCCTCACGCTGGTGACGGGAGCCCATGTACAGCAGGACGGAGCCAATCTCCTTGCCCTGGGCCTTCTCGAGAGCGCGGTGCTGAACGAAGGCACGGAAAGGAGCAAGACCGGTACCCAGACCAGCCATGATGAGAGGCTGGGTCGACTTGGGGGGCAGCTTCATGACACTGGACTTGACGCTGACGCTGACAGGAGTGCCGGGTTGCAGGCGGCTCAGGTAGCGAGTGGCCAGACCGAAGCGGTCGCGGCCGTTGGGGTCGGTCCAGTTGACAACGACGATCATCAGGGCGACGATGGTCGGGCTGACCTTCTGGCACGAGGCGATGGAGTACTCACGGCGCTTCAGAGGACCGACAATGCGGACAATCTCGTGGAAGTCGGGGTGAGCAGAAGGGTACTCGAGTAGGACATCGGCGAAGGTAATGGTGTCAACCTCAGCGCGACGCTTGAACTCAACAGCACCTTCGGGGCCACCCAGAGTGAGGAGATCGGTCTTCTCCTTCTCGTCGGTGGCGAACTCAGCCAGAGCCTCGTAGAAGCGCTTGGGCGGGCGACCGAAGATGTCAACGTTCTGCACCAGGGCCTGGTACACAGTGCGGTTCTCGAGCACGGCAGAGTCCTCGCGGCTGGGGACTTCCACGATGGCATCCGGGTTCAATCCGTAGAACTCAATGAACTTGTTGACATCCTCGGGATCGTTCTCAGCATGGACACCAAGTGCCTCACCAATGTCATAGGTAAGACCAGAGTCACCAAGATCAAACTCAATGTGGAAGATGTTGCGGTCATAGGTGACGGGGGTGAGGCGGCGGTTCTCCTTGACGTGGACGGTGAAGGTCTTGGTGGCCAGGTCGGGGCGGAGAGCATTCTTGGTGTCAAAGGCCTCCTTGAAGGCCAGACCGCGGGCAGCAGTTTCCCAGTCCTTGAGCAGAGTTGGGGGCTCAGACTCATCCTTGTCGAAGGGGACAAAGCTGTTGGTACTGAGATCCCTGGGGAGCTGAGCAGCTTCGCTGACACCCTCGGGCTCCTTCCAGGATTCGGGAACCTCGATCTGGCGCAGAACCTTCTCGAGGTCCTTGGTCACATTCTCCAAAGCTTCGGCGCTGTCGGAGATGGAAGCCAGCTTCTTGGTGGCAATACCCTCCTGAGCGGGGAGAGCAACGCGGATGAAGGAGGCCTGGAGAATCACAGTCTCCAGAGAAGAGTCCTCAACAGCTGAGGGATCGACAACGAACAGAGAGATGCCGCGCTGAGCAATAGTCTGTCGGAAAGCAGCAGGAAGCTTATTCTCGAGATCTTCGTCCTTGACACCAGGAGCGCTGATAATGAGCTTGCCGTTGTCCTTGACGGAGGCAAGGACATCGATATCGTTCAGCAGGGCGACGTTTCCAACGTAGGAAACATCGGCAGCAGTGACTGCGTAAGGAGCGTCGATGATCTTAGCACTCTTGCGAATGTCAACGCGAATAGCACCACCCTGGACCAGGTTGTCGTGAACTTTGCTGACAGTGACATTGTTTGCCGAGTCAGCGGCAAGAGCGTGGCTGAGGGCGAGGGAAGCCTCCTCGGCGACAGAGTTGTCAACGTCCCAGAAGGTGTACTCCTGGACAGTGGCAGGGTCCAGCAGCTGCAGAGGAGCGGCCTCATTGGTGGCGCTGTCAACATGCAGAATAGGCTTGTCGAAGATACGCTGGAATGCGGCAGCGATGGCAATCAGGTCCCAGCGCTGAGAGCGAGAGTACTTGATCTCAATGGTCGACGGGGCGTGCTCGCGACCTGTAGCGAAGGTCAGAGCGGCGAGGACATCCTCGTACAGGGTAGAGTGAACACCCTCCTCCTGGACAGACTGCTCGCTGGCAACCTGGCCAAGAACACCGACGGTCTTGGTGCTTTGGGGAAGGACGCGAAGGAACTCCTCCTCGACGAAGGGGCGGTAGACACGGACGTTGACCACACCAATGTGGACACCGTCCTTGGCCAGAGAGCGCGCAACCTGAGAAGCAAGAGCAGCCTCGACGGTACCAAAGACAACAAGGACGGAAACGGGCTCGGCGTGACCATGGTACTCAAAAGCACCATAGTCTGTACCAAGCTCACCGTTAAGAGCCTTCAAGAGATCTAGGAGCTTGCCCTGAGCATCAAGATGGCGGCTACGAGAGTCATCCAGAGTCTTGCGGACGTTCTCGTAAGAGCGAGTTAGGCCTTCCTTGTCCAGAACGTCGATGACACGGGTGGTCTCGCGGCCGACACGCACACCGTCATAGATGTGAATGGAGGGTAAGACGGAGGCGAGCAGAGTGGTGAAGAGGGCCATGTGCTGGGACTCGTGAGCCGAGCCGCTGGAGATCAGACCAAGACCGAGATCCTCAGCCAGAGAAAGGGCTGAAGCATAGTCGGAAACGAGGCCCTCCTCGTTGGTATAGTCGACGGCGGCGACGTGCGCAGCCACCGGGCTGGCAACGGAGTACAGGAGAGAGAGCTGCTCCAATGCAGACCGCATATAGGGAAGGGTGGCAGATGAAGCGACAATGCCCTGGGGAACATGGCGCTTCTTCAGGTCAAAGTCCTGGGAAAACAGGTAGCCCAGGGCAAGGTTTCCGGCACCCTGGCGGGTCTCGAGGGTGTTGACAACGGGAGATTCGCCATTGGTCTTGGTCTCCTGGGCTGCAGACCATTCGCGAAGGGCAGCATCGAGGTCGAAGGTCTCCGGGGAGTATGAGAAGATCTTGTCGCTCAGCAAGTACGCCACCTGTTGAATCAGGGTCTGGGCGGTAGTATATGTAGGGCCCGAGAGGGCAGACAGAGCCGGATTCGTCGCACCCATGGTGATTATTGTTCTTGTCTGATATTGTGCCTACAGCAGCAATATCTACAACGATGGACAAGACAGATCTCACCCTCAATAAAAGGATTGCTGTGGAGGAAAGTGAGGGGGAGTGACCAAGGACCCTCAAGTATAGAAAATCCCCCAGGGCATCTTTCCCAATGCGGCCTAGCGGAGAGCACGCAATCACGCAATTTTCTTATCGATAGGCAAGTCCCGATGCCGGATGGCAACTTTCTTATCGATAAGGATGAAAAATTAGGGAGCTGAGTCAGGGTCTTGGCATTTCTGTGTCCTCCTGCACAACCTTAATTAGTAATCCATCTTGGGGTCACCCTAGGGCCACTACAGGATTTCCCTATAGCCACTACAAAAGCTTATGTAATACATCACATGTCTTCGAGATGGCCTATTTTCTGTGGCATACATGCTTATATTAAGCGCTTTATCCAATCATCTAGTATTGATATATTGACTATATAGGCACGTATTAGTCATAGTATCTCACATCAGATCGAGAGGGTTACGTATAAAGCAAAGAGAGATAAGACTGAACAGCTAACTTACGCATTCTCGCCTGTTTATAGGCTAATTACTCGACAGATCTCATACTACGCAGCCAATAAAATTAAAGAACAGGTAGATAAAGCTAAAAGATCTACTCCTATTGCTCCGTTACCGATTTGTACAGGTGCTTTCGTCCAAACAATGGGCCTTCCTTGCGCGCATTAGATTAAGCAATGGCTAGATCAGGGCAAGCCAATCCCTTTATCAGCAATTCATCCCTTCTGGAGGCTTGATTCGGCTATAATAGAGGAAGCTGATTGGTTACCGATCCTCGAGCCAAGTTTGCCAAAGGTCAGATCGAAAGGAAATGAGATTCATACACCAGCTACTGCATCAATAGCAGGTCTTGTTGGTCCAAAGAAGAATAAGGCCCCGCCAAAGTGTTCTAAATGCGGTATAATTGGCCATACTATCCGGGCATGTAAATAGGGCAGCTTTCTATTGGTTGAATTAGTTGAATTAGTATTAGATTGGATATATCAATAGTGGTGAATTGATAGTGGATAGAGTAACGTTGGAAAATAGAGTCATGTGATGTATTACATAAGCGTTTGTAGTGGCTGTAGGGAAATCCTGTAGTGTCCCTAGGGTGACCCTCCATCTTGACATAAATTACATAATCCAATTTATGCCGTCCAGGGTGGGAAGTTGCACGAGCTCATGTGACGAGGACGAGGGACGGTGCCGCACCGAGGCTCGGCCACGGAGTCGAGACTGGAGACAAATTGCGGGACTGTGGAGACGATCCTGCGATCCTGAAGGAGCTGTGCGGAGTACATAATACAACAACACTCCTCCTGCGCTGGAACCCTGTAAGCTGAATTCGTAACATTGCACACTCTCGTCGACAGATAGACAGCAACTTTCATACACCCTCAAAATGGCGGAAAACTCTCCTAATCCCATCCCCTTCTCGGAGCCACCTTATCTGCGTGGTCTCCCATCTCCGTATATCACACCCGCCCACCGCGAGTTTCAGAAGCGATGCCGCAGATTCGCATGGGAGAACTTGACCCAACATGCTATGGAATGGGAAAAGTCAGGCACAGTGCCGGAACATGTCTTTGACACTTTCTGCAAGCACAACATGCTGTTGCCAAACATGCCTGCCCCACTTCCGGTGGATTGGTTGAAGCGGCTGGGAATTCATGATATTCTGGGTGTCAAAGTTGAGGATTGGGACTATATCTACACTGGAATTTACACCGATGAGGTACGTCCATTATCTAGAAAGCCAGAGTTTCCTGAGAGATGCCCTTAGCACTAACCCGTGGCTTTATGTATAGCTGGCTCGCTCTGGTTTGAGCGGTCCTGGTGCATCTTTGTATGCGGGCTTTGCCTTTGGCATCCCCCCAATTGTCAAGTTCGGCAGCAAAGAGCTACAGGAACGGTTCCTCCCTGACCTCCTCACTGGCAAAAAGCGTGCTTGCATTGCTATTACCGAGCCGGAGGCTGGTAGTGATGTCGCCAACATTGTCACCACCGCTACCAAGAGTGCCGACGGCAAGCACTATATCGTCAATGGAACCAAGAAATGGTATAAGATACTGTCCCCTGATGATCTGAATATTGATTGACAATTGAGCAGGATCACCAACGGTATCTGGTCCGAGTATGCCACCATGGCGGTCCGGACCGGCGGTCCTGGACCCTCTGGTCTCTCGGTGCTCGTTGTGCCCCTGAAGAACTACCCTGGAGTTACAATGCGTCGTCTGAAGGTCTCGGGCCAGCTCGCCGGTGGTACCACTTACATTGAACTCGACGATGTCAAGGTTCCAGTATCAAACCTCGTCGGCAAGGAGGGTGAGGGAATGCGGATTATCATGACCAACTTCAACCACGAGCGTCTCTTCATCACTGTCGGAACCACTCGTGCTGCCCGTGTGGCTCTTTCTGCAGCCTTCTCCTACTGCCTCAAGCGCGAGGCCTTTGGCAAGACTCTCATGGATCAGCCCGTGGTACGCCATCGTCTCGCCAAGGCTGGCGCCGAGCTCGAAACCATGTACGCTTGGGTTGAACAAATCCTCTATCAGCTCTGCCATCTCAGCAAGGAGGAGAGTGACATCCAGCTCGGTGGCCTGACAGCTCTGGCGAAGGCAAAGGCTGGCATGGTGCTCAATGAGTGCGCTCAAGTTGCTGTGCTCTTGTTTGGTGGTAATGGTTTTACACAGTCTGGTCAGGGTGAACTTGTTGAAGGTGAGCTAGAATCTGATTTCGTCGAATGTTCTAAAGCTAATAAGTTCTTCTCTAGCAATCCTTCGAGATGTTCCCGGAGCCCGTATCCCTGGTGGCTCTGAAGATGTCTTGCTCGATCTGTCTGTGCGTCAGTTGGTCAAGATCTACCAAGCACAGGAAAAGAAGCTGTCTCAGAGCTCCAAGATCTAAGCCATCTCCGCCCTGTATATCACATATCCCATGTCCATAGCCTCAATATAACCACCCCTTCGAACTATACCTCTCATTTATATCTGTACCAGAGGAATGTCAGAAGACAGCCACGGGTACTTTAATAGGCATTTTTTTTTTCTTGTAACACTAATAAGAGGATGTAGCGGCTTCGATATTTCGAAACCAATAATGATCATGAAACAATGAAACATAAAGAACAACCCTCGAGCTTATCCTAGGTGTACTAGGACTCTCTCTGGATAGTAATCTCCATACTTTGTGAGGGCCGGGTGGCCCGGTCGGCTTCGCAGGAAAGCTTAGCTCCGCAAATGACGAAAGCGCAGCTGCCCGCAGACCACAGCCACTTCCTTTCTTCCCTTTTCTTTCATACGCGCAGCACTCCATCTGTATAAAGCCGAAAGAAGAATCATGGCGAACGTTGCGCTGATCGGATGCACAGGCATGGTGGTACGAGCCAGATCCTCCCCTGCGACCACTCTCCTCCCTCCCCCTCGAGTTGCATAAACAAAAGGGACCCCAAATCCCCACTGACCCCGTCTCTTCAAATGTACAGGGATCCCATATCCTCACCAGCCTGCTAGCCAACTCCGGCGTCAGTCGCGTGGACACAATCTCTCGTCGAACTCCTCAAACTGCCAGCGGCGCCCCGCAATCCAAGCTCACCACCTTCGTCTCCGATAAAACCGAAACCTGGGCTGGACAGCTCTCAGCGCTCGCGCCTACCCCGGAAATCTTCATCTCCGCCTTCGCCACGACCAGGGCCAACGCCGGCGGATTCGAGAACCAGTACAAAATCGAGCATGGCTTGAACGTTGAATTGGCGCGTGCTGCGCGCGACGCTGGCGTCAAGGTGTACGTGTTGATCTCCAGCGCGAACGCGAACAAGGCCTCTTCGATTCCCTACACGCGCATGAAGGGTGAGATCGAGGAGGATGTGAAAGCACTAGGGTTTGATCGCACAGTTATTCTACGTCCTGGTTTGATCACTGGCACGCGCGAAGAGAGTCGTCCGTTGGAGGCGTCTATTCGCTTTATTGCTGGGTGGGCTGGAAAGCTGCACTCGGGCTTGAAGGATGGTTGGGCGCAGGACTCGGATGTTATCGCTCAAGCTGCGGTTAACGCAGCGCTGAAGGCTCTTGAGGGAAATGTTCCTGCTGGTAGTGAGAAGGTGTGGACTATTGACGGTAGTCAGATTATTGCGCTGGGAAAGGAGACTACTGGCTCGTCTTAGGTTACCACGGTTGTATCTTGATTCCCCTTCAAACATATTCTAGTCTTTCCTTTTTGACCGTTCTAGTGGTGTTAATAAATTGACAGTATCTATGACGATGAGAAGAATGTGTTTTGCTTCAAATAGTATGATACAACGAAGATTCTCTGGGCAGCCTATCTGTGTGTGTCTACGAGTCCATCAATTCTCATTCGACGATCCCACCATCTCCAGCGAATCTTTCCACAGTCGAGCCTCGTCCTCCGGGTTGTATGTATGAGGCACTGCGTCCCCGCTGAACGGGTTCTCATCATAGTCCCCTCGATCGGCTACTTTGCAATTGTCAAGAAACAGGCCACCTTTGCCTTCCAATTCCCTGGAGACGGCGCCCCAAACGGTAGTTGCCGCACCCTGCTCAGGACTCTTCTGAAACTTTTGAACAATTGGATTCTGCAGAAGTGCCTCAATCTCCTCTGGGGACATGTGTCTTCCCAGAGGTGTGGCAATAACTCCGGGGTGTAGACTGGTCGCATGCAGTCCCTGCGGACCGTACCGGCGCTCAATCTCATTCGCCATATACACATTCGCAATCTTTGACTGGGCATAAGCGCCCCGAGGGTCATAGCCACCTTTCTGGTAGTGATAGTTGTCTGACGGTCCTAAGCCACGAGCCATCCTATGACCAGCAGAAGACACGATGACCACGCGAGATTGGAAATTTGAAGAAGAACCCGCCAATAGCGCCGGCTTTAGCAGTTCAAAGAACAAAAAGTGCGCGAGATGATTTGTCGCAAATTGAAGCTCATGGCCTTGGTCCGTAAGCTGGAGGTCCTTGACGGCCATCACTCCAGCATTACAGATAAGAATGGTGATCTTGTCTGTCTTTGAAAGGATGCTTTGAGCAGCGGTCCGCACACTTTCCAGGGAGGTGTGATCCATGTGAATCAGTTCCATTCGGCGCGGATCGAAGATGTCTCCCAGGGCATTCTTGGCTTTCTCCAAGTCTCTTGCGGTCATGTATAGAGTTGCTCCGGTAGCTGCGAGAGCTCGAGCAGTCTCGACGCCTAGACCGGAGGATACGCCGGTGATGACGACGACTTTGCTCACAAGTTTGCCTTCCATTTGCTCGTCCTGGATGATTTGCAGGGCAGTTGGCCGGGCGTCTGCGGCCCCTTGGGGATTTGCATGTGCGGCAGAGTATCGAGACATGGTAGAGAATTGGAGTGTGATGTATAGATAGTCAAGTGAAGTAGTTCAAACAATGATCAAGTGTTTGGAGTGTGAGAGAATGATATTCATCTCGTGGGACAAGTGTTCCCTTCTTATAGCTTTTTCTTCTACTGTTGAATACATTCCAATTATCGGCTTGTGACACCCAAGTAACGATGGCCACAAAGGCTGGCTGACATTTTATACTCTTTTGGGCAGATTTACTATGCTCATCGGAGGCGAACAAGACCTTAAAGAGGTGACAAGGCTGCCTTGGGTTCTCAACGAATCAAGTGCCAGTCCCCGGCTGACGCTTTTTGCCACTTTGGGTATAGACCACTTGACGGGTTTCAAATCATCCGAGTCAACTGAGATTCTCGAAGTATCGACGCGAACGGCTTTGATTCTTTCATGACTATCTCTGTTCATCTTGTTTTACAAGAAAGCTCTCAATGGCTACCATAGCTCCCGCCAACCCCTCGCGGTGCAACCCAGCGCCGAAGGTTCCGAGCGAGATAGACCAGCAAAGGCTGCGCAAAAAGATCCAGAACCGACAAAATCAGAGAGCTCGTAGTGAGTACTCAGTTCTTTTTACCCGATGCTTTGTTCACCTCATTAAACATTTAGAAGTACATACTCACTAAACAATTATCTAGGAGTGCGACTACAAGCAGCGAGCAATTCAAATGAGAAACATGCATACAGAGTACATCGTTGGCGGATTGATACCAATGACGAGCCACAGCAGAAACCGGCTGCATCGAAACCCATGAAAGAGGGCCATAATAGTCCCATAGCTCCCGGCAAGAGCCGGAGAGACTCAGAAAATAGTATTTTCGGGTCTGTGCCAGGGAACCACTCGACTTTGGACTTGGCAATCAATTCAAGGGCATCGTGTCAATCACGTATCAAACAGTCGCTGCCTGCCGACAATTTGCTCCACCTCATTCACTATAACACCTTCTGCGGGCTATGCAACAACAAGTACATACTAGGAACAGCAACCATTTCCTGGGAACCAGAGACTAAGCCAGAACAATTCGATAAAGCATTCCCGGGCTTCTCAGTCGTACTACCATTCGCCCCTGGTCTCCCAAGCAATCTAAACCCATCCGAATCCCAGATGAAGATAGTGCATTCAACTTGGATCGATCTGATTCCTTTTACTGCAATGCGAGAGAACCTGATTCAGTGGGAAACTTCTTTCGACCACAAAGACTTTGCACAAGATCTTGTGGGTGGTGTGGCTGATCCGGATCTATTTTCGCAGCCGCGATATACTCGTTTTGAGATGCCGATGAAGGGAAACTACTTATTATCGGGCGATGAAGATGATGATGAGGTTACGGCTAATAGGAATGGATGGATTCTGTGGGGAGAGCCATACGATGTTAATAGCTGGGAGGTTACGCCGGGGTTTTTGCGCAAGTGGGCGTGGGCAATGCAGGGGTGCGAAGAGCTCATAGTTTCTAGTAATCGGTGGAGGAGGATTAGAGGGGAGGAGCCACTTCGTTTCTCGATGTGTGTTGAGGATTTCAGATGATTCTTTGGAGACGTTGTTCATATTTGTAATGTACATTTCTCAAAGTGATGCTATTCAAACTCTATGGTGCCAGGCAAGATACCCTCATGGAGACTAGGCAGTAAGCACCAATTCATCGATAGGAAACATGAGTGCCATCCTCTTTGACTTCAATCTTCCGGCGCTTATTCGGATGTCCTCTTTTGCTCGTATCTTCCTTATCCGCATTTCTATCAGGCCCATCTTCCTGCGGCCCTCGCCAGGTGTTGGCCTCCTTGTTGGCGCCGCTCACGTTCAACGTTCCCTGCTTGCCCTTCGTTTTGACCTCTTGCTCAGTCGCCTCAAGCTCGCTCTCGGGAGAGGTATTGCGTGGATCAAACGCAGAGTCATGCTGGGCAATTTGGTCATCGGTCCCGGTTTTGGTTGCCTCTGATGAATATGGATTGAGGGCTTCGCGGTCGAAATCTCTCGTGTCGCCCGATTGCTTGTAGAGGCGAGGTGTAGCAATAAAATTTCGGGAAACGGAAACTGGCCCGGGTAGGGTCATAGAGGCGTGGGAGTGACAGTTTGGTCGCATGGCCTGTCGGCCGCTGGAGATGAGGCTCTTCCACATTCTGTTTGGGTCGATGGCGTTATGGTTCGAGTTGAGATGGTCTGTATGCGACAGCCGATATATTGCGTGGGTGAATGAGGATGACAATGAGGAAATGAATAACCACAAGATCGAAATTCCCATAAAAGTCAGACATTCAGTCAGCGTGGAAACCCCCATTTCAGAGCTTCCTAATGCCCTGTTCTCGGTGTCTGGAGAGAATCATGCTGACGTCACATAACCATTGAACGCGCTGCAAACTAACCATCTTTAGTAATCAGCTACAATGGGAACGTGAATAATAAAATTAATATTGAATTGAATTATACGATGGATATCTATCTCAAGGATATGATGCCTTTTCGAATTCTTGGGAAGTGCAAAGACTGCCACGTCAACAAAGTCCAAAGGGCGTCTTCCCCATCGAATCCCAATTATGAACACCCTGCATAAACATCAATTTTTGCTTCGTTCTGTACGAACAACAGAGTTCAGCTGATATTACCTGCGGGATACCATTAATGGAAAATGATTCTCGCAAAGCCTGGCCTAGATACTTGCGTTAGTTTTGCACAGCGTTGGCACCAAAAAGAAGCTTGCATCGATGATGGCTTGGATATCTAGTAACCTGAATATTCATCAGAAATAATAAAATCGGATCAGTACTATACCCCGAAAATTGCGGGATGGAAGCAAAAGTTCCGTGTGCTCTACGGATATGCAGAGACAACGGACTGCACAAGGTTGAGAGGATCGTTGCATCTGCAGCAACAGCATACAGTTGCTAGGGCCTACGCAGTCTCCATCGACCAATAGCTGTTAGCGCTTGGTCTGCCTCGGCGTAAGATTCCATGATATGCACGAGTCGTTCTCGCAAATTATGGGTGGGGAAATCGGTCGCTAGCTGCAGATGACCAATACCCCCGTCGGGGGTCGTTATTGGATGCTGTGCCCGGCTGCGAGTGAGCCTTCCACCGTCACCAGGCCAATCTCAATGCGCGAGTCCAGTCCAGAGGCGGCGGCCCTTGGGCTCTTGAGTCCCGAAATTTCTCATAGCCTGCCACCATTTGTCGCCAGGCAAAGGCATGCGCGTGGAGGGTGCGGGAGCCTCCGTCCACTTTAAGATCACGGGATCAGAGGAGCCCAGCAGAGTGGGAGCGTGTATGCGGGTCTAAGAATCCAATTTCAACGTTGTAGTATGGGAAGTCAAGGTGCATAGTGCACAAAATCGGCCCAGTAAGGGTATTGGTCGGATCGCAAGGACTCTGAAAGTATCTCCGGCAACTTCGCTTGTTGGGCAGAAAGCAAGCTCTCGAATTTTGGTCATAACTTTGGGTCTGATCCTTGTCCAGCAGAGGTCCGGGTTCACCCAGGACGGAGCAGCACCTTTGCTTCGGTAGTAAGACTGGGCGAGAGGCAAAAGGCAGGGGGGCTTGGGAAGCTGATTCGAGGGTTTTGAGGCTGATGCAACCCGTTTGCCGCTGGAAAATGATCAGTCCGCTCAAATGTGACGCCCATTGAGGCTGTTCGCCGTCATCCAGGGATACCTAGCTGTCAGCTCAACAATCTTGCCATGGATCATCGTCCCAAAGCAGGCAGTGGACATGTCGGCGAGCGGTGGTCTCCGATGATCGTGCGTCGTATCGAGGAAACTATCACGCCCCTCAGGTGCCTTAACCAGCAGGAGATGCAGCCACTTCCACGACAAAATGGAAATGAATACACTACTGCTTCAATTTTCATGACAGGGATAAAGGCCTGGATCATCGTGTGGAGCATTCTCGGGATCCAAAGACATTGTGATCTTCTTGACTCACGGCCTCTCTAGTCAGCCTCCGCTACTAGGAATCAGTGGACCGAGCCAGAAGCAATGTGCCACGTCAGAGTCTCCGAGCTTTAGTGCAGCTGCATGTGGTTCAGCAATATGTGGAAGGTGTCACGGTTCGTGTCTGCGACGAGTGCGGCACGGCATCCCAGGTCCTATCATTTCCGCCCGAAAGAGAGAATGGAGGACAGTAGACCATACACATGAGCAAGGACAGATGCAGGATTCCTCCTGTGCAGGGAACAAAGATCAGCTGAACGAAAGTGGATGTTCTCTCGTTCAACATCCAAGTGGTTAAAGTCCAGTGCCGCCAGAAACCCAATTCCAAGGGCCGTGTCCCTGAGTACACGAGGTATCACTGATAGAGCCTCAGTGACGCGACTGTTGCCACCCGAGTGAATGACTATTGGCTCAGACGCACGGAGCGGAAAGATGCGGCGGGGTGTGGGACGAGGATCAGGTCTCATTCCCAGTATCCTTGTCATCATGGCTCTGGGAGGGAACGAAATAGCGCGACGGGGCCGCTAAGTCGGGTTGCAACCTCATTTCTGAGACCATGCCTAGAATCCATAATTGCCTAGATGCAGGGAGGTGTAATATTAGGAAACGGGGCAATGATGCGAATGTCCATCTGCAGGCAATCACAAGGACGGTAACGCCCGATAGATTTCTTCTGTCGGCAGACAAAAGTGGTGTCGACCCGACAATGGTGTCAAACCTCATAATGATTTTGGTATTGGGCCAATGGGAAAGCAGTCTGGGATGAAAAGTGTGTTATGGTAGAGCATCCCAATTCAGGTGGGTCGCAGGGAATGTGCCGAGTGTTGTCGCAATTGGAAAGGTAACAACTTTTCTTTTCTTTTTTTTTTTTGGTTGGAAGACAAGGTTATTCCGGAGTGACGGTGTCTTGAAATCGCATCAAATCGACAGCTGGCAGAGGCCGAGAGCAACTCAGCTATGCAGGATCGTCGAGGCAAAACGCAACACGATCACAGGAGCCTGATTCCATGCGAACTGCATGCACATAGAGGCGGGGAAAGTGCAATGGCGACGGCGTGATTGCAGTAGTTGGGAGTCGAAAGAGGAAAGCTGGCAGCCATCAATTGAGGGATTTTCCACCCGTTGTGAATCATCACGGGGATAGAAAGTTGCCACGCCCAATAGCTGCATGCATCCTTGAAGCAACCGTTCATCCTTGGTGGCTCCATCTGCGAGGCCTTGGGCATGTTACAGTCTCCACCCATCCAGAGAACTGCTCATAGCCAACCGGATCGACTTCAACCAGGTTGAGAGATAGATTGCGAGGGATGGGAAGACACGGACGATAAGCCGTCCCACGCCAGCAAGCGTCGATCCAAGAGGGCCATTCAAAGTCCGGAGGACCCAAGCAACGAGATGGAAATATCGACCGAAACATAAATAGGGTCTTTCGTGTCCTCTAGATGAACCATGAAGTCCAAAAAAATTCCCTTGAGTTTCATAATTGCAACCTAAAGTCGTCAGTTCAGGTCCATAGATATTCTTGTTCAAAAGCTTCTTGATCATTTGGACGTAGCTTGAAAGCTTCCCTGGTGACACTTCCGAAAAAAAAAAAAATTTCACACCGTCCACTCAGGGTGGTCATTTTGAACTGGTCAAGTGAGCTTCAACAAGAAGTCAAAGCCAATCGCGTACCCTTCTTCGAAACCTGAAACAAATTCACCGGGTCCGGAAGTAAGTGAGTTTGATCGCACCTCTGAAGCGAGTGGCACTGACGCATCTGATAGGCATGTGCTTTTACAACCAGAAGCGTTTCTCCTGTGGAGACTGGAGCTGGACCAGCTTCGCCCACCGGTGCAATTACGAATACCGCACCGGGGAAACTTGCGGCATGAAGCTCGTCAATATGACTGAGAACGAGAACAGCAAGTGCCGGCTCTGTGAGAAGATTGAAACCAAGTACCGGCGGCGAAGCGCCGAGATTGATCGCCTAGAACGGTGGAAGCGGGAAGGTGCCACTTTAGTGGCCTCTATCGACCGGTCCCACAAGCTCATCATGGATCTGGACAAGGAGATTTGCCTTTTGCAACGCGAACGCGAGGACCGACGTCGAACGCTGCTGAGATAGCCCCGTTCTGTGTTTTCAAAATTCAGCGCCATTCATTCAGCGAGCAGCGAGCGTGTCTTTAGTGTTCCTTGTCATTTGATCGTTTTAATTCTTGTGATTTTGGTCTCATCGGTTGGTGGATTGTTCATGGCGTTTCATGTTTCACCACGCAGGATATAGTCTGTGACATCAAGTCTGAATCGAGTGTCTGTAATGTGACGGACATCATCATTTCTCTGAAGAGTCTAAAGACCCCACGTAGACTTTTTCTCATTGGATGAGCGGTGGCATTTCTCCTCTTTTCCATAGGTTGACAGCATCCAATGGATATATTGATGTGGGCTAGTCATGTTGTAAGCGCCCTGGTTCTCTGGGTGAGCGGTTCGCTGAGACGACTCCGTCTCATCGAGGGGAAGGGGCTCTTCTGCTGCAAAAGTCCCAAGCGAAAGCTCCAGTAAGCTACTGGAGCCTAGCGAAGGATCAATCTTAGCCATTCAGATCAGAGACGACTCGATGGAATGTCACCATAGTAGTAGGACGAAGAGTTGCGAAAAGGTGGGATGAGGATACCCCTCACTACAGTAGGTCCAGGGCCCCTGTCACGTGGAGACAATACGCTTATGTAACTCAGCTGGTGTCGGGTGCCAGCCCGTTGGGCAGACTTTCGAGGAGGAAGAAGAAAAGACCTCGTTCGTTGGACTTCCAATTTCATAGCGCCTCCGAGTAACTATTCGGTTGTGAACGGCAAGATGGTCGTTGGGGTCGGGTAACTTAACCGTACCTGAAGGGAAGTGGGTCAGTACCAGAACATGGAACTCGAAGCATGGAAGTAGAGCGCCTGGACTTGATCACTTCCAACAGCTAACAACCAAGCTCTACCAACAACTTGAGCAGGACAAGATATGAACTTTTGATACCGAGGTAGGTGAAGGTATCGCTTTAAAAGCATTCAGAGAAGCTGCCCGTCCTTCAGCGAGCTTGGCACATCAGCTATAAACGGGGCAGGACCCGGGAGATATATATCTCCAGTCAACCCCTTTGGGCCTGGACACGCTAGGCATGTAAGATCGGAGAATTTACTTCGGTTGGCCCAACACTTCAGACATTCGCTGTCCACGAGACAACTTCGGACTACGTGTACCTACGCCTGACCTGACAAACATCGTCAAGTGGCCAGCAGATTGGAGCGACAGCGTTTGACACCCTGTCGTTGGATGTATGCCACGTCACGAGCAAGCAACGCGCGATGCAGCTATCACAAGAGCGCATCTGTCACTCCCGGATATGGAACAACTGGATCAAAACGGGTGTATAGATGGAGCGCAGGTCTCGATTCTGAAGTGTCTGAAACACGAACAAAGGTATTATTCTATTTTATCTCACCAGCCTCGGGCTCGTCATCCACCTTGGCAAGCCCTTGTTCCCGCAGCAGGGCATCAATCTCATCGGCGCTCCACAGGTGGTGGTAGATCTTTCCATCCTTGGTCTTACCCACTGTTGCGAACTCGACTAGATCAGGAAAAGCCGCGGGTTAGTACATTCGACACCGAGAGAGTTCGTTCAGAATAGGGGAAACATCATATGGGTATCAAGACTCACTCTTCTCACTACTCAGCTTCGTCGAATCCATCGTCTTGCTCAAGACCTTGACAGCCATTGCGCAGGCCTCCTGCAAAGTAGAGTCCTCCTTGTAGTCTTGCTTAAGCAGGCTCTGTGCGCTGGCGTTGTTGGCTCCGACGCTGGTGGCCTTCCAGCCTCCGTAATTTCCACTTGGGTTGCTCTGGTACAACTGGAACTGGCGCAGGTGATCCCATCCAGCGTAGATGAACGACACACCGAACGGGCGGAGACCACCGTGTTGGGTATATCCTTGCTTCAGGTCACACAGCCGGCGCACTAGCTGTTCGCAGGGAATGTCTTCGTTGTAGGTGAGGAGGTAGCGTTGGGCGTTTTGCCGTGCGTAGTTGATGAGGATGTTGGCATCGGCGTTCATACCAGCGACGGCGCAGATCATGTTACTGTAATCAATTTTAGTTTAGCACCATAACATAAAAGAGCCAAGTTCATTTGAGAACCCAAGGCGTTTCAACGTACTCATTGATGGTATACAGCTTCTCGGCGGAGGTATCCTGCTCCAGCAGCTTGCTGGTCACCTTCCTCTCAGCGGCAAGGACAATGCCGTCCTTGGCTAGAATGCCGAGAGCAGTACCAGCATGTGAGATGGCTTCAAGAGCATATTCGACTTGGTAGAGTCGACCCTCTGGGGAGAAGATGGTGGTCTGCCCAACAGCGTCATAGGTTAGCTGGAGCTGCCTCAATGGCACAGCAGGAGAGGGGCGGGCTCAACATACCCGTGAATCATATCGTCGAGACATCTTGCATGTAACAGAAAACGCAGTATCGACTTAGAGAAAGAGAGGAATGGAGGATCGGGGAAGGTAGAGGGTGATGAGAAGGTCGGAGTTGGAGACAGTTGAGCTCCCAGGAAGTTCCAGGCAACTCGCCCTGGCGCGTCCTCAGTCATCCGCCAAGCTCGGACCACCTCACCACACCAAAGCTTCACCAGCGGCTATTTCTCGCTCAGCTTTAGGCCACGCGAGCTGGCAACTTTGCCCTCAACTCTTAAGATCTACCCCATATCAGTGAAAATGCTAAAATCAACATACGCTCCTCCGCCGCCTCTTCCCCCAGGGTGGTCAGAACACCGAGCACCTTCAGGTTTGTCCGCCTCTGGTTAGCGAGTCAAGCATTTGGCTAATTGCATTGAGCTCCCAGGCCATTTATACTACTACAATGCTGCAACAAAACAGTCGACATACAAAAGACCACAAGCGCAAGATTCGCAATCTGCGCAACCTGCGCAACCGCCTGCGCCGCCGACCGCAGTACCTTCGCAGTCACTCCCGTTCTATTCGCCTGAAACATTACCACCATTTTCGTCGACGCCATACGGACCGGCAGGTTATGCACCAGGTGCTACGCAATACGACATACACCAACAACAAGGGCAGGGACGCGGCGGCTTCCGTGGTGGAAGAAGCTACCATGATCGCGGACGGCGTGAGCCCCAAGACAGGCCAAAGTCCAAGCACCCAATTCCGAATTGCGCGCCATGGGTTCTAGTAAAGACCAAACTCGGCAGGCGATTTGTGCATAATCCGGGAACCAACGAGAGTTTTTGGAAATTTCCAGAAGAGGTTCTCAAAGGCGTAGTTGAATACGACCGCCTCGAGCGCGAGAAGAAGGAGAGAAGAGAGCGAGGCGAGAAATCAGAGGAGCCTGAGGAGAGCACCCAAGATGCTGCAGAGGCACCGTCAACATCGCGATCAGAGCGTGAGGATGTGGCGCACGACAATCTCTACGCCGGAGCCGACGATAGCGATGAGTATGAGGAGGTTGAAGTCACCGACGACGAAGGCGAAGAGGAAGAGGAGGAGGGCAAATTGTCGAAGCGTGCACGCACAGAAAGCCCTGGAAGACAGGACCAGCCATTGGAATTTACCGAAGAGGATATGGAATACCAGCTTGCGGCGATGGGGGAAGACTACGGACTAGACCCAGGCGAGTACGGCGAGCCTGGAGAGGATTGGGAAGAGGGCGCAGAAGGGCTTCCATTAACAGACGCCGATGCCGAAGCTCTATTCCGGGATCTGCTCGACGATTACCATATCAATCCTTTCTCAACGTGGGAGAAAATTCTTGAAGAAGGCCGCATCATTGAAGACTCAAGATATACCGCTCCTTCAAACATGAAGACTCGCCGCGAGATCTTCTCTAGTTGGAGCAGGGACCGGATCAAGGACGTCCAAGCACAGAAAGAAAAGCAGGAGAAGCAGGATCCTCGAATTAAATACTTGGCTTTCCTCCAGGAATATGCAACGCCCAAGCTGTACTGGCCTGAATTCAAGCGAAAATATCGAAAAGAGGCGGAGATGAAGGACTCGAGTCTTTCGGACAAAGACCGGGAAAAGCTCTACCGTGAATATATTTCCAAGCTCAAGCTCCCCGAAAGCACCCGCAAGTCAGATCTTTCGACACTTCTCAAATCGGCTCCATTACACGCCTTGAATCGCTCCTCGAAGCTCGAGGCCCTTCCGTCCATGATCATTACCGATATTCGATACATCGCTCTTTCAACAAAGGCCCGCAATCCCTTGATTGAGGCATTCATATCTACCTTGCCTCCTCCACCTGAGGAACAGATGACTGCAGAGCAGCAAGAAGAGTATGATCGAAAGCAGCGAGAACGAGAGAAGCGCGAAAAGGCCCTTGCGGACCGAGAAAAACGGGTTGAAGCAGATAAGCGACGACAGCGCAGCGACCTCGTTCGTGGTAAGCACCTCTTACGAGAAGGGGAGGCTGAGATCGCGGAGGCCATGAAGGTTCGGAAAGATGGCCTTCGTGGTTATATGGAAGTTGATGAACCCCCAGCCAAAGGACAAGAGAATCTCAGCAACGAATGAAAAAAAGAGATCCAAAACCTGTCATACCACGACATATCATGTTTATAGTTGCGCGTGCCAAGGAGCATAGTTGCGCGTGCCAAGGAGCTACTAATGAAACCAGCTCAGAGCTTTGCGATCTGTGATTGATGTTGTTCAATTTGGGAGGGTATCACTGTATATTAAAGGATCTATATCCTTTCATGTAGAAACCGTCATTTTTCGTGGTACAATGAGAACTCATTTAAATCGCCAATCATCCCAATCGTCATCCTCTTCATCCTCGCTTTCACTCTCCTGTGGCCGTTGTTCCTCGGCCATGGGGATATCCCGGGCTTGGTCTTCAGCTCGCTTCTGCCGTAGTTCTTCTCGCATCTGCTTCAACCTGCGTACTCGCTCCTCAAGCTGATCCATCTCATCAAACTCTTCCTCCATAAATCGAGCAGCATCTTCTCGTTCGCCCTCCAACTCAGCCTCGCGGGATTTTGCTGCTGAGAGCCGGTCTCTTTCTTGTTGTGCGGCAAGTTCTTCGGCTGTCACTGGAGCGGCGGATATCGTGGCTTCCGCTGAGATTGCCGCCGGAGCATGTGGCGTGCGGGTTGGAGCGGCGACTTCACGTTCGAATGCGGCCCATTCGTCCTCATCCACAGTTTGTAATATTTCCTGGCGTGTCACGGGTATGAATTCAGGCTCTGATGGTTGTGTCGGTACAGTAATATCTCCTGCTTCTCGAGTCGGAAGCTCTGGACCAGCGACTTCGTCTTCGTCGATAGCGTCCAAGACCTCATCCTCAGCCGTGTTCTGTACCTGGGAAGCTTGGGCATTAGCCGCAGCTTGAACAGCCTCGAGATCTGTTGCTCGCAGCTTCTTCCTCATCACCCCGTCACCGTTGTCGACCTTGCGCTTTTTGCTGACGCGGTTGCCGGTGGTATTTGGCTGCGACGCGCCCTTGCGCGAAGCTAGTTCATTCCGGAGGAGCGATCGCACGTCCGCCATAGTTTCACGAGGCGAACTGTAGCTCGATCGGTATTATTGAAGCGTATTCGAAGGAGACGAGGTGGGGTGGTCAAAGAAGAAAACGAGGTGTGATCACGGTCAGTTTCAGGTTGATTCGCAAGTGGATTTTGCCTTCAGGTGGGGAACCTGGAGAAGCTCATCAGCTTGAGGCTGCGCGCCGCCCACGGGTGGCTTCTGGATCACGTGATAGGTGACATAAGCCTCGCGCGCGGCAAGCCACTGATTCATCCTTCCTCTCCTGAGCTTCTTTCCTTCCAAACTCCTCCTGCCACACTCTCCTTCATCACTCCATTCATCGCTCTTGTGCGTTCGACAGAGCGGCTGTGGCCTGTATTGACCCCGGCGACTGTCGACTGCCTTTCAACATCACAGGGCGCCCGAATTTGAATTCTCACGCGACCCCGCTCCAGCCAAGTGTCGCGACTGACGCGCAGCAAGGGATCGCAACGAAATAAGCCAACACACCATTTGGCGCAACTTTTGCCACTACTCGTCCGTGGAGAAATTGCTGCTTCTCGGCTCCTGGGGGCATCTACTGGTTACCAAGTAATACCGGGGATCAGGCAGCGACGTTGTTCCTCTGCAGCGTCTTTTCTTCTGTATTACTTTAGCCCCCTTTTGAACTCGTAGAGAGACAGCCTTTTGGGATTGCTGGGTATCAAGCGCACACATCTCCAATTCTTGAGCAATCACAGAATCCTTATCGTTCATTGCGCTGTAGTACAAAGAGGTGAACCAAGCCTCCCAGCTTCTTGAGCCATGGCCGGTAAGCAGTCGTACACTACATTGGTCCCTACAACCGCCACTGTCGAACCACCCACAGGTGGCACAAAGCGACGAAAGCCCGGGATGGAAACATCCACAACTGAGAGTGCTGTGCTAACGATGAAGCCAGACGAACCGCGTCGCTCCGGTCGGGCCACCAAGGGCCAGCACAAGAACCTCGAACTCCCCGACGCCACTTCGAAAAAGGGCAAGAGCAAGAGCCCTAAAGATCAAAAAGACAAGTCCAGCAAAGCCTCCGCCGAGCCTACACCCGGCCCTAGCGATGGAGAAGAAGAGGAAATCATCCGATGCATATGTGGAGAATATGAGGAGGAGGAAGATGTCGAGCGGGATATGATCTGTTGTGATCAGTGTTCTGCGTGGCAACACAATGACTGCATGGGATTGACCTTCGCCAAGGGCCAAGAACCCGATCAGTACTATTGCGAGCAGTGCAAGCCCGAGAATCACAAGGCCCTCTTGGACAAGATTGCAAAGGGCGAGAAGCCTTGGGAAGAAGTCGCCGAGAAACGTCGACAGGAGGCCGAAGAGAAGAAATCCAAGCGGAAGAAGGGCAAGAAGGGCGGCAGGAAGAGCCAAGGCAAGACTGAAGTCAGCACTCCAGCTCGTGCTGGAACCTCTGCCACACCCGGCCCCGGTCCATCCCCTGCCACTGGCGCATCTGTATCGGCCGAGCCGGAGAAGAATGGACACGGTGGAGATTCACGGCGATCGAGCACCAACAAGCGCAAACTTGAGGAGAGCGTGGAGGATGATATGGTGAGAATTCTCTCGATCTTAACAGCACGAAACGACATGCTAACTGTTCTATCTGTCAGGGCCCACAAGTTAAGCAGCAGCGAGTCTCTCCTCAAGCTCCGACGGGGCCAGCTTCGAGGCTCAAGGCAGAGTCTCCTGCAGATACGCCGGCTGGGGCTACCGTGGACGCGCTTGGGAACCCTGCTCGCAAGAGTGCTGCTACCGCGCTCATCAGACTATTTGTAGATCAAATCACTGCGGCCCAGAAGAAAGGCTCATACACGCTGCCCGCTGGACAATTGGCCGAAGATGCTGCACGGCAACTCGGTCTTTCTATCGAGGATGCCATGTATCACAATTTCTGCGGACGTGCAGGCGAGCCTACTGAGTCCTATAAGTTGCAATTACGAACGATCCTGTTCAACGTAAAGAAGAATCCTTCTCTACGGGATCGCTTGCTTGTAGGCAATTTGTCCCCAGAATCTCTGGCTAGGATGAAGCCAGAGGATATGGCTAGCGAGGAGTTGCAACAGAAGGATGCAGAAATCAAGCGAGAGTCTGAGCGACAGCATATTATTATTCAGGAACAGGGACCTCGGATTCGACGCACACATAAGGGTGAGGAGCTGGTCGAGGACGAGACTCACACAGCTGCATCCGAGTCGGTCTTCTCTGCTGGCCCCCGACGTGCCACCGAGGCCGATGGCAGCCCTGGAAACCAGAGCCCGCTTACTCCCAAAGTCCAGCAGTCAACCCGATTCCAGAACGAACATGGCCACGGTCAATCCCCTACTGGTGGACACCACGACCATGTCTTCCCCGAAGTCTCGACCAATATCCGCGAGCCAGTCCCCCATGGTGGGAAGATCCAGGCGGATGCTGAAATCGACCAGCTGTTGCGCGACGACGAGCCTGAATCTCCTCCTTATTCACCCAAGGACTTCAATGACGACCATCTAGTCTGGCGAGGCAAAGTTGCTATGGTTCCAGTTTCCGAATTTTCATCCTCGGCAAAACATGTTGGAGGTGCAGACCTGAGCGGACGAATTCCATGGAGCCAGCTAGCGCCTCCAACGCTGCAGGTTGATGGCCGCATCGAAATCCAGCTTGCCAGCAGCTATCTTTGCGGTTTACGGTTCAGCTCCTCCACAGATGTCTCTGTGATTGCTGTTAGCTATCCGGATTTGCCTAGCGAGCGTGCTGGTTTTGACAAGCTATTCGACTACTTTAAGAATCGCTCGCGCTATGGTGTTATCGGCAAACATCCGTTGTCGGCTGTTAAGGACACCTACATCATCCCCATCGAAGCCGGTACCACTACGAAGCCTGAATTCATTGAGTTGCTGGAAAACAACTCCCTCGAAGACACTATCAACGAGCGTACCCTCCTCATCGTCTTCGTTGTGAAGACAGGCGAATCAAACCCACCTTCAGTGCAGCCACCTTCTCATCAGGCTAGTCAGGAGCCACCTGTCTCCGCGAGCCCGCTGACTGCTGCTGGTGCAACCCCTCAGCAGCCGCAATTCGTCACTCCGAGCCAAGGCTCGACTCCTCAAGTGGCGCCAACACCTCCCGCTACTCTGAGCGGAGCTGCTCCAAACACCGCTGCGTATGCTCAACAACAAGCTCCACAGCCCGGTCAGTACCCAGCATTCCAGCAACAAGCGCTCACCGGAGTACCCGCCGCCGTCCAAGTGCTGGGTACGCAAGTCAACGCACCAGCCATTCAACAACTTCTCAAGACAGCACCGAATGTGGACGTGGCGCAGTTGAACGTCGTTCGCGACATCCTGGCTCGACAGCCTGCAGCAGCAGCAAACTATGATGCCCTCATGCAGGCGCTCTTCGAGACACAGGCGAACGGCCGTGTCCCTCCAGCAACTGCCTAATTCTCCTTTTTCTTTTGATGACAACTGAAACGATTGATCATTTTTACTTTCGCACTGTACAGTCGACTTGAGTGATGGGTTTCTGGTGGACGAGCTGGATTCCAGCAGTCGGTGTTCGGACTTTGAGTTCCTGGGATGCGATTTCTTTTTGGATGGACGTGGGATACCCATGGCCGGCAGTCATGTATTGGCTATAAGGCCTCGTTTATCCTTTTTTATTTCCATTATGTATGGAGCGACCGCTCCTAGGTATGCATTATTCCCTTCAATCGGGGCTGTATGTTCTCCATCCAAGACAGGTTCTAGTTTTCTTTAGTTCTTTTGTATGAAATGAAGTAGTCTATCTAAGTTAGGAATGATTTATCGCAGAACATGTGCTAATAATGTAGGGTTTACTCCTAGTCGTGTATTGCAAGATCTTAAATGACAATTTCCCGTAATGTATGTAGCATTTAGGTATAGAACATGATAAAGAGGACATTGTTGAGCGCATGGCTAATGTATCTCCCTTCGCCACCGAGTATCATCGCACGAAAACGCCTGCGCTATGCAAAAAGACCCAAACCCTAGGAGAGAGACAGAATAGAAAGGCATGAGTGGCAATCTACCACCTTCCACCCCGTCGCCGATATCCTCCGCCGCCACCTCCGCCGCCATACCGAGGGCCGCGTGCACCAGATCGGCCACCAGCAGCATAGGGATCCTCTTCCTCATGGTGGCGAACTGGTGGTGCCCGACCCTTCAGCTCGGCGCTAAGCTTCTTGAAGCCCTTGCGCATATCTGAATATCCCATGTGCATCTTTCCGAAGAAGTGATCCGCCAATCGTCGGTCATTATCGAGTCTGCTGAGGTAGGCGCCGCACACATCGCAGACCTGTAGCTTCTGGTGGCCTGACGGGCCAGAGGTATCTTGGAGGTTCTTCAAGTCGCGTTCGGCGTTTTCCTTCTGGTGCTTTGCGGTGCGAATCTTGTGCATCTCATTCAAAGCCGTTGCGACGGAACCTGTTTCGCCAAGGACGGAGACCTCAAGGAGGCCGGTATTGATCGTGTTGTTGAGATCGGCTATTTGCTTGAGCTGTAAAATAGTTAGTAACCTCATCCAGAAATCAGGGGCGAGCAGATGAGCATACCAGGTTGTTGGTTTGGCGGATCTCATCCGGGGTCTTCTCCAACCGGCGCTGTGCAGTGTCGATTCGCCGGTCACAATCATCAATATACTTTTGCATATCGCGCATGTAGTCGAACTCAAAGCCCCATTTCGCCTTATCCGCAGAGGACGCGGTGTCGTACTCTGTTTTCAACCCCTCGCTATGCACTTTGGGACAAGGTCCGAGGTCTTGCTTCGTATTGGTAAAGAGGTCGTGCGGGCAGGTGCCGACGAGGTAGGAGCGGCAAACTTTCGCATCCGTGATGGAGAGCTGGGAATTGCGACCCTGAGCGCCAGTCCCAATGAGCTGGTCAGCTGTGAATGAAGACCTTGTTAGCTTGGAGTGTCGTGACGGAGGGACGTCAGAGCTCGTGGTGCTGAACACTAATACGCTTCGGATTCTAGAGACGTACCTCCCATCAGCTGTTCCAGCAACTTTCTCTGCTCCGCCGCCATAATGATTGCCTTTTCCAGAGGATTAAATCGAGAGCAACACGGTGGAAGAGCTGTTCTGGAAAACGAACGGATAAGGTCTGGCGGTTTTTTGATGCTGGCGCTAGGCAAGACGGAAGGCGGTGAGGCGCGGCCATCAATAGACCACATGGACTTAAGACCAAACACTCGATACACTCGCCGCATTGCAATTGTGTCTGATGTCCAGACTGCTTGGCCATACTCAGGGTCTCTCCTGGTGACGCAGTGTGTCGTCGGTCTTGGATGTCCAACTCTGCCGAGGCCGAAATCCCCCTCTCGCATACATTGAATATCTCACGGACTAGGGGCGTCACAGACCGAGCTTCGGCATGAAGTGATGACGATCTCCTCACTCATTTCTCTCTTGCTGGCGCTCATTGTCACGCTACGGAGTTCGCCAGTTTCAGCATCCTCGGACTATCATGAACAGCTTATACTCCAACCGCTCCCTCAATCCTCCCTCCTAGCCTCATTTAATTTCCGGGGTAACACCTCTCAACAATCGTTTGACAATCAGCATTTCCAATACTTCCCGCGAGCTCTAGGCCAAATCCTCCAGCACGCACATACCAAAGAGCTTCACCTTCGCTTTACTACCGGACGATGGGACGCTGAAAGTTGGGGCCCTCGGCCGTGGAATGGTAGCAAGGAAGGAGGCACTGGTGTTGAGCTTTGGGCGTGGATTGACGCGGCGGATGATAAAGAGTAGGCTCCCTGAAGCTATGCCTGGGATTTACTGGATTCTGTGAGACTAACTCTGTGTTTAGAGCATTCGCGAAGTGGATCACATTGACTCAATCGCTGTCCGGGCTGTTCTGCGCCTCGCTGAACTTCGTCGACTCAACCCGTACAACTAGACCAGTCGTTTCCTTTGAGCCAACCGGTGACCACCCAGCAGTTGATAGCTTACACCTGCTTCACGGGACCCTTCCTGGAGAGGTCGTATGCACAGAAAACTTGACTCCTTTCTTGAAATTGCTTCCCTGCAAAGGTAAAGCTGGAATCTCAAGCCTCTTCGACGGCCACAAACTGTTTGATGCAGCATGGCAAAGTATGTCGGTGGATATGCGCCCAATCTGCCCCTCGGATGGCGAGTGTATCATCCAGATCGAACAGACTGTGGACATGGTTTTGGACATAGAACGATCCAAGAGATCCCGATGTATGTTGGCCTGTACCTATATTCACATGCGCACGCTGATCAGTCACTAAACAATCTATAGCTAACCCCATTCCGCGTCCTGTTCCAAATGAACAATTGCTTTGCGACACCTCTAAGCCCTATAACTCACATGACACTTGCTACCCTCTTGAGAAGGCGAGCGGAAACGCATGGAGCCTGCAAGAGGTATTTGGGCGAACCTTAAATGGCGTTTGCCCTCTCGCTGAATCGGATGGCTCAAGTGACCAATCTGTCTGTCTTCGTGTACCGCACGAGCGCCAAGTCTTCCACTCGGAGGGTGCAGTCGAACACAAGAAGGCAGATGGGTTTACCCGTTGTTTCGCTCTTTCATCCTCTCAGCCTTTCGATCTCTCGATCCCGGAACAAGCCGTGCAAACTGAAGTTCCACTCGATGAACCAGTCCTCCACGCAGAGCGAACGATTGTGGGCCATGGTCAGGAACGTGGCGGCATGCGAATCATTTTCGGCAACCCTTCCAAAACCACCGACGTAGACTTTATTTTGTTCGAATCCCTTCCTTGGTTCCTTCGGCCATATATCCATACACTGCAGGCTATCATCACGGGTCCCGATGGGGTGCCACGCGAGGTCCCTGCCTCCGAGCTTGTGACTGGAACATTCTATCGGCCTGCGATCGACCGTGAACGCGGTACCCAGCTGGAACTGGCATTGTCTGTTCCAGCTGCTTCGACGGTCACCTTGACGTATGACTTTGAGAAGGCTATCCTACGATACACGGAATACCCGCCAGATGCCAATCGCGGATTCAATGTTGCCCCCGCTGTCATCCGAATCCTGAACGCACCGGATAGCGCCCCCATCTATATCCGATCGACCAGTTTGCTGCTGCCGCTACCGACCCCCGACTTCAGTATGCCGTATAACGTGATCATTCTCACTAGTACTGTGATTGCACTCGCGTTTGGTACTGTCTTCAACATCCTGGTGCGACGAGTTGTGTCGGTGGACGAGGCGGCTGCGCTTGGCGCGCAGGGCCTGAAGGGCCGAATTTTGGGCAAGCTGGTGGCTATTCGTGACCGGCTCAAGAAGAAGGAGACCAAGGTTGATTAGCACCCTGTACAGTGATTTACATCGTTTATCAATCATAAATTCATAACGCCGCATCTTGAAATTCAAATTCTAGAAGACCCAGCATACAATAATCATTAGTACTAGTGTACATCCATGCATTCCTAGCTCGTGGCCAGATTGCACTGCAAAGCATCTCTCATTGTTCATATGATATCCACTAAGACCTAATCGAATACCCCACGCTGCAAAACGAATAAACGGCAAGGAATGACTAGACCTGGGAGAGTCCTAGCGTTGTGTCAAGCGACATGCAACGGACAAACGACTATCAAGACTAGCTGGACTGACCACCCGCGCTGTGCAAATTATGTTAGCGCCAATGATTGCAAACACAGCAGACTGACGATTATGGCATCGAAACTTACCCCGGGATGATATTCTTCACAGTCTCCCATCCTGGAAGGGCATCTGAGCCCCCGGGCTTCTGGCCCATAAATGAGTGGTCCTCGGTCGTACAAGTTGGTCCAGCATGTTCTTCGGTCTGGGATTTTCCAGACGCTAGATCTGCTTGGGCTAAGAAGTTGTTCTCCGCTCGAGTCTTCTGATCCTTCAGCGCAAGGAATGCTCCAGTAGTAGATCGCGGGTTGTGAGCCTATTTTCCAAAGCAGAAACGATGTCAGTCTGGAAGCCTGATATGATCTGGGCAAACAACACACGAGAAGTGCCGGGATAAGTAACATACAGCGATATGGCCCGGTCCCTCATTCAGCAGATCATGCGAGCCTCCCCTGTGGGAGGGCTTGTCTCCACCAGCATCCCCGCCACGGACATTGTTGGCTGGCGTGGGTTGAGAACTGGAGCCGCCCGAGACGGAGGTTCGGGGATGGTTAGGACCCGGTGCTTCGGACATGCTGATATCTAAAATGCAGTACGAAGCGTTAGGACATGTAACCCTTCCCAATGGTCGTGGAAAGTTGTTCTAGTTCCACAAATAGTCGAGAACAACAGTAAAAGGCTGGGAGTCATCCAGGATATTCAACTCACAATTTATAACAAAGACTATCGATCGTGCTGTTTCTCTCGTCCCTTCTTGATAAAGCGAGAGACGCACTCGATAACGGATAATATGACAGAGATCATTCTGAGACAGGGAATCTACTACTCCGCGGTTATATATCCGATCAGTTGTGACATTGACCTCATGGGGCTGCAAATCTTGGAAACCGGGCCACTGGAATATGAAGTCATCATGAGCATCGAGGGATCGGGATCCCAAGGGTCTAAATTCCCCGATGCGATTGGTGCCCGCCCCGATCGAGGACTAAAGTATAGCTGAGTCAGCCCTATGAGACTTCGAAATGCAGCAAGAATAATGCGAGGACCGTTAAAGAAAGTTTTGTAGAGGCTATTCGTCGATCTATGGACATGCAATAGTCTTTACCAGTAGGAGTATTACAGCGGAATCTACCGTTTTCAAGTGATAGCACATCCGAGCCTCGTGCATGAGACAACCTAAATGAATGTGTCTCGATCAGAATACGGGAAATGCTATTATTAACAAAAAAGTTTCCATTGGAACTCGAGTCCTTTTGAGGTCTCCTGATGTGTGACTTGAGTCATGTCCGCCACGATCTATTTCCGTGAATGATTTCGATCATATTGCATCACCCTAAAGGCAGGCCATAGTTGCAACAGGACGGCCCCAACCATCACACACCCGGCAAACACCTGAGCATGTAGGAAATCTGCAGTATTCAAGTTGACTAACGCACCTGCGACTGGTGTTCCTGCCAGCGCCCCGAAAGAAGATATTCCCCACATCATGCCCAGACGAGTGCCCGTGAGCTTGACGTCCGGACAAAAGATTGGGTGGGCAACGATTGAAGTCGGCCCAGTCACAAGAATACCACTTAAGCTACCCCAGTAGCAAGCCCAAACGATGAAGCCTGGGATATTGGATACCGCAATCCAGGTGAACATGGCAATGGCTGAACCCATAACGCCAAGAACCACGATTGTAATTGGTTTCACGTAGGCGACGAGAAGGTAAGGAACAACGCGACCGACCACGGATGTTCCATTGACAATCGCGACCATGTAGAAGGAGAGGCTTGTTGTCGTGTGGATCACGGTGCGAGCGTACGAGGCGACATAAAAGATAGGCACATAATATGCCAGCATCACGCAGGTCAACGAGACTGAGAAAAGCATAAAAGGAATATCTCGGAAAGCAGTCCAGTCGATTAGACTTCGGGCGCGTGTTTTAAGAACTGGTTGGCGGCATAGAATGCCACATGCGACAATGGCCATTAGAAGAGTCACGAAACCAATGCTCCGGACTGCCCAGGGGAACCCAACCTTGGGCTGCAGTTGGCGAAACATGACTGGGAAGATGACGGCCCCGACGCTGGATCCAATCGATGCTATACCAATGGCTATTGGCCGTTTTGTGGTGAAACTCGTGGAGACCATAGTCAACGCTGGGATATAGCTAATTCCACCGCCCATGCCGACGCAGAAGCCTTGCGCTAGAAGAACCTATCCATCATTTCCAGGATTAGATTAATATTCGACGTCCAAGAGGAAAGACAGACTCACCTGATAGTACTCCGTCGCAAGGCTAGTCATCATTAATCCAAAGACTGTAAGGAAACTCCCCGAGATCATCAACGGGCGCAAATATCCCGAGTCAACCAACGGCCCCGATACCAGACCGACCATAGGGATTAACGTTGCTTGAATGCTGCCCACCCAGGAAATCGCAGAGGGCGATTGATCCGGCAGCAGTTCAGTCTGGTAGTACTCTTGAAAAGCGCCAAAAGTCGTCAAAACTCCCCTGCATGAGGCTGTCAGCTCTATTTCATCAGATGGGACGATAACTTTAATGGAGATCAACTCACCAAGAATTCACAAAAACGCAGAACCCGGCCAATACATTCAACCATGCCAGCGTGCCCCCATTAATTCTCCGCTTGGCTCCATCGTCGCTCGATTGGTTTGACTGGCCTTGTTCCGCGACCGTTGACACGGCTTGTACATTATCGGCTGCATTTTCGGGTTCGGGTAATGTCGCCTTCTCAGCCATTTCCATACGCCTCCGATGCGACTGTAGAAATGAGTCGGAGAATAATCGCGAACCCTGCGTCACTAGTTATACGTTCGGGCATTTCCCCCATTGCTCCAAAGTGGAGGACCTTTCCCCACGGGGGTTTTATTAGTCAAGCGAATGAGGTGAAGGATTCCGGCTGAAGCGGCACTCCATAACCGAGCTCTACCGATTTTTCAGTTACCCGTTTGGGAGCTGTGCTTAAAAGGCGCGGAGAGCTCCGACAGGGGACCCCACGTGGATACTTAAATCGGGCTGTTTTTATTCTCCGAGTAGTGAAGTTGATTATGCAAATCGACCGTTCTATACCGCTTAATTGTTAAGACGATATCTGTGTGAAGCTATTCGGAAGCATGGTAGAAATAGGAATGTAGTTTTCACCAAGGTATCCTTTTTGTGCAGATCACACTCTGTCATGTCGCTTACTCTCATGAATTTTGCGCAATAGTCTGCCAAGAATTGGACTTGGCTAAACGAAATCTCGGCCCGAAGGCAGTTAGTGCAGTTGATACAATACGAATAGATTTTGAGACCATTGCTATTACATTCTTTGCTTAATGGATCACGCATAGACTTGCTGCAAGGATTATAGTGCTCTACGTGAGGGTTGAGAGATACATGCAACTACTTTGATTCCCTCGGGAAGTCCTGCCCGATAAGTAGATACGACTCATACGAGTCGCATTTATCTAATCAACGCGGTCTCCTTCTAAACGTAATCTTACATTTGACCCAAGACGACCAGACTTTGAAGTCAAAGGCTTTTGGGTTGAAATCGACCTGGGAAATCTACCTGTCAACCGCCCAATATTAATTTATATACCTGGATCTGTATGAGGCTTCGTTCGAAGGCTATAAAATCGGTTGAATAACAAGGTAGGTAGTACCTGGGCGGCCATATCGGGCCGATGCAGCCTATATCCCCGAAACTTCCTCAATCAGCGTATCGTGAAGTATACCTTGAAACTTTATTCATGCTTCCGGTCAAGCTGGGGTAACAATCTTGATCCGCTATCTCCGTGAACATGTCATGCCGTTCTCTCGTATATCCGTCCCAGTTGCTTACAAATTCCGTTGGAGCTTCGAGCGACCTAGTCTGTGTCTCAGTGGCTGACACCCCAGCCGCATCTTGTCATCCCATTCGATTTCTTCAGTTGAACAAACAGGGGGTCATGAATAATCAGTCAAACGGACCCATCGATTGGATAGTTGTCACAACCAATACTTAAATATTATGGGGAGTCGCAAACGGATCTAACCTGGATTCGTATAGCAATCGAATAGATCTCTGATGGCATATTTGACGCTATACTCTCCGTCGTATAGATAGTATGGTCGAGCGTGTATAAAGTCGAAGAAAAACTCACTGATCGTTGTTCAAACTAGACGTCTAAGCTACTCACTCCTCAGGAATACTTGGACAGCAAGAGCATCCACTCCTTCTCGTACTCAAGCCATAATCACAAAATGCCCGATTTCCCTAAGCGAGTTTCCTTTACCAAGGCCTGGCACACAACGCCATATCCGTTCATTTCTCCAACAAGAGCAGGACTTTCGGCGACTGGCAAGAACGTAGTGGTAACCGGTGGCGGGACGGGCATCGGGCTTGCGACTGCAATCGCTTTTGCGGAAGCTGAGGCTAAGTCTGTCTCAATCGTTGGACGTCGACTAGACAAGCTCCAAGCTGGAGTAGAGTCCATCAAGGCAATGCCTGAATTTACGAAGACACAAGTCTTTTACCAAGTCGCAGATCTTTCAGATGCCGAGCAAGTCAAGTCGGCCTTCAAAGCAATCGCTGACGAAGTTGGCAATATTGACATCCTTGTCTCAAATGCCGGTGTACTCCCGCCATTCGGGCCGATCGTGGGCTATAATCCGGATGATCTTGTGCGAGGGTTCGATGGTAACGTGTTCAGTGCATTCAATGCTTTCCAGGCATTCATGCCTCTTGCTGGACCTAATCCGATCATTCTCAACATTTCGACTTGTTTGGCGAATATCACTCCAGTTCCAATGGTAAGCGCCTATGCGATCACCAAGGCTGCTGCCTTGAAGATGATGGAATATCTGGGAGCTGAGAACCCTCATCTCCGGGTTGTCAATATCCAGCCAGGATGGGTCCCGACTGATATGAACGGACATCAGAGCGAGGCTCCAGATGTTGGTAAGTTTGGCGCGAAGTATTTTCTATCTTATAGACCTGTGTGATGCTGATAGCAAAAATTAGCCGAGCTTCCTGCTCACTTTCTCGTTTGGCTCGCGTCCCCCCAAGCCCATTTCTTGAAGGGCAAATTTGTTTGGGCAAACTGGGATGCCGAAGAGTTGTTGGCGCGGGCTGATGAGATCCAGAGTAGTAAGCTGCTGAATTGGATTGCTGAAGGGGTTCCTATGTGAGGCGCTCGGAGATGGACTTATCGACGTATGAGACGTGTATGGTTGTCTTGGGCTTCAATTAGAACTCAATTTTGACATCTTGGAATTGATAAGCAAGATTTTTATTGAATCATCTCCGTGTAAGATCTTAGCTGTACAGCTCCACTCTAGGGGTCTTCCAATCATCTGAGCTTGCTATACGACAATGGGCTTAGTGACCATTTCGCAGCCTTGTATAAAAGGCCCAAGCCCCCACGCGTTCCTCCAAGCCACCACCCACGTTGCTGTTTAATACTTCGAAACTTCCAGTCAGTGATTATCATGGCTACTACACATACCGTACCAAAGTGTCGATTGCGAAAGTTCCATCGCAAGTCAAGAAAGGGATGTGGGAACTGCAAACTGCGCCGGATAAAGGTACCCTGTCAATAAGTCCGAAGCCAAAATGAGGTATCTTTCACTGACTTGTGCAAGTGTGACGAAACAAGACCGCGCTGTGAAAGATGCGAGTCCTATGGAATTGTTTGTGATTATGTTTCTGGTTCCGAATTGCGAATGATCGGGGAAATCGAAGCCCCGAAGACAATCATCGAGGACGGGACCACTGCCATCGAACTCGACGACAATAAGTTAAGACAAATCATGTTTTTCAAGGAAGGACCAACGGCTTCTACAATCGTGAATGTGTCTCAGTGCGAAGTGTTGAGACTGGCATACTCGGTAAGCACATTCGAGTGACCGACTTGGGCATTTGGATATTTCAAAGTTGACAAATAGCATCCAGAAACCATACTTGATGCACATCGTGTTGGCGATTTCGGCTTTACACCACCGCTATGAACAAGAGTTATCACTCGATGAACCCAATGCATTTGAAGCATACCACGCATACAAAAGTGCCGCCCTTCTGAACCAAGCGCTATCCCGGTCAATACGGCCCGAGGAGCGCGACACCTTGTGGATGGCAGCGACGTTTCTTGGTGTCAATGCTGTCTCGACATTATCAGCGACGACTCCACAAGAAGCCTGGCCGCTGAAGTCTCACGAATCAGACCTAGGGTGGTTGCGCTTTGCCGGCAGCAAAATGGCTCTCTGGGAGCTTACAAACCCGGTCCGGCAAGATAGCTTATTCCAAAACATGAAGGGCGAGTATGCGCAAATGTTTAACTCTATTGCTGTTGATGGAGTGAGCGGTATTCCTCCCTGGCTTGCCGTGCTATGTGACCTGCACGAGGGCTCAACTATACATAACAATCCTTATTTTACGGCTGCGCATACACTTTCTTTGGTTCTCGATCAAAGCGCCGAGATTTCGCGATCCAGGATTTTGGCATTTACCAGCCAGATGGAACCATCTTTCAAGGATTTATTGCGAGTCAAAGATCCGGTCGCACTGCTTCTCTTAGCATTATGGTATGAAAGGGCTGGTCCGGCAATCTGGTGGATTCAGCACCGGGCCACCATTGAGTACCAAGCAATTTGTCTCTATCTCTGTCTAAAACAGAATTCTCCAACAGAGATGGTGGTCACGAATAACTGGATGTCCAAATCAGTTGAGACCGGGTTGGTTGTTTCCTTGGTAGGAAAGTGAGGTACCTTAATGCCTTGGTGCCTGTACCTGAATGCCTGATTGTCCAGGCTCCTAAATTTATACTTTTTTCCCTCACTTGGCCACGAGGGCCCAACCAAACAAAGGTCCTTACTACTTGGCCACAGCATAAACGGGTTGACTCGTTGACGATCTCGTTCCTGGTGATTTCCCCCGCGTTCTAACAGTCTAGGTGCTCCCTCATGGGTTTTACAGGCTCGGCAGTTGAAATTCTTTGTCTTCATCCTAACTGAACGCCTGACCTGGGCTTTCCAGGCCTAGTCCTGCCCTAAAGTATTGCGCAAGTCGCTGCGTAGACGCGTCAGCCTGCCACGGCCAGCATCAGCCACCGTGGGGCTCTCAAACGGTGTTTGCGCTCCACACGCAACGCGATGACGCCGTGGTCTGGGCTTCTTGAGTCCTATTTAGGCAGTCTTGGGAACTCTTTGAACCAATCAGCGGGACTCACGGCCAAGTAGGGCAGTCCATCCGCAGTCTCCGGTCGACGACACCTCCAGCCCTGTGGAGCACACACGAGCAATTGAGAGGCGTGCCTGGCGCTATTGAAAACGGGATAGGTCGACATGAAGCAAAAACGCAGACCGCTAAAGTGAATTGAAAATACGATCTGGGCGTCTAGCCCTAACTCTTTTCCAGCCGGGACCACTTTGGAACAAAGCCACAGCCCTCAGTTCCTCCAATAGGGTCATGTCCCTGGCCTAGTCCAGGAACCACATGGTTTCTGCAATGCTTTCAGACGTGAGAATTGGCCAATCGATGGATTCAACGCGCCTTTTTGGGCATGCTGGTGCGTGTTTCAGATGTTCTAAAGGCGAAGTCCTGCGTCGAGGCACACTCCACCATGGAGGATAAAGACCAGGGGGCCTCGTTCCTGAAGTCCCTTTTTGATTCTCTCGTTTTAACTCTGTCAATCACTTATTCAACCCAATTCTTTCGCTTTCTCCACACTCTCTCACTCCCAATATCACTCTTCCAGAGGCTGTGCCTCTATACAATCCTTTGTGATATCCAACTTCCCTGTCTGTAGACCAGACAAGGTCCACCAATCCTTCCACCCAATATCTATCTCGGACCATTTCATACCCTCGTCAATCATTCCAGATCTCACCAATCCGATTATACAATCTTTTGTTTGCTCAAAATGGCATTCCTTAAGAAGCTCACTATCCTCGCCGCCATCACCTCCTTGGCCTCGGGCCTTCCTACTGGAATTCGTCCCACGGCTACCGTGACTCTCGCCCCAATCGCTACCACTACTGCCATTGCAACCTCCACCATTGCTGCTAGCAGCAGCGGCAGCGGCATCAACATCGTCAACAACCTCAATCAAACCGTTTACCTGTGGTCGACATCTGACACCAGCGGCGACATGCAGACCCTGACCGCCGGCGGTGGTACCTACACCGAGCAGTGGCGCACCAACTCCGACGGCGGCGGTATCTCCATCAAGATGGCCACCACTACTACCGAGAGCAGCGTCTTGCAGTTCGAATACACCGAGAGCGATGATACTCTCTGGTGGGATCTCTCATCGATCAACCTTGACAAGGACTCGGAGTTCATTTCGGCTGGCTTTGCTGTGGCCACCAATGACTCGAGCTGCTCTTCTGCGTCGTGTGCTGCTGGTGATACCGATTGCTCTAATTCTTACCAGCAGCCTGATGATGTGGATACTCGTAGCTGCTCGTCTTCTGCGGCGTTTACTATGACCTTGGGTTAAGTGCACTAAAACCCGTTGTTAGTGCGTGTTGGTGGAGGTACATTTCCAACTTGTGCAAGATTTTTTAAGGTTATCTTCTTGGAACCCATCCTTTTCTGGTTATATAGACTTGATTTTTGAGTTTCGGTATACAAATTCACAATGTTTCAGCAAAAGATTTCTGAATATTTCTTTCATGGTCTCAATCTTTTTCATTTGAATTGAAAGTGGAAGTATGTATATGAAAATATAGCCTCGCTAGCAAGGGAAGAAGATAAAATACAACTCAACAAACCAGGCACAGCAAAATGTGCGCCTAGACAACACCAGCCCAATATCTTATCGAGGATCCTGAGATTGCACTTAGTACACAGGAAGCTTGAAGGCAGGGAACTCATAGGTCCAGCTCTCAATCGACTTCTTGTCGTAAACACAGTCGAAAGTAGAGTTGCTGCGCCACAGAGGGCGGGAAGGCCACTGGCACAGCATCTGAGTCTCGCCCTCATAGTCACCAGAAGAAACAGTGGCGTTCAGGCGGGTAGGCCTGACACCGTTCTCAACCCAGTTGATCATGGTCTGCATGTTGTCCTCAGGGTAAGGGCCAGGCTGCAGGGAGTTGGTGCCGCAGTGGCCCGCACCTGGGACCAGGTAGAATTGGTACCAATCCTGGAGCTTGGTGAGGGCTTGCTTCTCGGTGGCGTCGGGGTACATGATGGAGCAGACGGATTGCCAATAGTGCACGGATGAAGCGGCAGGGACGGAGGGGTCCGACTCGCCGTGGTAGTGCAGAAGCTTGCCGCCTGAGGATTGGAAGGGAGTTAAGTCGGGCAGAGTGGTCTGTAGGCTGTCCATGTAGCGGACCATGGCGGTGTTCATCCATTCAACCAGAATGTCATAGGTAATACCATCCAGGTCGGACAGATTGTCGAGATCTAGCAGCTGGACGAACTTGGTCACGAACTCACCGCCAGTCGAGGGGATGTCCAGTTCCCATTTCTGGGTGCTGTTGTTCCACTCAGTCTCGGCATCGGTGAACTCGGAACCGATCTGCCACGAGAGGTACGCGCGCTCGCCCTTGGAGTTGTGCAGGCCATCGACGATAGCCTGCGCAACAGCAACTCCCTCGGCAGAGACAGTACCGCTCTGGGCGGGCTGGTAGCTTGTTTGGCTGCCCTCGGCCTGGCGCTTGACCTTGCTGCTGAAACCGAAGCCCAGAGAACTACTGGTCTCAGCGGCACAGTAGTACTCCTCGCCAATGATGGACGACATGTTGAAGTGGAGTTTGCAAAGGTCGGTACGAGAGATGACACCATCGGTACGGCCATCCAGAGGGTCACAAGCCTTGATAGTAGCGTTGACGATCTTGGCAAGTTCGCAGGGAGGAGGGTAGTAGTCCAAAGTCTTTTCGACCTCGGCGGAGAAAACGTGGTTAACCTGCTGCTGGCCGTAGCGGAAAGCCGGAGCACCGGTGATCACACCGTCATACTCCTCACCATAGCGCTGCACCTGGCTCATACCCTCACGTCCACCGTCAGAGCATCCCTCGTAGTAAGTGTAGATCTTGGAGCTGGTGGAAAGGCCGTAGAATCCCTTGGTGAAATATTTGCCCAGCTGGGTCATTTCACCCAGAGCCTGGTAGCCGAACATGTAGGTCGCATCCCAGTTGATGGAGCCGTTTCCATATAGCACAACATCATCGTAGCTGACGCCGTCCAGGGCATCGTACCCAGCTGAAGTAGCACCACCGGCGGCACCGTACTCTAGACCGCCGGTCGCGTCAGTGCTCAGAGAATAGCCACCGCCGCCAGCGACGTAGAAGCGCTTCTTGAAGTCGGAGGGTTCCGGGAGGGCGTACTTGACAACGACAGTGTCGTCCTTGCCAGGGTGAGTGTAGGTGAGCGTCACATTGCAGTAGCTGAAGGTCCCACCGCTAGTACTACCCATGCCACCACCGATGGTAGCGTTGTAGACGGCGGCAGCGGAAGAGGAGGACGGGATCAGGTTGATACCAAGGAGGGTTCCATTGGAAGGCAAAGAGGACTTGACGTTAGACAATGTGCATACATCGGAGAGAGACTTGGCACTCGCAGCCGCGGCGAAGGCCGCGACAGATGCGCCCGACTGGAGACGCATGTCGAAAAAGATCAAAGGAGTGTATTCTTAGTATACCAATGAGTGTGTAAAGGATTGAAGGATGCCGAATGAAGAGGAAGCCCATCGAGAGTATGACGAGTATGCGGCCTCATTTATAAGAACAGTCGTGAACACAAGGGAGCGGTCATGTTTCCCGTTTGGGACCTGAGATTTCCCTGATCAAACGCTGATCTCCCGGATAGATTGAACTCAAACCCTGAAACTATCATCAGTATGTGTCCCTAAGACATGCCTAAGCCCCAATCAATTGGAAGCGTCGTCATCCTGTGACGAGCCAGACGGCCCAGACAACCGACCGAGGAAGCAGGTGTTTGGAATAGAGACAGCAACGGGTGTTGGGGAACCCGGACCGATGGATGATGGCGCGTCTGCGGCTCTGGTTACGCCGATGTTAGTCCGCAATACTAAGGTGACCAGGTGCCGCGAAGGTCCATTGCCAAGTTGTTTGGCCATAGTAGATTCAAGCCGAGTTAGCCAAGCGGGGGCCATTCATGCCCCTGACGATATGTGGGTGCCCGACCTCAACGGTGGTGATTTGGAAAGCCTGTGAGACTCGTAGCGGTTAAAATCTTGCCCGGCGGATCTGACGATGCTGGAGATGCTGAAGATCTGCGGAGGGTGAGCCCCACTCAAGTCCACTCTAAATTGGGCGCGCAGTCCACTTAACTAAACGGACCGAGTTGGTATACGTCAGCCGATAGAAGCCATGCTCCAAAACCCCTATTAGTAAGCAAATCGCACTCAGTCCACCGCCGTCGAGTTATAAAGAGATTAAACGATGACATCTCGAGCAATTTCGACCAAGGATACTATACGAGGCAAATTCTCGGGTCGCTCAAGCGAAATGGCTACTAGCTTATACAGGCAAAGGATCTCTATCATCTAAAGGACCAACGAATCGTTGATCTCCTCGGTGGTCGCCAAGCCCTTCTTGAAGGCCTCCCTAACTAGAGAGACTGCATATTTCGATACTGGCTTCGAGAGGACGATAATAGCCTATTCTGCCTATTCGCTGTGTTGAAAACTAGTATCGCATTACTAAAGGCTTCGCCGTATATTCTCTGGATGGACTGTATAGAAGCCTGGAAACAAAGACTAACACAACCCCCGTTTTACCCCCTCTTCGTCGCGGATGGCGAGGTAGAGAGGGAAGACGATACAGAGAAGGAGAGCAAGGAAGCGGGAGAGGTAGATTAAGGTACACGTCGTTGAGTTGATGCCTTCAAGATAGACGTGGGTAAGGAGGGAAAGGCACTACGAGCGGATGATACAGCAAGACAATCTAGAACTAGGGCAATTCAGGGGCCAGTTTGTGGTACTAGAGATGTCTGGTTTCACGAGACCAGAGAATTCAGGCGTGAGCTCCTTGAAAGTTAATCTAAAAGGCGTCGGGTCTGCTCTATATAAATAGTAGTAGCCAATCCAATCATAAGCATGCTGACCAGGTGACTTCTTCCATCATACACAGTAAGCTGACTATTGAGGCTATTACTAACTATTCAATACTGCGACTATCGCAACCTGCCCTCTCCATTCCCTTTCCTGCCTGAATGATAGCCATGGGCCGTTCGATTTTGTTCCTCAGCCTAATCGCCGTCATCGCCGTCCTCCCCCGCGCCCACCTCTCATATGCACACAAATGGAACGAGGGACAACCACAAAAGGATAGCAAGCTACTGACACGCAAAGAATGGCGGACATTAACGCATAGCGAGAAAGCCGAGTGGGTAGGAGCTATCAAGGTGCGCCCTCCTGCCTCCCCGTAGGTAACGAATACGTTGCTTATGCCATGTAGTGCTTAGCAAACATACGACACGAACGGCTATCCTTGACGAAGGACTAGACGCTGCTTGAGGGGAGGAGGAGCCTGTACGATGACTTCTCTTACTCGCACGCATCAGTAGAGCACAGCACGCATAGAAATGCATACTTTTTGCCGTGGTGTGCGTTTTTCCCCTCCCTCCTTGCCTTCCCCAAGCGTATACTAACATAAGCGCAGACCGCTGGTTTACGTACCTATTCGACCCCTCCTTCCGCCACACTTACGGGTATAGTGGGCCAACACCATACTAGGACTGGTCGCGCGATCACGCAGACCTGTTCGGCTCGCCAGTGTTCGAGTACTCACCGGAGTACGGCTTAGGCGGAACGGGGGACGACGATTCTTCCCCAAGGCGGCCTATACCGTCACCACCGGCGTTTTTGCCCCCCGGTCCACCGGGAATTTCGAGCTTTCCTGGCCAATCCCACACCATCTACGGAGGAATTTGACGCTCATAACCGGCTAGGATCCCCATAAGCTGCCTCAAAACCGCACCCTCGGCCCGGACTTTATACGCAACTCGACCGAGCAAACCACGGGCGACTTCTTCAGGTTCCAGCACGCAATAACACTACTGCACAACCACCTACCCAATTTCGTTAGGGGCGACTTAGCGGGAGACCACCCGAAGGTCCTGTCGGAGGAGGATTATCAGAGCATGGCAACCAGCTTCACGCCTAATGACCCACTCTTTTGGCTGCATCATACGCAACTTGACCGGTTTTGGAGTGAGGCGTGCCCCCGAAACCCATGGTACCTTTCTAGTCCATATATCTGCTACAGTGCAAAGCCACTGACATGAGTTGTATAGTGGCAGCGCCATCACCCATCCAACTTCGCCACCTTTTCCGGTATGCCCCTAACCCCACACAATATGACCGACCCACGCTACGACCTTAACGCGCACGCAGATCATCAGATGTCCTTCGACGTTCAGAGTCTGCCCATGGCGCCGAGGAGGGTGTTTGATACGGAGGGTTGGCCGCTGTGTTATTGGTATATGGACGAGGAGTGACGGGTACTAGACTAGACTGATACCACTATCTTGGAGTTCAGTCACATTAAGGTCACATTCACTCGAGTTGGGGTTCCGCCACGGCCGCTTACAGTGGCAGTTCAAAAGTCTGAAACCAGGGACCAAGAAAACAGGCCGTCAAAATATGCCTCGATTTTATGGTTTTAACAGATCTTTCTGAATGTCTTTTGAACCCTCTTTCTAGATATTCCCGGCATCTGTGTTTCCAACTTGTCTTTCAAAGTATAGCTGATGAGATGGGTTTGAACTTTTTCGGGTGTTGCAAACTTATGGAACACCACTGTACCTAGCTTCTCGTTCTTGGAAAAGGGAAATGGAAGTTCTTCTCCCCTAGAAAAATGAAACCCCTGCCGGAAGGGCGGATTGCGTTCCATTCAGCCGTGGCCGTGATGCCTCCCATCCCGTAGTGGGATGGGTCGTCGTAGCAGGCTGCTTAGATGGTGCGGACCTTTAGGGGGAGCTCACGAGGTCGGTCGCCGGCGAGGTAGACTACTGTGCGTTAGTCATGAGTGCGAGGAGAAGCAGGGATATGGCACACTGTATCCCCACGTTCCACGCGTTAAGATGTGGAGTGAGAAGAGGGCGCCCAAATTCATGACGAGGCATACGCTCAGCGCAGCAAGCAGGCCGAGGGAGGGGCCGCGTATCTGGGGTGCCAGGGATTTAGGGAACATCTTGGTGTGCCGGTTGGGTGGTGCGTTGAGGGTAGCAGAGGGGGACGAGATTTTGTGCAGCATCAGGAGCGGGCTTATAGTGTTTAACACATCTATGGCACCGTATCCGCTCTGGCTGGGTGGGGCAAGTCGTGATGGTCCCGAAGAGCGGGGAAGGAGGAGACACAACTGTCTATATGCTCTCTATTCGCCGGAGCCCTTATTCGAAAGATTTTGTCGATGAAGTAGAGAGTGCCAGTAAAGTGGAGAAGCACAAGCAGTGCAGTTTGCGGCTCCACAGATAATACTACCCTACTCATCACGAAAGTACGAGTCCTGCGAAAGTACCTAGATTGACACCGGGATCACCCTTGAGGCAATCAATGACTACACCCTGCTTTGAGCTTGGCTAGTCAATGAAGTTCCACGAGGATCGCGTGATGGGTTATAGCTAGGACCGAATATCTGGCAAGAAGTTAGAATTGGATAAATGGTATGAAGTTAGAATTGTGGGTAATGCTAACCTTATCTTGTGCCCGCCCCGCTTTCGCCTTTGGAAGATCGGTTGGTCCAAAGCGAGAGTGGGGCGTGCAAAAGGACTAATTATCTATATGCGCCCCTTTCGCTACACGATGATGGCAAGGGCTTCAGCGCAACTCTTGAGAGGCGCTCCTCCGAGGACGACCACTCTGCCCCCTTGTTGGAAGCTTCGGACAACCTCCCCGGCCTCGCACCATCCAAGCCCTCCCAGCTGCCCAAGCTCATCCTGCACTTCTCCTTCGCCCCTAGCGCTTCTATCCTGTGAATCCCATACACTATCAAAGTACCAAGCCTACCCCTTCTCTGACTCTGACCTCGCGGTCCTCCCCTATGGCGACGCTAGGCTGGGATTGGACGGGGCAGCGAAATTCATCTCCTCTCCCCAGGTCTATCAAAACGCTTGGCCGGATAGAATTGCACGGGTGAGTCGGAATTTGAAGAATGCCGCGTGGGGTCAGGGGGTGCAAGTCTATGTTTCAATAAGCCATGCAAAGTGTCTACCGCTCTGTGTGCAGCTTCTGACGCAAGAGAAGGACTCGACAATTATGCGCTTCCCCATTCCCTCCACCGGCGTCAACGCCTGCGTGATCTCCTGGTAGCCACCTCCTGTGTTCTCTGCGCGTGCCAAAGACCTCATAACCAAGGGGGACATAGCGGAAATTGAAGTCTGGCAGCTTATCGCACCCTCGGCCACCTCGGCCACCGTCCCTTCCACTATGGACGAGCTCGACTATGACACCTGATCGTTGTCGACCCTTCCCGTGCGCGGAGAGCTGCTTGGCGTGCTAGACCTCACAGCCAAGCCGAACAGCACAACGCTGAAGCTCCCCTGTCCCAGCCGGACGGAGAGTCTAGTGGTGGGGATGAGATGCCACAGCGCGCGGCGTGTCATGTTAACTTTATGCAGATTGATATAGCGCCGAGATTTGGGGTTGAGTTGGTGAGAAGGACGGAATGAGTGGCGCAGGATGGCTATGTTGAGCACTGGTGGGCAGGGCCCATCTGTTTAGATAAGGAGATGCCTGATTCCAAAGAAAGAATTCTATAGAAAGAGGGCAATCCAAGGGCCGGCCCCACAGGGTCCATCTAAAACGCGGGGTAGTTGGGAAGCTTGGAAATTGATCGCAACATATTCTTTTACTATTGCGATGAAGCACTTTTCAGGCATCAATTAACATTTCTTAGCACAACGTCTGTAAAGTCACCGTCTCTTTCACTGCTTTTGAATATTTAACCTTAAAACTGCCTTGCCTACCGAGGGTCCCAGAAGGCCCCGGAAGACCCCAGGAGATAGCCTGACACTATATGATATCCCCATCCGCAGGTCTTCAGTCGCTACAATAAAGGCTCTAGTCCCAAGTTCCACCACCTAGCTACGCAAAACCTACTCAGCCGTCTTGTGTCCAACACTCATCGAGCACAACATGTCCACTCAACTCGATGCCGTCTCTATCGCCCGTCTCTCCCTACACGACCCCACGCACTTCAGCATCCCGCACTCCCAAACCCTTCACCGCTTGGTGCTTCTGCAGCACTGGAACATTCCCACTGGCTCCAAGGTACTGGAACTAGGATGCGGGCAGGGGGACTGCACGACTGTCCTTGCCTATACTGTGGGCGAGCAGGGGAGAGTGGTGGCGGTCGATCCGGGGGAATTGGATTATGGTGAGTCCTCTCGCTTTTCTGAAGCAGAAAGCAGCCAACTGAGGGCTCCTGCAGGTGCCCCGTATACTCTCGGCCAAGCACAAGGTCACATCTCGCAAGGCCCGCTGGGCCGGCGGATTACTTGGGTCCAACAAGCCCCCCTGGACTACCTCTCCTCCCTCTCCTCCCCCTCTTCCACCTTCTCGCCGCCCGCCAGCAAAAGTAAGGCCTTCCACGCAACAGTGCTCGCCCATTGCCTATGGTACTTCGCCTCCCCCTCGCTCATCCTTTCCACCTTCCGTGCCCTCAAGCAGCACAGCAAGCGTCTCCTCCTTGCTGAGTGGTCGTTAATAGCGACACACCCCTCCGCCCAGCCTCACGTATTAACTGCGCTCACCCAGGCAGCGCTGGAGTGCCGTAAACCCAAGCATAGCGATTCGAACATCCGCACGGTGCTGGGGCCAAAGCGGCTTACCGAGCTGGCCCTGGCTGCCGGATGGCAGCTGGAGAGTGAGACCCTTGTACAAGGTGGGGAGGGGTTATTGGACGGACAATGGGAAGTCTCTGCTTGTCTTTCTTCCTCTTTCGAAAGGGAAGTAGAGGAGAATGTGAGTGATGAGAGGGAACGGACTGTGGTTCTTGCGTCACGAGATGCGTGTGAGGCGAGCTTGGAGGGTATCCAGGGGGGTCTGAAAGGAGTTAGGGCCATGGATGTTTGGGTTGCTAATTTCGTCTGATTAGGCGAGCTGAGCGTGTTCTAGCCCTCTTCTTAGCCCGATCTCTTAATAGAGGACGGGTGTTAAACATCGAGCTAGGACGTTTAAACGATGTCAATCGAGATTTGCCGTGGAAGATGGCTTGAAAAATATGTCCTGCGTCTTGCGGATGCTGCCTCGGACCGACCTTCATACGTCAAATATCAAGGGTTTTGTGAATAGAAGCCATTTCTGGTCACGAATGGGTACCGAATGACAGTGGTTGCTCTTCTCAATGCATTGATTTAGATATGCAATGGAAAGGTAACGAGACCGGAGAATCTCTTCGGGCTTACTACTTTGAAGTCATTACTCAATCGGCAGTACTTTCCAGTCTGATTCAGTGCACACCTGCGATTTCTAAGGAATGCAGCGGGTCACAATAGCACCAAATAGACCTATTTAGCAACTATAATTTGCAACACCCGAAAAAGTCCAAACCCATCTCATCAGCTATACTTTGAAAGACAAGTTGAAACACAGATGCCGGGAATATCTAGAAAGAGGGTTCAAAAGACATTTAGAAAGATCTGTTAAAAACATAAAATCGAGGCATATTTTGTCGGCCTGTTTTCTTGGTCCCTGGTTTCAGACTTTTGAACTGCCACTGTATGTCGAGTTCCCACATTTGCGCGCTTGACTCACCCTGGCCGTTTCGGTTGACAGCGGTATGGTCCGTGCCATGTGACTGGTCTGGTTAAAATAACTATGTACGGAGTATATGCGCGTACAATGAATGCCAATAATTCCCTTCATTCCGTCGATCTAATCAACGTGCTGGGAAAGATACCTGCATGACCAGATGCAACTATCTCCTCTTACCGCGATGACGAGGCCGAAAATTGCTGGAAATCATGAATACTCACGACCTTGAGTCGATCACGGTTGAAGGAAAAGCCACCTTGCCTCGAAACGATCGGTCATCGGTTATTGCCCTCACCTTCATTAGTTCAAGTCTCTCCAGTAGGCTAATCCGCTGCGAGAGAGTGGACGACGTTGAATATTCGTTAGACCGCTTTCCTATCAGAACGGTTCTTGACATTGAAAATGCCAATTCGCCTACAGGAGAAACGGATGAACTGGAACACCAGTATGCTAAACTCATTCAGAAAATCGAAGAAAGGCTACAAGCAAGAGACTATTCTAAGAAAACCCGACGCAAATCGAGTGCTAATGCTAGATGCTACTAGAGGTCGTTCAATCAGTAATCATCTCCTCAACCCCATAGGCAAATCCATCGGTATGGTGAAACCTAGATTTTGACGAAGAATGTAGGGCCGCCGTTAAGGAATTCCGTCGCCTACGACGTGCACACAAAGACAAACGACCGCCGGCTACGAGCAATCGATTGGAAGCGAGATGGCCGACAGATCGAAGACAAAGTCCGAGACTAGTTTTCAATCATTAGCCGAGAGCTGGCCGATCCGGCTATTCTCCTGGAGAATATGTATAATATAGACGAGGCGGGAGTTCTTCTTAGCGTTCTTAACTCCCTTAAAGTGCTTGTCCAACGATACTTGCAGATGAGCGGTATGCTAATAGTATTGATTGAGTGGTCCTTCTTTGCATAAGTACAGAACGGGGATATCAAATTATCGAATAAAGGCATGTTTCGAGGCATCTTTGTCGCGGGAGTAATGCATCAATGTATCAATGCATCAAGGGGATCATCAAAAACCGGAAGAGAGGTTAAAAAGTGCAAAAGTTTTAGTATTTCCAAGACACTGTTGTCTATTCCTCAACCTGGTCAGCCCAGGTGCCAGTCAATGGAGACATCGTAGCCTCAAGCTTCTCCATAGATGGCGGCTGTGCAATGGCTTTCGTCTCCACGGTTGTTGGGGGTGTAATTTCTGGCTTTTTGCCGGCTGGGAGAGAAGGGAAATCGGCCTCATTATTCACGGAGGGTGTAGCTGTCTTCTCCGATGGTTCTTTTGAAGACGCTCGGTCCCCTCGTGGCCCGCGGGAAGGACCACGGCCACGGCCACCACGTCCACCACGTCCACGCCCACGTCCGGGACTGGTATAATCGCCAGCTCCATCTTCAGATGGCCGCTCATCAAAGTCCCGACGAGCATACCCAGATACTCCGCCATGCATGCCCCGGCGGAACTGGCTGCCTCCTCCGCGTGGGTTGTAGTCGTCCTCGGTCTTCTGAGAGTCCCATTCACGGCCAGTTTGGGCGTTTAGTTTCCGCTGTCGATTTTGCTCACGCTCGTTGTCCATGACTCGACGGTTAGCCACTTCTTTGCGTCGCTTCTCGGCTGCAATTTGTTCTCGCTCGAGGAATGATGCTTGATCGGCTTCTGCACGAGCGTGTGCCGCGGCTTTCTTCGCAGCGTTCTCCTTGGCAGCGGCAATGCGCTTCGACAGCTCTTCTTCGGTGAGTTTGGGCTGGAAACAACAGTTAGCACGACGAGCCGCCAATTCCTATTCCTCTATAGAGATTGATGCTCGCTTACCTTCCGTACTCCTCCCGTCGCACTCCGATCCCCCCGAACAGCAGGTACTCGTTGAGGTTCAGGGCCATTGCCATTTGTATCCTCCCCCTGCCCCTCGACGTCCTGTTCAGTCTGATCACTTGGCCCCGCCTCGGGCTGAGCAGGAGCTGCAGGCTCGTTCTGTTTAGTTGGTGCGGGCTTCTTGGTAGCCTTGGGACCCTTGGGACCCTTGGGACCCTTGGGGCGTGGCGACTCCTCAGCTGGCGTCTTTTCTGCCCACACTGATTCCTGCAACCCACGTCCCTTGGCTTGTGTTTGAGCCCGGCCCTGGCCCTGGCCCCGCCCGCGTCCACGGCCTCGATCTCGATCTCCTCCACGACCCCGGTGAGAAGTCTCGCTTCGAGGAGGAGGCAGCGGCTGCTTCTCAACTACAGGCTCTGCCTGCTGTGGGGCAGGAGGTTCTGCCTCCGCAGGTACCACCACTAGCTCTTCCTGAGCTTGCTGTTCCTCTGTCGAGACTGGAATGATTTCATCGTCAAACAAGTCATCTGCGCCACGCGTCTGCGCGAATTCGTCCATGTCTGCCATGGTATATATATCGAGGGAAGTCGCGACAATCGATCGGATGAATTGGAGCTCTATGCGACAATGGAACCCGGGCTTTCAAGAGAACGCGATCCGAGGGGAAGCTTTGATGGGGGCGAGAAAGGGTGATCCGTGCGGCGAAGGCTGGAGGGGAGCAAGGTGAGGGTGGCGGGACTAGTGTTGATAGTGCATGAGCTGAGGAGATATAAGACCTGATTGAGATAAAAATGTCGTCTTCACTTTAAAATAGATAATGACTGGACAGTGAAATGAGTCTAAACCGCCGTCCAGTAAACGCATACCAGAGCAATATCTCAGGCGGTCTGGCCCTCATCGTGGCGGAGACGCTTTTTGCCGCTTAACTCCGCCTGATTTCTGCCCGTATGACGTGTGTGTTGACAGATTGGAAGGCGGTCCAGATTTAGGTATCAAGATTATTCAAGCAAGCTCCTAATCTAGAGGATTTTGAGTGATGGTTGTATGAGATTATCAGTCGTTTGGGTAAGCTGAACTTCTAAATGATCGCCTTTTAAGTGAGCGAAGGTGCACATATAAACTCATCATGGGACGAGAAACGGGATGTATATTCTGACCAAACTCTCGTGTGTTTGTTATTCCTTGAGCTTCTGAAGGTTCTCATGTACCCACTGATCAAACCTCGCAGGAGCGCGATGAGTATACTTGAGAATATTACTTGCCGCCTCCTCAAATACGGGGGTCTTGAACTCATATCCAGCATCCTCAGTGATATACCGAACAATCCACCTGGCAGTGCCTTCGGGGGTCCCATGTCTCTGAAACTCGTCCAGCGCTTCTTCTGCCGTAATCCTGGTGACCTTGATTTCCCTCTCAAAAGTGTGAGTAACAATCTTAATCGCATCCCTTAGCGCCATCTTTTCGGATCCCATCAGCCAAACAACTCTTTCCTTCAGGCCCCGCGCCAAGATCGATCCGCACACTCGGCCAACATCATCAGGAGAGATCCAGTCATACTCGGCCTCGGGATTGGCATGTCGGACTTCTCCAGCTTGAATACCCGCTTTGAACCAAAGTATATTGCTAGCGAAGTGATTCGGGCGCACGGCGACGAAGCCATTCTTGCCGTAGACCTCTTCGAGGGAGATTTCCACTTGTGCATGAACCCATGGGACGTGGTCATCTGGAGATAGGGAGCGAATATTGCTCTGAATCGAGTAACTACTCAGGAGCACGGGCATCTCGATTCCTGCTTCTTTGAGGGCTTCAATACTGGCTCGCATATGGTCGGATGTCCCCAAGATCGCATATATGAAGGCGCACTTTGCCCCGCTCTGGCGAACGGCGGTTTTGATTGTCTCGGGATCTGTGAGATCGGCTTGAACCCTGTCCACATCGATGCCAGTCAAGCTTGGGAGGTGCTTTGTTGGATCCCGCATCGCGAGTGTCACTTTGGCACCTTCCTGGTAGGCTTGCAGGGCTGTGGCTGAGCCCACGTCACCAGATGGACCAAAGATGATCACATTGTTGGGAGTCGACATCGTAGAAGCAGGGCCTATAAACAAAGGCTTGAGTAAAGCAAGTTAGATTGCGGGTTTGGATTAGTATAAGACATTCAGTGCAACAGCCTGGCCTGATGTCTGTGTGTAACGAAGCGGGCAGCGGTGAGATTTTGACTTTGCAGTATGCATGGGGCACGCAGTTCGTCCTCCTAGGAAGAGATCTGCAGGTAGATTCTTCGACACATGAAATAGAGATACAGATTGGAGATATCATCACAATCGCTGACTCTCGACAGCTCAAAATTCCAATTAATTGACAACGACTAATTCTGCCATGGACGACTGGCCATGTTCATTCTATTTACATTTGATCTGCGAGTGAGACAATCCATCTAGACACACTCCCAGGCATTCTCATCAGTATAGTCTCCTGGACCCACGTAAACATTCCGTCGAGGATAGCGACAGTGCTTGCGTCGGTACTCGACCTGTGAGCCTGGTCCGTTGACGAACTTGGTACCACGCACAGTTTCCGGGGCCTTGCCTTGCTCAACCCACTGGACCATAGCCATGAGCACATTATCCTGCGGGTCATTACCAGCGTAAGTCTTGAGACCTTGTCCAATACCATACGCACCGTCACCGCCGCCACAGTGGCCCATGCCGCTGATACTGAAAAATCGATAGAACTCGTCCAAACTGGCCGGAGGCAGGTTCATCGTCTCTGCGACACGAGAGTAGTACCACTTCGAGTCCTCGGAGCTAATTAGCTGGTCTTGCATGCCGTGGTAGTGAAGGACCTTGCCTCCAGCCTTCTGGAAGGGAGAAATATCGGCATCCCAAGTCTGAATGTTATACGGGTTCTGAGCGAGCGCGACCGCGGCGTCCTTGATTGTCCAGTTCTCGCCACTCCAGGACGGGTCGCTATAGACAACGTACTTCCACCAGTCGTTGCTGTACTCGAAAGGCTGGCCATTGTACATGATAGGTGCAGCTAGAATCTCGGAACCAGGTTGCATGCGAGGGTACAGCTGAGTGCCGTTCAAGCTGTATAGTGGAGACAGAACCTGCTGGGCTGCGTGGACTTGAGCACTAGAAAGGCAGCTGCTTGTGTTCTTTGCATTAGGCGCACATATCAATGTCTCCAGGATTGGGTGGCATAGGTCAGTATCTTCAATGATTCCGTCCTTTGCGCCATCAATTGCGTCACATTGTCGGAGAATCTCGTCGTGCACGACCTTCCATTCGGCAGTGGAAAGATAAGTCTCGGAGGTATTGGAGCCAAGAATAGTGTAGAAATTAGCACTCCAGGACAGCAAACCAATAAAGTTGATGGCTGGGGCACCAGCCACGACGCCATCGAAGTCATTGGGGTATTTCTGGATCGACTTCCATCCTTGTCGACCACCCGTGGAGCATCCAAGATAGTAGCTCTTGTTGAAACCTTCCTTGTAAAACTGCTTTGTGAGTTCCTTGCCGATGACCACACCAGTGTGGACTGAGCGATAGGCAAAGTCCTCTAGAACCTCGGGATGCTGGTAGAAAGGCAGTCCGGAGGTTCCGTTATGACCGTTATTGGCGCCAACAGTGGCGAAACCCAACTGAACAGTATAGGCAAGATCATAATATTGAATGCCTAAAAATGTGAGCACATGATATGATGCAGTGGGACCACGGAAAACAATACATACATCCAGAGAGACCACCGTTGCCTGTACTCAAGAAGCGACCCTTATAGTCTCGCGGGAACCAAGCTTCCAAAGTAATTTCACTGGTATCTGAGGTAGATACGGCCATTGCGACTCGGCACAAATCTGCTGAAACCGCCTGGTACGGTGCAGCACAGCTAGCAGCGTTGTCTGGTAGGGAGAGATTGGTACCTCCAGGGACATACTCGGAAAAATTGACCTTGACGTTGGGGAGATTAATCTTGTGTGCAAATTGCGAACACTTGGCTTGAAAAGCATCCTGGCTCGCGATGGCCGTTGAGGCCGCACCTAACAGAGAAAGTGCAAGCAGTCGAGTCATGGCGATCACTTTGACCGAGCTCAAACGGGAGTTCAGGATCGATGGGCAAGTCGAAGAATAGTGGGAGAGCCCACACTATATACCCCGGAAGCTCCACCCGAGAACTCTTTCACTGACCTTATTCTAAAGCTTTTGATCACAAAAGGGTTCAGAATCTCGAGTATCGGCAAGTGAAGGTGATGTATTATCCGGGTATAATACACGGTAATGATATATGAAGCAGCAGATCCCGAGGTTGACCCGGACAGCAGTGGGGAAAATACCGAGTTTGTGCAAAACGATTGGATTCAGGAGAGCAAGTGGATCTAGAGACAGCATTTGAGTGGCGTCTGAGGGGAGCTTTTGATGAAACCAAGTGGAGACCAGGGACAGGGTAAATCCGAAATGAACACGGAAAAGGCCTTTCACTCGATGAGAAATCCGGGGACTCCACAAATGCGGGGGCGCGTTTACCACCCTGGGAAACATGGCTGTTGGCATCGGCATTTCGTCTCGCATTCGGTCTCGATGCCGAGTCAAGTAGATCACGACCAGGAGTAGAAATGCCGCAATCCCTGCACGAACCCTTGAAGATTGATCAGTATGCAGACCATCAATTGGCCATAGTGGGTGTGCAAGCACGGACCTTGATTAACGATCATAAATGTGCAAGGTCTTGGAATGCAACCATTGTGGCCCGAATGGCTTCTGGTCTACTTCTTTCAGCCTTGCATTCGGCCTCTAAGCGTCTTGTCTTCGAGAGGGCCGCTCTCTTCTCAGCCAGGATCGCTGTCATCTTAGCTGCAACAGATTGTAGTTGACCGACCGCCACTGAATCGACCTCATGAGCAGAATGTACTGATGAATCAACCGATTCGAGGAGTGCTCTTTCTCTGAGAATGGAAGCCCTCAATTGATCCGCGTCAGCTTAGCATCGCTTGAGCACAGCAATAAGTCGAGATTCCAAGGCATCTACTTGGACGCCAAGGCCCCTTCTCGCACAATCCTGGCACAGAGGGCCATGCCGGCGATTCTGGATGGCGTTCACAATGCGCCGCAGGATCAGGATCCAGAGAAACGCGTTGACGAGTGCAAACATTAGCATCTTAGTTGCATTGAGTAGCCGGCACGGGGGTTGTTCCAGCAGTCGACAGGCAGGTGCAAGCGCAGAAATGCAGGTACCAGGAGATGGCAGGGTAGAGACGAACTAACAGCATACGGGTAACGAGAACAAGAGTGAGAGGTAGGAGAGAGAAGCCGATGATGGAGATTTGGAAAGGTGAAGGTGAAGGTGAAGGTTGGTGTGGCACGAGAGAGAAAGTCACGGCACCTCGCACCTTCCTCAGTTGGTAGACGATCTTGGGAAGGAGGAACCATTTGCAAATCATAATTCTGGCTTGGCTAATGGAACCACATTGACATTGGCTATTCAAAAGAAATCTCTTCTTGTCATAACCTGACCAACTTGCAGACTACCTACTTGGGAATTTCATATCAATACAACCTCCAAATTACACCCGGATGAATCATAGACGGGGAAAGTACATTATACTTCATTTCTCGGGGTGTCGGAAGAAACGTCGCGTTCTCGTCCCTCCTGAACCACAACCTCCCTTCGCATTGCAATAGCATTGGGCTGCATATCATTGACCAGCCCAACCGTATCGTCACCATCGCTCTGTGACGAGCTCATCCCTGTCTTCACCTGTGCTGAGTAATTGCCGCGTCCCATTTCAATATCTGAGTATGGGTGGTTCGGCCCGGGCCGCTTTTTCGGCGGATCACTGCCGATCGTATGCTGCGCTTCACGGAGTTGACCAGCACTGGGTCGCTTGTGGGACAGAAGGGGCTCGACATAGTGACGGAAGAGTGGTGCCAGAACTGGTAAACTGACGATGATGATACTAAGCCATAGCTCGAGAAAGCTGACGAGGCCAATCTTGTATAGTCCGTAGACAGAGTCCGCAGCAGTCTCGGGATTCAAAGTGATAACGAGGCGCCATATCATGACTGCGACGACACTGTGGAGAGTGAGTAATTATCATTTGAGGCGTATCCAGCAACCCAAGTTTCCAAGGCTCTTACATCAAGCCCATTCCAAACATCACTGCGATGGTCAGCTTGTTGCGGAGAGACATTCGCAGTTTCCAAATAGCAGGAATCGGCAGAAGGGCAATTGTCGAGTCAAGGAAGATGTTGAGAGTAATCGATGCAATCTCTTGAATACTCAACGACCGACAACCGCCTCCCGGCACCGGATGCCATTGGTATGAGACTGGGTGGCACTGGGTAAGGAAAAGCGGTAGAAAAGTAATGAAGTAGCCCACGACTAGGCTACTCACCACCCAGACAAGAATGCGGATCGGTCGAAAGGTGCGAAAGAGGCTCGTATACAACGACAGAATCGAGAGTTTGCAACAGACTGTGCCAACCAGCCAAGTCATGCTCACTCCGACGATCATCATAAATTGGACGTCGAGTTCCTTCTTCGAGAGGGTAGCAGTATGCCCGCCCAATCCATTGGCAACTGCCCAGTAGTTCAACCCTACCATGGCACAGGCGCTTGTCTAGAAAGATATTAGCACGGGTCGTAACAAGACAATTGAAGTAGAGAAACATGAATCTCATACATGAGCAACGATTACAAAATAATCATGCAGCTGGAGACTCTTGCGGGTCAAATGGATCGCCCAGATACGCAGGGCAATCACCACACTCGTGATGAAGGTAAACACAGCCATCCAGATGGACAGCTGGACTCCATTTGGACTGACAGCCATGATGTACAGTGGATATACGAGGCCAGGGAATGGAAGCAAGCAGCGACTGCTCGAGGGAAAGAAATATCGAGACTGCAATCCTTGCCATTGCCCTCCCACCAGCATGAAAAAAAAATACAAAGATTCGACTTTGACATGGTGTTGACCTGCTGGTAACCATCAGCGCTGACTGGTGTAGCACGATGCAGATGAAAATGCAACCTTACTGTAGCTCTCACAGCCAGGACCACTCAGAGAAGGTAATTGGGTGCACCGTAGGGATATACCCGGCACTAAAGGGGTTGCCATTTGGTTGTGGCGTTTTTGAGTTGATGATCTGACACCAAACTACGAGGCAGATTTCGGAGGATGTTCTGGAGGATCTTTGGGAATTGACGATCAACTGACTCGAGGTCATGCCGCGGCAACCCGCCAGCCTTGTCTGGCCTACCTTCTCTTCTTCAGCCCCTCCTTCCGTCGGAGATTCTGCATTCGACATCATTCCTCTTCAATAAAAAACCCGTGAGCCTCGCCCATCATATCATCTTCTTCGCGTGATTACCTCCCGAAAAGCGGGTTACACGATGAATCCTCCGTTACCATCTTTGACCTCGACCTGGCACAACGGCCCCTACTCAGCCATCTCGCCGTTGCGGCCCGAGCTGAGCGCCGCTGGCAAAACAATCATTATTACGGGAGCGGTAGGATCCCAGCAAAACCCTCAAAGGAGCTTGTTACCTGATTGCTCTGACACATTCCATGCCTCTACTAATTCGCGCGTTTGCTAACAATCACTCCCATCCTCTCTAGGGCAGTGGAATCGGTCGCGCAACTGCCCAGTCGTTTGCCAAAGCAGGAGCCAGCAAAATCATACTAATCGGACGCAATGAGGCCACGCTCCGAGAGACACAGGCCATTTTGGAATGCGACTCCTCCGTCCACGCCGCCGATGTGACGGACGAGAAGGCGCTTACTGCCGTTGCGGCCGCCACTGGGACGTGGGATGTGATGATCCTAGCTGCGGGATACATCTCCCCACGAGCGTCGATCCGGGACTCGTCCGTGGATGACTGGTGGCGGAGTTTTGAGGTATGCAGACACCCGTTCACTATGCTAATACCCGTGTCACAGTGGCGACTCGCCTGGTCATCCTCATTGGTGCTGACTAGATATTGTGACAGACTAATGTCAAGGGCACCATGATAGCGTCCAAGGTGTTCCTTCCCACAGCCAATCCAGGTCGTGCGGCTGTCGTCGCCTTTACTGCGGTGGTTGTGTTCCCCGCGGCCCAGCTGGCCAACCTGTCCGGATATATCACTTCCAAACTGGCAGTGATCAAAGTTATGGAGTTCCTGGCGGCGGAGAATCCCAACGTCTTCGCTGCTGCCCTGCATCCGGGGATGGTCGACACCAAAATCTTCCGCGGGTCTGGCGCAGATCCGAGTCAACTTCCAATGGATTCAGGTAAGCGACGTATTCATTAAGAAGGTCTGTTCTGAACTGATCCATGATGACCACTAGTTGAGCTACCGGCGGATTTTTCAGTCTGGCTAGCAAGTTCAGAAGCCGCGTTCTTGAACGGTCGCTCCGTCTGGGCAAATTGGGACGTGGAAGAACTCAAGGCCAAGGCGAGTGAGATCCAGTCTGGGCTGCTGTTGACCTCGGGGGTTTATGGCTGGCCATTCACATCATCCTAGTTTGTTCCAACAGGCATGCAACGTGGCGGCTGTCATTGTTCCTCATGTAGGACACACGAATGATACTTGATCAAACTCTGAAATACAGATTGATATCCTTAGGCCATGTATGCCCCCACCTAGGAGTACTACGTCTTTGAGTATCACTTCTTTTGAAGTTGTTCACAGGCTTAACATTAAGACATATCTCCATTCCTATTTCTACGAAAAGGGCTCAAGAATACAAGCATAGCAAGCCGACTTGGGCAACCAAGGAGCAACGATGAAGATGTAGTTTAAACTCTATCAAGTAGAAGAGAAATGACAGATCTAATATACATGATACCCAAAGGGCTAGCATATCTCTCGCGGCCAAAGCCCTGTATATACCCCTGGCACAACTCCAAATTCCAGGCAATCAGGATTCTAGCTGTCAATCAATGGTTGCTGTGTGTCGTAACGTTCCTCTGGCGACTGGCGTTGTCAATAGCACACTGAGCGAGACGTTTAACTCAAAGGTGACACCCGCCGCAAATTGAACTTTGGCCGTGTAACAATCCGGGTCCATGGGTCTGCTGTGGCTTTCGATGAGTTGGGATATCATGGAAATAACATCGAGATCCTCATTATTTTCCGGGTCAAATGGGCTAGACAAAATCTTGCAGAACAAATTGATGCTAGCTTGAATGAAATAGGATAGAGAGAACCTTCAATGATCAAAGTCAGCAAAATAAACGTAGTCAACGTGAGTTCTGAAGAGTAAGTATTGGAGTATCGACGTACAAAAGATTCTGAGACCCTAATTCAAATGGAGCATGCAGGAACCGCCCGAGTAGAGATCGGCTTGCGGTAACTGATATAGCGAGGCTAGACCCGGTGCCTTGCGTATCAAGATTGCCAGTCCATGAGTCACAGCGGCTACTGGCTTGGTGAATCATGAGCACCCAATGATGATATTGAAGGTGAAATATTGAGGCCCTCAAATCAACGTACTGCCTAGTGATGCCGGTATATGCTACCAACGAGGGCCGGTTAACGAGGGGAATCGTATTCCTCCATGCCTCGAGGGAATGATCCAAGTCTCGAATCACTCTCAGCAGGTCCGCATTTGACTGCTTCAAAACACAAGGCGAGTATAGATCACGATGGATTTTGGACTGAATGAAGGCAAGGCGGACATATGAGTGAAGACATGACCCTGGATATGGGTCGCCGAATATATGGGGCTTTTCGTTTGATCAGTCAAGCAGCTCGGGGGGTACCATTGCAAAGGTTATGTCACACTGAGCATCTTCGAGCATCGGGGCAAGACCTGTGACGAGGCTGAAACCTTTATCACAGACATAGGCTAACCAGAAGAGGTGTCTCGTATGGTAGTGGATTGGAGATGGATTTTCCCAGGCCAGATGAGGGGAGAAATTACCCTTGAGATCATAGATCAATCGTGAAGCCGCAGCAAGAAGATGGTTGATAGAGTGAAAGTCTCCCGCAAGCCCTTGAGAGCAGAGACACTGTATATACATATTAGAGCGATGGGTAAACACAGAAAAAAAGGCAGAGCAATGGGTTGACATACAAGCAAGAGAATAGCCTGTAGACCATCCACTGTAGCAGCCTCACTGAAAATATCTGGAAAATGCAGATGTGCTTCACAAGCATATTGAAGACTCGTATGGAATGGAAGGTGCTCTGATCCACCAAGCACGATGATAGCAAGTGCATGAAAAGCAAAGACGCAAGCTCTGGCGCTAGCTATTGCAGGCGATGCAGTAGAAACTTTCTGATAATATGCAGCATTGATTGTACTTTGAAACAGGGATGGGTCGAGAATTGGGAAGAACAATGCAAACGTTGATGCCTGGTAGCGCTCGATCTCGGCCTGCAAGACTGATAACTCTGGCAATTTGAGAGGCTCCTTGTTTGCGGCGATGATGGTTGACGCCAAGTACTGCCATCGAGGGAACTCAATTGAAAATCTGTTCAAATCAAAATCTTCCCCGGTGCATGCCTTGATCCATTCCCGGCTGCTTGCAGACAGGACGTGAGTACCATCAAACGTGCAGGTGTTGCCCAAATGGCGGGCTGCTGATTGAAGACTCTGAGCAAATTCAGGAGCCCATGTCTCTGTGCTTTGAGCTTGTGCCTGGAAGGTTTCAATCGAGGCATTGGTTTCTAAATTGATACATGCCCGTCAATATGGCTATTAACTATGCACGAGAAGTGTCAAAAGTCACCTGGATTTCTTGAGGAAGTCGCTGCCAGTGAAGAGAATTTATTCTTAGGAGTAGCACTCCCAGAGGAAGGTGGATTTGAGCTATATGGTCAGCGATGTATTTCTTCCACAGAGCAATGGAATTAAGCAGCCGAGTTGGATCAGACATACTTGGTGCTTTTGGCCGGTTTGCGCGATCGCTCCGCTTTCCGCACAAATGTGCACGGAAGATCCTGATGTGCACACCAGTTACATCTTGGTTTCGCTGTATCACATTGGATCTGACGTTCATGTTAACATAAGATATCCTGTGCCACAATGATATCGGGCTAAAGTCCATCACCAACCTTTCGGGCAAAGCAGACATCGCAAGCGCGGAGCGGGCGCCTTCGACGCCCCGCAGACGAACCGCCGCCAACTCGCCATTTACTGATGATCATAGTTGATCATGTAGGGCGCTCGTCTGCGAGGAGTTTAAGGGCCCTCATTGAGATGCCCCTGTGCCTGTGGGACTCGAATAATTAACTCGGTTCGGGAAAAACTGACGGGATGACGCGTATACAATAAGGCGCCAAGCCAGCGACAACAATCCAGTGTGATTTAAAGTTTTGGGTTCATTTTGCTCCATCCAGCGAAACCATGGGTGTCAAAAAAATACTAACCGACTGACATGTTTCCCAAATTACCAATTCATGGGGAAATTATAATCGATAGGAGTTGGTTCACGTAGTCGACCGAATGAGCGTCCTACAACTAGCCCCGAGAGTTGTTGAGAAAAGAAAATGCAATGATATTCATACAGTTGAAAGAATATGTCGCAGAAAAACATCCCGCCTGAGAAACCGAGATCTATATAGTGCTTTATGTGTTGGGCACCTGTTGATAGCTTTTCTGACCCCATTCGCTCTGTCTCCACTGAAGCTTGTAGGCGTCCAAGCTCTTGAGTTCTGCTCCATTCTGTCCATCGTCCAATGCACGTTGCAGTCGTCCCTTCTTGCGCTGTCGTGCGCACCACCAGCCAAATACCCCAAATAAGATTACTCCCGCTGCTGCTGCTCCGCAGTAGACTCCAATATGGACGCCCTCGGATAAGTCATCCCACTTCTCGGCCAATGTCTTTGTGGGTGCTTTATTAATCTCTTGCTTGGCCGTTGAATTACCGCTATAAATTCAAGTTAGAATCAACGTGAGATAAAGCTCTTGGAAACAGCTCTGGCTGAGGGAACTCACCTAACCACTTCAATACTCTCGTATGTTCCCGTGTGGCCGTCATATTTATATTCCTTTCCGGAATGGAAGTCCTTGACACGCAGACGTTGTATGGACATGGTGAACGGTACATCAGTCCAATTGACGTAACCACCACCCCATTCGAGATTTCCTTGGGTCTGTCCTTTGATACCAACCGGCCAGAGACTGATCTTGACTTTGCAAGGCGTTTGCGGATAGTTCTTGCCGTATACTGTCAATGGCTCCGAATAGTTGACTGTGCGCACCAAGGTGCCATCAATCCACCATTCGAGTCGATCCTTGTCCCAGTAGGAGGTGTAGTTGTGGTATTCGGTGTCTGCATTGGACACAGCATGATATCCGCCACGATCACTCGTCGTGGTGTTGCCCTTGCCGAAGAAGTCGGATTGTACCTCGCTCGTGTTGTATCCCACCCATTCCCAGTCAATCTCATCGAGGTCGTCTGACTGCAAGATCACGCTGCTAATTATTCCTGCGCCCTTTGCCATTTTGACGTGTGCTTCCATCACGCCGAAGAAGATATAGAAGTTCGATACTAAAAGAGTGGATGCGTTTTCCGTCTTGATTGAAAAGTCGGCCCCGGTGCTCGTATAGTCGATGTCTCCGGTGGTCATGTTCCATAGTGTGTCGTCAAGTGTTGAGTTGAACCACCACGTGTGCTCCGTGCCGAGAGCAGCGTCGGCTGGACATGTTTTATTGAGGGGGTTGCAGTCGGTTTCACTGTATGCGAAGACCCCAGTGCCGACGAAGCACACAAAGGAAAAGAGGAATCGGAAAAGAGAGTTCATCGTGGCTGGATGCTCCTTGGCGGGGTGAATAGGAGTTGTGTGTTTAACCTGGTCGAACCCCGGACAGTCTTTGTCACTATCCCTGCTGTCGCCAGCACGCTGCCACAAGGCGGATTGCCAAAATATCGACGGGAAGAGCCTCGTACCCCGGTTTCAAGATTAAAGAGAGTGATCGTTTTGAGAAATACATTGGAAAAGGGGGAATCGTGCATCGCTATCGGCAAACGTAAAATTAGAGGCCCATAGACGAGTCAAAAGCTCGTCTAGCACGAATATGGAAACTGGGAAGACACTATGGCAGATTTGACTATGAAATCCGGTGCCATTGGCTTTTGATAAAGCCGAGATTGGAGCAGCAATGTCCGAGACCCACCACGCGTGTCCCAGAATCTGACCATCGTCGCCCGTTGAATGATGAATCAGAGTACTGCAGGGTCGTAAACTTGGGCAACCTTGATGGAAGCGCCAGATCATAGAGAGAATCTATCACGAGACATTTCTGTTATATATGGATTCCATTTTTTCCATGGTGAAACTTGACAGAGAGAATTTTGGACCGATGGTTGCCTCCAATGGACAACATGACTAAGCGCTCACAAAACTGCCTCGTAAGGCTAGACAAATTAGACCCATTTAAAGTCTCCACTTGGTACCTGATCAAGCGATGTTTTGCTGGATCTCATTGGCGAGACTGGAGCTTGGCTTACGAATGCATGAACGGCTTCCAATCTGTGAATGGAAGCCGAACTAAAATTAGGGACGGGGAGACTCCAAGTTGGCTTTTTCCCTCACGCTATCTTTCATTTCTCATATTTCAGATGCTTAGGATAAAAAGGCTTTCTACAAGGCACAGGGCAGGGGTACTGTGGTTCAAAAGTCAGGATTATTCACAGACCACCCAAAGGGGTTGATTGGATTCGCCGTAAGATCTGTCTGGATGCCTTTCTAGATAGCAATTTTCGTCGGTCTATCTCTCGAATTATGACCAATCAGGTGGATGTAACCTTCTGCGGGGTTTCAAACCTGTGAGACTTACTGTACTCTGTACACAACGAGCATGCCAAGATAATCCATAAATCGATCAAATCCGGACTTCTTTGGCTACTTTAGTGAATTGAAACTCTTTTGCCTGATAAATCAGTAAACGCCATACAAAAAACAAACCAAAAATTCGACGCAAGCTAAAATATCATCACATAAGCCGTTCTATCTGGAAAGACCCCAAAATAACAACAGGGCTCGTTCCTCCATAAGGGTGGAGTGCGCGATACACCCTTGAACGCTAGACACCAAAGTCTTCCACTGTTGTTTCTGCAATGTTTCTCCAGTGGCCCACACGGTCCTGGGCCTGTCCTCTGAGACATACCTCGACGATAGCGCGAATATGATTGACCACAGTTTGCATCGACTCTTGTAGTTGGGTGGGCTCCATTTCTTCCAACATCTTCCCAAATCCTCTCTCTTGGCAGACAGCCTTGAAAACATTCTCCATACGACTCTGCTCTGCCTTGTCTTCCGGGCACGTCTTTGTGTTCCAAAGGAAAGCTCGAGGTGGGTTCCACCTTGGAGCAGGTACCACGCCGCTGAATCTCCATGGTTGTTGATAGTATGGGAACTTGAAGTGGACTCTTTATGCGCTTTACGTTGCAGAGCTACCTTTACAAGAAAAAAAGCACAGGGGCTATTTGCGATAGAAACACCCTACTCCGACCTAGTTAGGTACCCAGATCGATCATGAGTAAGCGTGCATGTCTTCGCTTTCCGCAATACTGATTTTCCTGCGAAATCTCAATTCTTGTTTCCCCTGCGACCTTGGAAGAACTTGTAGATCTCAACTCGATTTTATTTTGTCGTTCTTAAAGAGAAAAAAAATAGGCAGTCAGGCAGTTTTTCTATGTGTGCTCAGGCCTCTTGATCATCCGTCGGCCCGTCCCGAGTTGTTGATCAGCAGACTGTCTAAAGAGACAAGAAGTCAACACGAGAATCCATGATCGATAGTTGACGATCTGGATAGATAATACCGCGGATTTAGATTGATCAAACTTAAAGTATGTACTGTCTCGTATTGACACTATCACTGAAGATGTCCGCGCTTTTGCGGAGCTGAGGGAAGAGAAACTCCCGAGTGACGAGACTTGCATTGAAATGCATGATGAGACTCCGCCTGCAGCCCTCGAACAAACAGGCAGGGCCCAAATGCCTAATAATGATGATCAGACACGGGTGTGTACCTTAATGCATACCTTGCACGGCTACGAGCAGGTCCGCAGCCAGCCACTCCATAATTCAGTCTTCGCGCAACTTGAAAACCAGCCGCAAGCGACCAGGGTTTGAGGTGAATTGATCCTTCAAGTCCCGCAAAACCGTATCACTAGTCTCCCCGGGCGGAATACTGAACTGGTATCGCTGGACTAGTCGTGCAGTGATGAGTCGCATGTCGTTCATGGCGAGCGCGCGACCGAGACAACTGTGGTGGCCTGGCGGGAGCTAGAATTTAATACTGTGCTTTCCATTCGTATAAAAATTTCCTGTACTCACCTAGACCAAATGGCACAAAGCTTGATTTATTGCGTACCATCTCGGGATTTTTGTACCATCGTTCCGGGATGAACTTCTCTGCCTGCTCAAAGCTATCTTCGCCTGGTACGAGTTAGCATCCGTGCATCCCTAGGGCACATGAAATGCACTTACGACGCGAGATACAAAACCTAGGTGCAACCACGGTTGTCTCTGGTGGAATAAACATTCCTGCAACCATGATACCTTTCTCCAGAGTTTTCCTGGTTCCACCAGTAGGCAGGGCAGGATACAGACGCAGGGCCTCGAAAATGGACGCTTCGAGATGAGGACAACCTGATGCCAGTGCCCGCGAGTCTGCAATATCGATTGCTCTGATCTCATCACGAATAATCTCGGTATGGCGTGGTTCTTTAGACAATTCACAAAACAAACCCACAAGAACGGCTGCTGTGGGTTCACTGCCAGCTACAATGGCGAGGATACCGTCACCAGTGAGCCATGGGAAACGTTGGGGATCATCTCGCACATCTTGGAGGAGGTAATGGGCAACATCGGGAATGCTGGAGGTTTCTTTCGGTGACTTTCAAATGATGAGTCAGTTGGAAATAAATATTTCAGCATGGTCATACTCACCTCCAGTCGTTCCAACATCTGCTCCTCGCACCAGGCCACCATTCGGAACCAATCCCTCAGAATCCATACTCGAGGGAAAAGCTTGAACGCAATGTGGATGAACCATGGGACTGGGCTCAACGGTCCAAGAAGGGAGAGGGCCCGCTGCATGAGCAGAATGATGTGATGCCACTCTTGACGAGACAACATGTTAAATGTACGGCTGAAAATAAAGTCTCCCATACGATCAAAGCCAAGCCAGTAGAAAAGGTCCGTAGCTTCAGTGACCTTTCTGTCACTGATATCATCATCGATACAACGCTCGAGCTGATCGATGAGGGGTAGAATGCGTTCCTGGTAGTGATCGAGGGCTAAGTGTGTCAGCTTCGATGTCTACACAAAATAATCGACTTGATTATACTCACCCTGCGATGTGAACCCTCTGTTCCATTGTCGACGTCGCAAGCCATGAGCCTCTTTGTCCCGAGCTGTCACCAAAGATTGCTTGGGGTGCAACAAGTCATACCACTCAGACTTGACGCAGCCTCCATGCGGTCCGTCGATGGCTATGAAGACATCCGGATGGTAGACTGTGATCTCGCTGGGGCCTAGATATTGGGATCGTTAGAACTGCACTCCATGAAAGTGAAGCCAGATCATACCAGTCCTGACAAAGTCCCCGTATTTGCGATGTAGGTCCGACAATACCAGGAAGTTCTGGCGGTGTCTCGACTTCCACGCGTGCCATATCTTGGTGACGCGGGCCCATCTGGGCCCAGGAAAATGTTTGAGACGGTGGAAGTAGACACGATAGATTGTGATGCTGGAGAAAAGAGCGATGAGGTATCCGGAAATCATCCACCGTGCGTGAGGAGTGGCCATAAGCAAGGCCCCGAAGTAGACAAGATGATAGACCAAAATCTCTGGTGCCCAAACATGCCACTCTCCATGAATGAAGACGGCATGGTGCAGTATCATCCCGGAGAGGGCACCTATCAGGATTGAGATGATAGGAGTCATGATGGGATGATGCTGTCAAGAAGAGAATCAGCCTCCAGCGGAGTTGACGAGGGGAACGAGGTTACTCACATTTGGGCAATCAGGGTGTGCAAGGTGTATGCAAACATCACGCCAGGCCATTCTCCAAGATCTCCTACTTCAACAGGGTGAAAATCCACAACGCGCCCAGGGATTCAATGAGATTGACCGACGCGGGAAGTGAAAGGGCTTACCATCTTCTTACCTTTTACCAACGCCACTATGCCTCCTCCGAAGGCAACCTCCTCGATCAATTTACTGCAACTCATCTGGCACTTTACCGAGAGTAACTTTCCGACCTTTGTACTCCCCAACTCGGCCTTTGGTTTACTCGCAGCCCTGGCAGCGCCTCTGCTCACCGACTGTCTGGAACGCCCCTCCATTTGGATTCTTCTCTACCGCGGGCTCGCTGTGATCCTCTTCAACTGGGCCAATGTTTTCGTATTCGACCTCGCTAATCAGCGCCTCCCCGAGTCGAGATTGGAGGACCGGCTGAACAAGCCGTGGCGACCCCTGCCGACTGGACGTATCAGCTCTGAGACAACGCGTCGGTGGATGCTGATCACCATCCCTCTCGTTTTAAGTGTCAGCGCCATCCTCGGCGTGGCAACGGAGAGCGCCTTTATCATGATCCTGACCTGGCTCTACAATGATCTGCGTGGTGGCGACGAAATCATCCGTGATGGGATCATCGCCTGTGGATATGCCCTTTACCTGACCAGCTCACTGCGCATTGCCTCCGGTCTGGACTCTCACATCTCGGAACATGGATATCGCTGGATTGCGATGATGAGCGGAATTATCCTGACAACGATGCAGGTGCAGGACCTGAAAGATCAGATTGGCGACCGGACTCGAGGACGCAAGACTCTTCCGCTTGTGCTGGGCGATACGATCTCACGTTGGACTATCGCCGGTTTCACCTTGTTCTGGAGCATCTCGTGTTCCTACTTTTGGAGGATGTGTCTGTGGGGATATGCATTGCCGATGCTGACAGGCCTCGGTGTCGCATTCCACGTGGTAAGCGGGTCTCACGATGCGAGAGCTTGGCGATGCTGGTGTGCGTGGCAGGTCGTGGTGTACGCGCTGCCCTGGTTCGTTTCGATGCAGAATAAATGAATTGTGAGCGTTGCTGTGGTGGCTTCAGGGGCCTCTTCTATCGGCGAGTAACAGCGCCTGCTTAGTAGAGCGAGACCGATTCCTGACGTCGCAGTTCATCGTCGGTGCATAAATTCTACATGGACATACTCCGTGACTCTGATAGATCACGATCAAACATACAGAATCTAGACGAGCATTGTCATTGAGATAGTTATTTCCTGTTTCCCCTCGTAAACTAAGTATCGGGGGTCCACTGGTTTACTTTCATTTACTTCCTGCACTTCCCTCCCGGCAGAGCACTTTCTCCCTCGACCACCTCTCTGTCACTTTTTCGTTGTCTCGCGTCGCCTATCTCCCATTCCCATATCCCAAAATATCTTTCTTCGAAGGTTCTTGCCCCCATGCGACGACTGATTCTACTTCTTCTGCTGCCCCTGGCACTCTGTGTCAATGCAGCAAACACGACCAACTGTCGCTGCTTCCCTGGTGATCCTTGTTGGCCCTTGCCGCAAGAGTGGACTGACTTCAACACCACGCTTGGTGGTAAGTTGATCTCAACAGTTCCCCTCGGTAGCGTCTGTCACACCAAGGGCGATTTCTCAGCCTACAATGAGCACGCATGCGCGAATTTGATCGCCGACTGGGAGTTTCCCGCCACCCACTACAGGACTTGTACCTCGCCAATGGCTTCTTGGTTCTCCAATTTCTCTTGTGACCCATTCATGCCACGAGATTCTCCGTGTACCATGACTGCAATCCAACCTTATGCGGTCAATGTGAGTGGGGTGCAGGATGTGCGAAAGACACTCCAATTTGCCAAAGACCACAACATCCGCCTAGTCATTCGCAACACCGGTCATGATTACCTCGGAAAGTCGACTGCACCTGGCGGTCTTGCCTTGTGGATGCACCATTTGAAGGGTGCTCAATATTTGCACCATACTTCGGAGTCGTACAGCGGTCTTGCGCTGCGACTTGGTGCTGGCATCCAGGGCTTTGAAGGTATGGCTGCTGCACATGCGCAGAATAAGGTCATTCTGACTGGGAACTGTGAAAGTGTGGGAATTGCAGGTGGCTATAGCCAAGGTGGAGGCCACGGTCAACTCGCTTCTCGGTTCGGCCTGGGGGCGGATCAGGTCCTCGAGTGGGAGGTCGTGACTGCCGCTGGACAACATCTCATCGTGTCACCCGAGAAATACTCTGATCTGTACTGGGCTTTATCCGGGGGTGGTGGTGGCACCTTTGCTGTGGTCATGAGTGTCACTGTTAAAGCACATCCAGAAGTCAGCACGGCTTCGGCCACCCTCACATTCAGCGGGGCTTGTGTCTCAACAGAAACATTCTGGAATATCGTCCGCACTTTTGTCGTTGACATTGCTCCACTGGTCGATGCTGGAGCCGTGGCTATATGGGCAGTCATTGGAAAATCATTCGGTTTGACACCTATATCTTGGCCTGCTGGTACTGTGGATCAGCTGCACAACGGTCTGGCGTCCACCCTGACTCTGTTGGATCAAAGCAAGATCAAGTATGGTAAGTATCCGTACGAGATTACCTTCGAAGAGGACTAGTTACGCGAGCTAACCGTAGAGGTGTATGGCAATAGCATACAACATCCAACAATTTCCTACATTTTGGGACAGCTACTGCGCCATGAACCCGCACAGCAACATCACAGAGGCTCAGGTTGGAGGTCGACTCATACCACGTTCCGTTCTCGAGTCTGATCCTGCCAGCCTCATGAAAACTCTGAGGGGGATTTCTGAAATGGGCGTTGTGGTATCAGGCGTTTCCCTCAATGTTTCCCGCTCCCCAGTGCCTTACAATGCCGTCAACCCAGCTTGGCGAGACGCTGCCATTTCCATCGTTCTTGGAACGTAGGTCATATGGGCTCCAAAAATCAAACTAGTTGTTTTTGCTGACAGAATCAAGGGGATTTAACTATACCGATCGTGAGGAGAATGTCAGGTGCCAGTCATTGCTGACTGACGTCCTCGTCCCTCGCCTGACTGCAATCAGTCCTGACAGTGGCGCCTACCTCAACGAGGCGGATTGGAACCAACCCGACTGGCAATCAACATTCTATGGCAGTAACTACCCGGCTCTGGAGGAGATCAAACAAAAGTTTGACCCAGATGAAGTATTTTACGCCCGCACTGCGGTCGGAAGCGAGACATGGTCTGAGCAAAGCGATGGCCGGCTGTGCCGAGTTTGAAAGTGGAATCTGGGTCTTTCAACTACATATCTAGAGCTTCATCCATAGAGTGCATATTGGAAATAAGATGTGTTTATCATTGCTATCCACCTTGCTGAGCTAAGTTGCATCTATTGCAGCTGAGGGGGATGAGCTTAGTCTTCCGTGGTATCCTGATGCGTCTAGACGGTAGCACCACGAATCAAATCAGCCGCACGCTCGGCCACTGCGTATACCGTCGCCAGAGGGTTAGCATGAGGAATCAACGGGAAGACACTAGCGTCAACAACTCGCAGATTCGCCGTCCCGTAGAGAGTCAACTTCTGATCCACTACCCCTCCCTCACTCTTGGGAAGCATCGCAGCCGTTCCACAGGCATGATGCGCCGGCAACGCTGTCGCCCGCAGATCCTTCTTGATAGATTCGATATCCAAGTCTGCACTGTTTTCTTGGAAGAAAGAGCTCAAAGCCTGGGAATTAATCAGCTCATAGCAGTTTCGCACATGTGTGGCCAAGGTCTCTAGATCTAGCTCCTTGCTAGCCAGTCCCGCGTCAACTGTAGGCAGTGCGTCAGGGTCGGTGGTTGAGATATGACAGCTGCCGCGGGACAGTGGGAAGCTTATTATTGGCACTAGTATTGCCATAGTTGGGGCCATCACACCTAAGACGACTGAAGCTGTAGCTTCAGTGGGGCTTTCGATGATTGAGCGAATCGCGCGATTGGTGAAACTGTCAAATTCCGTAGTGTGTGACGAAAGAAGCGTGCTTTGTTCGTTGGGGTCTAGTCTTGTCATGGCATAGCTCTTAAAACCAGGCTGGATATCCTTCAAGTCGGGATGTTCTTTCAGCGGAGCTATAATAGGGCCCATGAGATGGTTCTGGAGGTTCTCTCCTACCCCAGGCAGATCAAGGACAATGGGGATTCCGAGGCTCTGCAGTCGCTCTTTTTGGCCGATGCCAGATAGCTCGAGGAGCTTCGGTGTGTGGAACGCGCCAGCCGCGAGAATGACTTCTCTTGATGCTTTGGCCGTGACGATCTGCCCTTTCTGCATGTACTCGACACCAGTAGCAGTGATATTAGAGCCCTGGGAGTCGAACAGAATACGACGAACGGTCGCATCTGTAACAACGTTCACGTTAGAGCGCCCCAACGCCATGCTTCCATATCCACGATCAGCACCACTGCGCTGACCCGACACCGGGTCGATGGTAGCGGCATAAGCACGAGGTCCTAGAGACTGTTCTTCTGCGAGGATATCCGGATTGAATTCGTATCCTTGAGCTGTGAAGGCCTTGTTCCACGCATCCAGAAGAGGCTTGCTACCCGCGTCAGCAAGCGCAGGGAATGTCAACTGCACGGGACCCGTCGAAGCACTGCGTTGTGTTTCTTTCAGAGCAGGGTGCGACTCCGACGCTGTAACGGTATAACTCTTTTGGAGGTATGGCAGCAGAGACTTCCAGGTCCAGTCTGGATTACCAAGTTTGGCCCACGCGTCGATCCCAGCGGGTGATGGGGCGACATATGCCATTCCATTGATGGCAGAGGATCCGCCCAAGACTCGTCCTGCTGGGTGATCGAGTTCGCGATTATTCAAGTTGGCCTGTATTCCGGGTATTCAGCGCTTCTATTCTTCAGCAAGAGTTGCATTATTGAAGAACCCGTACCTGTGGTGCGATTTTCACTTTCCAGTCAAGCTCCGATCCGCCTAACGCTCGCCAGGCATCAGGGTCTTGTACCTTGGGGTCTTCGGTACGGTCGGGGCCGCTCTCAAGGACCAGTACTTTGACATTTGGATCTTCTGAGAGGCGAGCAGCGACTACCAGTCCGGCAGTGCCTCCTCCAACGATGATGTAGTCTGCTGTTTGGGGAAGATCCGTCGAGGCCATGTCGATAATGTTGGTCTGGCGTGGAGTGGAACGTTGAAGAGGAGCAAGGGCTGACTTTCAGGTGACGAGCAACAGTACCGTAGGGATGGCCTGTGGCACACACACGGAAGGAATGAAATCTTCGCTTCCTACGGTGGTTTTTTTCTTTCTATTTATCTTTGTGTGTCTGTTTTCTGATCAAGCAAATATCTCCGAGTCCAACATCCCGCCGGCTGGACTTTGTACCGTCCGGCGCAAGGCTGCTGCTTACACGACGGGATTTACTTCGACTTTGGGGGCCATTTCAATAGTCTACCAGTCTGACGGCTTATGAGGTGGTATTTTTCCCAAATTTAGATCTTGTTGGGTTACCAAAAAAAAATAAGCAAACAAAAAAGTTGACCGTTGTGATGCAGTCTGCCTTCAACGCTATACACAGTCAAGATCATGGCATACCTGGCAGGGGAGGTTCTTCCATAAGTCTTATTCTACAGTGAATTAACCATATCCCTGTAGAATTTCGAAGAGTCCAAGTTTGCCCGTAAGTAAGTTTGACAATGAATCCTCTGATTTTGGTAACTATTCTTGGCCCCAAAGTCCTTTGTCACACTTTCTCAACTCAATTCTCAGTTGTCTTCGGGTCGGTTGGTTGGCTGTCAATAGCTCTAAATATGAGGTTAGACACTACCATAATGGCTCAATTGCGGGACTAGGATCACTGGGTTGATTCAAACTCGTCGGATGGCTTGAGTGGCCGAGCTAATAGAACTAACGGGCGCAAAATCCGGCTGATTTCTTCCAGTGACATGCCTGCAGTCTCTGGGACCATGAAGTAGGTGTAGAGCAAAGCAACCATGCAAAATACAATGAATAGAATGAATGCTCCCCATTGATGAATGTTGGCAAGCATTGAAGGAGCAACCTTGGGGATCGCAAAGTAGAAAAGCCAGTGAAAGCATTGTGATAATGCCCCTCCAAACGAACGGATCTTGTTAGGCCAGAGCTCGGCACCAAACAGGTAAGGTAAGCTGTAAAGACCGATGGCCCATCCAAACGCATGTATGTAAATGAAGGTCAACGCTGCATCTGTCGAGTTTTTGCTCACATGTTCTTTGTTCGTTTGATAAATCTTGAGATACCCAGCAAGATACGAATGGCAGAGAATTTGAACCGAGATTCCTATCATAAGGTATTTTCGACGGCCAGCGAGGTCAATGAAGAAAAGCGATGCAGCCACGCAGCATACCCACTTTGCAACAGTATACAAACCCGTTGAATAAACCTTGACACCCGAGTCTGTGACACCGATCATTCCGAAAATCGTTGGTAGGAAGTTGGTGATTGTGTTAGCCTCGGACATTGGGAGAGAATATACATGATGATCGTCAATTGCACTCGGCGTAGATTGGACTTCACCAGAAAAGTCTCCCGGATGATTTGGATGGAACTATTATTTCCAAGTCCGGCATTCCGATCTTCGATATGATATGCCATGCTATTAAACTCGGTAGCCACAAACTCCGCATTAGCTGGCAATCCACGAAGCCGGACCAATGCAGCAAGAGACTTGTCATACTCGTGGTCAAGTAGGAGCCACCTAGAAGACTCCTCGGCCCAAAAAGTGAAAATGATACTCAGTGCAGGGGCAAATGTGTGAGAGAACCATGGAAATTGGTACTGTAGGGCCGTTGTGGGTGCGACGTTAATGGAGCAGCCGTAGACGAGGAACACACCCACTGCTTGGCCAGATAGCATGCAAATAGTGAACCACAGAGTCATCAGGCATCTGAAAGCTGGAGGAGCGATTTCTGATATTGCCATTGGAGAGATGACTGACAAGGCTCCAATTCCGAGGCCGGTAATGATTCGACCAACATAGGGAGCTCCCGCGTTACCAGATGAAAAGCAGGAGATGAGGGAGCCAATAATGTAGATGAGGGAATATACTCGAAGCGACATCTTTGACCAATGTAATCGTTGATTAGGAACGAAAGGAGTGCTCCAACTCCAGCGCCCAGGTTGACTAGGGACACGATGCTGGATATATCCCGTATCGGAACCTCGTGGTCGGAGCGTTGATGAATGTCTTTCAAGGTGAGTGGTCACCATTTTGATGAGTAAGGACTTTGAAACTCTGTTCTAATTGAATTAGTTACTACTCTTGGACAGCATATGGAAGTGCTCAAGACACATGAAGGTTTGCTCCAATCCAATTCAAATGATATGAATTATCTTATATGGTTGAACCTTCTAGCTGGCGGCAAACCGACAAGACACACTGAGAGATGGATTTCGAAAGACCTGGTCCCGTGCACGTGTGGTCGCGTTTTATCAAGGCCTCATACCATGGGTACGGGGAATTACTCCTATCTAGCTAAACATCCGAAGTACTAATATTAAATATCGCAGGCTTCGCTGCAAGCCTCCACCAAAGGTGCCATTTTGATAGTAGCATCCAGTGAGGTCGAGTATCACGCAAGAACAAAGCTCAATGCCTCACCCATAGTATGTGGTGTCTTGGGCGGTGTTAGCGGTGGTATTGCTCAGTCCTATCTCACGATGGGCGTGACAACAAGCATGAAGACGGTTGAAGTGACACGTACAAAGATCGGCGCCCAAGGTGCCCGAGTTCCCGGAACGATGGAGATGTTCTTTAGCATCCTTCGCGAAAAGGGGATCCGTGGTGTGAATAGGGGTGTCAATGCCGTTGCATTGCGACAAGTTACCGGATGGTCTTCCAGAATTGGCATCTCTCGCTTTGCCGAGGAGAGCATCCGATCTATAACTGGGAAGGCCGAGAATGAGAAGCTTAAATTTGGAGAGAAAGTCTTGGCATCAATCATTGGTGGTGCACTTAGTTGCTGGAACCAGCCTTTTGAAGTGAGTTTTCCTTTCAAATGACTCAAGGCTGGTGATGTACTAATTGCCCAGGTGCTCCGCATGGAAACGCAATCTATGAAGAATGATCCCACTCGACCTGCCAATCCGACCATTGTATCCACGTTCAAGCACATTCTTGCCGTTTCTGGATTCAAGGGATTGTTCCGCGGCGTGGTTTATACGGGGAGTAGCGGCATGGGCGACAATCTGTATGGTGGGATTTGGCGATACGGTCAAAGATTTAGTCGCAGGCAAGTGAACTTGCATTATGATATTTTCCCTCTTTCATCTTTCATACCGTTTAAAAAATAAATTAGACTGCCTCGATGATAACATGACAATCAAATAAACAACAATGGCAACTTTGCTTTTAAGTAGTTAGTGAAGAATCCATTAGTTGATCTGCGGAAAGCTACAGATGATAGAAGTGAGCTATGGCAGTACAACGATTTTGGCAGTCCACGGATGATTGGACCAAGCCGAGTCCAGCCCTCCGCACGGCGGTCTCCGCACTGGATCCGCCGCGGCTGCAGCCCGAGCTTCAGCTTCGTTTTCCTCCTTCCTCCCAGCACGTCATTTGGAGGACTCGATTCTCACTTTTCGGGCAACTGACCACGACCGTTGTCCCAGGTGCAATGTCGACCGACGAGCCACCAAGAGCCCCGGTCTCAGAGGAGACCCCTCTGCTCCGTGATGCTCACCCCGCCCAAGCTGACCGGCCGAATGGGCAGGAACCGCTGACCGAGGAGCGTCCGACAAGAGAACTGATTTTGATACTTGGGAGTATTTGGCTAGGTGTTTTCCTTGCTGCGCTCGGTATGTCTTTCGATACTGTCTGCCATTGGTGTTGGGGGAGTGCTGACTGAATCTCTTTGCAGATACGACCATCGTTGCGACATTATCCGCCCCCATCTCCTCCTCGTTCAACTCGTTCTCACTTCTCTCGTGGCTGGCTACATCTTACCTCATCTCGAATGCCGCCTGCCAGCCCCTAAGTGGTCGATTGACCGACATCTACTCTCGTCGCTGGGGCTTGGTCTTTTCCAATGTTTTCTTCGCCCTGGGCAACTTGATCTGCGGTCTTGCTCAAACGCAATGGGCCATCATCTTGGGTCGCGTCGTTGCGGGTGTTGGAGGCGGTGGTTTGACTGCTATCTCAACCTTTGTTACCTCTGATCTGATTCCATTGCGCAAAAGAGGCGTCTGGCAGGGTATTGGTAACATCTGCTACGGGGCTGGCATGGGTCTGGGCGGGGTATTCGGTGGATGGATTAATGATACGCTGGGATGGCGATGGGCCTTTTTGATCCAGATCCCCTTCTTGGTTGTCTCGTGCGTCTTGGTTATTTTCTTAGTGAATATCCCCGTGAAGGATGCCGATAAGGCGCGTATTAAGCGCGTTGACTTCTTCGGAGCCATTACCTTGGTCCTTACCTTGGTCACACTGCTGCTGGGTCTCAACACCGGCGGGAACCAAGTGCCATGGAGTCACCCAATTGTCCTGGTTTCATTGTCACTATCGGCAGTGTTCCTAGGTATCTTCATCTACGTGGAGGCTTACATTGCGACCGAGCCTGTGATCCCAGTGAGACTCCTTCTGGACCGGACGGTGGCATCCGCCTGCCTGACCAACTGGTTCACGACAATGGCAGTATTTGGACTACTCTTTTATCTCCCAGTCTATTTCCAGGTTCAGGGTCTCTCAGCTACCGCGGCTGGGGCTCGTCTGATTCCGCAAGCCATTGGAACCTCCATTGGGTCGCTGGGAAGTGGCTTCATCATGCGAGGCACGGGTCGCTACAAGATCCTCAACTATGCGGTTATGACTCTGCAGGTCCTTTCGGCAGGCTTGATCTGTACCCTGAAGTTGGATACGCCCGTGTGGCTGCCGTTTGTGTACTTCTTCCTGGGAGGTGTCGCGTATGGAAGCATGTTGACCATTACCTTGGTGGCACTGATTTCAGCCGTGGATCACCAGCACCATGCAGTGGTGACTTCGGCCTCTTATGCATTCCGCAGCACCGGCAGCACCATTGGCATCACCGTTGCCTCAGCCGTGTTCCAAAACACCGTGAAGACTGGCCTGTGGTCTCGATTTGGCGAGCGTGAGCATGCAGCGGAGATCATCTCCCGACTCCGGGACCGCCTGGATGAGATCCGCAAGCTGCCTGAAGACTGGATTCCAGGTGTCTTGGACTCGTATATGGGCTCCTTGCGGGCGGTATTTGTGACGCTACTGGGATTGACTATCTTGGGAGCGGCGGTTAGTATGGCGATGCGAGAGCACAAGCTGCACAACAATCTCTCTCGTCGGTGAGATTATTGCATGTGAAGATAAATTGGGCATGAAGAGTGGAGTATAAAAGGAAGCGGGAGTCATGAATGTCAAGTATATACTCGATAGACTACAATCATGATGGTCATACCTACCTTAACTAGTACCTTACCTTGAGGCCCATCGGAGGAACCCCACATTAGTCAGGAGTCCCACTTTCTTCACCGCCCCGGCCACCGCCCCGCCAATCACGCCGAAGCGCTGCTGCACGGCTGCCCGCTGGTAAGCGGCGACTGGTGCTTTGGCTGCATTTTTTTGGCCTCGATCAATTCTTGGGGCTCTTCATTGGTTCTCTGCAGGCGCCAGTTGAGTTGGACTTGCTGATTGTTGTGCTGGACGTACTTCCTCTTGCTGCACCCCCCTCCGTCTCCTAAACGCTTGGAGCCGAATATACGGAGTCGCGCGCAATATCCGCAGGTTTTTGAGTGGCGAGACGTGGCGACCTGGAACCAGTTTCCCCGGCCCAGACTGACAAAGTACACCGCTCACAGCAGGGAACAAAGCTCGAGTCAGGCAGGTTACACAACGGATCTCTCAGCGGTAGAAAGGTCTAGGTCCTGGCGTCTTGGTGGTGGATACGACTGGAGGAGTTTAAAGACCCGTCACCGCTTCGATTGCCTGATCTTCAACCCAATCCGCTGCTGTCGGATAAGCATTTAAGGCTTAATTGGACTGCTTTGTGACTTGACTACGGGCGCTTGATCGATATTCTACCTTCCTAACGACTCATCCTCTCGCAACCCTTGCCACCCTTCCCCCTTTCGACTGGCGCAATTCCTTATCAGTATACCGAGTATACCGAAGCCGAACTCACGAAGTCATCATCGGCCCGGGCATGGCAGTTGGTTTTTGGCCCAATAGCACCCTCCCGAACAACCCGAAGACCATCATTACGGAGTTGGAGCGGAACAGTGAGATGGAGGTGGATGGCGACGCCGAGGAGACGGTGATCGGCAACAAAGAAGGCTATCGGGTCTGCTCCGACCAGTCCATGCGCGATTTCTCCACGCCGAGTCCACGACGGCGACGCCTGCTCCTTTCGACTGACAGCGCTTTCGCTGACACGGTTCTCCCCTCGCTAGTCAAGAACCCGTTCATCGAGCTGCGCTTGATCACGGACGAATCCTCGGCGCTGCTGGTCGGCACAAACAAAATCCCACATTACACAGACTCGGTCGATAGTACGACCTTTGACAAGAAGACCAGCGCCCGAAAATGGCTCAAGGCGAAAACGGCCGAGCTATGCGAGTGGGCGGATATGCTGCTGGTGGCTCCCATTGACGCGGGCACTTTGGGGTCTATGTTGGCGGGGTTAACCAACACATTGACCCTGGCGCTGTTGAGGGGATGGGTGTCCAGCAAGCCCGTAATTTTTATCCCGGGAATGACTGTTTCAGAATGGGATCATCCACTTAGTGCGCGACAGCTGGAAGAGATCAACCGATTCTGGCCCTGGATCCGGATCGTTCAACCCGTGCTCTGGAAGTCTAACGGACCAGAAGAATTGACGCCACTGCCGTGGGATGGGCTGCAAGATCTGCACAGAAGTCTGGAAAAAGGCTTGAGTTTACCTCCATGGGAGAGACCCTTTTCCCAAAGCTCTTCTAGTGTGAAGGTGACGCCATCATCTGGACTGGGTCCGCCAGCAAAGCCGTCGGGATGTGATACCGCAACGGCACTTCGCCAGCTTCAGACTCATTGGCCAAATCCAGAAACGAGAGTCCGCTCACTTCCCTTTGAGATCTGGCTCAATATATTCGAGGATCAATTAGGGGACTGGGAGATTGCAAAAGCCGTGGGCATCCCAACCAATCTCCCAGTTCCTCAAGAATGGCAGAGCCACCTCTTGAAGATGTCCACGCCGGCGTCTCTTGAATACACGATTCTCCGGGGCTCGTTTGCCGCAATGAAGAAACGCATTGACAGCTTGCCTCGGTGGAAACCATTATCAGATCTTGCCTGTCATCTCATTGTGAAATTCTCCCGTACCGATATCCTCTCCTACCTCACCGAGAATCACCTCGACCTCCTCTGGACTACATCACGCCTTACAAACATTCCCTACCGTGCGTCCGCCATCTATGGCAACCCCACTGTTCTCACCTGGTGGCGTGACGCACCCGCACTTCCTAATAAAGAGTTCGCCGCCGACGCCATGGACGGTGCCTCCCGCGCTGGCTTCACTCACGTTCTAGACTGGTGGCTACATTCAGGTCTCCCGCTCCGGTACAGCGAGCGAGCCCTTGAGTCAGCCAGCGCCGAGGGCCGGGTCGCCGTGTTGGACTGGTGGAAGGCTGCATCAGCGAATGCACCCATTCACAAGCCGATCCCTCTCAAAGTAGGCAAATCCGTCCTACTTGCTGCGCAATCCGGGCGTATCGCCTCCCTGGCCTGGTGGGATGCCTCTGGTATTCCATACAGTCATGCCGAGAACGTCACACGCATTGCCAGTACGCACGGCCATGTACATGTCCTCGATTTCTGGTACCGACTCAAAGGACCGAAGATGATTTTTGACAATCAGGTCCTTGTCGGCCCCACGAAAAATGGTCACGACCACGTTTTGCAATGGTGGAAGGACTGCGGCTTGCGGGTCGAGTTTAAGACCTGCGATATTGAGGAAGCTCTAGAAGATGCAGTTTCCGGTGCGGATGGTCGCGTCCGTCGCTGGTGGGAGTGCAACGGCCTAAACCTTGGCGTTGGCACACGCGAGTGGATGAAGACCAAGGTGCTTTAATTTGCATATAAGCATTTCATTGATTTCGAGGGGTTTACGAGCTCCATCTTGGGGGGTGTTCCATAAAGGCCAGCACCTTTGTCTTGTCTTCATTTGCGATTGCGCTTTACTCTGCTTTCGCTCTACTTTACTCACGACACCAGATGACGATGATCCATAATACCCATTTGCCTTTTTCATCAGTTCTGTCATTTACATGCGCAATCGATTGACCGGTGGCGCCGAAAAAGGGGATTCCATCTTTCTTTCTGCTTGTATCTACCTCCATCTGTGCTGCACATGAATCTGCCAAATCACTCCCACTTCTCCAAGTGTACATGTTTAATCTCTGCACCCTTGATAGCACCTTTGATTTTACCGAATTCCTTAAACGCATCAGACTGGGCAAATCCAAAGTGGTCTTCGACTTTGTTCCACCCGGTGAAGAGCACGAATTCCTCGTCCTCGCCTTCTTTATCGACCCGCCAGCTACCGGCGTAGCTGTAGGGTGCCGTGTAGTCACCTAAACGAGGGGCGCCTGCATTGAAGATCCTCTCGAATTCGGCTTTCTTGCTCGCCTCAACGAAGTATCGGCTTATACCAAGGACGGGTGCATTTAGCGGAATGCTGTGTGAGGACGGCTGTTCCACGAGATGTCAGACCCCTCGGACTCTACCTGGGAAACACAGACAGAAAGTGGGTATAACCCACATCAATATCCAGATGAAACAACCACTCAATATTAATAGCATCCTTGAGTTCAGCCAGTAACCGCTGATTTGGCTCCGAAGTAATCCACTCTCCGAAATGCTCGGCCACAGACGCCCACCCACCGAGAAGATACACCAGTCCCGAGTCTTCGAGCTGATGGAGGAAATGCACTGGGTACTTCGACCATGCTGATTGTTCTTTGATGACGTCCCGGAAACTAGCCTTGGTGGCTGCTGATGGTGTCTGTTCCTTGAGACGGAAGAGAGCGAATTCGGTGATGGGCATGATGGCGGGTGGGAATTGTTAAGGATTGTGATAATTGTGTGTAGAATCTTGGAAGATGATCTCGTTCTCTGACGCTATCTTTATTTATCTCTTTCCATGGAGTTAAATACTCGGAAATATCGCTGTTCCGCGGCCGAATGTTGGGTCCTGTTTGCAAGAATCTTGGCGGAGCCTTGAGGCAACCATTCGTGCGCGTCCCGCTGTAACTAAACAGATGACCCCATTTACCTAAATGGGATACGCAGTACGAGATCTCCATGTGTAGGGCTGTAGGCATCAGGCGACTCGTCATCAAGCACACGGCCCTGCATGTATCGAGGGAAAATTGAATGAGTATTTCACATTTGCTACGTCAGCGGAAAAAGACTCATACTCGAGGTGCTAGACCCGACAAAGTCTTGGCAGTTGAAGTTGTGCCAAGGAGAAAACAGAGCGAAGACAAATTATGACGGTGAAGGTAACAACTGCGCTCGTCAGGTAGAATAGACGATACCGATTAGAAGATTGACGCTTCAGGGCGAGGGCGTGACCAAAGATGGTATGGTATGTTAATATCCAGCTATGCATTGATCCTGTCAAGGATAAAATATAACATCGCGTCAAGTCAACAAAAGAAAAGCATGTCTCATCAACACCCGCACTAAGGAATATCCCATCAAGGCACAGCTAATCTAACAATAAAGTCAAGTTCATGGCAACGCGGCTATAAAATCATCACCTCTCCGATCATGAACTATACTTCCTTCCTGTACGTTCGTCAGTAACTTGTCCAACCTGACTTAAAGAATGCAATGCATACCATGAATATCCAGCTTTCTCAATGCCAGGCGTTTTAATCGCATTGCGATCTCCGAAGGGGTTATCTTCATCGTCATCGTCTTCCTCCTCCTCCTCACTCTCACTTTCAAAGATTTGCCGCCCATGCTGCGAAGACGAAGCAACGGGCAGACTAGGCCTTGGCGGCTTTGGCGGGTTTACCGACAACCCGCTAAAGCTCTGGTTCATTTCAGCTTCGATATCAGCGCGCGACCGCCAGTTGCCCGACAGCACATCGTCGTCACTATCACTGTCGTAATCCACACTCTTATCCAAAACCTCAAAGGCCATCAATGCAGTGACAAGCTCTTCATTGGCATGGATCAATCCGCCAAGGAAATCCTCGCTCTCGATGTATTGGATGTATCGCAGAATTTGGTGACGGAGCTTCTTGCAAGTATCGAATCGGTGGCTACATTCCACATCATCGCTGACGCGAGTGGTCTCGCGGTTGACCAGTTTCAAGGAATTCAGTAGATTCGTACTCTCCACCGAGGCAGAAGCAATCGTCTCCAGAATCTGCGGGCGTTCCCGCTCGAGATTGAAGCTCTTCGAGCTGATTGAGAGCTTCTTGTCCCTCTTCTTCTCCTTTGATTTGGATTTTTGCTTTGGACTGCTGAGTGTTGTCGCTGGTCCATTGCCGGCCGAGATGGTGACAGTATGACCCATGGCTGGTTCGTTGTGAATCGATCCTTCGCGAAGGACCTTGGCCTTGGCCTGTGTGGCTGGTTGCTTGCGCTTTGGAAGTTGCTTGTAAAGCGCCGTAATCTTGGCCATGCCCGGCGTGTCCTTGTATGTGACTGACCATTGTGCAAATAGCTGTTTACACTTTTGCTTCACGAGGGGGTCTGAGACGGAGTCGGTGGCAGCGATGCGCAATCGTTCTAGCAAAGGCTCATCGGCGAATTCGCGCAAGAAACGGTCGCCTGCGTTTTGGATCAAGAAATCGAGGATCGTGAGTGCCCGAAGCTGTCGATGAAGGTTGCCGTATTTCCTGGGGGAGGGGTCAGTCTGCATTTCAAAGGATACTGTTGGTAATGTCCCTACAGCTTCTTGCGCAACGCTCGGCTTGCTTCTGTGGGGCCACTGGCTTGAATGCGAACGACCTCTACCAGATCGACGATGCCGCTCGAGTCTTCGATCTCATATTGTTCGCTGGTCAGGACCTCTATTTGGACCGTCACGGCCGAATAGGGTTTCTATAACGATCAAGGACGTGGTCAGAATGATACTCGGTCACAAGACCCTTATCGAGGGGTATAGGGACTTACCGCGGACTGAAACATCTTGGAATGGAAAAAGACACGTTTCTTAGAATAAGGAGCAATCAGTATGACCCAATATCCCTTCGATTGAAGACAATCTCCTACCCTCGTTCAGGTGTCGTCCAGTACCCCGCGTGTTTAGGGATTCTGCCCTCCCCGGTCGAGCCCCGCACGGCTCGGATGAGTCTGGCGAGTTGCGAGAGATGAGGACCGGCGATGCAAGCACCAAGACTGTGCTTTGGCTGTTGTTGTGCTCTGGATCTCCCCAGTGCCTACCTCCTGTAAGAAGATGAGGCCAGATGACCGCTGGGGATAGAGCAATGGGGTGATTATGTCGCGTGGACTACGGTGACGTCGGAGGCCGCAGGGTTGCCCTCTTAGCGCTCCTCGGCAGGCCGATCGACGGTTGGAGACACTGTGGGTTTCGAGTGGGCTCAAGGAAGACTGCCCGTTAGGCTCGGATGCTTTCGAATCTCTGCAAGGCGTTCGAGGCACCGAAAACTGGAGAAGCACCAGACCTCTGGCCAGTCAGCACAATTGTGTAACAACCAAGAAGACTCCCGAAGAAGTAAATTCCAACTGAACAACACGAAACTTTGCAACGCACAACGTGACTGCGCCGGCCCCAACTGGGACTAGCGCGGGGCGTTTTGTTCCGGAGAACGAGAGACGAGGCTGAAGAAAGTAATCAATACGACAGGCCATTCAACTGGAGAGACACAGAAGAAAGGTCGAACACTGGACATTATCACCATCAAGGCAATTGGCAACCTCGTTCCCAATTGTTGATGCCCCTCGCTCCCTCTCCATCCCCGCCAAAGCTCCGCTTGTTGCGCGTCCTGTCCCACCTCCTCCTCTGGTCCACTCTCATCCTGGCCCTCAGCGTGGCTCTCAAGACCCGCTCCCGTCTCAGTCTCTGGCTCCCTTCCTTCTCATCCTCCCCCTCCCCCTCCTTCTCCAGCTCCAGCTCCCACATCCCAATCATGGCCTACCAACAAGAACGCTACATCGCCGAGCTCGCTGTCCAGCGGGCCACCCTGCTCACCCAGAAGGTCTTCTTCGAAAAGGCCAAGGGCACCGTCTCCAAGGACGACAAATCCCCCGTCACCATTGGCGACTTCGGCGCCCAGGCCCTCATCATTCAGGCTATTCGCAAGAACTTCCCCAACGATGAGATTGTTGCCGAGGAGGAAGCGAGCTCCCTGCGGGAGGACAAGGCCCTGAGCGCCGAGATCTGGCGTCTGGTCAAGGATATCAAGCTGGAGGATGCGGAGAGTGATAAGGTGCTGGGCGGTCCGATCGCCAGCGAGGAGAGCATGTTGGATATCATTGACGAGGGCAAGAGCGCCGGTGGCCCCAAGGGTCGTATCTGGGCCTTGGACCCCATTGACGGTACCAAGGGCTTCCTCCGTGGCGGCCAGTACGCTGTCTGCCTCGGTCTGATCGTTGATGGTGATGTCAAGGTTGGAGCTATTGGTACTCCCAACCTCCCCGTGGACGATGCCGCCACCATTGATGCCGCCACCGGTGCCCAGCAGACCAGCACCTCCGCCAACGGTGTCCTCTTCTCCGCTGTCCAGGGTGAGGGCGCCACCAGCCGCCCCTTGTCCAACGGTACTCTCGCCGAGAGCAAGTCTATTTCCATGCGCCCCGTTCCCGACATCGCCCAGGCCGTCTTCTGCGAGGGTGTCGAGGCTGCCCACTCTGCCCAGGGTGACAACGCCGCCGTCGCTGAGCGTCTCGGTATCACCGCCCCCAGCGTCCGTCTGGACTCGCAGGCCAAATACTGCTCCATTGCCCGCGGTGCTGGTGACATCTACCTGCGCCTCCCCGTCAAGAAGGATTACCAGGAGAAGATCTGGGACCACGCGGCTGGCGACATCATTGTCCGTGAGGCCGGTGGCCAGGTGACCGATATCTACGGCAAGCGCCTGAACTTCAGCAAGGGCCGGACCCTGGCTGCGAACAAGGGTGTCGTTGCTGCCCCCAAGGCCCTGCAGGACCAGGTCATCGATGCAGTGAAGGTCGTCCTTAAGCTGTAAGTTGGTTGTGCGTTGCTACTGGCTAGGGTCACGCTTGATGCGTCCAAAGTATATTTGTGACACCACGTGGAGGATATAAAAAACGGGGAAAAGGAAAGAGCAGTGCTATTGAAAAAGTACATCGTACATATATGATGACAGAGATAGAGTATAAAATAAGAATACACGGAACCCAAGATGCAATGTTCCAGAAAATAAACACGATACGAGCGCCCACCCTCTATTTAATCTTCTTCGCCTTGAGCTTGATAGTCTCGCCATTGACGAAGATACCCTTGCCCTTGTACGGCTCCGGCCGTCTCCATTCACGGATCTCGGCAGCAAACTGCGTCACCTTGCGCTTGTCGACGCCCTCCAGGAGGATGCGAGTAGGCTGGGGTGTGCTGGCCTTGATGCCCTCGGGGACACCAAGCTCAATGGGGTGAGAGAAGCCGACCTTCAGGGAAACGAATTGTTGGCCGGGATAGGAGGCAGTCACGGTGGTAGCCTTGGACTCGATGGTGGCCCTGTAACCGACACCGACCATGCTGAGAATGCAGATGTGGCCTTCTGAAACGCCGATGATGTGATTCTGGAGGAGTGCGCGCGCCGTACCTGAACAATTGAATCGATTGGTTAGTCCCTGACCACGGCGCGTCTCGCGAATCGGACCACAATACGCACCCCACATCGCCCGCTGATGAGGCTGCTCCGAGTCCGCAACAGACAAGGTAGCCTTTGAGTTGGCAGCATCGTAGTTGACATCCAAGAAAGAGGGAATAGTAAGCGACATCTCGCCTGCAATAGAAGTTAAAAAGGTTAGCTGAGCTCCCAACATCAGTTCATCCACCCCCAGCAAAAGCACCTCGCATACCCTTAGGACCCTTAATATGGGCCGTAAACTTGGGAACATCCTTCCCACGAGTGCGAGTAGTATTCTTGGGAATATCAACCAAGCTCAATGTCACCTCGGGGGGAACGGAGATGGCGGCGCCGCCGACTCGGGATTGCATCGGGGATGTAGTCGAGAAGCATTGTGTGCGGGATGGGGAGAAGGCGGGGGTGAGGAAGAGAGGTAATGAGCCGCGCTGGAAGGGCTCTCGGAGGAGCTGCCGCGCGCAGCGTTGGGGTAGACACGACATGGTGGCTGGTGATGTTTGGTTGACTTCGTTGCCAACTCGATGATTTTGTCGGAGTAAATTGCGGGTTAATATTCACGTGACTTTATCACCACGGCATGAGCGGAGCCTGAAGATTATGGTGTCGATGAGCACGGCTAAACAAGCCGCAGTATGTATAAGTGTTCGACCAATATTTCAGAGATTTCTGAAACAGGGGGTTCACTGGAAACTATTGATTTTGAAGTGGGTATTTGACTGGAATTTTTAAATAAGACATGACCCACGAGGGTCTAATCTACCTTAAAGAATGATTCGAAGACCTTCTCAATCAATACTTGTGGATTGCACCATATATCTGGAGCACAGGGGCTAGAAATAGGGAGGTCATTACAGTCCTTGCGGCGAGGCGAGCGGTTTTTTCTTTTTTCTTTTTTTTTTTTGAAGAGCTGGCTGGGGTTGTATTCGAGAGTCGAGCGAACGATCTGCATAAGCTTGTATCTCGCGAGAAGATGTCTGACGACAGTCAAAGAGTCGGGCACGGACGTAATCATCAAAGTGGTATGAGAATAAGACTGCTGCGTAAGGTTTCTAGATCATAGATTAATGAGACATTGTACAAACATACATGAGATTGCATTGAATCGCCTTTGCAAGACATGAAACTCATTGATATCATTAAATTGGCGTGGATCTCGCCATCTCTTTATATCAACGCTATCGATACTATTTAACCACAACATACAGTCGTCTCTTGCACGCCTTTGATATCTTCTAGTCCTTCAGGAGCTCCAACTGTAACGACCATCCAATCACAAAGAAACTTTCCCAACCCGGCACCAATAAAGATGCAAATAATCACATACACATTGAAATACATCGCCAACAACATAACAATATAAGCACCACCAAATGTCAACGCATGTATAACAGCCCGAGCTAACTGCTGCAAAGGTGTCACTCGAAACTTGAGACCAAGACCCACTGACTCGGTCCTGGTCACGCAATTGTCCTTCTTGGCAGCGAGTGCGGCGGCTTGGCGCTGGAATTGGTGGGTCAAGAAAGTGTCGTATTCCTTGCCAAGTCGACGAAGGGCCTCGACGAGGATGACGAGCAGAATAATCCCGATACAGGTGGCGGCGAACATGCCATTGTTTTTGATCTGCCATCCCGTAGATAGAAAACATGCGTCTATTGTATACCAGTTGAATAGCATCTGGATAGCAGTGTTAGCGGGGCTTCAGGCCAAGCGATCCAGCCTTGGCACCTACTGAGATTTTACACTCGGTGTCGTCGCTGCTTGAGCTCATGTTCATGCCTTGCATGTTGATGATGGGGTGCTCAGAGCACTGGCCGGTATTGGGGAGCCTGTTATAGATGTGGGTTGGGATGATCTACTTTCGAGACGCGACCATGGCGGTCTTATAGATCTCAGCGGTAGAGTGTCGGAACCACATCGAGGGGATTGCCCCAAGTGGAGCAAATCTACATGGACCTGCTGAAATCTGCTCAATTGCTCTCAAAATGTGGCTTGCGATAGGGTGAGTCTTGTGGGAGAGGTAATGTTCACGGCCTAGCTCTAATCCCCACTTATGTATATCCTAAACATCCTGATCGTATTACTCCTCCTCTTCTTCTTCTTCTTCTTCTTCTTCCTCCTCCTCCTCCTGGAGTCACGACATGCGATATCTCACTCAACCTTGTTCTTTCCAACGCTGGCCGAGTTTCCATTCCATTCATGATCTCTTCATGGGCATTGTATCTATCACAACCTCGTATTCTGCAAAGGTCTTCCTACATTCGATCTGAATAAGTCTGTGGAAGGCAATATGTCCATCTCCAAATTGGATACTCGCGCGCACATCCAGAATTTAACCGCTGCAAAGACGTTGGAGCCGCACTGGGGCTACGCTGATCGTGCTATACCTTGCACAAATGACGCTGGATCATGCGCCTATCTAGATGTTGTCTACTCGGCCCATGACAGGGGGATGCTGTATACAGGCATCCTCTGGTCGACTTTCGGAGCCATTCTTTTCGTTTGGGTCATCTTGAGGCATTTCAACGAGCCAACTACATTCCCATCCTTGGTTGTGCCACGTTCGGTGGGATTTCGCAAACTTCGGGTCTCTCTTGCGGTGTTCAGCCGTACATATCTCCTCCCCGATGCTGTACGCATGCTCTTCGGCCGGACCACTCGTCTACAAGTCCTCGTTCTTACAGCCCTAGCGGGTTATCTCCTCATATTCAGCTTTGTGGGCATCACCTATAACACGTGGATCACTCCTGTGTCGGGTATGGACGGTGTCTATAATACTCGGTCTAGCATCGGCCCATGGTCAGATCGTATCGGCGTTCTTGCATACGCACTCACTCCTCTATCTGTGATGCTGAGCAGTCGAGAGTCCTTTCTGTACCTAATCACAGGGCTACCTTACCAAACATTCAACTTCCTGCATCGCTGGCTGGGTTACATCATTTTTGTACAGAGCTCTCTGCACACAATTGGTTGGTGTATAGTCGAGTTGAGATTGTACCAACCACAGCCATCTGTGGGCGTTGAGTGGGTGACACAAATATACATGGTCTGGGGCATTGTCGCCATGATTATACTGCTCTTGATCTTTCTCCTGAGCACCCCGTGGGGTATCAGGCTTACTGGATACGAGACCTTCCGCAAACTGCACTATGTTCTTGCCATGCTTTATATCGGTGCCTGTTGGGGTCATTGGGCGCAACTGAAATGTTTCTTGCTACCATCTCTCATATTTTGGTTCATGGACCGAGGAGCTCGTTTCATCCGCACTGCTATCCTGCATTATCACCCAAGTGAAGAGTGCGGAATGTTAGGCTTCAAATCCATCGAAGCCGCCATCACGCGTTTTCCAGACGAGGAACACGGCGACGTGATTCGCCTAGATATGAAGAATGTCCAAGAAGCTTGGAACATCGGGCAGCACTATTACTTATGTTTCCCACAAGGTAGTGTGTGGCAATCACATCCATTCACACCCCTCAATGCACCCGAGATTATCAAGGGTCAGGTCAAACATTCATACATACTCCGCGTTAAGAGAGGCGAGACAAGAAAGGTTGCGGATCTTGCCTCGAATGGCACCTCGACCACGCATGTCATCTTGACTGGTGCTTATGGTGAATCAATCACCAAAGAATTAGCACCAAATACAAATATCATTTGCATCGCAGGAGGGACAGGAATCACATATGTGCTCCCCGTACTGCTCAGTCTCGCCCAACAGCCCTCTTCATCAGATCGAACAATTGATCTGGTCTGGGCAATCAAACATACAAGCAACGTGCAATGGGTCCGCCAAGAACTGGACATCCTTCGAAAGGCTCGCAAGGCGATGAATCTGAAAATACGCATCTTCGTTACCAGAGAGGCGAGTAGCCCAACCACCTCGAAGGAAAGCGTTATGCCAGGCAATAATAGCGATGAAAAGGCAATGCAGGCCTCTCAACAATCACCGTCTGCGGTCGACCTTTGCGACTGCGATTTTGATGTCCCGATGAAGCTTGGTGGCGGATTGACAGACAGCAGCAGGCATCCTGATTTACAGAAGCTGATCAATGAGTTTCTGAATAACATAATAGCAGGCCCAACTACCATATTCGCCAGCGGGCCTGGCGGTATGTTGAGTGATCTGCGAGATATTGTTGCTTCTTGCAACTCCGCATCCAAAGTGTGGAAGGGACAGGAAAAGTTCGATGTCAGACTGGTTTATGACGATCGCCTTGAGTGGTAGACAATGTACAAATATGATGATCAAGATGCCTTCCATTTTGTTTGCATCACCTGTAGTGTAGAGTATCGCTTTCATCCGGTCAACTTCGGATTAGACGAATGGACCAGCTCACTGGTTGTTTGCCCATGTCCTCATTAGAGTGCAGACTGAGGACTTCCTCAGATGATACGCTCCTCTTTAAAGGCCGACTGCAGGAAAGAACTCTAGACACGATACCTATATCTTGATTTACCTCCAGAGACAACTTTCCGGGAGGGAACTAGCCTCGGGGAGAGGCATTGGCAATTTCTCAGGGTGTCCACGACAGATCACCTGGTTTCGCCCTGCCTGACTCAGGACTCTTCCTACTCACAACCCCATATTAACATTTGCCCTCTTCTCCTCGACATCCCTTTCCCCTGAAATCATTACCTCGCAGGTAATTGGCATTATTGCAGATGTGAGCGGTCCACACGAATCGCTGAAGCCTGGAGAGTGGGAAACGACACGGAGGAAAGGAGAATATGCTCAACATGTGGTGGATGACTTCGCGTCTGCTGGTTGGCTGCGTCTGCGCTGCTCTGACCTGCAGTCTGGTGAGCTCAACTGAGGTTGGACCATCTGATTACGGTATGTGGTTGTGAAAAAGCATATGATTGCTCTTCGCTAACAGAGCCAGACAACCCCCGCCTTCCTACCGATACGACACACGGCAGCAATGCTGTCACATACCTGACCTCCAATTCTCGACAACAAGAATCAATCTTCACAGAGGCAGTCCAGCTCTTAGAATCCATGAACACAACTCCGTCCTGCAATCGGGTCGCTGCAACCAGACTAGTCACCTCATGTCAAGACCTCGGCGGCAAAGGCAACACAGATCCAGGTACGAATCAAGTTCTCGATGTGATTCGATCTATCTACGCCGCTCGATTGGCGATATGTGAGCTGGAGGGCGCAGGCGCCGTTGTTCCTCAGTCATGCATTCCGGTCACGGTCCCGCTTGCCTCGCCGTCAAGTTCGGGCTTCGTATTCTTTCGGAGATTCAAATCTATGGACTGCGACGAAACGATACTACCGAAGAAAGACTTGGAGCAGTGTCTGAGAAGTCTCGAATCGAGGCCTCAATGGTGGACTTCCTACAGCAACAACAGACAGAATGCCATAATCATCTGCCAGGCATCTCGGATCGAGGCTGAGAAGGAGGAGATGCTGGGCCTTTATCAATCTCTCGCTAAAAGCACTGTGAAGCTTGACGAGAGTCTCCAGGAAGCTCTACGCCAGGCTGCAGAAACTTCGGCAGAACATCAAGCATTTCTTCGGGTAGTCCAAGCGCTGCAGGAAAGACTGTATAGTGAGCTGGAAGCGAGGGGGTCACTCCTCAGTGATCTTTTCAAGAAGTTCCTCGGTGATATCGAAGCAGGCTTCGACACATTGGCCACGGCAATCACCTCGGCATTGAGCAAGGTGCAAACGGAGACTTCACTTCTCAACAAGGTCTAAGTCATCCAGCTTGCCTATTACTTGAGACAGATACTAACCAAAAATACAGAGTATACAAAACACGACTTCGGAAGTTGATGTCCTGCAGCGGGTCTTGCAGGCCACTCATCAAGACACACTTGCTCGAAGTCACCAAGCACTACAGCTACAGCAGGAAAATTCACTCGTAGCAAAGGAGCTTGCTTCGGATCTTCACTCCTCACTACGCTCCCTAGCGGAGACAGATGTCACTCAGCTTTCACAACAAATGACCAACATTGACGTTGCCTTGGTATGTTCAATTCCATGCACTTTCTTGAACCCCTACTGACAATATTAGGAATGGCTTATAAGCCGGCTCATGGTTGCCCTTGAGCAAGAGAGCAAGTTGGCCCAGGTAAGTGACCCCAAAACCGCCATACTTAAATCACTGCTAATCTCAACAGCGGCTCCAAGCCATGGATGCGTCAATGAATCAGGCTCAAGTGAAAGCAAATGAGCTCCAGAAAGCCCAACGCCTCCAGGCCGATACCTTAGCCATTCAACAACAAGCTCAGGAGGCCATCAGATTAAATACCCAGGTATCACAAGCTCTGCTGGACAGGGCCACCACTACAGCCGCCAACCTACATACTATAATCGACGAGGCGGCAATCAAGTTCAAGCAAACCCCGGGCTTGCACCAAGGGGGTCTTTCCATCTGGACCGTGTGTCTGATGCTTCTCATTTTGATCGGTGCGCAGAATTTCAAAGCTGCTTTTGGCCTGACGTTTTTCATTTTCGGTACGTTTGGAGAATTGTTGAGGATTGTGACGGCGGCTAATGCTTGGAGTTTAGGGCACTTAATTGCGACGACAGTCTATCCTTTTTTCAAGCTATATGGTACTTCAGTGATGGCTATTTAAGCCTTGCTTTCTGGATGCAGCTTCGTTTTAATTATAGCATTTCTAATGCCTGAGATGCTTCAATTCAATATTCAATTAACCTACGCCCATGTTGAGATTACCCGTAATATGCTGGCTACAATTCTGTCAGCAAACTTTTAATTAATCCACGTCTTCCTTCAATACACCTTCGTCAACATACAGCAGGACAATACTAATGGCTTCCAGTAAAGCATTGACCGTAAAAAGTCACTTCCATTCCTGCAGGGTATCATAATCTTCAGATCAACAACAACACACGCTGCTCTACTCATCACCTCCAGACGAGTCACCATCTCCGTCAACCATTGTAACATCCCCATTGCCAGCGACACCTGCAGCTGCAACCTTCTGCTCGCGAGCCTTTTGCCGACGCTTAATCTTGCGCTCCCGATTCTTGCGGTTTTTCTTTTCAGCCTCCGACTCCTTGGCAGCCACAGCAGCAGCAACCTTCTTCCGCAGTTGAACGCGGCGCTTCTTGCCAGGCTTCTTCCTCGTCGTCGGGGACTTGGATACAGGTACGCCCTCGACCACGTAGACTGGGAGGGTATCCTTCGAAGCAGGTGGTAGCTTAGTCTGGTGGCGCTTGAGATGGATGACCCGCCAAGGTAGATCACAGCCCGGCTATAGAGATTTGTTAGTGATCAATGCAAAAACTGCGCGTGTATGAAGGAGATAGCATACCCATGGTTGAGACTTAGCCCAGGTTGTAATATGCTCCCCAGTGACAGCCATATCCTCAAATTGCCGTCTTTGCTCAGCTATCGTCTTTTTAACGATATCATTCTCTTCTAGTCCAAAGAGAGTAGGTGTTGAGAAGTAGAACCGCCATCCACGGAAGGCCTTGACGAATCGGCCTTCCGAAGGGTCTCCTGATGGACTAGGAGACCGCAATCGAATGCGCAGCTTTTGTGTCCCTGCAGTAGTATCCTTGGATTCAGTCCCCGAAGACTTATCCCCTTTTGTAGTCGCATTGTCTCTATCTCCTGTTCCTTGCCCCTTTGGCGTAGCAGCTTTCGGTTTTGTGGGCGCGCTGAATAGGCGGAACTCGAATTCCTGCTCCTCCTCCTCCTGGTCGTTGTTCCCATCTGCAGGCTGCGTTGCCGCATTTTGATCTCCTTCAGTAGCTGTATTCACTTCGATCAATCCATCCAGATCTAGGAGCTTGCCCAGTCGGGTGTGTGCATCCTGGAGGTCAGCCTCATCAACAGGCGACGATTCACGAGAAGAGGCGGGCGATTGAACTTCGTCACGGCGGACCCTGGATATCACAGTCAGCATAGCTATGTAAAGAGAGAGAATGAAGCTACTCACCGTTTGGCATTAGGTAGATCGAACATGATGCGCAGACGCAAGAGAGTTTCCGTCACTCAACAGAGGTTACACAACGGAAGACCAAGAAGCGACGCCAAAAATTGCAGCTGATAATGCAACGCTCCGGCCACGCACTTTCTTATCGCATGACGCCCAGCGCACGGACTCCCAAACCCCCAGCCTTCAGCAATTGGGCCTTGCCAACATCGAAACTTTCTCGAAACAAATCCTCACCCTTCCGGAGTTACATTCCCTCGATCTCACAGATCTGCGCCATTTCTGTCTTCTGCATCTTGCCCACGTTCCTTACTCCACCTACAAAATCCCTCGTCGCGACTGACCGCACCCACGTCTCCCCGTCCGAGGGGGAAAGGGTTCCACCGCTCCATCAACGATTGGGGTGATTAATGCCTCGTGCCTGCGCCATCGTGCCCCTCCGAGTTGAGATTTGAGAAAGGCGCATCCAGTATAAATGGGTATCTGTGCTTCGTGCCTGGGCGGCAATCGCCAGGAGTCCCCCGAGGTGAGTTCTGCGCAGTGTTGATGTTGCCGTGGATATCGTCATGTTCAGCGCGCATTACCTCGGTTTGATGAGGGAGGCATGGAAATCCTGTCGAAGAGAGCACTGTGCTGACAAGTATTTCTTGAAGCCGGAATCTTCGCGCCTGTTGGATGAAGACCCCTATCAGGCGGGCTACAATTATGGCTCGCTTCATACCCAGCAGGCCAACCAGCCGGATCCGGAATATGTGAGGCGTGAGCGGGAGGCTTTGGATGCGATCTGCCAGCGTACTTCAGAGTGAGTATACCCGTATACCTGGAGAACATTCGTATACAGATCTCCAGTGTTCCATGCTCAGTTTCTTGGAGGTCAAGCTTGCTAACCATTCCCCTCCTCCAGCTCCGTCATTGATATCTGGTCGCTCCAACCACAACCACACCTCCAGCCCCAAGCCACTCTCCCGGGCCCAATCTCTGCCTCAAACTCTCCCACCCCGTCTCGCGAGAACGCAGTCCTCACAGTCACTAGCACCGACAAGGACACCAGCCGACCTACCTCAGGCAACACCGCCCCAAAGCACTGGGGCGAGGTGGTAGTCAACGCCAACAAAAAGCGCTCTCGCCAAGACCTCAAGGACAACGGAAATGCAACCCGCGATGTCTTTGGTGTTCTCAAGGTCACCTAGGCTTGTCCAATATTTCCATTTGACCGGCTAGCTCCTCTTCTTGCATGATCATGATATCAACGACCAGCACCCGAAGAGGACGGGGAAGATGACGCGTATGGCAACGGGTAAAATCCGCATATCTTTTCATGAGACTTTCGAAGTCTGCAGCACACTAACACTGCATGTATTTTCTTACACTCCTTGTTCCTAGTTCTTTTCCCCTTGTTTTGCATGGATCGCAGGCCGACTGTTCTTATTCACATACATAGCCACACTCACTCTGACTTGCCCCTGTTTCCATTGTCCTGTTAATACCCACGCTGCAAGATGTTTCTATCAACCGATCTGATTATCTCACTTCTGTTTTCCTTTCCTTTCTTGATGTAATGGAATTCTGCGGTCGAGTCTTGGCGCTGGATGGACTCTCCGTCGACTTTTGAATATTGTGCCGGGCTGTTGATTATCCGGGTATGACTTCTTGATCTTGTCAATTTGGCAATTCTGTTCTTCGATATGTAGATTCGCCAATTGAACAAACTGACCTGGGAAATACATCTGTCTTATGACTGAACCGGCCCACTCTGACTGGCGAGAGTATGCTGCCAATCTGCCGTCCTTATTAAGATACTCGCATACTATTAGAATAGTCTACGTGAGCAAAGGGTTGATATACTTGATGAATTTATCCAAGGACCTCATCGAGGCGAACAGAAAATAAAAAGGCTCAGTACTGCTCCGATAGGCCGTGAGAAATTGTGCTTCTGCCTGTACTACCCTTGACTCCATCGACGACCATAGCAAATGCTCAAGTGATCCACAGAAGGAGGAATAATAGAGAAAAAAAAACTCCACAATGAACAAAACGCCCGCTGGTCCTGTTCCAATGACATGAAATCAAAATATAGAAGAGTTGAGGATGCAATATGTTCGAACAGATCCGATGCTGGACTGAGGCGGTGGCGGGTACCAATGCAACCGGTTGGGTTGATCAGACATCGTCCATGGCGCCGGCGGGCTCTTCGCCGCCAGATTCATAGCTACCGGCGGAGCTGAGCTCGTCTTCGGACTCAGTGTCCTCGCCCGCCTCGTCCACGGCCTCTTTACTTGCGTACTTTGCTACGTATTCTGTGCAGGGGTGTTAATATGGGGTAGTGGGGGGCAGAGAGGATGGACCTCCGTACCTTTGACCTTTGCCTCGTACCCCTTGGGCTCTCGCATCATTAGTGCTGCGGCCTCGCCGTTGAGAGGGTCCGAGGGGTTGGGGTAACGGAGTAGTTGGGGTAAGAAAACTTCGAAAATGTTGATCATGTCGTACATTGGCGACCACGTTTGGTTGATCACGTCGAGGCAGACGGATCCCGAGCTGAGGGAATCCCCAGTCAATATTCGTAGTCACATATCATGTATAGAAAGAGCCGATCAACAACTCACAGTTCGTCAATGTTGGGGTGGAAGATCCGGTTCACAAATCCAATGCTGGGACTCTTGTAGGGGTACTGGTCGGGCAATTCGACGTGGATCTTCCAGTGGCCACCGGCGAAGGGTGCTGAAGATTTATCAGCCATCGTGTGACCATCAGTTGTCATGGGAAAGGTTGCACGTACTCTCCTCCGGGCCCTTGAAGCGGACGTAGAATTCTTGCCTGCATGGAATTGTTAGAAACATTCCCGATGGCTAGTCCAGGAAGACGGGCCCATACACTAAGCCCAGATTAGCATTTGCTTGTATAGTTCGGGGAGCGTGAAAAGAAACCCACTGTTGTCATTGACCAAGGTCACCTCGTAGTCACTCATCAGCCTATCATACTCGATACTCATCAGCTAAATCTCGACGCAAGGGCAAGTCTGGTATTCGATTGATCGCGTGCCCGGCGGGGTGGCTAGCTCGGGGGAGGGGAATCGGCAGGCATACATCCTGAGTCAAAGTTAGTAACTTTTGTGAATTTGCAAACTGCAAGAAGCCGGGACTTGTTTTCCATACTTCATGACCTGTTGGTGCAAACAGAAGCGCAGATTAGCATATGCGGGGACCCTGAGCGCCTTATCACTCTTCTTCCTGAGGGGAAACTCACATCGGTCTCGATTCTTCGCTTGGGGCTGCTCATGATTGCGGAGTAGAACCTATTTGAGGTCCCAGTATAACGATTTGGAAGACGCGCGAGTTGTTCCAAGCTCGAGAGCAGTTGGTTCGGGTTAGCGTAATGAGGTCACTGGGGCAAGATAGATTACCCCCGAAGGCGAGAGCGGGGAAGCAACGGGCGGGGCAGATAGGCGAGGAAAGGCAAGTGAAGAACTAGTCCGGATACTAGCTCAGTAAACACACAGAGAGAAAGCTAAGGGTAAGAGATCTGGAGCAACAAACAAAATGAAATGACAGGAGGAGGAAAGAAGAAAGAAGAGGGGGAGGCCCATAAGGTTGGGAGGGGATCATGATTGATGGCTGGATGACTCAGCGGTATCAGGCGCCGGGCAACCTTCATCCCGTGACAGGAAATGCCAAGAACTCTCTGGCCACGGCCGGAATAACGATTTTGAGTGTTTAGGTATGAACAATGAATCCGAATACGATTATTATAATAGTATCATCTGCCCTTCCAGCCTGTCTATGCCATACGACTGCTCTGAATACCTCGTTGGTGACCTTGATGCTGCACCAATACCAGACGTCATGACCAAGCTACTGGTGCGGTTGAAGGTATAATTTGCCTGAGTACTGGCATTTTTCTCAATCATTGAGCGCCACTCTGGCTTGGCTCTTCAACTACTTAAACCTCCCACAATGGAGGAAAGAAGAAGAAACAGCGGATAGACTAGAGGGTTTCTTCATTTTCACTTATAGTCTTGTACTACTACTGCCTCTTATTTTCTGGACATATGTAGCTGGTAGAAACCCCGTACATAGTACCGGCGGTGGGTACTGGATCTTTTAAGCTCCGTCACCAACGCAAGACAGTCATGGTTCTTCCTCATCATCTTTCCCAACAACAATCCAATCTCCATCCACACTCCCTACACCGTGTCGACTCTGATCTCAAAAGTGCCGATCCTCGGGGTCCACTTTGCACCTCCTCTGTATCATGGATCCATCATCACCATCCTCGCGCTCCTCGCGCGACTCCCCCACCAATAATCCGCCTGGGTCTACCACCCTTGGTTATCATCCCAGCCCAGGCCGACAAGGAGCCCAGTCAGAGTCGGCATCGCCCAAGATGGCAGATACACCCATTCCTGACGATGAGCATGGTGCCGACCTCCCCATGAACATGACCGCGTCGGTCATGCTGACGGGTCTACCCCGCGATGCGCATCAGGCACTCGCCGACGTAGAAGCTATCGATGCTGGTAAAGGTAGGCGACCGAATCTATTGGTGATGCCTTCTAAAATTCTCTCTCATCTACGACCTCGTCTTTGTTTATTTAAGAGATTGCTGGAGTTCTGGACCACCATGCTTGGCCATTTTGATGATACGAGATAGCTAACGGAGCTCTCCAGTGACTGTCCGCTTCCAGCCGCTACCATCGGCCCCTATTCTCAAGAACCGGGTCTTTAAGATCAGCGCATCACAAAAGTTCGAAACTGTTGTCAAGTTTCTCCGCAAAAAGCTGGACTGCAAAGATACAGACTCGGTCTTTTGCTATGTCAATAGTGTGTTTGCGCCCGGCCTGGATGAAGGTGTTGGTGGACTCTGGCGGGTATGTTTACTGTTGCTTCTTGCGGCATGCAAGCATCTACTCATTCAACTCACTTGCTTTTCAGTGCTTCAAAACAGATGATCAATTGATTGTCGCTTACTCGATGACGCCGGCGTTCGGCTGAGCAGCAGGTCAGCCACGCTAGCCTGCCGACAGCGCGAACGAATGAATGAGCCTATGTACAGCTGAATGATTGACACAAAAAAGGACCAAGCAGAAATTGGACATGCAAATGATGAAAAGGTGGGCATTATACAATATCTTTTCGTTATTTCCGATACATCTCGTCGACCGTCTTCTCGAACTTGGCAAGCTCCTCCTTCGAGATAGGATAGGTGTATTCCGGCGATGGGAATGCTCGACTCTTGACTTCTTCGCGGTACTGAATAATGCCGCGGGTCGCTTCACCCCAGACATCCGCATACTTCTTGACGAACTTGGGAATAAACCGCCCAGGCTGGAAGTTGCCCAACATGTCAACTTGCACGAGTACCTGTCCCGAGCAGCCGTTACCAGCGCCAATTCCAATCGAGGGGACTGTTAGCTTCGATGTGATCAGAGCGGCGACCTCTGGAGGCATCGCCTCGAAGACAAGCATGAACACGCCAGCGTCTTGCAATGCCAGCGCGTCTCGCAGCAGCTGTATCGCACTGGCGGATGTTTTTCCCTGGACTCGGAACCCACCGAGAGCATTCTGTCTTTGCGGTGTGAGGCCGATGTGACCAACGACGGGGATACCGGCCTGAGTGATTCGCTTGATTGTTGGGGCCAATTCCTCGCCTCCCTCGATTTTGACGCCATGCACGTGGCCTTCTTTGATGAAACGCAGAGACGACGCGACTGCTTGCGCGGGAGATATCTCATATGAACCCATGGGCAGATCTCCCACCTGTGCGCTTGTCAATTAGCCTCAGACCTGGATATCCAAATAGGCGGGCAACTTACGAGGAAGGCATGCTTCGCGCCCCGGGCCACGCTCCGACAATGAAGCAGCATCTCCTCTATTATGACCTCTGTTGTGTTCTCCAGCCCCATCGCTACCATCCCCAAACTATCTCCTACCAGAACCATGTCCATCCCCGACTCATCCGCGGCACGGGCACTGGGGAAATCGTGGGCAGTGATCATGGCAATGGGCTCCCCCTTCTTGTAGAGATTGCGCAGCGTGTGCATGGTGACCTTCTTGCGCGCATTGGGTGTATTGGATGAGGGTTCGGGTGAGTGATAGGAGCTGTGTCGGGTCTGGGTATGCGAAGTGAGTGGGGAGCGCGAGGCGGAAGACAGGGATGGAGATTGTCGGTTGAGGAGGGATTGGTGAAGACGGCAAGGCGCAACGCGAAGGGCAGGCGAGGCAGTCAAGACGGCCCGAGAGAGCGGCCGCAAGGCAGCTCCTGGCGCGGCCATTGCGATGAGGGGGTTATCAAAGGATGTCGACGCAGCACGACCAACGAATGGACCGAGTCAAAACCCCGAGCTCAGGTTCCAAGACAACTGTATCCAAACTGACCCCGGTCCAGAGATCCAATCTGCCAGGGCTATCCTCAGTGCAAGGGCGATTGGGCGAATGTGCTGCACAATGGCGCGGCAATGACCTCACCTAGTCTGTAGAATTCCGAGGCAAATCGGCTTACCCCACAAGACAGGATAGACGTTGGAATGATAAGAAAAGTAATTCTGAAAGAGTAGCAACACGCGACAATTATACCAGCGTTCAAAAGAATCTCTCCATCTGTCCGGAGATACGTGCTGGTATATGCGGCGTAGATGGGAGCATCTCCAGGAAAAAAAGCGGGCGATGAGGAAACTCGGATAGGTCACAGGCGCCGATACTGCCGCTGCGGCTGTGACGGAAGGAATGCCGGCTCGGTTGTCCACGGTGCTCACCAGCTACTTACATCAGGACTGGTATGCATCGCTTGAAGATCGGCTTTATGCATGTTGAGAATGGGATTTTCCCCGCATTATCGATACCGAAAGACAACCAACTAAAGCATCTTCTCAGTCCGTCTGACTACAATCTATTACCCCGCCATGTTATTCTATTGCCAGTTCCTCGGTGTAATTTACAGCTTTACAGCTGATGAGCCAATCCCGCCCGAGGATCGAGGGGGTCACCGCCTCGAGCTTACGCCGAGGCACCTACCCTTTTGGGACTAGGGCGGGGCAACTTTGTATAGAGGCATTCAGCATGCTACGAAGTACTGCGTATACTTGGACGTGAATGTTGTTGTTGGAGGCCGGACGAAAGGATGTCATAAATTCAGCAGGTGGCATCTCTCAACACGAATACGGGTGGTTGTCATACTCTCTGAGAGCTCATAGGCAGCATCGTTGTGATCATTATGCCGAACTCTCCAAAACAGAAGGAGGGGTGGAGGAAAAAGATGAACCATATCGCAAGTACTCCATTAAGTTGGTACCTCTTTCATGTGCGTGTTATATACATATGTCTCTTAAAGTTATCTTAGTCCGGGAATTTTATATAACGCATCAACGATCCAGATTCGACGTTGCCAAATCTGCATATATTATGGACATCTCGGTTGAGCATCTATGTACGATCTAGGTATACACCATGAGCTACACATTGCCATCATAAGGTTAACAGTGGTCTCATTGATTTGTATTATCAATGTCTTACATGCACGCACCCCCCAGCACCGAAGATTTGTGGTTCCAGCGACATTCCAGAAAGCAACCTTGAGAGAAAATTTTGTTTACTACATATAGCACTGCGTCAGCTATCTGCATTCAAAGACTTCCACGATGCAGCCCCAGAATTCCCTTAATTCAGCTACCGTCCCACCGTGGGGGCTAGAACATATCTAAATACCAGAATAGTTCAAGCGTCTTGTGGGAGACAACAAAATCATAGCTGACTGGTGGCGTCTCTACAGTGCCCACAGAGTAATTGTTCAATTGGGTGTCTATACTAACCGTGTTAGACCTTAGCTGTTCCGTTAAATCGGGGTGATGAACAATCAACAAATGCCAATTGCTAGGCTTTCAGACGTTTCAAGCGGGTATACATCGCCATCTTTCGCTAGCGGCAGGATCTCCACTTGAACAATTACGCTGCAGGCACTGTATTGGGTCAGCTTACTCCTGCCTTCCAAGGTTATTATTCTTTTACTGTAATGTTTGACACATATATAACAACTTTCCACCAGAAAACCCAGAGGTCACTGTATCATCCTTAACGATGACTTTGATTCTCTCCAGCAGTTAACGCCCTAAGCTGAATCCTTGCCATAATGGAGGGCATCCAGTTTCAAGGTAATTTGCTTGATCCAAGACAGCATAGCAAAAGCTCACACAAACTCTTCTCTAGATTCTCTCGCAGTAAATGCCATTACTCTTGAATGGGCTGACAGCATCGACAAAAAGGTATGTCAAGACTTTGTTGTCGGTGAAAGAACTCAGATTGGCTCGGTACAGGATTGGGCCAGATTTCGAAGCATCCTAGCACCAACCCTCTTGGTATCGTCAATTGAATTCCGACCACATGATGTACTCCTTATGTTAATAACATCTGCAGGTAGATTTACAGCGTCATGGGTCAACCGTGCTTCCCAGACATGAAAGCTGAAGAATTCACGGCCATGCTGAGCGCTCCTACACATGCAGGTCATCCTCTGGTGCACGCTCAGCACTTACTGGGTGGTGCCAAGTATGAGAAGGTTTCCGACTCGGAGATTGTGGCTGTTCATCAGATTCTTGCTGCCCATCAACACTACGTGGACATTGATCAGTCTATAGTAGCTTACCATGGCCATAATCATGGCACCGTGAAGCATCGGTATAAGAAGAATAACGGTGTCTGGAAGCTTGCGGGAGTGCAACCAGAATCCTATTGGCTTGAGCATGACTTTGATAAGATCTTTGCCCCATAGCCTAAGGACAATTGATGAGAAACTGAAGTCTGCTTATAGATATGGAACTCTCCTTACAAAAGTGAATACGAAGTATAAATTTTTGAAAGGAGAATCCAATTATGGAACTTATGACATTGGCCTCTCAGTAATCACAACTCAATGCCCCCTCTCAACACATCCACCACCTTCTCCTGGAAATCAACTGCCAGAGTTGGACCCTCGGTCCCTCTAAAATCCCCCTTCAAGCAAGCAAGAACGGCGTTTGTATAACCCACGCCCATCTCCTTGGGCAGTCGTTGTGCTGCCAACCCCATCAAATCCTCAGCCACCTTCTTCCGATTTGGCAGCCGCCCACTATTCTCCGCCTCTTTGATTTTAGCCTCCATCAGCCGCGACAAGGTCACCCACAGGCCAATCTCCAGGAGCACCACACCCAGCGCATATATATCATGCAGACGACTAAATTGATGTGTCGGGCGGCCCTGTCGATTGGGATGACGATAGAGATTTGGCTCAACCTCAAAGTCGGAGCGCATATCAGTACCTTGTTGGACTGATCGTGCGTAGCCCCAGTCACTAAGATACGAGACAATTCTATTTCCAGGATTGGGTGTGGAAAGGCGCTGCTCGTAGAGTCCTGCCGTGCTGACCCCGGAAGAGGTCTCGAGGAAGAGAAGAATACCTCTACTCCAGATATTCTTGTGGACCCAAGCAGATGCGTGGACGTTGGAGACTGTCAGTGCAAGACTGTGTGCCATACTGAAGCGGTCATTTAGGGAGGGTCTCATTAGTGGCCGTTTGTTTGCACTGTCGACCGCATTAATGAAAGCATGCAGGGTTGTTAGGGATGCTCCGTCCTCGGACTCGGATGCCGGCAGCTTGTAAAGGAAAGCGCTGCGTTCTTCAATGGGTTGATCAATGAAACCAAGACATTCCAGCGCATATATCTTCGGCTGGTCAAGTGAGTCGGATGATTTGCTGGCAAAGGTGGTGCTTTGAAGCAGCCAGGCTAAATTGCGGATAGGTTCCTTGAGCTCGTTGACCTCTTCCGGCTCTAGATCGTCGCGCTTGAGCATGCTCTCGTACTCGTGGTACTCAACAATCACTTTCGTTGCTTCTGAGCCGGAAACAGACAACTTTCCCAATTGGAACCCTCTTGTTGACTTTCCTTCTTCTGTGAGGGTGCCAGTCAAGCCGTGATAATCCGCCGGGGCCTTGGCCTCGGCCAGCATCCGTCGCTTCACCACCGGTTCCAATCCACTGCTTTTCAATCCTTGATGGTCGCTCTCTGCCAACTTAGCTAATGTATCCTGAGACATGTGCTGCATGAGATTGCGCAGATCTTCGGACCACTTGGTGTACGCCTCCAGTATCCGATACAGCTTCTTTTTGTCGAAGAGCGACCAGTCATATCCCTTGAGCTTGAGCGATTTGGTCTTGCTCTTCGCCCGCTCCAAAAGCGACTCTTGCGCCTTGGACTTCTCAGGCTCGATGGTGAACTCCTCATCCACGAGTCCATATTTGGCTGCGACAAGCTCATACTCGGCCAATGTCTTTCTCATCTGCACCAGTAGCCCTTCCACCGTGTCCGCGATGAAAGGGTCTATTTTCCCGGGAACCATGAGTCCATGTTCAGGATGAAAGAAAATTCGCTTGAAAAAGAGCAAGGAAGATAGTTGAAGATTTAACTTGAGTCGAATCTCGGCTCGGTCATCGTCAAAGGACTTGATGTCGGAGATGACGCCTTGGATGAATACAGTGACCTGATAAATTTGGGTGATTGCTGTGGAAGCAGTGCCGTAGAAGTCCATTTTGCAAACTTGCACTTAAGCATAACTTTAGCAGAAAGAATGAGAGTCGAAAGAATCCGACCCCTTTTGGGGGGGGGGGGGGGGGCCAATACCCCCAAACATGGCGTTGAAGCTGACAGCGCTAAACACCTAATGGGATAAGGCAAGAATTGTTGTTCGGCAGTTATTGGCTGATTGATTCGTATTCACTGCTTCCTTGAAGCTGAAAATACCCCACCAGTATCCGACCATGTCTGTTGGGCATTTCATTTTCTACTTCTTAATATACGCACTCGTTGGGGAAAACCATGATTGACTCCTACGATGATATTCTCAATTCTCTCGACGATGATAACAACTATTATTCTGTGGACGGAGACAATCTCTCTCCTTCTCTTCAAGCCTGGTCCAACTCGGCTGACATCGAAGAGCTCGACCTCGACAGCTTTAATATCTCTTCAGACTCAGATGCCTCATGGGTTGACCCTTTAGAATCCGCCATCACAGCCACTCGCAACGGATCGGCCCCTATTCTTAGCACCCTCTCTCAGTTCACAACCATCCTCTCCCAGACAGGCGTTCATGGTCCCCGTCTGCTCAAAGCAACCAATCTCTCTTCACGAGCTACCAAAATCGGCTCGGGCGCCCAATTCACAGTCTTCAAGGATCCACTCTTTGAAGGAGAGGTCATCAAGCGCGTCAATGTCCCTCTTACCAGTAGAGCTGAACAACGCTTTGCGGCGAGCAATGACTATCGCCTTCAACTCAAGACCTTGGAGCTAGAGATCTTATCTCTTTGCAATCCAGTGTTACGCGCCCATCCAAACATCACTAGCCTTCTAGCGTGGGGTTTTGATTTCCCCTTTGCGGATTTAGCTGTACCGGTGTTGTTCATGGAAGCGGCGATCATGCCTTTGGGGGACTTTCTGAGTGCTGAAAATAGGTCAATTACAGTGAGATATCAGTTTGCGCTGGATATAGCAAATGGATTGGAAGCGCTCCATCATCTCAAGATTGTTCACGGAGATGTCAAGCCGGACAATGTACTTGTCTTCGCCGGTCTCACTGAGAACGTCCCATTCCAGGCCAAGTTGAGTGACTTTGGTGTCTGTGTTGATTTAGAGGCTCCAGATGGAAGGTTCTCCCTAAGCGACTATCGTGGCACACCTGCCTGGCTGGCACCTGAGTTGATAAGTGGGGATATCTCCAAGTTTGGGAAATTCTCACCCGATTTGATGTTCAGATTTGATGCATACAGCTTTGGCTTGGTCCTCTTGTCTATATTCACAGGGAATGGACAACTACCAAATTTGGACAAGAGCCCCGAAAAGGTCTCAGATCAGGTGTCAAAATTGCTGAACGGCCAGCAAGACATACCCTCAGATATGCGTATGGAGTTGCGCAAGGGCATGTTGAATCATCTCGCCGAGGATCCTAGGGACCGAAAACTCCCAAGTCCTAATTTATTGAAATTTGATAGCCCCGGCTATGGATCTTGGTATTTAGTCCCTCCTTTAATATTTCTTACCTTAACACTAATATCGGACATCAGGCTCGCATCAATACAATCAAGTGCTGCAGACACCCACGTTGGCATCATTGACCCTATTTACAACAAAGGACCGTTATTCTGGTACCGACTCGATCAGAGCATCCGCACCGAGCTTGAGACACAGTATACGCTCGGGAAAGATGGCAGTGCTCCTCCTTTTGGAGGGAATGTACTTTTTGGAATTGCACAAACTATTACAGGCGAGAAGCCGACCTATCTCGACCGCATGCTGACATACCTGGGCGACGCGGCGAGGGCGGGCTATTCACCTGCCAGAGCTATATACGCGCAAGTCATGGAGGCGCATAATCATCCTATCGAGTTCAGCGAGGGAGAATTGAAGAAATGGACTTTGCAGGCTGTATCTGAGGGATATTTCTTTACGGATTCCGGTTACGGGCAAGATGAGATTGAGAAATCACGAGACCAGTTCAGACGACAGGGTGGATTTTGTTCAGATCCTTTCCTGGCCAAAAAGGAGATCAAGACAACAGTGAGCGCGAACAAAGCGCTGGATTGGGTTACTAAGAACGGGATTGTCGTTGATCGGAAAGGGAACACATTACTTCATGCTGCCGCTGCTCTTGGAGCGACAGATGTGGTCCAAGAGCTGTTAGATTCCACGCAGGTGGCAGTGGACGTGGAGAACGACGATGCTGAAACACCGCTGTATAAAGCATTCCAGGCAGGACATACCGAAGTGATTGAGATCCTACTTGATCGTGGTGCCAACGCACGCACCAAAACTCGACAAAATGTCACCCCTCTACATTGGCTATTTATGATCCGCGAAATTTTCATTGATCGAATAGCGAATCTGATGGTTGAAGGAGGGGCTGATATCAATGCGGTCATTACGCCCGTCGTGAAGGAAAACAGCGGTGGATATCCAGAGAAGATTCAGATCTTTCACTAGTAAGCTCCTCCCTCCATCTACTCCAACTACAGCTAACAGTTCAGTCCATTTGAACTTCCTCACGGTACCCCTCTTCATTGGGCCTGCTTCTTCCGGCATACCGTAGCTATGGATGGTCTCCTTTCTCTTGGGGCCAACATAAATGCGTGCTACCATGGGCTAGACGCATCATCAACTTCACTTGCGTTGACGGCATATTTTGGCGAGCCCCAGATAGCCAAATATTTGATATCCCACGGTGCGGACGGCACTCTGCTCGATTCCATGAAACGTAACACTCTGCATGGCATCACCAAATACTTCCCTGACCGGCATGGCTATCTACCTCATTACTGGCATTACTGGATCCGTCACGGATCTTGGGAACAGCATTCGACACAGATGACGAATCTGGTCCGTGTCCTGATCAAGGCTGGGGCAGACATCAATGCCAAAGACAAGGGTTATTCTCCCTTGACTCCTATTGCCGCTGCCGCTGATTTGGGAGTTTGGGATGGGGGTATGATATGCGCACTGTTAGACGCAGGAGCCAACCTCGAAGAATCCATCCTCTCGGCAGGAGATACTGTCCTGCATTGCTGGGTCTCTATTGTTGGACCCCGTTTGGATTATCCAGAGTCTTATTTACCAACTATGCAGAAGATAGCCAAGGCCATGCCGAACATCGACATCCGCAATCGATTTCAAGAAGATACTCCGCTTCACTTGCTAGCAACTACATATCACCCGGAGGATGAGTTCGAGGCGGCATGTGAGATCCTACTGAATCACTCGAACCCAGCAGACATCGATGCGAAAGCTCGTCGTGGAGAAACTCCACTCTCCATAGCCCTAGAGACAAATCTGGATCCGGCACGGCGGGGTCGCTTCCTGCTTGACAAAGGCGCTGATCCCCTCGTCCTCCACGCTCGAGAACGAGACATCTTCTACTCCATCGCCAATAATGTCGTTCTCAACGACCAAGCCAGTTCCGACCTAATCCAGACCTTCCTCCTCCGGCTGAACGCCGACATCGAACAAGCTTACAAAACCCATTACCTCTGCAACGCCAATAGCCACGAAACTCTCAATGCCGCTGCAAGCCGCGGAAAAACATCGACAGTAAAACTCCTCCTCTCCATCGGTCTGCTCAGCCATATCAACAAGCCCGATACAGCAAAATCCCCACCATGGACAGCCCTAGACCAAGCCCTCCACTTCGCAGAACTCAGCCGCCGTGCTCATATCCAGCAACTAGCCTCCTACAAAGCAGGCGCAGCCCGGACAAATGCACTCGAAGCAGACCTCGTCTATGATATAAATCAAGGTCCGCCCGCGCGTGCGGCGGAAGCATACAGATGTTTCCCGGATGTTATACAGACACTGCGAAATGCAGGGGCAAAACGGACATGTGAGATTGACAGATTGTCGAATGGTGATTATATTCGGCAACCTAGGGAATGGGATGAGGAGGAAATCCGTCGGTTTGGGTTCACGCCGGAGACGCAGCCTAATCGGGAAGCGTGGAAAGAGTTGTATGATTTGGCTAGATACAGTGGGCGGGGCTGGTTGGGTATGTTGACTGGGGGAAGGTTCGGTAGTTGATAGTCTTGAATGATTGCGTGTGTCAAAGGAGCTTTGTAATTGAAGCAATACTCATGATTGTTCTCGAAAATAATTCTTGATTTGAGGTGAATTGAATTGAACTTGGGTTCCCTAGGCTTTGGAGACATCTAAAGAGAACAGGATCAAGACCTAGATAACATGCGATCAGAGAAATCATCGGCAGCTACAGTAATCATTGCCTACGGTGGTCATACGGAAAACAGGACATATCTAGTAGAAGCAATACGCATTGAAGCTGAGTAAAGCTGGAGTATCAAAAAAGCACACTCGGAGTAACCTCCACCACCTGCGCCGGGTATAGTCACCCGTTTTCAAAGACAAACAAGACTCCGCCGGATGACAACAAGATAGAGAAACAACTATATGAGAGAACAATTAGGCCCGTAGGCTTTCGTTGAAAGATGAAATCATGTAACAGGACTCGGCGCAATGCTGTGCAAAGCGAGCAGATTCCTCCTCAAGGCATGACATTCCTGTCATCGACTTTATCATTTGAACCACATCGAAACCACCCACCTGCCCAGCCCACATACATTCCATGGGTAGACAGGGCAGCCCCATTGCCTGACTGTCGGAAAATAAAACAAAAAGATGTCCTTTAGTAAAAAATGTCCTTGGCTGCTGATGCAAGTGTAGAAAAATGATGATAGGAAATACAAGGTAGAAAAGTATGATAATCAACGAGCGGACAACTTGCTTCAATGAAGCTCGGTTGATAAAAAAAAAATGCAAGCTCAATGCGGGCGTGGTACTGTCGATTGAGCAGTGCTGCTGATGTGAGATGAAAAGATAAAAGAACTCCCCATATGCAAATGTGTTGATGCCACGGGTATGGTCATGCAACTCCTGGTGTTTCAATACCGTGAGGCAAGGCATCATAAGTAGAAAGCAGAAAATATGAATGAAAAAGGACGAGGGGGACAAAAATAGGGGGAAAGAAATCCGACAGGCACCGGGATGCATGTATGATTTTGACGAGGACCAAGGAGGCCTGGAGCTGAATCGTGGTGGTAATCGAGAACATCAACAAATTACTCGTCAAATTCGTATTCTTCCTTCAGAGGTCGTTGAATCTCGAATAGCAAGGCGTCGAGTTCACCCCAGTTGGATACATTTTGGGCGAACCGGCGGTGCTTTCTTGTCATGGTGTGCTATTATTTCTGTCAGTGTTTCATCTATGTTTGGTCCGATGTGGGTTGGACAAACCTCTTCAAAGTCATCGAACTTATCTCTACAATTCTCACAATAGCCGGGCTTCGGGTCTCTCCGTCGTTCAGGTTTCTGTGGTTGGGTATCATTGTGTTCGTCCCGTCGCCGCTTAGTTCCAGCTCCTTCCATTTGGTGGACATCTCCGTGGCCATTCTTCTCAAGAACAGCAGTTTTGTTAGAATCGTTCTGCTTGGAAGAGAAGGATGCAGATCCAGTGCTAGGACGCTGGGGTGCGGCCATTGATCCAGTCACGATACTGCCAGTGCCTTTCTCAAGGACCTTCCTCTTCAGTCCGTGGACTTCTTTACTCAATCCTGCTTTAGCACCGGGTGCGGCAGCGGTAGATGAGATCATTTGAGACCGGATGGCTGAAGTGACATTGGACGGCTGTACGCCAGATGCAGCAGGTTCACGACCGGTATAAAATGGTCCAGTGCGAGGGAAATGGGGAGGAATCAAGCTTTCTGAGCTCTTGCGTTCATGACCATCTTCAAACACTGGCTTCGTAAAAACGACCACAGGGTTTGCAGTAGATGGATCCTCTGGGCGCTTGGGTTTGGAAAGATCTGTAACGAGTTTGTTCTCAACAGGCCGTTCTGCGGGAACAGCTGTCGAGGGCTTGCTGCGAGAGTCCTCCACTTTCTGAACTGCAGCCTTCTTCTCTTTTTGAGCTTGACGTATCCGCTGACGGTCATACTCCTTTCGGCTTGGGGGTTCGTCAATGAAAGGGCATTTGCCTAGGGGGGCACTTCGAAATTGGGGCCAAGCACCATCCTGCCGTTTGTTTACTCGAGCGTATTCGCGCACCATCACTGGCTTGGTCTTCTCGTTCATATCGTGAATGTAGATGAAAGGCCCTTTGAACATCACCATCTCCATTGAGGCAAATGGGTCCCGATCAGATGGTCCATTCAGGAGTTCTTGTCGAAGAACGCGGGAGAGATCGTTCTCGCCACGACCGTGGGTAGTGCTACCACCGACATTCTTGCTTCGAGAGGCACTTTCATTTGGACCACCGATATCGTTGTCATTGATTGTGGTGATCATGCGCTGAAGCTTTTCCAAGGCCCAAATTTTCATACCCATCTGGCGGGCTCTCTGCAGAACATCCATGTTTCCTTGGTCACGACGTGCTTCAGTCTTCAGCGAGACGTGTAAGTGGGAATCGGCATTCTTCTCCAGAAGCGATGGATTCACAGTCTGCATGTTTTCGCCATTGGCTCCCTCTGTCCTGGTGACGGGCTCCTCGGTCGGACTCGTAGTAGCAACAGCTTCTGGGGGGATAGGGCGTGAAGTAACGACATGGGTCACGAGACGTGAGAAGAATTTCTCCTCGCTCTAAATTGTTATTCGATGGTTAGCAAAAAGAGATTAAATGCAAACGAGGGTGCTCGGACGAACACGTCTATCGACGAGACTGATTGAACAACAGATATGAATCAAGATGAATAAACTTACAGCTCCAAGAGCAACAACCTGGCGCGAGAATTTGCGGCGAACATCCTCGGGGATACTGTCGAAGTAAAAGACAAATTGTGGGAACGCCTTACGGTAGTGCCGCTGCCATTGTCGAATTGTATCCATAGTATCCGCTGAAGGCTTCTCAGTTCTAGATGGCTTTGGTTGAGGCATTCTTTCCTTTTCTCTCGCAGCCACCAGCTTCTTTTCGAATGCACTAGGGTTTGCGTTGTTGCTCCGACGCGCAAACAACTTGGATTCAGTGCCTTGGTGTAAAATGAGTCGGCTTCGATCCTGCTCTGCCGCGTCCATAACCTGTTTCTTTGGCGGCGGCTGGCCAAATGGAATCTCAATTTGACCGGATCTTGCTCGTTTGGCTGGCACGAGCCCGGCCCGATGGGGAGAGTTGGTAGCATTCGGCACGTTGGCGAGCGGGCGGCGAGTCGACATGTTCAGGGAGGGTTGAGGAGACGGCGGCACAAACACAGCAGCCATGTGTGATCGATTCCTCAAGATTGAACGCGTAGAAAGCTCGGGTGTATGGAGTCAAAAGGACGCTCTTAGAGGAGGGGTATTCGAGGTCGAGCACGCGACGTGCTACACGTCTTGCAGGGCTCGAACGAGGTCACAGAGGGATCATGGTAATACAGAGAAGGACCGGAAGAGCACTGAAGAGATCGGGTCAAAATGCAAACCCTCCAACTTGGAAAGACGAGGGGAGGAGGGTGAATGGGGAGAGTGGAAGGGTAGTTGGGGTAAAGGAGGGAAAAGCAAGTCGAAGGGCAAAGTCGTGTGGTGTGGAGCCCACTCAAGTTTGTTTTGGGCGTGCGCCGGACAACCAACGGCGTCGCGCGAAGCATGAACATCAACACGACATTCCTCCTCGACGGGCGCGACGTGCCTTTTCTCCGTAGCTTTAATTTCAAATCGATGCATACCTTCGATCGGATCCGATCTATACATCAGGTCTCCAGGACTTTGTTTTAACCCTGTCTGTCGTACTGGTCTGTAACTGTTCTTACCGTGGCTTCAGATGTTTACTCCCAACCTCCTAGACCAGCCACCGCGAATATCCTACTTAAGGAGCACTCAAACAGCCTCCCAATTTTGATGTGAGGTCAAATTATAAAATGGCTGGTATTGGTGCATTTATTGTACATTGGTTTTTGAGGGTATCTGAGGAATACTATACATACAAGATCGCCTTTCTAGCTACGCAGAGCCTCGATATCGGCAACCTAAACAAAAGGTCAATGAATCGTGGCAAAAAAAGAAAAATTGCAGAAAGCTTACCTCTTTGACGGCTTCGGGGGTCAAGATAATCGGATGGTCGTCACCCACGCACACGCTATCTTCAATACGAATGCCAATACCCCGGAAATGCGCAGGCCACCGCTCATCATCAGGGACATAGATACCACTAGAATGAGTTAGCGCACAACTTGGAGTATCAACGTGTAAAAAATGACGACGTACGGCTCGATAGTGATACAATTGCCTGCCTTGAGGTCATATCCACGAGAATATCCAGGGCAGTCATGCACGTCCAGACCAATATAGTGGCCTAGATGGTGAGGGAAGAGAACGGACATGGCCTGTGTCAAGTTAGCAAAAGTCCAATTTAGAACGAAGCAGACCTCGTACATTTCCGGAAAGATCAAATCCAAGCTGCTTGAGCTGGTCTTTCAGGCCATTCTCAGCGACGCCATGCAACTTGTCCAGAGAGAGTTTAGAGCTCTCACGGCACAGGGACAGACAAGTTCGATGCACATTGAGGACGGCATTGTAAAGATCCCGCTGGGGATCGGTGAATTTGCCGTTCACGGGCCAGGTGCGAGTGATATCCGAGATATAGCTTCCATGCTCCTAATACTATGTGAGTCATTGAACCAGGTCAAGGTTGAGGCAAAAGAACTTACACCGCCCCCGTCGACGAGGACTAAATCGCCATCTCTGATTCATCTTGTAAGCTTCGTTGAATACTCGGAGGCGTCAATACGTACTTCAGAATATCATCGTTCCTCGTGTAGTGAATGCTCAAGGCGTGCTATGGCTGTTAATCTCGGGATTTGGGACCTGGGCAAGTGTAGGACTCACTTTTCCACCAGCCACAACGGGAACGAAAGCGCTACCATCGCAGCCATTGACCTTGAACTGGTACTCGAGGAATGAGGACAACTCCTTCTCGGTCTCGAAGGTTTTCCGCATTGAATCGGTGAAAGCTCTTCCAGATGCCTGACCCAGCAGACGCAAGTGCACAACCTCATTCTCGCTCTTAAATGCCCGCATTTCGTTGAGCAGTGGCTTCAATGGCTTGACTCTCCGGTGATCGACAATTTTCTTCAATTTCTCCGATGCAACAGTAGGGCCGTAGAGGTATCGGTGGAGCGAAGACCTCGATCCGTCGAAAGCGGGAATGTCGGAGTAGACTTCGGTAGCGCCAGTTATGATCTTGGGCAAAATGTCACCAATTTGTTCAATGTTTCCTGTCTGTATTGCTCAAATATTAATCATTGTGATTCAATTGTTTCCAGGCACAAGCAACCCACCTCATCCGCGTTGAAAACGTCCATGGCAGCTTGGGTACCGGATCGAGCGCCATCCCAAAGCTCTGCCTTGGGATCTTTTTCTCGCACGTAAAGGTGAAAGATATGGTTGTCGCCGGATCCATCGTTCGCGATCACTGCGAGAGCATTCGGTTCGTTGAAACCTATCCGAAGGGAAAACCCAAGGAAACATTAGCGGGAATCCTCTCTTGCGAACAACTATTTCTCTCTTACCTGTCAAGTAGAAGAAATTCGTTTCTTGTCTATATTCATGGAAGATTCCTGGTGCCCGGTATTCCACCTCCGAAGCTGCAAGTACGGCGACAGCTCCCTTGGGAAGCTTATTGGCCAGACGAGACCGACGCTGGGCATATTCGAGAGCAGTAATGCCGGGAGTGACTAGATTGCAAGCACGTCAGTCCAACTTGATCAAACTCATCCTGCGCCCAGTAGGAAGACAGCACATACGTTCACCGGGACTGAGAAGGTGGGGATGTGTCTCGTGTAGGGGCTGGCCGAATTGCAGCTCCGCGGCGGCGACGGAGGTTGCATACGCCCTGCGGAGCGGCGAGTTGCGAGGCGCAAAGGAATGGCGCACTGGACGAGCGACGGTGCGGAGCGAAGGGCGCAGATGGAGAGCGCATTGTCTCGCGAGCGATCTGCATGCTGCCATGCTTCGAGAGGGTCAAGGATGGTGATTGAGGACTTGGGCCAACCGATTGGATGTTGTCTGGAGATATCGCAAAAGGTTGGTGACTGGGACCGAGTCGGCGGTGAGGGCCAATCACCGTCGCGTGGTTCGGCATCGTATTGACTTCCCCACGCCAAATACAACATTCGTCATGCTTGATCGTGAATATCGACAATTGGCAAGGTGACTCTGTGATTGATAATAACAACTGGTCAGGCTGCATGCTATCGGGCGAGATGACTCCCCCGAACCAATAAACCATCACCAACTGAATTGGCCCCCTGAACCAAGCGTTGACTCACGGCGCTACTCTTACCAAGTCCAGCAATCCTTCTTGCAGCCAATCGTACATCGCGGGAAACGCCGACACGGATAGGCCTTCTCGTTAGGGTGCCAGGAAGCGTGTCACGGAACGACCTTATCGTGAAATTACGAGCCGCCGCATTATATATATTGAAGCTTATTTCCATCCAAGATTGACCTTCTACTCCATCATTATTCCATTTACTTATACAGACTGAGTTACTGTACGCACTCTGTGTGACTCTACACAAGCATCACCATGGGACGGACACTTACCTATCCCAAGCGGATATCCAATACCGCCAACAGATACAAGCATCGCGGTTTGTGCCAGTCCTACTTATTCCATTCATGCAAACAAAATGAACTAACGACCTTGCAACAGCCACCTATGACCTGGGGCCCATTCACTCCATCATCAACAACTCGCAAGTCCTCCATGTCTCCTTCAATCCAGGGCCCGAGGACCCCTTCCCGGCCATCCTTCCCATGATCGGCCAGATGGGTTCCTACGAGTTCCCATCTGCAAGCATCGACGAGCCACTGGACTGCTATCTCCATGGCTACGTCAGCTCTCGCATCATGAATTTGGCCCGTAACACCGAGGGTGATGGTTTGCCCATCTGCGTTGCTGCAAGCAAAATCGACGGCCTGATTTTGTCTCTTACCCCCAACTCGCACAGCTACAATTACCGCTCGGCAATCCTGCACGGATATGCCAAATTAGTCACCGATGAAGACGAGAAATTGTGGGCAATGAAGCTCATCACCAACTCCGTCCTCACCCACCGCTGGGATAACACGCGAGTGCCACCAGACCGTGCAGAGATGCAGTCAACCGTCATTCTCAAGGTCAAAGTTGTGGATGGCAGTGGCAAGATCCGCGATGGTGGTGTCTCGGATGAGCGCAAAGACTATGGCAACGAGGAGATCACGAATCGCATCTGGACGGGCGTGGTTCCCGTCTGGGAGACATTTGGACAGCCCGTTGCCAGTGGTGATGGCAAGCTAGGCGAGGTTCCAGAGCACATCACCTCATTCATTGCGACGAAGAATGCGGAGAATCGCTCTTTGGCAGAGTCGGCGATCAAAGTGACTCTGCCTGCCGAGGAGCAGCATTGAATGGTCTTAGTCATGGTCGATGCTTTTGTGTTATGGTTACGAATGAGGCTTTTGTTCATGAATCTTATTGTCCTTGAATTTCCGTCAGTTTCTTTCGCTTGGTTTGATGTCTCTTGGTATATTATACCTGTCATTGTCATATGAAATAGTCTATCCATATGACGTTGAATGCAGATTATCGATTCGAAATAAATCACAGACCTTGGTGGGAGTGGATAGTCGTGTAGTTTTCTGGTTGCATCAGGATACTTAGTTCCTTTCCTGGAATTTTGCAAAATCTCGACATCCATCATGACCAGAAATGAGTAGATATACCGACTATGTATAGCTTTTGTTCGGAGGTTCAGACAGGTGCGGGGCTTGGTCCTGTCTTCAGAAGTCCCCGCAAACACAAAAAGATCGGCGCAGCTGAGCCCCACGTCGTGAGCTCCAACGGAACTTACCTGGTTCTCCGATCATCGATAAACTAGATTCAACCTTGTTCATACTCGACACTGACTGTTAACATCAGCTGCAAATTACGATCATGGCCTCCAAAGCCACAAAAGCGATTGCCCCTTCCACAGACATTCAATCCTTCACCGAATACTTGAAAGGCTGCCGGCGAATCCTCGCTCTGCTGGGAGCTGGCATTTCCGCGGCTTCTGGTCTCCCCACGTTTCGTGGTGTTGGAGGACTATGGCGCCAGTATGATGCAACCTCTCTAGCGACTCCGGAGGCTTTCGAAGACCATCCGGGGCTGGTCTGGCAATTCTACAGCTATCGGAGGCATATGGCTCTGCAGGCACAGCCGAACAAAGCTCATTACGCATTGGCGGAGCTAGCTCGGAAGAACAAGGACTTTATTACTTTATCCCAGAATGTTGACGGTACATACCACTTTTCAAACAGTGTTCAAAACTTATGCAGCTAATATTAAATCGTTTGGTCATTTTTCAGGCCTCTCGCAGCGGGCGCAGCATCCCTCCGAGCAATTGAACCTGCTTCATGGGTCTCTGTTCGACATCAAATGCACATCTTTCTACTGCAACTATACTCGGCAAAACGACTTTACAGATCCCATCGTGCCTGCCTTGGGTATCCCCAAGCAATCTTCATCGCCGACCCGATCAGAAACAGACAAGACAGGCGAAGAGGCATCGAAGTCACTCTATCAGGCCCTAGACGAGACAATCAAGGCAAAGGAAGTCGACATCTCCGACGCAAGCAACCCAATTCCCGAGTTGACACCGGCAGACCTGCCGCAGTGTCCCCAATGCAAGGGTCTTTTGCGGCCGGGCGTGGTCTGGTTCGGCGAGCCCTTACCGACCGATACTATCAAGAACGTGGACGATTGGATCGAATCCGCACCCGTGGACCTCATCTTAGTGATCGGCACGAGCTCAAGCGTGTACCCGGCGGCGTTGTACGTCGATACGGCCCGTGAGCATGGCGCGAAGGTCGTGGTGGTTAATATGGAGAAGGACATGCCTAGCCGTGGGACGTGCGACTGGTTTTTCCAGGGCGATGCAGCCCTTATAGTACCGGAGATATTGAAGAGCGTTATTGGAGATGTTTAATAATTCCATGAATACTGGGGGTATCCACGGACATTACACGATCATATAGAAATGAATCGATTCCAAGTTCTGAGCATGACCATGTTCCTATTATGTGCTGGCTAGTCGTAGTGACCCTGTCCACCCTGTCCGCTATCTTATACGGTGGAGTTCGACGGAAATATATAGGACTGGGTTTTAGCAAAACATCACCACTAGGTAGCAAAGCGTCCCATTTGCACCCCTCAATATTAAGATTAATTGACACATTCACATTTAACTACACTATTGACTCGAATGTAGAATGTAAATTTGCCCAAAGGGCAGCAACAAAAGCTGCTTGATGAACGTGTACTTGTATTACGTTTCTGATGCCTCAGGCCACAAGCGTTGCTGGGGGAATCCGTTCCCAAAACAAAAAAACGATTATCGATAACGTCGCCGATAGTCCATCCGTGTTTCTTTCTCTCCCCTCCCCCACTACTCTCGACAACCATTTCGGCAACCGACATGCTGTGATCTTGAGGTGAGTTGAAGCTGCCTAAGCATTCTATTTTGCTTTTGTCTCATTTCTCATTGTCCTTTGACTCTGGCCATTGTCCCTCGGCCGACCGTGTTCCTCGGACCTCGAGGGGAACCGTCATCAATCAGGCCAAACAAGCAGATCTAATCTAACAACCATGAGACGCGCATAGTGAAATAGCACCTCGTCAGTTATCAACAGAAAGTGCGCTGTCGCGTTTCCGATCACTCGTTTTTAGCTCGACAAACCCCACCTCTCCTGATCTTGAAAATCAACTTGACTTTACACTCAAAATCTCGGGTCTTTGAGTAGACCTTTCACATAAATATGGCCAGAGAAAGCAGCGCACCAAAAGAGGCCCTCACCCCGGGGAGGCCAAACGAGCAACACCGTCCTTCTGTTTCCCAGCAACCCGAGTTCGGCAAACCTTCGCCGATGGGTCAATCTCAGTATCGGCCCACGCAACCAACACAATCCTCTCAGCCGACCAGATCGAGCGAGACAAATCATCTCTTCAACATCCCCAAACCGAATCGCCCCCGTGCAGAGCATCACCGTGACCAGCCTCGAAGCCAGCCTCAGCACCCGAGCCATCAATATGGGCAGCAACACTATGAAGCTCCCCAGGTCCAACGACCTGGACCCGCAGTTGCTTCTACGCCAGCGAAACGTGGACCTTTCGACCCCTTCAAGGCCGTCCGACCCTCCGCCTTCAATGACCATCGACCAGGATATCCCTCGGGCGCAACCCCAATCAAACGCCCCGAGAATACAGATTGGACAACGCCTCGAGCTCCACGGGCACTCTTCATGTCAAAGGGAGCGGCGCCAAAACCATCGAATGGATCGAAGAATCTTCAGGCATTTATTGATTTGACCAAGGACGATTCGGGCTCTTTCAAGAATCAAATGGTCTCTACAAGCTTTGGTGAAATGGACGTGTACGGATATGTCGATTCCGAAAAGGCGACCGAGAATATTAAAGCGCTACTCGAGGGTGCATTCGAGGATGAGGAGGACCAATCTCATCAAAAGTCCAAGAGCAAGAAAAAGGGAAAGAAGAAGAAGAAGCAGCCGCAACCCAAGATGGGCGAACAGGGCGATTCGATTAAAGCCGCCAAGAAGGCCGAGGTAGATGACCTCGACGACTTGGCTGCTCAGCTTGAGGGCGTTACTGTGAACGATCCAAAGCCAGTGGAGCCGGCAGGAGTCTCCAACAAGATAGTCTCCGAAGACAAATCCGAGGCAGACGAAGACAAGAGTCTTGCCGCTAAGCAGGAGGAGGATCATGCCGAAGTCGATGAGAACGAGGATGAGGAGGACGAAGAAGACGACGAAGACGATGAGGAGGACGATGACGGGAGTGTCGAAGGCTTGAAAGTTACTCTCTTGCCCCACCAGATCGAAGGCGTGAAGTGGATGTGCGACAAGGAGACAGGTCAGCGCACCACCAAGGGAATTTTTCCCAAAGGTGGCATTCTTGCCGACGATATGGGCCTAGGCAAGACTGTACAAGCGATTGCCTTGATGCTCCGGAACCGCAAGCCGATAAACGAACACAGCGAGAATATCGACAAATCCGAGAAGAAAGACGACGATGAGGAGGCACCCCCAACCTCCAAGCTTTCCAAGAGCACTCTTGTTGTCGCGCCTCTCGCTCTCATTAAGCAATGGGAATCCGAGATCGATGACAAGGTCGAAAAGGCACACAAGCTTCGTGTCTGCTTGTACCATGGAGCGAACCGCGCGAAAACATCCAAGGATCTCCACACTTACGACGTGGTTATCACGACCTACGGAACACTGACCTCTGAGTCTGGAACTGCTGCCGCCGATAAGGCTAAAAAGTCTGGCGTGTTTGCGAATTACTGGTACCGCATCATCCTCGACGAGGCCCATACTATTAAGAACCGAAATGCCAAGGCTACGCAAGCAGCGTGTGTTTTGGACGCCAAGTATCGTTGGTGCTTGACCGGAACACCCATGCAAAACAATCTCGACGAACTTCAGAGTCTCATAAAATTTCTCCGAATCAAACCCTTCAACGACCTCGCTACCTGGCGCGACCAAATCAGCAGACCCCTGGCCAATGGCCGTGGTGGATTGGCTATTCAACGTCTACAGGTCTATCTGAAAGCATTTATGAAGCGCCGTACCAAGGACGTGTTGAAAGAAAACGATAAGCCAAAGCTTGGCGAGTCCGTACTCGATGCAGACGGCAATGAGAAGAAGTCATCTAACGGCTTCAAAATCGTGGAGCGTGAAGTGATCAGAGTGGACGCTGATTTCATGGAGGGAGAGCTGAACTTCTACAACCGCCTGGAAGCGCGTACTGAGAACAGACTGGAGGAAATGATGGGTGGTTCCAAGGTCGACTATGCTGGCGCTTTGACGCTGCTGTTGCGCCTTCGGCAAGCCTGCAATCACCCCGACCTGGTCAAGAGCGACTTGGCTGTCGACAAGGATGTTCTTTTGCAGAATGGCAACAGTGGAAGTCAATCTTCACAGTCCAAGTCGAACAATGATCTCGACGATGTTGCCGACCTCTTTGGTGCACTCAGTGTCGTGACAAAGAAGTGTGACGTGTGCCAGAGAGATCTCAACCAGGCCGATACTACGAAGGGTGTCACTCGTTGCAGTGATTGCGAGGCCGACTTGAATACTGACTTCATGAAGAAGGATAAGAAGAAGAAGCACAAGTCGAAGAAGGCTCACAAGGAAGAAAAACCCGCCGCACCAACCCGTTCACGAAAGAACCGCAGAGTCATTGTTGACAGTGATGATGAAGACGAGGACGACGCGGAATGGATTGTACCTGAAGGCCAACGCAAAATGCCCAACTTCTGCAAGGCCGGAGGCTTAGACGACGAAGATGCTGAAGGGGGCGGAGAATGGATTGGCTCTGATGATTCCGAGCCCGACGAGGATGAAATCGACTCCCCGTCTGGCAAGCACAGGGCCCGGCCGATTGTTCTAGATAGCTCTGAGGAAGAGTCCGAATCCGAGTCTGAGACAGAAGAGGATATCTATGAGAATCCCGAGGGCGAAAATGGAGAACTGCCTTCAACCAAGATTCGCCATCTTATGAAGCTTCTTCATAAGGAGTCGGGTGACTACAAGTTCATTGTCTTTTCGGTCTTTACCTCTATGCTTGACAAGGTTGAACCTTTCCTCAAGCGTGCCAACATTGGCTTTGCTCGGTACGATGGTCAGATGAGAAACGATCTGCGCGAAGCCAGTCTCAACAAGCTTCGCAACAACAGTGGCACCCGCGTTCTGCTTTGCAGTCTGCGTGCAGGTGCTCTAGGACTCAATTTGACTGCGGCTAGTCGTGTGGTAATCCTGGAACCATTCTGGAATCCAGTAAGTTGACTACGTGTATTGAAGTTGTAATTTGCATTCGCTGACTTTCCTGACAGTTCGTCGAAGAACAAGCCATCGACCGCGTTCACCGCCTCAATCAAACGATCGACGTGAAGATCTACCGGATGATCATTAAAGGCACTGTCGAAGAACGTATCGTCGATCTTCAAGATCGCAAGCGCGAGCTGGCCAACATGACCATTGAGGGCAAATCCGCCGCCGGCAAGTTGACCATGCGCGACATGATGGCCCTCTTCGGCCGCGACGCCGAGCACAAATTCCAGGACAAACAGGGTACCTTGGATTTCAAGCAACCCACTCGGCTCTTGAGCTCTGGCGAAGACCTTGGTTCTGGGCCTTCCTCGCAGTCTTCAGCTCGGTCGGATTCGCGAGACCGGAGCCGCCCGCAGCCATCCAATCGGCCGAGACCAGAGGACTCGGTGTATGGACGGCGCTGGTGAGATGAATGATGCATCATGATGGTGTGATGATTTTATTGTTAGGCCGGGATGACTAAGCTAGATTACCCTCTTCTGAGCAAGTACTGTACTTAATTCGTGCTGTTCTCCCCACGACAGTTGCATAATTGTGTAAATAACGGGGACTGCCATATTTTTGTGGAATGGTCAATGAACTCTTATTGCGCAGTAAACCCTTTAGGTAAATGCTGGAGAGGCTTAGGATGGGGGATGTAAGCGAGACTTGTCTAGCTGAATGGATCTAGCTGAATGGATCTAGCTGACTGGATCTAGCTGAATGGATCTACAAAGCTGAATGGCATAGTACTCGGCGTGCGACTAAATCCGGCGGAATAGCAGCAATACGTAGCCCTCTGATCTCGCCCCCCTATTTGGTTCGAAGCCATCTAGGGTCTCCTTAAATACAGTCACAATACTGCAAAAATGCATGTTATTGGGGGAAAAAATTACTAACCTGGAATAGCAAATGCTTGCTGACACTAGGAGGAGGAGGAGGAGAAGAAGAAGAAGAAGCTGAAATACACCTGTTCTGCCGATATCGCAACCAGCTTTCTGGGAGCGTTCCCCCAAGTACGATAGATTGTTGTAAGCGACGTTCAAGGATTTTTCTCTTCTTGAGCTGTCATTCCATAGCCACTGTCTGCCATCCTTTGATTCTCACGATCCTTCTAACTTTTGATTGCTTGTGAAAGAAGGAATATGGAACGCTTGCCTTATCCTTCACCTGAGAATTATCCGCCGGAGCTACCCTCCGCGAACATGCTGCGAATGTGGGCACACTCTCCTGCAACCCTTCGTCCTGGGCTGGCTCTGGGAACCGCATGTATTAGTTCGTTGTCTATCCCTGTGAATCTGCGAGAGATTCTTACACTCTTTTGTGCTGTTAAATTTCAATGTCAGTACATCTGGATACGACACATAAATGGCGCCAAAAAAGAGGGTGTCACAGCCAGCCAAATAAACGCCCTCCAAAACCGTGATCTCCGGAATCCTGAAGTGTGGGATGAGAGACAGATTGCTTTCCTCGTCTTTCTTGATGAAGTCATTGATTGTCCAGTGGCGCGGGATGAAAGCTTCCTTGAAGCAAGCAAATATTTTGATGAGAGGCAGTTAGTAGAGATGATTACAGCACAGGTTTGACTCAATTGCTGCTGTTTTTCCGGGTTAGTTACTAAGTGTGTCATCATCGCAGGGGTTCTATTATATGTGGTCTCGCCTTGCAACAACACTTCGAGTGACGATTGATACAGGAGTTTCCGGAGATTATGAAAAGGCCAAGCAATGGGCTAGTCCAAGTTGATACTATTGGTCTCACAAGGATGCAAGTTGCGTCTGTTTCACCTAACTATCATCCTCCCTTGACTGGTATCCCATTCTGGCAGAAAAGTCCGTCGGCGTGATGCTTCAGCACCTGTCAGGTGCGACTCAGGGCTTACTCTGTGTGTGTGGGTGGGGGGATAGAGCAATTTTGAGCTCAACTTCGTGGCTATTTCTTGTCTAGTATTTGAATTTCAAACTTTTGATATCTATAATGAACAAGTTTTCTATTATTTCACTACCTTGGCATGTAAATCTGAGGCTTTGAGACTATGACCGTGGAGCAACCCCTTAGTCTTCAGCCAGTGGCGTTGACTTCGCTAGAATTAATTGGCTGGTCTACTTGGGAATCAATCCAAGATCCCAACTGGTCTGGCAGCGACATTCGGAACTCATGCCCACAAGTGAGGTGTTATGAGGCAATGCATTTGGATGGCAACCTCCAAGTACTGGCCCGGAAAGCAAGACCGGAAAGAGTGATTCTGGAAGCGTGAGAAATCCTCCTTCGCCTATGAGAGGATAATTCACAATAATGTGTGTGCCATTGCGGGGACTTTCAATTTTCTGGTGAGTGTCTTTGCTCAAGAGCTGTACATGAAGAGCAGATAATCTTTGAATAACCTATTGTGGCTTATGAATACTCGAACAACAATTTAAAGTCGACTAGAGAAGGGTTGGAAGACTACAGCTCATCAAGTTTTATGAAAGTGAAAGGTACACCCGACCACTCCGGGCGAGAACCGTGGACTGCGAGTATAGTGGACTTTTGTCCAGACCAACTGTGAACTCTGGGTCATCATTGAAGAGTAATGCTTAGTTGAGCTTATTTCCCCTTTAAGCGGGGAATTCCCCACATGGATTCCTAGTATACCTTGTTGGTATCTACGTTTGGCTACTTCTTGTGTAGGGCAATAGGCTATGTGATGGTCGAACATGGGAGAATGTGGTGATTTGAAGACGTCTCACTCCATGACTTATTCAACAATAATAATACTTCGGAATTCTAATGAGCACGTTAACGTGGCAATTCTGTATAATACCCGCCGAGAGTTTCCCATTTGATCTTTGTCAAAACTCCAGACTCGCGTATGTAATCCCCGTGAATTCCTTTTTCTGCGCAAGAAGTTCCATGGCTCTAGACCATCGTCCACGGATCTCAATGGAATTCCCGGTGGTAGTCCCTGGCGAACCAGAAGCCATGACCGGAAACACATGTCTCGTGGTACGCTCGAGCTCTAGAACTGATAGGCGTTCCTTCAGAGAAAGAAAGAAGGCATATGGTTTGGAACTGGGAGGCAAAGACTGGCTCAAACTCCGCAAAACTCGGGATTGCCTCCTTTGACACTACGGTCTAACATGTCTATTCACCATATTTGCCTTTGTCACCCATGCCAACGGCTATGCTTCTAAACTTGTAAAGCGACAGTTCTATATCTTCTTTGTTGCTCCGTCGACGTTTTTGATTGAGGCACATACCATAACGTGGTGAGTTGGATTTCATAACTCTCGCCACGCATACCGACCCCTTATAATGTAGTCATTCAAACTAACGATAGTCATCCCACAGAATGAAACCCCACTAGACTCACTATCGGTCGTGCAGGCCTATATGCCAGGAAATGAGCGAGTCCTTTGAATCCAAGAACAACAGTGGCTGGAAGATAGTCTATCAGGGTCAGGGCAAATATGGCGACAGACCATCTGGCGAAAAGAAGGGGGTTGCCCGAACATTATCAGTCCCGAGGTCCGGTATATCATCTGACGCAAAGCGGCAGACACCTACAGTTACGGAGCTGCCCTCTTCAGAGTTGAAGTTGGAGCTCCCACAACTGGGTAGCGAAATAACAGAGCGAGTGTTCCCTGTTCGATCAGTCGTCTCTTTTGATTCAAATCCTTCGTCTGCTCTACAGACGCCTTCGCTGGATAAGCTCGAGACCCCTATATCGCCATTTTCGGACGCCTTTAGAAGAAGCTCGTTAGCGAACGACAATGCTCCGAAGCAGACAAATGGGGATAACGATGAAGAGCAGCGCATGGCAAGGCCAGATTATCTGACTCAGATGCATGAGAAAAGGCAGAGGCTCGTTGGGATATCTCCCTCGTCGAGAGTACCAACTCTCACCAACCCCGCCTCCATTAATGATCGTCTCCTATCCTCGCCTAATAGAGATCGGGCCTCGAGTGGAAGCTCTCATCAGAGTACAGGACCATACGAAAGGCTGTACAAGTCAATCAGCGAAGGAGCCAAGATCTTGAAGCCCATTCGGAGGTCCAAAGGGCTACAATTTTTGCATGAAGATGAAGACGATATTATTATTCAGTCTTTCGGTGCACTACTCGTCGTCACACAGTCTGAGGAGGATTTCCCCGTGGAAGTTGCCAGCACCAACACGGAGGAAATCTTCAACATCGCTCCGGACGACTTATTTGAACTGAAATCTATTTGTGCTATATTCTCCGATTCTCAATCACGGATCTTTCGTGCGCATGCTACTTACGTTTTGAGCGACGAATATGAAGTTGAGGAAGTTGGCCCCGAGGTCTTCTGTCTACCGACTTTGGATGGAAGCACTCAGCGACTCTGGTGTACAATGCATACGAGCAAGGCATACAAAAACTACATCATCTGCGAGTTGGAACCCGAGATTGGAGGTTCCCAGCAACTCATGGACAGCATTGATTCGGAGGGCCGGCGTCATCGAAAACCTCGACCTCTTAGCCAATTCTCTCAAGATGAAGCTCCTCGTCGGAAGACTCTTTCCAATACATACGACAATCCTGCTCAGGAGGCAGATAGCATGGATTCGGAACTTTTGAACATTCTTCCCCGCATTTTGAAGCGGATTTCAAGTGCTCAATCCCTGGATGCTTTGATTCAACACACTATCTCGATACTTCAGGATATGACCAAGTTCCACCGCGTCACTGTGTACCATTTTGATGGCGACAGAAATGGCATTGTTGTAGCAGATACCCTTGAGCCATCGGAAAACCTGGAATCATTTCAAGGCATGCATTTTCAGGAGTCCACCTTCCCCAAGGACCTCAAACGCCAGTACTTGAGAAATAAATTTTCCTTCTCTTATCGAAAGGGTGAAAATGTTTCGGAGCTGGTATATGGAGCTTCTACCAACAAAATGGCCTTGGACTTGTCACATTGCTACTTGACAGCAACGCCAGATGATCCTGCTAGTGACTCCACACAGACATCGGCCTGTGCCTGCATGTCCATCAGCATCAATGTTTTTGGCAAATTATGGGGCTTAATCTCTTGTCAGTCTTATGACGAAAGATTACGACTTCATCCGCTGCTTCAGCGAGTAAGCTGGTTCATTGGTGAAGCAGTGTCAAGCAATATCGAACGACTTTCCTATACCCTTCCGTTTCAATTGAAAGATCAAGCCGCGGAAGCGGCTTCAGAAGAAATTGCTTGTCCTTCCGGCGACCTTCTGGGCCTCTTTGGCTCAGATTATGCAGCAGCATCCATTCTGGAAAAGGTCAAGTTATTGGGGAAACCGGCGGACTCTCAAGAAGTTCTAGCCCTGCTGGAATACTTGCGAGCCAAGGAAATTGAGACCGTTTTGTGGTCGACAGATATTTCTGCTGACTTTCAAGATCTTGACTATTCTCCTGGTTTCCGCCACCTCGCCAGCCTGCTCTATATCCCGTTGTCAGCCAATGGGCATGACTTTATTATATTCTTTCGGACGTATCCCAAGACAAAAGAGGACACCAGTGCACTCGATCTCGCCTCCCGCCCGTTAGATTGGTCTGCTGCAGAATTTGGAAAGGCCTCGATGTTGACACTCTTATATCGGACATTCACGGAAATCTGGCAAGAGAGAGAAGTGGCGATGCAGAATAACCAGTTGATGAGACTCCTGTTGGCCAACACTGCACATGAGTTCCGCACACCGCTTAACGCCATCATTAACTATCTCGAGATCGCGCTAGATAGCTCCCTCAATCAAGAGACCCAGGAGAACCTATCCAGATCTCATTCCGCCTCAAAGTCACTTGTATACATCATCAACGACCTCCTGGATCTCACTAATGCAGAGAATGGACAGAAACTCATCAAGGACGAAGCCTTCAATCTCTCTGAAACCCTTTGTGATGCGACCAACATCTTCTCGGAGGAGGCCAAGCAAAAGAATGTGAATCTTCAAGTCGTGCAGCATTTGGAGTTGCCTCCAGTTCTCGGCGACCAAAGACGTGTGCGACAGGTCATCACCAATCTGATCAGCAATGCTGTCCAGCATACCTCTGCAGGTGCTGTCACGATCGAGTCGTGTATGATACCCGAGCCCTGCGAGCCTGGTCACATCTCCGTGGAAGTCGCTATTCACGACACCGGCGCCGGGATGTCCCTGGAGACGGTGGAGACACTTTTCTGCGAGCTCGAACAAGTTTCAAATACAGAATATATCCAAAGGCCAAGCTCCGGCGGGGGGAGCTGCAATACAGCTGTCATTGAATCGAGCAGTGTCCTTGGGTTGGGGCTTGCCCTTGTCGCTCGCATTGTGCGCAACATGGATGGGCAGCTGAGTCTCAAGTCCGAAGAAGGGACAGGAAGCTGCTTCAAGATCCGATTGAAGTTTCCATTGCCGTCTGGGGAAACTGTAAATGCTAAGGTGGCAAGTGTTGGCAGCTGTGGACACCAAACATGTCATCAAAATAGCGACGCAACTCCAGCACCGAAGGACAACACGCCCGGAGGAAACAATGGCATCCACTGTCACTGTGGCGATGACAGTTTCCCCGGACCCGGACCCGGACAAAAAGATAGCAATTGCTTGGATGTTGAGATTGCTCTGGCCAACGGCGGGTCCCGAAGTATCACCTTGGCTGCCCCGCACTTGACATCAGACAAACGGACCAAAGCCGTAGAAGTGAGTTGCATCTGATAATTCATGGAATCAAATGTCTTGTCTAGTCTGTTGAAAGTGACTGACAACTCCTTTAGGGTCTTTTCACCGCTCCTGAACAAGAAATAGAGGAAAAGACTCGTGTCTTTCTCAAAGAACCCAAGACGCCAGCCAAGGAGTCTGACACCACAACGGCCGAGATGGACGCAAAGTCAAAACTGCACGTCTTAGTGGCAGAGGATGACCCCGTCAATAGTACCATCTTGAAGAAAAGATTAGAGAAATTCGGTTACCAGATTCGCTTGACAGGTAATGGCAAGGAATGCGCTGCTGTGTACCGCGAGAACCCAGGCTCCTTTGATGCGATCCTGATGGACCTGCAGGTATGTTGAGCTTTTATATGCCACAAAATATTGAGCTAACCATTTTACCAGATGCCCATAGTCGATGGAAAATCAGCTGCCAAGATGATTCGAGAGTATGAGGTCCAGACCGACTTACGCCATGACTATGTACCGATTTTCGCGGTCTCTGCATCGCTCTTGGAAAAGGACCGCCAAACTTACGTAGAATCTGGTTTTGATGGGTGGATCATGAAGCCGATTGACTTTCAAAGAATTCATGAGCTTTTGAGTGGAGTGAAGTCTACGGAAAGACGAAGTGAGTGTTTCTATCGGTCAGGTATGTGGGAACAGGGCGGCTGGTTTGCGGGCAGTTGAGTGGGCTACAGGAATATAGTGAGAAAACAGGTACATATATCCATGAACACCACATGTTGAACAAGTTAAAGCTTAACCCAAGTGTAGTAGTATCCTGAATGCATAGAAAACTCTTTGGATAAAGTGCAGATTGCCCGCTAAAGGCCAAAATGGGTCAACTCGAGTAAACTCTTGAAGAAACATGATTTCTTTTGGAGAGAGTCGTTAGGTTAAGCAAATGTTCAAGGTTTTAAAGGCGTTAGTTTCAGCTTCTGACATCTCTCCAGAATTGAAGTTCTCCAAGATAGCTCTGACATCCTCCGTTGCGGGTGGCTCCCTGCCCCAGATATACCTATTGTTTCCAGTGATTCGGATGAGACTCTTTGAATGCAACAAAGGTCACATACGCGTTCGTACCGCCGAATGGCACTGCACATCTCTTTTCGATGAGCTTCTGCATTTCAACTTGGTCATGCTTACTCATCTGCTTCATGAGATCGGGAATCCGCCTTTGGCAGCTGATGGCGATGCCACCGACCTGGAAATTTTAAGAAGTTGAGTCCAATACGCCAGTCGATAATCGCATGAATAATGAATTGACTCGCCTGGGTATGATGATCTAAAATCGCACTGAAATCAACCATATACTATGAAATCGAGCCGTGTCCAGTAATATGCAGGTAGACCCTATGCAAATGCAAATTCACAGACATATCAAAAACACAAAGTCCAAAGATATCACATATATCATAACCAGAACCTCAATAATAATCCGCCAAACCCAGACTGGAGTAATCAGGCACAGTATCACCACACTTGAACGAAGGAGAATACGCCTTACTCGGCATAAACCCGTTCTTCCACGCCGTGCGATAACTCCACTGCGCCGCAGACTCGGTCCGCCACGTCCAGTAGAACCAGCCCTGTGCCATCTCAAAGGCAGACATTTGGGCTTCGGCGTACGTTTGAAGCCACTTTTTGTATTCGTCCGAGAAGTCGGTAACGTCGGCGTTGGCGTTGTTGCAGCTACATGTCCCTGCGTCGGCGGTGGGGCAGTATGCGGTTGATGAGCTGGTGTCGTATGTTCCTTCCCAGCGGGTACCACGGCCTACGTTGTTGAGGTACTCTGCGCAGTCGGTGTCGGCTTGGGACCATTCACCACAGATGGTGGGGCCCCATCTAGCGAGTGTGTTAGTTAAAGGTTCCGTTGGGGGGAAGGAGCAAGACGGCCGGAGGTCTTACCCCGAGCTGGTGCTGTTGATATTCTGAATCATAGAGTACCAGCTGTTGCAGATGATTTCCACCTTGGCGGTATGGTTGAGAACAATCTCACCAGTGTTAAAGGTAGTGTATTGATGGGTGTCGAGGTACATGTTATCAGGATGGTCCTTGAACATGTTATCCCACTTGTCGAGGTTGAGAAATCCATCATGGAAGACAATCGTGGCCTCAAGACCGTTCTTGCGAACAAGCTCGGCCGCTTCTTGCGTCCAATTAAGAACCTTCTCTACGGGGAGAGAGAGCATGAGGGGTTCATTAACAAGGCCGTAGATTGTCACGATATTCTTGTATCGATCCTGCGCAAAGAATTGTGACAACTGATCATGGATTTCCAAGGATCGCTTTCGGTTCAATGTACCATTTGTCCCGTCGATCCAATCGATTTTCCCTTGGTGACCACTGTGATTCCATCCATTCTGACTGCCAGGAAGACCGTGAAGATCCAGCTTCACTCGGATTCCGTATTTGCGGCAAAATTCGATCGCGCGCAAAAGGTAGCGCCAGGATATCTTGGCCACATAAGGGTCGTCGTCATAGGTTGTCACTGCCCAGTAGGAATATTGGATGCGAACATGGTCGAGTCCAGCTTCTTGAATTTCAGCAAAGTCCGACTCGGAGAGGAATGTTGCATAGTGTTTCTCGATGGTATTTGCCGCGGCAGAGCCTAGCTGCTGCGAGAGCGTCCATTCATCAATGACACTGGAAGAATAGCCTGCAAACAGAGATGGTGTAATGAAAGGTTCGATGGAGAGCCATCCACCAAGGTTGACTCCGCGAATTGGTTGCGAACCATATGGGAACTTCTGGTTTAAAGGCGGCACATTCGCGTTTGGCCTGGCAGAGTCGTCCCATGAAGAATTGAGGCCCATAATGTACAACCCACCAACGGTCTCGTTGGTGAAAGTGACATTGAAGCCTTCAGTTTCGTACCAAGTGAATGGATCAAGATACGTGCCTTGCGCATAAGACTGGAAAAGTCAATTAGTATGCATTCTGAAGCCAGGTTTGTCCAGACTTACCGGAATACTATCTTCACTAATCCCGTTGAGATTTGAGTTGGACGACGAACCTGAGCTGGACGAGCTGCTCGAGGAATTTGGACCGCCACCATTCTTATTCGCCTCTATCACAGCGACTGGGATGATAATGGCCAGTAGCAACAGCAGAGCAACAATTCCCCCAACAACCAGTCGCTTCTTCTTCGACCAAGAGGCCCAAAACTTCCACTTGGACTGTTGATTACCATCCTCGTAACTGCCATCCCATCTGTCTTCCTGCTTCCAATCATCCTCCATCGCAGGCCCACCTCCTCCACGCTTGCGCATCTTCATTTCAGGACTCCGACCTTCTTCCAAATATGCACCAGAGACAACTCGAGCTCCAGACTTATGCCTCGATCTTCCTTCGGCAATCTCTGCACCAAGAGCCCCAGCAGCAGCAACTCCCGCGCCCGCCAACGCAGCCTTTTTCCTCTGTCGTCGACGTTCACGCCGCGCCTCATCCTCCTCTCGCGAACGCTCACGGCGATCTTCCTCATCATGCTCAGACGCTAATCGCGCCATTGGGTCCGCCTTAAGCAAATGCGACGCACTGCTCGTAGACTCTGTGCTCCGATGCTTCCTAGCAACAGCCGCAGCAGCCGCAGCCTCTCGTTCCCATTCACGATCGCGCTGTTCCTCTCGCTCACGCGCCTTGCGTTGCTGTCGTCGAGCTTCGGCTTCAATATCCCGCGATCTCTCCCTCTCCCTCCCGCTTTCCTCCCCGCGCGCCCGATGCCGTCTCTCTCTCACATCCTTCGCCGGACTCCCCTCATCCTCGATATCCCGGCGCCGACGATGCCCATCCCGATCTCGCTCGCGATCTCGCTTCTTAATCGGCGACGTAGCAGGCGACTCCTTCGCTTTAGACCTCTCTTTTTCCCCCTCCCTGCGCCGCCCCTCCACAGCATCACTATAAGCACGCTCCTCCTCGCGCTCACGCCGGCGTCTCCTCTCTCTGCGTTCCCCTCTCCGCCGTTCATCGTAGTCACTCGCATCCCGCTCGCCAGTATCATAAGAATCGTAGCCCTCCTCGCCGCGGAATCGGTATTTCCCACGTGCCTGGCCAGGACTAGACACGGCGCCTTCGTCGTCTTCATCGTAGCGACCGCGGATATACTCGCGTTCGCGATCGCGTTCTCGTCGGCGCTCCCGCTCGCGCTCGCGTGCCCGGTCTCGTTCTCGCTCGCGCCCACCGTGGCGGTCCCGGCTGCGAGATTGACCCGGCATGCGAGCTACCTGGTTCGAGGAGTGTGAGGGGGCGAGTCGCTGGTGAGGGGCCTCGTGCCCTTCGGGCCGATCTTTGACTTGTTTGGCTGTTCAGTGGTAGATCTGGGGCTAATCTTTGTGGGCGAGGAATGCTGGACGAGCGGTGTTTGCGGAGCTGGCTGATTTCCCCCGCGCGACGAAACGTGTCGAGTGGTATGCGGTACGGTATTAGGCCGTTGGAATGGAGATACGGGTCAATTAGAAAGTCGCCAATCGTGACTTTGGTCGTAAGAGAGCTTGAAGGAGGCTCTGTAAGCAGAGTCGAGCTGATGGTAGAATCTCGGCGATTTGGTGTTTTGCTTTTGCCCCATGCGCATTAGTGCGGAGGGCGACGTAAACAGCAAGACAGGACACGCAATCCGGGATTGGCAGCGCTTGGCCTTGGATTGGACGAGGAAACACAGTTAGGTCGAGATGATCTGTCTCGAGATAAAGCGATGGTGCGCTTATTCTAACTTCAGTGGAATCAAGGCGGCTCGCAGCGCGTTGCGTTGCGCCGCAACTGATCCAGGTGGAGCTTTGAGGCCGTGATAGTTCACTCCCGAGCTGGTTCCTCTCAGGTCATCTCGAGAGTTGCTGATGTCAGATCAAATTCTCAAAGGCTCGAGTTACATTTACTATTTTTATAACTCCTTGTCAATATTTACTGGAAAGACTTGGCACAATATATCGTATTTCACAGAGACATGGCATTAAGGACACATTAAAATACACTTATTTCACTGGCCACCTCCGAGTACAATGCAACAAGCCCCAGTCCTTTCTAATACACCAAAGCCAGAGAAAGAGAAATGAATCACAACCCGAAGAGGAAACATGTGTCGTATCAAAAAAAAAAGTCAGGGTATGAAAACTCCAAGACAGAAAAGAAAACAGATGATTGATGAAAACGTAGCGTCGAAGAGACAATGCCTGGTTTAGGAAGGCTACCAGCATAGTCGTTGTCAATATGAATAATGGAGGAATCTGTCCACCTGTACAGTTTGTGATAATAGTTCAAGAGCAAAGCATGAATGAGTATGATGCGGAGAAAACAAGGAGAGAAATAAAAATCAATAGAATCAACAGTCGCTGGGTCCGGGGAATCTAGAAGAATGAAAATCGAGGCAGTGAATTGCAACGGGTGAGACCATCCAGAATCTTTGCTGCATGAAGATAATGCAGAATACTATGTGGTCGAGAATTATCCCCAAGTGAGGTCCAGACATAGTCTCTCCGACATGATGACAAGGTGATGATCCATCGCGAAGGTCGAGACTGGCAGTCCTCGGACTAATGGTGAAATAGATCGCAGTTTGAGGCCCTTGGTGGACCAGTGATCACAACCGGTCATGTCAGTTTTGGGAGACACAGACACGACGAGCTTCTGGGGCACACAGGAAGGTCGGGTGAGATAAGACCGAGGTAAACCCTGGTCAGTACAACAAGAACCGGTAACCCGTTCATGGAGGATTTGTCCTTGAGCTATTAAAGCCGGCCACCAATTCTTTTTTTGGCAGATCAATCTGTTCAGCTGATGATCTGTCGGGCACCTTCCTTGCCCAGAACACCTGGCTCGGTAGGCTTGGGGCTGCGATCGCGGCCCTTCTTCCTGCTCAGGAACGAGAGCATGCCGCTGTTGGCTTGCTTGCCCTTGCCCGCACCCTCGAAGCCTTCGGCCGGGAGAGTAGAGCTGTGATCAGCGAGCTCGCTCCAGCTGCCCGCTTCCTCCAGGACCATTTGTACACCGCCACCCTTGCTCATTTTCCTTGTAGCACCGCCAGGACGAGGCGCCGGGGGCAATGGGCGGTGGAAAGACGGGGCTGGAGGCATAGGTGGAGGCGGGGGGTGAGGGCGAGGCACGAGTCGAGGGTGAGGGTGGTTGGGGACCGGAGACCGAGTCATTCGGATCGAGGTTCTCGCTGACACCTGTCAGATTATCATTGTGGGAGATGGCGTGGAAGGAACGCTCATGCTGTGGTGGGGATGAGTTCCGAGCGGAGGAATCGGGTTGTGAAATTTGACGGGAATGAGAAGTAGATGTGGCGGTAGCAATTGGAAGGCAGTCTTCGGGGTTACTATAAAAAGTAAGTAAGGGAATGCCCTGTAATACAGTCGTTAGAATGGTCCACTCACGTTGACGCAGCGATAGCTTCCGCAGCATTGCCTTGGAAACTAGCCAGAGTATAGTCGAATGGCTCAAACATCGTCTCGATCAGGCGATGGAGCTCATCCTCGCGAACCTCCTTGGCGGTTGCATCTTCCCGCAGTTCCGCGCGTGGCTTTTGTCGACGAGCGCGAGCCTCCAGGGGTGCCTCTTCCAACAGTAATTCCTCCAGATCATAGGTCGCGTCGAAGTTGGTTTTGTCGCTGGAGGGACGGAAAACTGGAGAGTACTCTTTCCGCTCGAGTGCATCAAAGTCGATATCGGCAAAGAACATGTGCGAGGTGAAACTTTCGAAGCCGATGGCGCCAATACGCCGACTGCGGTCTTTCTCCATCAATGCCGCCAAGGCCCGAAGACAGGGGACGGACACGGCGGGATTGGTGACATAGTACTTTGGCTGCGCTCTCTTAATGTTCTCGCTGAGTGTCTCCTGACTGCGTCCTTCGAATGGTCGCTACATCAACGTGTTAGCCCAGTAAACGTTTGAATGCCGAATGGAAACATACCTTGTTGTAAATGCACTCATAGAAGGTAACACCTAAAGACCACCAATCGACTTCAAAGTAGTAACCGCCACCTTCATACACTTCTGGTGCAAGATAAGCCAATGTTCCCGACTTGCTCGTGAGAGGCTTCCCCGGTCGGAAGTCTGACGCCACATTCTAGATGAGGTGAGGACGATTAGTGACCGAAGGGGTAGATGTCCAGAGGTTGTGCAACATACGAAATCAGCCAAGTGAACGTGTCCCTCCGAATCCAGCAGCACATTGTCGGGCTTGAGATCACGATGAATAATGCCCTGCGAGTGGATATACCTCAGGGCACAAGCCAGCTCTGCCATCCAAAATCGCACTGCCTCCTCGGTGAAAGACTTCCGCGAAATATGAAACCGAAGATCGCCGCCATTCATCAGGTCCACCACAATGTAGCTAAAATAGGAGAAAATCAGCCCACGCACACTAGCTGAAAATGGATAGGATGGCCGAGACTCACATGTATTCCATATCCTGGAAGCTGTACCGTAAGTTGCAAAGGAACGGGTGGTTCAAGTGCTCCAGCATTCGTCGCTCACGAATGATGTTTCGTACACTCTCCGACCGGACAACTAAAGCAAAGCGAGTGAGTTTGGGTTTCAGATGGCGGGATGTCAGATAAACGCGGGGATGTAAGCATACCCTCTTCTTTGCGAATATACTTGAGGGCGAACGTCAAACCAGTATCCTTCCTCTCCACGATACGAACTTTTCCAAAGGCACCCTTGCCGACCACGCGCAGGAGGCGGAAGTGGTTGAGGTTGACTGTTTCGGGAGGGAGTCAGTATATTGCTTTTCTCAACCCGAGCCGTCGGGGCTTCTAAAGCCCTTCGACGCGTGTTCGGTTTGCAAATTGAACGGGTTCCTGCTAAACATACCCGCATCGTTGCAAGCCACCGGCTTCCCCTGAGAATTACCCATCTTGATGGGGACAAATGATGACCGTAATAAATTATTTCCACCTGATCTTTTCTCGCAACATCACACTTGGATTGTAGACCCTCGGAGATGCTATGTCGACGTCCGATGCGCCCAAGAAGGAATCTGACACGTGGAAATGGAGAAATCGAAAGTCGTAAATGGTGAAATTCAACCTCCGACGTCCATGAGAGAAGGTCGAATGTGGGATCCCGGGGGGAGGATCGCGGGAGCGGGGGTGCAATGATTCGGGTCGAGCCAGATACGGGGAATCGTGAAAAGGAATAGAGAAAAGGTAGTGGAGGGCGAATTGAGAAAATGGTTCAGCGATGCAGAAATCAGAAATGACCGGACTGCAGCAGCGCCTGGAATATGTATATTTGCGAACAAAGTGAGGGCCCGAGAGCGCAGGGGAGTCCCAAGCGCGCCGTTGGAACGGGGATCGGGAGGGTTGGAACTTGGGAAGAGGGCAAATCGGGCAAGCACCACGGGTTCGCAGGAACAATAAGAAGTGGAACGGGTGGAATCAAAAGGTGCGGTTGAATGTCTCGCAGCTGTCGCAGTTCAGTCGTCGATTTTCGACTGCTTGAAAGGAAAGAAAGGGGAGAGCGCAAGAGAGAGAGACCGAGCGGTCAGGGAAACGGGCAGGACGGGCTGGCAGTATCGGAGAACCAATCACGACCCCCACGAGAAGGAGATTCTCTAGGGAAAGGGGGATGAAGCAGGAGCAAAGCAACTTCACGCCAGTCGTCTTGGTCTGACGCTGATCGACATGGCTCTTCTACTCTTCTGGTCTAGGCGACCCCCCTTCGTGCTATGTTTAAAATGATGGTGAACGCCTTTCCCTGTCCATGCTAGCCTTCCCCAGGCTTTTCTATCACAGGGCTACACTACACTACAGTACTAAGCAACCCCAGTCCAACAACAGAACAGGACGTACAGTCGCCCAGCCTTCCCGAGGTTGTCGAGCATTACCGGAACTGGCGAAGAACTGGGGACCCACGGGAGGCGAAAAGGAAAGGGAGGAAGCACGACCAGTGGAGGAGGGTCCTGGTTTAGTTTCGACGGCGGGTTGACAAGGTGGAGGCGTTTGGATATCCAATCCACCACTGGCTGGCTACTTGCTGGCCAGTCGCCAGCTCGCCAATCGCGGCCATATCAATTGGCTATACTTACAGTGGCTACGATAGTTTCGGATATTTTGTCCACAGCACCGGTTTTCCGTCTGCTGCAACGCCTTTTTCGCTTTCCGAAACTGCTGAGTCGCTGACCTGTCAGGGCTGAGGGCTGAGGGCTGAGGGACTGTGTGTACTTACAAAAGTGGGGGCCCTAATTGCCCAGGAAGATATCGGGATCGAGCAGGACAGAGTCCATACAAGGTCTCGCCGGGTTCTTCTCCGTCTTACCAAAGAATCATGTCGGATTCATATTATTATTGACTTCTCCCTATGCAACAAAGCCTGGACTAGTTATTCAATAATGCAGCCTGCGATCGAGCCAACCGGATCCCAGGATACCCCTGCAGTACATCAGCCTAACTAACCGTACAGTACAGTCCTGGTAGGAGCATGGCCCCGTCAAATAGAGCACCACCCTTGCGACGGAATACAATGCATTCGATAGTTGGGCGACTTGATTTAAATGGAAATCAACCAGAAGTAAAAACGGGCAGCATGAGTCTGAATCACGACTGCTGTGGTTCACTGCAAGCCAACAAACTCAGTTTCTTGCCACGCGATTTGATTCTTCGAGAGTCCTTCGATCTTCGTATCTCGTGGCCGCCACGTTCTTGACCGCCCTCAACTCGGAATCTCCCATCTGCAAGCCAACCAGAGACTTGTCTCTGCGGTCTCGGCTAACGAGCTCAGCCAAACCCCCTGGCCAGATTAAGCAGATTAATCTGACTTGTCAGACTACAGTCTGGTCGACTGGTCACACAGGATCGGGCCCATCGAAGACCTACAGAACATTCGAAGGGGCTTTCCTGCGGCAGTATAGTAAATACATGACTGGTCACTTTTCCACGTTTCCTTGCACAAGAATGTCCGATCTCAGTAGCGCTAGAGACCATGCGATTTAATCTATCCAAGACCGATATTGACAATCATCACCTCGTAGCCTCATCGGGTTTCCTAAACTTCCACATAACCATCAACACGCCATTATTATTACAACATCACATGGAAAAGACAGAGATTTGTTTACAGATCACCACGGTCGCTTAGCCCACTTCCTACTGTATTAAAGTTGCCAGACCCGGCCACTCATAATCCACAGTGGGTAATAATCGACAGGATCCTGGTCCGCTGTTTCATCTGCGCCATGACAAAGAAGATGTGGTCCACGCTGAAACTGGCGGTTTCAGGTTCGCCGCCTTTTACCTTGGAGAACCCTTGTCGATTCTGAAGCAATCAGGGATTATTGTTATCTCCTATGGATATTAGAGGAAAGGGTAGGGCTAGCTGGGATTGGCTAGTATTCAGCCAATCTCTAGGAGTCTCTAAGAGACTAGGACAGCCCTCAGACTATGAATCGCATAAATCAGGTCCTCACGAATGGTGCCACAAGCAGACTTTGCTCCGGTTATGATCGGCCAGTCTATGAGTCTGTCTGTAACGTGGGCATGCAGGAATTATGCTTGAAGCTGAAGAAAGAAAGTGGGCACTTCCAAGCTGTTTATGCCCGAATAAAGCTCACCAGACTCCAGTTCTTGGCCCTCGGCGTGGCCCACAGATCGTCTGATGGTATCGAGTAGATGATTATATTTATAATTGCCGCGCTGAAAGAGCGTCTACTTTCCGATGTCAAGTGTACCCTATTGATCCTTGGCATATTCGCGGTAATACTCTCAAACGTATAATAAGGCTCCGGAGCTCATAATTCATTTCGCATGTTGCTTTATGATAACTAGTAGTAAACAGTGGAATCACTCATGAGTTATCCCCGCTTCTGTAGGTATGCGCGATCTCGATCATGTAGTAGTTATTCCTTCTCAACACAAATCTCCCATTTGAGTGACTGCTCAATAGAACACTTACCGAGATGGGCAAGTATGTATCCGCTGCACAAGCCCGAGACATCGGCATATTGCTACCAATAACTGCTATGACACCTGTTGGCCGGACTCACACAGAAACGAGCAAGAGATCTACAATCAGTAGTCACTGGTCAGGGCTGGTTCGGCAGAGTAGGCGTAGCTACTCTAACCAGATGACACTGTAGAGTCCATGGGATCGAGACTGGGATGAGGAAACCCATACGGCTTCAATTATTTTTTCAATGAGAGTCGTACAACCCACTCATGTCAATTTTAATTACACATTCTGACACTAATGATTGCTTCATCCAGTCTGTTAGCTCTAACAATCTAACAATGTTGGCATGGATGGCCATGGCCAGTCCTGTGGGTCACGGGACATCCGTACCTGCCTCGATTGTCCTTCGACGTCCAACGTCCACCATAAATTTCGCTAACTCCTCACAAGATACAATCATTGTCTATCTTCTGGTGAAGCTTTCAAGATGGATGCAGATTTATCAAATTCCTCGACGGAGGCTGTCTCGCCTCACTTCCATCCCCCAAAACGAACACTGCCACCATCCGAGACCCAGACAAGCAGAAAGAAGCCAGTCCTCATGCAGCGGCCTCAAAGCTCCGGAATCGACGTGACAGGGTTTTCGTTTGCTAGACCGGCAAATCAACCCAAGGGATTTACCCTCAAGCCCATGCCCCGATTGGCTCCTCATGCTCCCCGCGAGGATGTTGGCGCGGTGGAATCGCAGAAGCATTTGGCAAGACCAGGGAAAGAAGCGTACGTCCGACCTGCAATTCCTCTGCGATGTATAATTTGGTCTCATCTTTTTGTACTGCAATAGTCCATCCAAGTCAATTGTCGGTCCAGAGCAGCGGAGCATTGAGCAATATCTTGCCGAGGATCAACCTCAAACTGCAAAGATCCCTTGGAAGGATTCAACTCTCCCGAGCGCCGAGATCACAAGCAGAGAAGATCAGGAAACTGTGAACTCGGCGGATGGACAGGTCGTCATAGACCTGGAACCGGAAAGTGACACTGTTCTAACGACACGGGCGACCGTCAACAGCAGTATACCAGTAAGTTTCCACCACCCATGTTAATCCACAACATCTGACGGAGAAAGGCCACTGTTTCCCGGGCGACCGCATCTCAAGATCGAGACCGAAATGTATCAGTTATCCAGAATCCTCATCTTCCACGAGTCTCGACTCGACCAAAGGATACCCTCCGAGTTTCTAAGCCTCGGCGCAAGAACCGCAAGGCTGCTCTCACCCGACAGCAGAGGTCAATTTCCAGTACCAGATCAGGTCTTCATCAACTTACTGAAGATACCTTGTTCGAGATGCTCATTGACAAGATCAGACAGCGCGAGGAGAATGAGATTGCAGCTGCCAGCATTCAGCGCCGGTTGGAGGTACAAAACTTGGAGCTGAAAGAGGAGAACCAAGATATTCGCCATCAACTTGAAATAAGCGACTTGCAGTCGGTGAAAAAGGACGCAGAGATCAAAAAGCATCAGGCTCAAATGGAAGACTGGAAAGTGAAAATCCGCCGGTTCAAACAGGTTGTCGATGAGTTGGGACACGATCATGATGCTCTCAAAGAAGAGAACGAGCGATTTAAGGCAACTGCGGAAATCTTGGAAAAGGAGAAGAGCGAACTCTTCCAAGCCATTGACGATGCCAAGCTCCAGATCACTAAAGCAGAAGGGACCGCAGATGGGCAGCGCAAGGAGATCGCCGAGAAAGAACAGCGCATTAGTCTGCTAGAGCAGGCTTTGACGATGGCTCAAGACCAAGAAGAGACCACCAAAGCAGAGTTGATTAATGAACGAAAACGCGGTACCACACTGGAGTCGTATATCCAAAATTACGCTTTGACTCAAACAAAGCAGATTGGTCTAATCAGGGATGATCAGGCAAAGCTCATGCAAGAGTTCAATGCAGGACTCGATACCGCTGCCGCCAATACGACCACTTTCAAGAACGACATTATGTCCGAACTAAAGATAATATTTTGCCAGTGTCGCGATGCCATCCAGGTCTTGAATGAAAAGTATTCCGAGGAAAAGCTGGAGGTCCAAGAGTTCAAAGATAGCACCCGAGATCTGATTTCCCAGTACGTACGACAGGGACAATACCGAAGCCGAAATGCTAACTTTTTACCTCCAGGATCGAAAACCTGGCAACAGGGCTCACAAAGAGTGTCGAGACCAGCAACAGGGTCAATTTCGGCGTATCAAAAACCATTCAAGACAATTTGAATTCCATTGAGACTCATCTTGGTACCGATTCGGCCCTTTTCCAGCAGCTCGCCGAGTGTAGTGCCTCACATGGATGGCTAAAAGATAAGCTGGGGACTGTCGAGCCGACATTGGACAATCTCAGTGCTTCGGTGAAAGTCATGCTGGATTCTGGGGGCAATCTTGTTCAACAATTCGGCGACTTTGGCAACAAGCTAGAGCAAGCTCAAGTTCCAAAGGGCAATCCAGAACTGGAGAGACTGCTAACAGAGAAGTTCGCTGAAAATACGCAGCTTCAACTTGAACTCCAGAAGGTGACAACGGAGATTGACAGTCTCAAGCAGCTGGCAAGCAAGAAGGACGCAAAGATCGAAAATTTGCAACAATCTCTGGCCTCGGCAAGACGAAACTTCAAGGATACAGAGGATCGAAATCAGGTGTTGGAAATCGAGAAGATGGCTTTGAAAGGGGAAATGGAGTTGATGGATCAGAGAATCCGTCACGAATTGGCCACCGAGCATGCCACCTTCGGAAACCAGATGAAAGTACAATACGAAGAACGGTTGCACACTCTTCAGGCAGAGAAGGATGAACTTGAAAAGACTGCCAAGGTCGTAATGACTCAGATGCACGGTGTTCAGGACTCTTTGGTGGGTTATGCAGCAGCATTTATCACTAGGCAATTGCTGACTGCGTCAGATTGAGGCAAAGCGAGTAGTTGATGACATGAGAACACAGCGGGACTCACAGGTATGTATGTGCCCAATCCTCCAGATCCCAGCTGATCCATTCAGGCCCAAGAGACAGAGCAACGGATTCGAGAGCTCACCCAATCTTGCTCCGAGCATATGACGCGAGTAGATGCACAGACTCTGGAGATCCAAAAACATCAGGAATCTGAGGCCGCTTCGTGTCTGGAAAGAAATGGGCTTCAGGAGCAACTGCGGCAGGCCCAAGAAAAGATTCACGAACTCGAGCAAACATATATCATTCAATCTATAGAGAAAGAAGAGTCCCGAGTACCTCCAGCCAACATTGTTCCTTTCTCAGCTCTCGAAAATCGGCTTTCGCCTTCGCGAGCCACCTCGCCATATGGAGACCCAGCGGACTTTGCCATGCTCTTCATGTCGGATGAGCTTTTGCTTTCAACGCCACATCACAAGGGCAAGACGGACAAGGAGTCCCCAGTGCCTCAACTGGAAGCTGTTCAAGACAGCCAAAAGCCACTCGAAATGACAGATCCCGCGAAGATATTCGATATTCCCAAGGACATGGATCCGCCCGCCCCGCGAGCCAACACGAAGCGCAAGGCAGTGAATTTTGCGACACAACGAACACAGAGCGCGGAGAGTCGGAAAAAGGGTGTCATCACTCGTGTTCACTCCAACGAGGTCCAGAGTTCGATACAGGCCGTCAAAGAACCGGAGGAGCGACCTGCCAAAGTCACAAAGCATATTAACAAATGGACTTATAGTCGTATTCATGCTTCGGGGATCGAGGTTCAACAGGAGGAATCCACAGTCCCTGCTCGTGCCACAAAGGGGGTGCAGCGAGCTAGTCCGAAGGGCCTTGTCTCAGCTAGCAGCGCCAGCGAAGCAACAGGCCGACCCAATACCCGGGGTCGCGGCAAGCGGCGTTCGCAAGGTAAGTGATCCCCAATCACTTGTCTAGTGAACATACCAGTTCTGATAGCTGCAAATAGGAGACCGGTACAATGCCCGATTCAGCCAGGAAGGCTAAGGCCCTCAGCTATCGCGTATTTGGCGAAGGTATGACCCGCCTTGGGGGCTGGAAACGTGTTCGAGCTCGCTCCTGACCTTTCTTGTTATGATCGACCGACCTATTTTCGAAGGTGAAGGGAGATATGAGTTGCTAATATGTTATAATATCATACATTTGTACATGTCATCGATATTCCGGAGAAGGGAGTGCTTCCGTGGGCCATGTCTTACCCTGTGGTCGAACCAACCTGCTCAATCTCATTAAGTGAATATACCTTCTGAAGTCGCAGGGTTATGAAGCGGAATGAAATATTTATTTTCAATTCAGAACCCAAAGCTGTAATGCTCGTAACGCCAGACACAATGCTCCATCAAAAGGAAGTAGACAGTGGAGCAGCTGAGAGAGAATCGCTCTCCCTTCAACACTTCCCAGGATATAATGTACACAATAGGGCTACTCAGCCCATACACCCCCTAGACACAACCAACACAGCCTCTCGTGATATCATCCAGGTATGATTCCATGCCGAGAAAGCTCAATCCCCGATCCGAGCGCAGAGGCGAATAATTCGACGGAGCGAAAAAGCTAATCACCCCATCGCGAATAACTTCCGACACAGGTCACGCCTAAGAATCCTCAAAACTGATGAACGGGGGTATATCGAACTCGAAATCGCAAAGTCGAAAAAAAAGCGATTATTTCGCCTTTCCACCCTTGGTCGCCTCAAGGAAAAGCACCTTCTTCTTCACGACGGGATCGTACTTGAGCATGGAGAGCGGGCGGTGCGCACGAGGCCGGATCATGGTGCGGTAGAACCCGGTCATCGCCATGGAGATCAGGCGGACGGTAATGGTACGGGACTTTGCTGTTTAGAGGAGAGGTTCGTTAGCATTGGCGCTTTTCGGTCGTTGCGGGCTTCGGTCACTTTGGGGATGGTGTTTGCGCTGCGGTGTCGGCGTCGGAGTCCAGAGTGGAGTTCTGGCCATTGGATGCAGATTCGGGTGGGAGGATGATTTGGAGCAATTTGAGTACTTGGTACGTACCTTTCTTGGCCATTTTGCTCGACGTCCCGAGGAGACTCGATCGTTTCTTTGATGGGATGGAAATTCGGAGTCGCAGCGCCGGGCAAAACCGTCCACTCCGATGTTGAGTCACGTGGTGCGCTTAGTCATGCAGCTGGTGCCAAGCAGGACCTGGACCTAGTTATAGATGCCGCCTGAGCATTTACTCTTGACAACTACATTATTCACTCCATCAAATGCAAAACTACCTCAAGAGGAGACCCCTTGATTGACAAGTGGGCAAGCTAGTAGATCCTGATCTGCACCGGCAATTTCACCGGTAAACTCGGTCGGGGAACAAGGAGGTTTTGTGACTGCGCCCGGGATTCATCCCCGAGGTCGCATCAACAGTTGCTAGTGCTAAGCCTGAGACATTGCTTAACCTTCAAATCGTGCCACCGGCTGGGCCCACGGTCTACCTACCGTCTTGCATCGCTTACGCAGGTGATCCGGCAATCTTTCAGGATTGAGCTGCAGGCTCGGTGGAGATTTAGTCGAAGAAGGAAGGCTGATGGCATAGATTGAGGATATTGTCTATAGTGCATTTCTTGGTCTAGCGGTGTTTTCCGGGCACTAGATTGCCCTTTTGGTGCCGTGGGTATCTCTTCAGGAGGTTACCTCGGGCTACCCCAGACTGTGAATAAACTTGGGATCTGTCAATAGGAGGTGTTGTTTTCCAGACAGGGGCATCGTTGGGCGAGAGGGGGCTGAAACAGGGGTCCTCGTCGCGGATTTTGGACGGGGGTTACATTTTCGGCTCTCGGGTGTTTTTCTAGATTGGTGTGTCGTCTTCGAGTCAATACCTCGCAATTGGACCTGGTATACTGAAGTAGTAGACAATCTTGATAGCAATTTCTACTCTACTCTCTTGCCAAAAAAAAATGTATTCTTTGTTAGGCCCCAGCTGTGGCGCTCTCCAAGTAACGCTGAACGCAGGCTCCACCGTCATCATCCAATAAGATGCTTATGCTGCATATCCCCGAAACGTTAATCTTCTTGCACGTGTATCACTCGCCCTGGCTAATCTCTCTTGGCCAGGAACACTCGGTGCCCATACGAGACGCGGGGATCGTCGCATCCTTTTAGGGCGACTTGTGCGGTAAATGTGACGTTCAGCAGTCCTGATCCTCGGAGGGTTATTTAATGCCGCTAACCGAGGAATCGAGTATATAAGAGCTCTAGAGACCCTTAATGAAACAGGTCGATTCAGATCATAAGCTTTCAAAGTCTATTGTTATTCTGTAATCACCATGGCGATCAAGTCATCCGTCCTCGCGGCCTACTTGGCTCTTTTTGGTTCGACTCTGGCGCAGAGCGTTGACGGTTCACAGTATAATAACCCAACTGCTGGTCCTCCTGCCAGCTTCTTTGCAGCTGCAACCACCGTCCCTGTTGCTGCGTTGCAGAGTGCTGCTGCAAAGGCTAGCACGGCGGCCAAGGATGCAACTTACCCTATCAATTCGGACGGTGGAGCCCCCAAAGTTACTATCCACGGCGACTGGTCTAGCTTCAGCGAGGTATGTTGACATTCGAAAACTACTATCTGATACACTATTGAATCGAGTATCTAATATATGGAATTTATAGGGCGCTGCATTCGTTTGGGTGGCAGACATGGATGTGGACTGTGACGGCCTTGACTATAAGTGCAAGGTAAGCAAGATGACCTACGGGCGCCGAGAATCTGATACTTACTCTTTGTTCTCACAGGGCAACCCTGACGGCCAGCCTGGCACCAACTTCGGTGCTCTGGCCGCCTACGAGGTTCCATTCTTTGTGATCCCTGACAAGTTCGGCACCACCTACCAGAACATCCTTCCCGGCAACAACGTCGGCGCAGTCATTTGGTAAGCTCTTTCCCAGCTGAAATCAAAATAGAGACTAATCTTTATAAAGCAATGGCAAAATGTTCTATGGTATCTACGGCGATTCAGACGGTGATACTCCGCAAGCTATCGGGGAAGCCTCTTGGTTAATGGCTCGCACCTGTTTCCCAAATGATGACCTGAACGGTAACAGTGGCCACGGTGCTGTCGATGTCACCTGTGAGTTCGAGACAAAGACCCGCCAATGTTTCGTTTCCTCTACTAACCTACAAAAGATATCCTCTTCACCGGCAGCGACGCGGTCCTCCCGAGCAGCGCGCTGAACAAAAACTACGTTACTAACTTCAGCACCCTCCGGTCCATGGGCGACAAGCTGATCACCGCACTGGCAAAGAATCTCAACCTCGTCTCTGGCGGGGGTTCGTCTACGTCTACCACTTTGACTACGCAGGTATCTACCACTACTAGCAGTGGTACTGGTTCTACTGGAACCTCGTGCTCATGGGCTGGTCACTGTATTGGTACGTTTCGCCTCTTGACTAAGTGCATACCGTGAAAAGACGCTGATAGATATAACAGGAAGCTCTTGCTCTTCTGATAGCGACTGCTCTGATAATCTAGTTTGCACGAGTGGAAAATGTGCTTCGTCGGGATCTTCTGGTGGATCTTCTGGTGGATCTTGCTCGTGGGCTGGACATTGTGCCGGTAAGACGGCGATTCCGTGAATAGTATCAAAGTCTACGACTAACGCACTCTTTCTAGGTGCTTCTTGCTCTTCGGGTGATGATTGCTCGGATGCGTTGGTCTGCAGCAGTGGCAAGTGTGCTAGTGCTTGATAGGTTTCATTTTTGACCCGTGGAGCCTAATCTCCGGGGCGTATATAGTATGACGAGGATACTGCAGACGTACATAGCGATATAATAGAGGGAATCTTCCTTTCCCGCTGATATTCCTGGCTCTTACTTATTCTGAGTAAACGTGTATTGCAAGGTTATACTGACCCCCTGAGAATTTGGTTACTTGTATCCAGACCCTTGGAGGAACAAGTGAGCGATTCATTCGTATTTTCGGAGTTGACGGTAGACTAAAGTATGAATCTTGGAATCATAGAGGAGTACGACTTCGACTGTCCGTATAGTCAGACCACACGGTGTCGAGCAGTGTCATCACGTCACATATACAGTGGTAGTTCAAAAGTCTGAATGGAGTGACCGCAGAAAAGGTCTATGTCAGTCTGTGCCAGTCCTTCTAGGCCTTTCGAAATATCTTTCGAAATGATTCTCCCATGCACTTTAGGGCTTCAAACTTGTGAGAGCCGGATCCAACTGTACCAAAACCAGGTCATTTCATAAAGAAGAGGAATATTGTACATTCGATACAGCCCCACACGCACCTTACGACGAACTATGACTTCCAGCCAAAAGCTCCGTCTCAATGCGCCACACATGGACTACTTCCCTGTCTCCAAGTAAAGCAGGCGGGTACCCGATCGGGGAAAGACGGACAGCATCCACCAATATGGTAGTAGGAGTCCACTCCTGTATGGACAATCGATGCGGAAAGCACAGACAACGATCGTGGCGAGGCAGGTCAAAGTGTCATGAGGCTCGGGAGAGTGGATCTGGATGACTACAGTAGGCAGCGGGTCATTGAAGCGTAGATCGGATTGGCTTGGCTTTGGCTTGGCTTTGGCTTGAAGGGTAATATTACAGGCAGGCACTTAATACATAATGTAAAGTACAGTCCATAATATATGTAAGTTTGAAGGAGTGAGAAGAGGGGTAGACGAGAGTCACCTGTGTGAAACCCCTCATTACAGGAGATATATGAGATGGATACTTTGTGTAGCAAGTTCTTTCTCTTTCGAGGGTGTTCCAGTATCACCCACACGTGAGAGAATCGGGTCATGTTGTAACTTGTAAGAGGTTTGTCTGGATCAGCCCTGTGCGCCTTGTCGGGAGGTCAACCACCGGCTTGGGAAAGGTGTAAACCCCGCAGGGTGACTCACAGACCAACCTATTGGGGACTTCAATTCGATGAGAGCGAGTTGGAACTCAGCAGCTATGTACTGCAGTTATTTACAGGCTCCACACTTATACAGTATTATGCATACCAAAAAAGTCTGTTCTTGGAGTTTGAAATATGCTTGTTTTTTGGTATTTCGGTTCCCGTTCGGGCAACTATATCTAGGCATCCAGCAACACATAAAACATCATCGTAACAGGACACAAGGCCACATTGAACATCCCATAATTCACTTTCATCACAATAACAAAGGAAAACATTCATATCATATCAGAGAATACAGGAAATCCTCAAAGTCATGCAGTTCATAACTTCTCCAACGAATGTGAGTCACACACTCCATGTGCAATGATAACATGCAGGATACCGTAATGCATGAAAACAAAGTGTACTGTATTGGGGGAGTACAAACACCCTGGCACTTCTCATTGGCTACCAACCAACCCCTCCTGCATCATTCAAAGGCAGAAAGGGGCAGGTGTAGACCAATAGTGCCGAGAGTCAAATAGTAGTTCCCTCGAAGCATAGAGAGCTCCAAGCGGGAAAAGTCCCGCATCGGAGAGCCCAGGCTGGATCCTTTCCAATCTGGGAGTCCGATGTATTTCCCCCAGGATGACTGGATGGAACTGAACTGTACTGAACTGAACAGATGGGCGTCTTTTTTTTTTAGTGGGCTGCGTCCCAGAGCGCCGTTTTGTGGTAGTTCTGTATTGGTGGCTCAGGTGGGAACCACTTCGTGTGTTGGGGTTCCCAGCTGGGCATGACCGGCTTGCGGTCATTCAGGAGGGACAGTCAATGTCCACTCGGGGTGGCGTTGAAGCTGGATAGCTAGCAACTTGATCCTAGAGCATTTCGACGGATAAGGCGTTCGTTGGCAGATTACGTTGATACAGGTGCCAGTGTTCAACGGTAGTAGTCAGAGCGGCGCCGGACGTTGGTTGATTCGTAATGACGCTCGACCCGGTCCTGGCGGTCTGAATTGTACAGCGAGCCACGGCTGTTGGAGCTGCGGTTGGGCGAGGCGTGAGGAGAAGGGTAGACGACGACTCGGGGCTTGCTGCTGGACGGAGAACGCTCGATGATCCGGGTGGGCGAGGGCTGAGGGGATTGAGTGTTGGAGCGGGGAGAGCGGGGAGAGCGAGGCTCGCGGTGTTCAACCACGGGGCCAGAACGACGGGGACCCACGGGGTATGTGGCATCGTAGGAGCTGCGGATGGAGGTTGACCGGCGATGAGACGATTGTGGAGGAGTGGATGGAGGCATGACTGGAGGGGCACGGCCACGAGGCGAGGCCAGACGCATGCCCTTAGCGATGTTCTCGATCAACGTGCGAGCATGAGAGCCCTGGCGCAGGAGTTTGACACGCATGGGCTTGCCATTTTCCTTGTCCACGACGGAAAAGTGTTTGCCGTCCACGCTGTAGATATACTTGGTGACCAGGATGGCGCGAGGCTGGCCGCGGTCACAGAGGGCATCGCTGGCGGACTCGAGGGCGAAGGCGCACTGTGGGCAATGGCTCACGTGGCGCTCAAAGTCGTCGACGACCAGCTTTTCGTCGTCGTGGAGGTCCCGCACCACGACGGGGGGTTCGACGATCTCGATGGGGCCGGGCATGGTGTTGGAGCGGCCGATTCTGAAAAAGCGACGGGTGATGCCGCGACGAGGAGGATTGCCTGGATCGGTGCGCGAGAAGGGATTGAGAGAATTGGTGGTGGGGCGATTGGGCGACACCGTGACGGATTGTTGGAGGATCACGCGGGAGACGGTGGATGACCGCCGTCGAGGAGGTTGAGATGGGTGGATTGAATGGGTGTGAGATGAAGAGGATGGGAGACAGTCGAGGAAGGTAAATGGACGTGAAGCAGGATATAAGTAGTGTGGGAAGTCCAGTCAGTCAAGTGAAGATGTGAAGTATGGGAAAGCAAGTGACGATGGGAGGGGGGAGGACGGAGTTTTATAGTGTTTTAGAGTTTGTGTATACATTTGGATATACTTCGTGGGAGGGTCATGGCAGCCTGGCGGCCTGGTGGGTCTGGCGTTTGCAGATCGGGACCAGTGGATGACGGTCAGGACATGCTGCAAGTCCTTACAGTACATAAGAATAGTCATGAAAAGCATCCTCTGATAGGGTCATTCCCCCTCCTCCTGGTCTCCACGACTCCACTCCCACACCATCCTCGACTCCGAGCCAGCGCTAGCCTACTCAGAGCCGCTAGCGTGTGGCTCAGTTGACACCGCCGTGTGGACGGGGTCTGATCGCCTGATTGGCTGGCCGCCCCCAATCGACGGTCTGTTCTGTGAAAGGACAATCGTCAATACAGCATCAGTACGGAGTACACTCTCTGGACTACATCCAGAGGATAGAGCGAGTGGGGTGGCATGAAATGACATACATGTCTGTATCTTCCTCTCGCCGCCTCATCGTCATTCGTTCAAATCGTAAATCCGCCCTGTTGCCTACGCCTTTTCGTCCACACATGTCACTCCCTGCTGTGGCTTGAGCCTCTCGTGTCCCTGCGCCGCAATCAAGTCTCGTGTCCCAGTTCAGGGGACCCCCCCCAAAGAGGTCCGGTTCACGTCATCAACTTCCCTCCCATTCTGGTATACTCCAATCCTGAACCATCGCCGGAAGACAGATTCCTGTGAACTGGTGAGGACCACTGATCTCATACTCTTTCTTCACTACAGCACTACAGTACATATGCGACTCTGTCACAGATCCAACTTCCCCGCTGATTTGCCCCGCTGCCGCTGTCCTCAAATGACCAGCGTCTATTGTAACAACTTCCAAAACATCCCATTGTCCATCGATCTCACAAATATGGTTCTTGTCTCTGTTGATGCCAAAATTAAATCGATACGAGTCGGCGTTTCGAATCTTTCGACCCCCTACTCTAAGAATAGGCCCCGATCCCCGGGACTACTCTCAAGGCTGGTTCGGACCCCACGCCAATCGCCCTCCACCAGACTGAACTAGCCTCGACCTTGTCCTTGTCCACTGCCATCCCTCCCCCCTCAAACCTCATCAGCCGCAAGCCACAGTTCGAATCGTGCCCGGGCTGAACCATATCGTGCTCAAGCGAGTCAAGCCAAAATTCTGCTAAGCCTCCCAGCCACAGAATCTGCTTATCGTGACATTTGATTCGACTCCCCCGTATTCACCAGCCACGGTCTCTCCCTCTCTCTGTCCTCATTGTTGACACCTTTTCGTGCCTGGGGTCCAGGACGAGCCACCCGCTCGAACCTCTTCCCACTCTCTCTCTCTCTCTCCCCTGGGGCCAAGCCCGCTGACTTGATCAACGACAGGGCGCGATTGTCGATCCCTGGACATCCAGTGAATGGACTATTCGTGCACGATTCTCTGACATTCTAATTCTAGTCTCTTCGACTCTCCTATCTTCCTTTCAATTCTGCGTTCCAGGCCCCCGCGAATGGACCTCGTGGTCAGACTTGTTATCTCGATGCCTGGACCCCGCGCGAACTGGAACGGACTCCAAAGAACACCGCGTCCTTTTGTCTTGTCCCCAATCAACTTGGAAACTCCGATTGACTAATACTCCCCTTGTCTAGCCACCCTCTACCCGGGGTTGAACAACGGCCTCTGCTTACATGGTCGGCAATTCCCACCGTCCCTGTCCCTGCCCCTCCCAGTGACTTGGGACTCGTGGACTCGACCCTGCATTTAGGGCAACCCTGCCACTATAGACCAGATGGCTCATCCTACCCCCCAAGACCATGCCCATGTCTTTCCCTTCCCTTCTCCACCCTTCAACCAGCCCTGCCGGGCTAGCTCAATCGGTAGAGCGTGAGACTCTTAATCTCAAGGTTGCGGGTTCGACCCCCGCGTTCGGCTATTCCTACAAAAAAAACCTGAGATCTTTCTTTTTTTTTGCGTTGCAAATTTTTTTTCCATTCCTGATACCCTCGGGCCGTCCTGAGTGGCTGTGGCGGGTGGAAAAAGCCCCCACAAGTGGGGACCGGGCCGATGGGACGAACGGGGCGGTACGTCAGGAAGGGCAGATGACCATTTGACGAAGATGAGAAATCAAGGTGGAAGACGAAATTGTAGCCTGTCGGGTAGGAAAAAGCAAAGAAAGACATACAGTAGGATGACTATGTATGGAGTATGGAGTACTGTATGTACTGTACTACAGTACACCAACTGATACAAACAGGCAGAGGGGAAGGTTGTGGTGGTCGGTCCATGCGCAAGGCAGAATGTGCCCATCCCGAAAGTAGATCCTTTACAGTTTGGTTTTCAGCTGGACATGGTTCGTCTGGCCCCAAATCTATTCGAACAGGCATCAATGTGGGTAAGCAACGATGCAAATCAGATCTTGGTGAAGAATGTGGCTGACTTGCGTCTGCAAGTTAATTGATTATTAACCCAACCCTTTTGAAGAAGTTGGTCTACAGTAGTGTTCCATAAGTTTGCAACCCCTGAAGAAGTTCAAACCCATCTCATCAGCTATACTTTGAAAGGCAAGTTGAACCAAAATGCCGGGAATATCTAGCAAGAGGGTTCAAAAGACATTCAGAAAGATCTGTTAAAAACATAAAATCGAGGCATATTTAGATGGCCTTTTTGCTTGGTCCCTGGGTTCCGACTTTTGAACTGCCGCTGTACTTGCTCAGATATGTCATGTCCGTTTTGTATCGCTGTGGGCATAACTATATTTCCCGCTATTAAGATGACGCAGCCAGTATAGAGTAGACGAATTTTAGCATTCAGTTAGGTACTCGGATATGGCGGGTCGCCAAATTATGTTGTCAAGCAGCGTTGAAAATGGCGGGAATTGCCCCATTCAGATGAATATCCATGGGTGTAGTGGTCGCTGTACTCTACCTAGTATCGTCGTTCCTTTACGGGGCTGACCACATCATCTGAATCATTGGTCGGAGACTTTGTGCAGCAGGGCGCAAGATCATGCAGGCTACAGGCCATACTTCTACCTCCTCCTACTGGTAGGGTAAAAGCAGAGCCTCTTGTCTCCTGAACGACTCGGCATGCATCGTCGGGCGTCGCCCAGAAGCCTGGTTCACAGCAACCCTGTTTCGGACCAAACTCAATCATTTCCAAGAACCGCTTCCATCTCCGGACATTTCCATTGACATCGTCAGTAACCATAAAGTTAAGGTACTGTAGATTCCCATAGATCTCCTTTTGGTAACACTTGCTACGTATTTCATCTATTGATTATGCCGCTCCAAGGTATTACAATGAATCTTCGCTGCTCCCCAATTGTACTACTCCCTCTCTAACTAAGCTCGTCCAGAGTCTCCGGATCACCCAGATCAAGCTCCAACCCATCTAAACAACCTCATCAATCGCTTCCGCCCCGACCTAACCCCCTTCGAAGAAACCTACCGCCACATCCACGCCCACCCAGAACTCTCAGCCCAAGAAGAACAAACCGCCCAGTTAGCATCCACTCACCTCCAATCCCTCAACTATGAAGTCCACACCCACATCGGCGGCCACGGTGTCGCAGGAATCCTCCACAACGGGACCGGCCCCGCCGTCCTGCTCCGCGCAGACATGGACGCCCTCCCCGTAGAAGAAAAGACCGGCCTCCCCTACGCCAGCACCCGATTCGTCCAGGACGAAGATGGAGCACGCACCCCTGTCATGCACGCCTGCGGCCACGACACGCACGTCACAAGTCTCCTCGCAGTATCTACGCTCCTCCATGCCGCGCGCGAACACTGGCGCGGGACATTAATCGTCGTGTTCCAGCCGTCCGAGGAACATCTCAATGGCGCTCAGGCTATGCTACACGATGGATTTTACGAAAAAGTACCACGGCCGGATATCGTCCTCGCGCAACATGTAATGCGCATGCGCGCAGGCACGGTAAACATCCAACCTGGACCGTTACTCACCGCAGCGGACGCATTTGATATTCGCATCTTCGGACGCGGGGGCCACGGGTCTGCGCCGCAGACGACTATTGATCCGATTTTGATCGGGGCGGCTGTAGTGATGCGATTGCAGGGGATTGTGTCGAGGGAGGTTGCGCCCGGGGAAGTCGCCGTTGTTTCGTGTGGGAGTATTCAGGGCGGGAATTCGGCGAATACGATTCCTGATTATTTGGATCTGCAGCTTAGTGTGCGGACGCTCGAGGATGGGGTGAGGGAGAAGGTTTGTGCTGCGATTCATCGGGTCGTTGAGGGGGGAATGTATGGCTGCTGGGGCTGTGCAGAAGCCGAGGATTATTCGGACGGTGTCTTCGCCGGCGACTGTTAATGATGAGGTGAGTGTTGGTCGGTTGGGGGATGTGTTTCGGGAGTATTTTAGGGATGCGCTGGTGGGGATGGAGTCGCCGAGTGCGAGTGAGGATTTCTCGTTGCTGGCAACGGCTGTTGGGGCGCCGTATGTGATGTGGATGTTTGGGGGTGTGGAAGAGGAGACTTGGGATGAGGCTGTTGCGAAGGGCACGGTGAATGAGTTGCCGAGTAATCATTCGCCCTATTTTGCGCCGGTCATTCAGCCGACTCTGCGGACAGGCGTGGATGCGATGGCTCTTGGGGCATTGACTTTCTTAGGGCGGAAGTGATGGATGATGGATGAATGAATGTGTATAGGGCGATCTAGTTTTCCCTCTAGGGCTATGTTCCTTCGCGCTTTACTTTAATCTTAACTTTAATCACATTAAGAGATTTCTCGAATCAAATAAAAATGGGGTCGATTTAACAGATCCCTAGATATCATAGCCGTCAATTATAATATACTGTAATGGTTACATGTCGCTATTGCTCTATAGCAGGAGCTTACCACAGGTTTCCAAGCACAACAACCAACTTTCTTTCCCTCCGGTATACACTCACATACCAATTCCAAAGGGCTCATAGTGATTCCCTTGATCCTTTCCCACATGCACCATAATCTTTCCCCTCGCTCGCCCCGAGCGAAGCTTCTCAAATGCCTTCACCACATCCGCAAACTCAAACACGCTATCGACCTGCACCTTGACCACGCCTTCTTGCAGCCACTCTCCCAACTGCACCAACTGCCTCTGAACAGGCTTATACATCAACACAACATACCTCCTCCTTCCACCCCCAAGGAACGCCGGCCATGCCAATCGCCCAGCCTGCGTCGTCATACTCGACGCCCCAACCTGTACAAACACCCCATCCTCCTTCAAAAAGTTATGACACTGATAATACATCTCCGCCGGCGTCCCAATATGATCAAGAATATGATCAAACACAATGCCCCTCGTCTTCAACGTCCCCACAAGATCCCGCTCCGCCGTATAATCAAGAACCTCATCCGCGCCCAGCCGCAAACACAGCTCCATATTCCTCGTCGAACATATCGCCGTAACATGACACCCCATTTGCTTGGCAATCTGAATCTCAAATGTCCCACACCCACCCGACGCCCCATTAATCAACACCTTATCACCAGCACGCACATACCCCTCCAGACTCTGTAAAGCAGTCTGGCCCGCAATCCCCACTGCAGCCGCGGAATCAACCTTCACCCCCTCGGGGACAACAGCAACCTGCTCCGCCGTCACGATGGTATACTCCGCCAGCGAACCGAACTTAACCGGATGCGCCGCAGACCCAAAAACAAGCTGTCCCTCCCGGAGATGCCGCGCCAGCGGACCCGTCGTAACGACCCGGCCGCAAAAGTCCATCCCCGGGGACGCGGGCGTGCCGATGTACAGTCGTGCGGGGAGACCCAGTTCAGGGACTTTCTGGTCGGCTGGGTTGATGGATGCGGAGAGGACTTGGATTAGGACTTGGGAGCCTTGCGGGGCTGGGGGTGCGCGGGCTGTTGTGTCGAGGTGGAGGTTATTCTCCAGGCCGCCGGAGGTATTCGAGTAGAGCCAGGCTTTCATGTTTGAGGGGTGTGGTGGCGGTGGGAGGATGTCTGGATGGGTTGACATTTTGAAACTTGGGGACGTGATTAGGGAGGCAGTGGTTGGTCTGCTTATTCGCGGGGGCCCGATGTGGCCTGATTGATGCGTTGGTTGGTGGAGCAGTTTGCGATTGATTGGCGCGTCAGGGGGCTTGTGCAGGATTAAATACTGATTTTTATTGAGAGAGTGGCGAGAGGAGTGAGGTTGTCTTGATGAGTGGCCTGTCGAGGATATGCGACTGTTTCCTTTGATGCTCGATGTTTGATGTTGGTGAGGATGTGAGGGTGAGATGGTCATAGCTTCACGGCATAAACCGTGCGGGGCCGGAGATTTCGGCCCGAAGTAGGAGGTGTCTACGCTCTACAAGCTACAAGCATATTCGATTGCCAATGAGATAACCGGTCTTGATCATGTCTTCATTATGCATACATGAACAAAGTCCTCATTCAACCTCACGTCACTTCTTCAGGAATACATTCACCTTGGCAATTCCCATCGTGTCTCGCAAGAACCTCAATATCGTCCGGAACCACTGTGCCGTCTGCGCAAAGTCCTCGCTCTTAACCAGGTCATTCTGCAAGCATATCAAGCCCGTAAAGACTGGCCAGATAATTCTATATGCACACAATCCAGGAACTTCTGTTGGGGTGGCCGGGTCAGATTTCCCATCGGACGAGATGTCGAGGGCGTAGGGAACGGAGCAAGCAATTTCGATGGTGAGGGTGATTAGCACGCCCCGGCTATGGGATTGGAGGGTGGTGAGAGCGAGGATGGGAGATGAAAATGTGGATATAAACGAGAGGATCTCCATATGGAGCAAGAGTCTTGTGGCTCGGCACGCGTTCGAGTCGCATGCGGCGAGGCGATTCGGGTACCGGGTAGCGTATTTGGGCGCACCGGGGGAGGTAAGAAGTTCTCTTGTCCAGGATGGACGATGATGATTGGTAATTGGATGTGTTGAGATTTTTCCCCACTCGGGAGGTAAAGTATGGCCCCAAGATTGAAGTTTGAGATCTATAGTGAGCGCTTCCTGCACGAGGTCAAGATCGGCTGCATCCAGTTCTTCGATGGGGCTGGCGCTCCTGTATTTCGATCGTTCTCGTAAATTTGAACATGCAGCAGCGGCATCTGACATTGCAGCTACTAGTTGCTTTTTGAATGCCTGTGGGAATGGAATCTGTTGGATCCAATGTCGTAGGTGGGGCGGAGGGGCCTTTGTCTCTGCCAGATAGAAAAAGATCTAGCCGGGATCAGCCTCGGTTCTCTATCTACAGATAATCAAATAACGATGTTCATACCAAATTCATACATAGAACAGCGAGGTAGTTATCGTCATCCTTCAAATTTTTCTTATCCCGATGGGCAAGCACGGACTGGGTACCTTTCATGTGTGTGACCCAAGAACCATCACGGCTACTCGAAGTAAGCATCTAGAGGGTATTGTATTAGCTCGGACCGATTTTGAAAGCTTGAATCAGAAAAGACAATCATCTGGTAGAGCCCTACCTCGTACATCCCGAGAAGCCAAATGACCATAAGAATCTCGTCACGTTGCATTTCCACTGCACTAGTCATGGTCGTTGCCAGCCTTTGCAGCGCCTGTCCATAATGCACGCGACTCGCGCTTTTAGCCCCTGATGAGTTGCATCGTCCGTGGAAATTAGCATAAGCTACTGCAGCCACCACGGAGACTAGGCAGGAATCTGGGGTCGTTTCCCGAAGTTGCTGGCGGAGTCTGCTAAGAGTTCCCGGCCAAGGAATCACAAAGTCAAAGTAAAGGCGGTTGTATGCAAGCTCAGACAGCGGGATACCCAGACTCTTTGGAATGATAATGTTTATAATATCCACAGAGGGTTGAGCTTCCGCTCGCTGGCGCCATTTTCTGGTTGCAGCTGCTTGGGCGACCGAGTTCTGGTCTCGGTGGACGAGATCGAACTGCGATCGGTATACACAATCGTGATCACCTTTGCGACAACGATGGCAAGATGGCTTATTCTCATCGCACTGCAAGGTTCATTAGTTCCGCTCGGCATGACGGCCAATTGGTGGATTACCTTGACTTTCAGTTCGCGACACCGCCGACAGCCTTTGCTTGGGCCGCGATTGTTAGGCATTGTGGTCCGCTAGTAGTTCTTTGGCGCGTCAATTACTACATTGATGATTTTGAGCAGTTCCGAGCTCGAATATAAAGGCGAAAATGGCCGCACTGGGGGTGAAACTGTAGCTGAAGCTGGACATGAAGCTGAAGCGACGATCGATGATCGATCATTGTCACCGTCTGGACGCCTCACAGCCCCCTTTCTCGGATAGGGCAACCGCATCCATTACTTCAAAAGGCTTAGTTCCCGCCCCCATCTGCAATTCTTCAATCTTAACCAATCATCTCGAGTTAAACTTCGCGCCAGCAATCGCAGAGCTTGCCACGAATGGAATAGCGCCAACGAGGCTTGTTCCAGGGCCTTTGTTGTCGAGGCTGAGGAATGGCTAAGGCGTTTAGCTATAGGATTTGACCATCGGATGGACCGAAGCTGCAGAAAGATCAGCGAAGATCGTGGAGGCAGCCTGACGCCAACGTGGCTGCGCTGTGTCAGATTACTGCAGTACTTTAGAGATATAAAGGCTTGATCGAACCCATGCTATTCATCTCACCCCTCAGTCACGAAACTTGCTTCTTCTCTGCGGCGTGACAAGATTCTCCAATTTATTGCTTTTCTTTTTCTTCCCTTGATTCCACAAGAATTGAACTTCGTAGATTCGCAACATGGGCCTATTTCACGATTCCAGCAATGACAACACAACATGTCCAATGCCCAGGCCCCTCGTGGCTGGTTCGTCCTCACCTGGAACAAATTTGAGATAATGGCCAAGCTAATCAAGACATTCTAGATGCATCAGAAAATTTCATAGGCGAATTCACTTTCCACAAGTTCAACATGATTCTTTCCGGTGCCTGCACGGCTATTACCTGTCTGGTCATTTTGTTTGCGATGATCAAACACTCATTACGCTTCAGTAACCCAAACGAGCAGCTAAAGTACGTTTAATTACTAGAGGTGGTTCGCATCTCAGAAGTATAACTTGATCACTAATGCATCACCCTCATAGAATCATGCGAATCGCTACCTTATTACCCATCTACTCGATCCTCTCTTTTATCCCCATCTGCTTCCCGAACAGCTATGTCTACCTGACGGGCTGGATAGAAGTTATCCAGGGAATTGCGCTTTATACCTTCCTCATGCTGCTCTGCGACTTTCTTGCTCCCAACGACCGCAACCGCGTCGTCTTCTTTGCGGGCCTGAGAATCCCCAGCAGGAAGGACAAGAACGAGAAGCGCGACGGGCTGACATGGCTCCAGGTTGGTCAATCATCCCTCTTTTGTTGACTTCGGGAACTATACTTATATTGCTTGACTCAGAAAACTTGGTATTTTGTCCTTCAGTATCCCGCTGTTGCCGCTATTCTCGCTGTCGCACAATGTATCACCGAAGCCGCTGATGTCTACTGCCTTGAAAGCAACAACAGACACTTCGCTCATCTTTGGGTGCGTATAAATACCTACTATAAGACAGGGACACTTGCTAACTCACATAATATTAGCTTAATGTCATCCGAATCATATCCCTCAACTTTGCAATCATGTCCATCCTCCGATTTTACGCCAACCTCAAGTCCTATATGCAAGAGCACAAGCCATTGTTAAAGCTCCTTGCATTCAAGATGGTAGTTGGTCTTGTATTCATTGAACAGGTGAGATAGATCGCGATGAACATGTCCCATACACATGAATCTGACACGTTGTAGATTATCTTCATGATCCTGCACTCGACAGACGCTCTCAAGGAAACGTCGACAATGAGCTATGCCGATGTATACATCGGACTACCGACCATGATCATTTGCATCCAGATGGTTCCCTTCGCATTCTTCTTCAACTACGCATACTCTACAAAGCCTTACCGAGTAAGCAGCAACAGCGCCCGTTACGATAACTCCATGGAGTATCTCGCTGTTGAGGAGAACGAGGCAGGAAGGTCTTATCAATCACGCCAATATCAAGGTGGTCCTCTCGGTATCTATGCTTGGCTTGCCTTTTGCAACGCCTTGGAGTTTTTCCGCGAGATCACGTCGACATACCACATGTTTCGTGAGGGTCGGATGAGAATGGTGGACCCCATGACATCGCAGGAAAGCTATCGCATGCAGTATTCCATGTAATCCTCTGAACAGCCTTTTATCTTTGTCTTTATTTCGTGTTTTGTGCTTAGCTGCGAGGTCTATCTGCTTGATTGGAAAACCAGGAGTATGGTGTGGAACATATAGAAATCAAGTTTGAACGATTATTGTTTACGTATGTTGGTTTCGAATCATCACTGTGAATAGAACGAACTATAACCGGATTTTATGGTAGCGTTGGGCCCCTTTACGCCGGCGACGCTCCCAGATCTAGATTGCTGAATATTTCCCCGACTGATCAGGTAGTGGAGTAGAGTAATCATCATCCTCCAAGTCCAGCATTTGTATTCGGTGCGCCATATGCTCCTCGGTCTGTGCCTCAACCTGCTTCTGCATCCGACCTTCTTCTTCAAATCCCTCCTGGCTGTTGAGCTTCTCAATTGCAGCAGGCGAATCTCTATCTTGTACCCCTGCTTCTCGTTCATTGCGAAGGCGCTCTTCTTCCTGTTTTCTGTCTTCATCTGCCAAAGCAGCTTCTTCCCGTTCGATCTCACTCTGATTGAGGTCTTGTAGCCCGATGGACGTGAGAATGCTTCCTAGTAGGTACTGGTATCGAAGGTGGCCACTGATCTTTTCACTGACATCGAGGTTCTCGACGCCAGGCACACCTTCAATGGGCTGCAGGCCAGCGACACCAAACTGGAGGCTGCTAGTGCGGTAAAGGAACGCAAGAACTGAATCATTCTCCGAGAAAACATTGACAACTCTCCCACTCACGACACTGCGAATACGGCGCCATGCTTCGCCATCTGATGGGGTCGGTGAGCCCATGAGAATGACGGACTCAACCAGTCCGTACGCGCTTCGTCGACATAGGCTTTGCAAACAAGAGTAAATCAGGCGAGATCCCAGGGAGTAGCCAATCAGCGTAACCGGTCGTTCACCCTGGGCCTTATTGATGAGAGCGTCTGCCAGGATCTCACCAGCCTTGTCGGCTCGGGATTTAGCAACGCTGAATGGATTATCGACCACACGAGCGACTTTCATGAGGCCCAGTGGCAGCATCACCGCACTCATAATAGCAGCGAAGAATGTTCGACTGAGAATTTCTCGGCCAGCTACTGACCATGCCGCACTGGTCACCAGGGCAGATATTGCATTTCCGAGGTTCATTAGAGATTTAGTCTCCCAGCGCAGGGCGAAAACTTCCGAGTCGGTTCCAACAACGCGCCATGGAACCACAAAGTCTGGCTCTTCTTTCACCCACCCGGTGACGCCAATCGTGACTCGAAGACGGTGATCTTGCCGAGCAGCTTCGCTTTCATTTTCCGTTTTCTGCTTCCGTGCACCTCGAATTGGAATGAATGCAAAGTCTTCGACTTCGCGAGCATACTTGTCCATCATGCGGCCAGTCATGCGGCCACCATAGGCTCCGAAGAGACCTCCAACAAGCACGCTGCTCCCAGCAAGAGCACCTAGATACCCGGCCGCCGCAGTAGCACCAAGTCCTAATCCGCCCATGATGCCTCCAATTCCTGCGGCTACCAGTGGCGCCGCAAGACCGCCGGTGATACCAATGAGGGCAGCACCGGCAACTGAAGCAATCCCAACCTTCCATACTCGGCTATTGTCTTTCTTCTTAGGTTCAGGCTTGTTGTCTGACTCTTGCGGGAGTGCCAGAACAGTGTCTAGTAGTCCACGTGCCACTTTGGTCTCGTTCTCGTTGAGCACTTTCACGTCAATTTCCAAGCTGGATGAGACGTATAGCAGCAACACCCGAGAGTATGCACTGTAGTGCTTCAAACTGAGCAGTAGTAATAAAAGAGAATGCAAAATGAGCAGTCTGGTCGCCTTGGGAAGGTCCAGTAGCGGTGTCTCAATTGGATGGTAAACTTGACGCATTTTGTCTATTCTCTCCTCATCCTCTTCTAACGGGAGGTCATCAGACTTGGCAGCATCCGAGCTGCCCTTTTCCTGTGGCTCATCATCCCTGTTGACAACCTCACCAATTCGTAATAGAACCGAGTCTCTCCAATTTTCAAAATGCGAAAGCGTCCTGTTCTTGGCGCGGGCTTTAGCCGCTGCAGCAGTAGCATTCCTCCTAGGACCGGGACCGGGACTGGGTCGTTGTCGCTGTTCTCGCTGTGTCGCGCCTTCTCCCGAGGCTGGACTTGATCCATCTTGTGGCCTGGCAAGTAGCGGTGGTGCTTCGTCGTCCTTTTCAGGGCTCGGACTCTGACGAGGCGAGGGTTCATCTGTTGTGGGATTTGGCTCTGGAGTTTCAAATACTTCAAGGAGCGCAACTCGCATTGATTCCGCGATTTCCGCTACCAATACTGTGAGATCGGCTCGTTGCGACCGGTCCAGTATTGACGTCAGATCTTGTCCACGATCACTACCCGCAGTAGCGGAGGATGTGTTATTGGATTGTTTGGGCTCGAAGAGCGACGCATGTTTTTCTTTGAAGTTTTTGAACATTGGGAAAAGGGACAAAGATTCGATTTGGCCTTGACTGACTTTATATTCGGCAAGATGATGCAGTGAATCCTGGAAGTAGCGTTGTAAAGAGGGGCTGGCATCCTTGCGGGGGCCAAACGACCCTTGAAACCTCAGGCATCAAGATAGGCCGAAAGCAGCACCTAGCCAACTACAAACTCAAGGACGGGGGCGAATAAATTCGAGATCTATAGTCGATGCATACTAGTCAGGAAAAAATCATAATTCTATCTCTGTTCTTATATCTCTCGTACCTCTTCTGACCCCTTTTGGAACTATCATGTGAGGGTTAACTGGATGTCCTATATTCATCATACTAGGAATTTTGATCAAGGGTGATCTATGAAAATTCACAGAGATATGTACTCCCTGATCCTTCATGATATCTCCCAAAATTCCTTTGTTTATCGGCGCACTCTTGTTTCAAGAACTGATTCGTTGCCCCGGGGAGAACTCCAAATTTGCACCAGTTCCAGACCTACTTGACTGAAAAGACTCTTCCATTGCGATACAGTTCGTTCCAGTCCCGCCGTATGAAGCCACATGAGGATATCCATTTCGGCAGCCCGAAGCTCGGAGCCAGTGTCTGGAAGAACATAGTCATCGATCAATAGGGTTGAGTACTCAGGGTCCATTGCTTCAACAATTCGAGACAAAATTTGAGCGCTCTTGGCATCGGACCAATTATGCAAGACATCGCGAAGAAAGTAGATTCGGGACCCTATAGCTCGTGGCTTAGTTAAAGATCCAGCTCATTTTGTTGGTAAGAGAAAAATGGGCATACCTTTGACGGGCTGAGGAGTGAAAAAGTCATACTCCATCGTTTCGACTCCATCAGGCAATTTCTCAACCCGTTTTAGGGTCAAGGGCAGATCTTGTAGGACGAATCGCCCTGGAAGTTCGGGATTCTTTTCCTTGAATCGTGCAATCTCTTGTCCTGGTCCTCCACCCACGTCTACCATGAGAGTTGCTCCAGACTCCGTTCGAGCATCCTGTACCATCTCTGCTGCAGGGTAAATGTCAAACCATTGTGGCAAATCATCCACACGCCGTGCTGCCATGTAGTCATCGAAGGCTTGTTTCTGCTCAGCATTCTTCTCAAGCAGTCCAAAGATGACATCTGTTCCATGGGCGTATTTGAACAAAGTGATGGCATCAGGCTCGTCTGCAAACTGTTGGATTCCAGGACCTCGCATGTACTCGACCAATTTCCCACCCTGTAGCCGTTAGTTTCAACATGCGCGCATGTGGTTGAAGCGTGTTCGATCTCACCATTCCAAAGTCTAAATCAAAGCTGGACGTGTTTCAGCAAGTCTCGTGGTACACCATTCTGATCGGGTCAAGCCACTTACTGGTGTTTCTCAGCCGCGATTGATCCAGGTAAAATCTTGAACCGAGTCCTCTCATTGGCAGCATAGAGCTGGTTGCCAACCTCATCGCAGAGGCCAATAGCTGTTAAGACACGCATAATTCTAATTGTGAGAAGAATATCCGATTTGGTCTCCTGGGAGATCTCCGTGGCCGAAATGGGCTGACCATTTCTGGCAACGATGACATGAAGATATCCATATTCAACGGCGACACGGATGGAGATGTTTTGCATAATCTGTGCAACCAAGATGTCAGATACAAGCCTATACAAGATGCAAGAGCTGTCATTCTCCTGCTTACTTGAAAGTTAAGCCGGGATGTTGTTTCGAGAGGGGTCTCTGCAGCTAGCTGTAATTCGCGAATAGCCTTGAGAAGATCGGCATGAGAATCCTTATCTCCTGCTGCCTCCTTGGCAGCAAGAGTCTGGACTCTAGCGAGCACTTCCGACAGTGACATTTTTGCAAATAAGTCGAGACTTTAAAGGGATAAGGGCCTTGCAATCTATGGAGAGGGAAGAACGAGAGCGACGCGGACAATATAGCGGATGCCAAGTTAAGGACAGAGACGTTAACACAATAATATGGAGCGGGGAAGTTGATCTATCAGATCCACTCGCATGCTAAGCTGACTACTATAACAAACCACTTTCGACCCAAGTGGAATCGGGGAGACCCTTCTTTCATGCGGGAGCCCCCTGTCTAGCTGAGTCAAGGTGTTCCATCCACTAAGTTAACTACACTATGTTAACTAAACTAAGTTAAGTATCCCACCAGCAGGGGTATGTGCCCAACTCATAACCACAAACTTTCAAGTACATAAAAGAATATTTTGAAGGCAAGCTTCTTGGTCTCGGGGAGGCACCGCTTAACTCCAAAATTCAGGCGAGAATTGAAGTTTGATCTGAGCTCCCTTGCATAGGAAATGCAAGCCACATGATACGCGACTTTTGCCACGGTCGTCCATTGTATGCTAACTCGGGTTTTCTACCCCTAGAATCAATGATGAAGTACTGTAACTCCTGAATAGGTCCTATTTTTGGTGTCATCTAGCCATCGAGCCCGGGGAGTGAGACGGAGGCATAATCAAAAAATGGATGCTTTCACAGTCCAGAGTAATAACCTTTACAATGACGGCGGCATGTCTTTACCCGCCGAGCCGAATGTGACATTGTATCATTGGAAGAGCCCAATATGCAGTTGCAGGGATCGTGAAAGCTGGCATCCGTTCCAATTGCTGTAAATTACAAACTGTTCGGAAGGATTCTGTCGGTGATCTTCGAGTCAAACCCGCCTTGACTCTCAGAAGCAGGGCATCTCTTGGTACTGCTCGCTTCCCGATAACACTATATACTGCGAGAAACGTAGGTCATGTAACAGAAGAATTAATATTTGAGTTAGATGATGCAACAATAATATCATGACATCTAGTTTCGGAGACTGGCAAACTTCCTCTTTTCATGCAAAACTCCACATAGTGATTCCGATTAACTTGACTCGCCATTGCAATGCTCGGATATCACACTCGTGTTTTTCGTCACCAAGATGTGCTTAATATCGCTCGGAGACGATTCCCCACGTAAAATCTGCTCTGTATCATGACTTGCATCTGCATAAGTAGAGCTCTGGGAGGCCCATGTTCCCGGGGTCTGCTCATTCAACTGCACCCAAGACTCGCGCTTAGGATTACTCCCGTCGCGATATCCACTACCAGTATTGCTGCGATTCTTCGAGGAGTAGCCAGTTGCACTCTTGATGTCCTGGGTAAATCGAACGAAAAATGGTCGTAGAACGGGAATTGATCCGAAAATGATGATGAACCACATTTCGGTCAGGACCCAAGTGTTGAGTTGGTATATCGCGTAGGTGAGGTCGTCGACGTGCGTGATGGACGCAATAGCAATGGTCTTGTTGATTCCTGCTATACCGGCACTTTGAGAAAGTTAGAGTTGCCCAAACTTTTCAAATCGCAGTTGAGGACTCACATCAAGCCTCCTCCCATGATGAGACACAGTCCAATTTTGGTCGATAACTTCATCAATTGAAGCCTGCCAATGATGTACACGGGGTAGGCAGCCAGGAAGAAGTCAGAGAAAGCTCCAATACCTAAGCATAATCAGAATCTGATAATTATTAAATTATGATGATCATCCCATACTGCCTTGAACGAAGCCCACTTTGGAGCAAATATCAATCATATCACACTTGCCAGGGAGATCGATATCCCATAGTTTCTCGGTTGGCGTGCATTGTTTGAAGATCAAGATAATTTCGATGAAATTGATAAGAGCCTGAATACCTCCAACGCCATAAAGAAGATATTTGCTCTTGCTCTTCGTTCTGTTCTGGATCGTCATGAGAAATGCGATGACGGCGATTCTGGCAATGACTAGATCAATGATGGCGAGTATTTGAGCGATCCAGCTCCATAGGTTTGTTTTGACAATATCGTCGTAGTCGAGACGGTCCTGATGATTACCGAGTCCGTAGCGGGCACTCACTGTCATTGTTACCTGGGCTGCCAAGGCGACAGTCTTATTGAGTCAGTTCCTCCCTGCGAGGCTGGGTATAGAGATGAGCCACGTACAAAGGCCAATATGACCCACACGAAATCCCATCGTAGTCCGAATATACCGGACGAAAGCTGACCTTGGGGATATACTGAAGCAGTCTTGGCTCGTAGAATAAACAGAATAAAGGCAAGACTCATCTCTGCCCAAGTCACCCCTAGAATCAAGGGGCCTTTGCCTCCATAGGAGACACTTAGGGACTGCGTCATGACCGCGCGACGGAAGTCTTGGGTGAAAGCTTGGGGAGCATGAGCATGTTATGAAGGCAAGTATCAAGCAGAGGCAATAACTCCGTATTTGTTGTTTAATTTAGGGCAATGGGTTGTTGTCGGTGCAAGCAAACCTTGGGAGGGCCTCCTTCCGAGCATCAACCCTTCCCAATTCCCAATCAAGGCAACGCATAACGAATGCTTAGCTAATAACGAGCTCCTCGCGGACGTTATCATTCTCAACCAGCTGGGTGCAGCTCTGTGTTACAATTATTGTACAATCACGGTACGATTGTGAATGCGAGATATTCTGGGCAGCTCAGATCAGTGGGACCAGCTGGCAGCCATTCGATACATCACGTCTCCACTCCGAACCTAAAGGCTGGGGGCTGTCTACCCGGTCAATCTCCCACACTTAGCGCGCCCTAGTTGGTGGGGACTGTCTGGGGTGTGAACTAGCTTTGGCGAACCATCCCTTGAGGCGCCATGCACGGAGCCCTTTATGACCACAGCCTCCGAAAGGCTTGGTTTTACAAAGAAAGTATGCACGGAGCGTACATGCAGCCCCAATATAGGGGTAGGCCATCCTACCTATGCAATTTCGAAACCCTTTTTCGAGTGGGAGTGGGCCGTCGCTACTTGCAACTACGCAATTCTTCCAATCCCTAGCAATTGGCATGGATCGACAACGAGGGGTTGTCAGACACCTTCGGTCTCAGAGACACGGACATTTTATGATGTATTGTAAGTCGTGATCGTGAACTTCCATGCAACTTGCGCGTAGTTTCGGAGATAAATCAATGCCCGAGTGGATGGCCCCCTGGATTGACCCGTCTCAATCATTCAGAGGCATCTGAGAGCCAAATCATATTCAGTTGTTGTTGGCGCCACTTCAAAAGGACTCTTGTTCTTTCACTTAACCCCTACTAGGGGTATCTGTATTCCTAGTCTGGTCATGGCGTGGCAGCACGACTGTCAGAGAGATGAGTCCGAGGACCCTGCTATTATTACGTTTTCAGTTCATGTTCTCCCGCATTCATCGTCCAAATCCCTCTGGCTAGTATACCATGATGACTTCCCAGCTAATTGTGCCAGCTGAAAAACCACACCTTCATCTTGATACAACAGATATCAACGAGGAAATGGAAGCCCTCGAGGGTTACGTGGTTGATCCCAGCCGCTATTCAGATCAAGCTTCCCAGCTGAAAATCAGCGCCGACGGTCGCTATGTTCTCATACCACAGCCGTTAGACACGCCTGACGATCCTCTAAACTGGAGCAACAATAAAAAGTGGTTGACTGTGGCTATCATCGCATACATCGCGCTCTTGGCAGACTATACAGGCGGTGCAGCTATTATCACAGTGATCCCTCAGTCAATGTAAGTCAGCAAGCCAAGTATAAAGCCCCTTGAAGTGTGACTTACACCCTGAAACAGAGAGTGGAAATTACCACAAGAAATAGCTCAGAGAGCCGTGGTAGGCAATCTCTTCACCATCGGCGCATGTGGACTGTTCGTCGTCCCGTTGGCCAGCTACTTTGGCCGCTGGCCAGTCACCCTAGTCTTCCAATGTGCCATGCTAGGAACGTGTGTCTGGTCAGCTGCAGCAACAAGCTTTCGCTCCTATCTCGCAGCACGCATCATCAATGGCTTTTTCTGCAGCGTTGGGCAAGGTGGAGCTCTAATGTGGATCAAAGATCTATTCTTCTTTCATCAGCACCCACAAGTCATCAACTATGTCGAGTTCTCTATCATCCTCAGTCCATATTTGGGTCCACTGGTCACCTCATTCATTGTGTCAAGTGTCAGCTGGAGATGGGCCTTCTGGGTGTGCACAATTCTTGCTGGAGTTGGCCTTGTTGCGGTTTTCTTCCTGGATGAAACTCATTTTGATCGAAAAAATCTTCCTTCTTCTCGTGGATCATATATCACACGGCTAGTTGGACTTCAACAAGCTAAAGCTCCATCGAAGGACTTTGTTCAGTCCATGGCCCGCCCAATGGTTGCTATCACGAAGATTCCCGTGTTAACCATTCTCATCTACTACTTTTTGAACTTTGCCTGGGTTATTGGCGTTAATACGACCATTGGGATCTGGTTGACTAATTTTTATCATTTCTCAACACGAGGAATTGGTTAGTTCCCATCTGATTGACAGCGAACTTCGCCCCAAGGGCCTGAATTGACAACCAAGTAGGCTACTTCTATTTTTTCGGTATTATTGGCTGCCTGATCGGCTGGTTTGCTGGCCACTTTCTACATGATGCTGTCGGACGCTACTACACCAAGCGACACGCTGGCCGTCTTGACCCCGAAGCTCGACTGATCATAACATACCCTGCAACTCTCATCTGCTGTGCAAGCTTGATTATTCTAGGCTTCGCCTTAGAAAAACATTGGCACTATATGGTAATTGCAGTATTTGCAGCCGCTCAATGTGTCGGGGTGATGATCGTCACAACGGCCATCAATGCATACCTGTTGGACTGCTACCCTGAAGGATCTGGAGAGGTCGGCGCATGGGTCACGGCCAGTCGCAATTGGGCTGGCTTCATGGCGACGTATATCCAGATTGACTGGGTGGCGCGCATTGGACCTGCCAAAGCTCTTGGGATCCAGGCAGCTGTCACATTCGGATCTTTATGTTTTATGGGTTTTCTGCAGATGTATGGGAAGCGGATGAGGCAGTGGCAGGGGCGAATGGTATTTGGAGAGAAATGATGGAAAGTTCAAAGGGCCATGCTTGCTAGTCTTTCGTAAATATGACCGGCCGTGGAAGTACATAATGTTACATACGACTAGAGAAGTTATGAGCCTGCAAATATCACGATACGATGGCATCAATTCAACTGCGAGATCTGGAATAACTAAGGGCAGGAAAAAAGCTGCCTGGGGGTATAGCATAATATAGTACACGTAAAGAACACAAGCTGAACGGCCATCGGCCGATTGGCATACGGTTTGATAGCCCAAGGACAAGAACCAACATGATTATGAAGCTTGGCCGGTTCCCGTCTCAACAACGAAGTAAGGTCCCTTCTTCTTGGATGCAGAGTCAAGAGCATTTCCATTCCATATGTCCTCTTCGGGGCGACCATTCCTTGCGCTTGGTACGCGCTGAACTCTTCGCCGTCGCCCACTCACGTGCTCTTTAGCCAAGGCATCTTTGAGCCGCTCAAGCCCAATAGTCGTCTCCTTCACTGCGGCCGGGCTCTCATCCCGAATACTGCGCAATGGCTCAACACCCGTGGTATCAACTCGCTGCATTTCTTGCACAAAGTGAATTTGTGACTCGAGGGTCCGTAACATGGATTGTTCTTCGTCTGGGTTGGATGGTTGGGGGAGAGCTGATAGGCGCAGAAGATGGCGCAACTTTTGCGGTGTGATAGACGTCGTTGATTGCTCTGCTGTCTTGCCTGGAAGTAGAGATCGGACAGACCAGCTTGGCTCAGCCAAGATCGATTCGATATCGAGGTTCTGGGGTTTGGACGAGTAGCGGCGTGGGAGACAAGGATTGCGAGCGAGTGACTGCCACAGACAGGCGCCTGCACGATAGTTTGGCATTGTCGTAGTTGTAGTTAAAGTCCTATGGGTAGAAACTCATAGCGAATCAATGGCTTTGCGAACAGAATTGACCACAGGTCGTTGCAATTATCGCGCGCAAGTGGGACGTGGAGAAGCAGAGCTGCGGGCGACCAAAAAGACACCGCCTCGGACCCGCCGATCGATGCTCTCATCAACATCACCAATCCACCTGGCCTTCCCCTCCTCCACCTGCAAATCAACTGCGGATTCGCCTCTGCAGATTATCACAAATTACTTTGCCCACCATGGCCCAAGATCCCCGTGCCCTCCTGCAAAAAGTGAGCTCGCTCCATGCTCTCCCCATCTGCTGGTGCCTCTAGCTAGGCAATGATGAAAGCCTAGCATAGCTGACCACGTCTCGCACCCCGCGAGCATTCAGGCCGATAAAACCCTCTCCGGCGCCTCAGGCGGCTTCAGTTGGTTTGGTGGACGGTCCGAGAAATACGAAAATGCCGCCGATCTGTACACCCAGGCTGCTAATGCCTTTCGAGTACAGAAGATGAGTGAGATTCCCCCACGCCGCCACGCCCGTTGCCCGCTCGCTCGCATTTACTGTCATGTACCTCGTTACTAACGACACCGTCTCTCTCGCGCAACAGATAAGGAAGCTGGTCAAGCCTTTGAGAAAGCAGCTTCCATTCAAACCCAAAACCTCAACGAGCCCGATGACGCCGCCAATACTCTCCAGGAAGCGTTCAAGGTGTACCGCAAATCGGACCCGGAGGATGCAGCCCGTGTCCTGACCAGCGCTATCAATCACTATGTACTACGCGGAAACCTGCGCCGTGCCGCAACACAGCAGCAGTATCTGGCGGAGCTGTACGAGGTCGAGCTCGGTAATATGAAGAAGGCTTTGGAGGCTTATGAGAAAGCGGCGGAATGGTTCGAGGGCGACAATGCCGAGGCGTATGTATCCTTTGCTCTTCAAATCCGGACAGCAACCGATACAGCTAACAATTGACCCCGATTAGCCTTGCGAACAAGCACTTCCTGAAGGTGGCGGACCTGGCTGCCCTGGAGGAGGACTACTACAAGTCGATCACAAACTATGAGCGCATTGCCCGTCAGTCGATCACGAACAACCTTATGAAGTGGTCCGTGAAAGACTACTTCTTGAAGGCAGGAATCTGCCACCTCGCCACAAAGGTGTGTTGAGAAATCAATCCCCGGTCGTCCATCTACAAACTGCTAATCTATCTACTTCAGGACCTGGTCGAGACTACACGAGCTCTTGAGACTTACCGCGAGATCGATCCTGCCTTTGCCTCGACCCGAGAGCACCAACTTCTGGTCGACCTGCTTCAGGCAGTAGAATCTGGGGACCAGGAAGGCTTCGCCGATAAGCTCTTCCAATATGACCAGCTCAGTAAGCTGGACAAGTGGAAGACTACCCTTCTGCTGCGGGTCAAGAACAATATCGAAGAGGCGGAAGAGGACTTCTCGTAGACGGTGCTTGGATTTATTTTCTACGTTTGATTCCCCGCCTATGCTGTGCAAAGTTATTTGGAGGACTTTCTGGTGCCAAATGTTATGCTTTCTTGCGTATCTAATCGCCTTTCTGACGCTATTGTCCAGCTTGGAAACGAATACAGGTTGTTGGTGATTTTATTTGACATAATTACGGTGATGAGCAATCGTGTAGATGGGAGCCGGTGCAGTTTAAATTCGATGGTTAGACCAGGATGATGGTAAGATGGAAAATCGTAATTCATTATGAAGTGTTTCAAGTCTATTTACTTTTGTGAGGTGCATCGTGACGCCAATCCTAGTGGTTCAAACATCGAGGTAATATGTCTCATCAACTCATATAAGTTCGAAAGTATCATCCCGTCCATCTGTTCAATGCATGACATGGCTGCAATTACAGAACCTCTTCCAGGGCCTTTGCCCGCCGAGGGAAGACACGCTTGTACAAACTGATGCCAATAGAGTCCTGAGGGTTGATCTTGGCATCGAAGGTAGCCTTGAAGTAACCGTGAGTACCCAGGCTCTCCTTCATATATCCACTGCGGCCACGGCGAGTCCAGAGCTGCAGTGCCTTGAACCACTGCACGTCCTCCGAGTTGAAGAACATGTACCTGACAGTGACGACCTTCTTGTGGATCTTGTATGGGTGACCCGTGAGGATAGCACGCTTGGCGATGACACGGTTCGGGTCTGGTGAGATGACCGTGCCGGTACCGATGAGCTCCAAGCGATCCATAGAAAGAGCCTCTGGTTGGGCATCGGCCGATTCGAGTACCTCTGGGTCTTCCTCGACTTGCTTGTTCCTGAAGACGAGGATAGGAACAGCGCCCCAGGTCATGGGGCCAATCCAGGTAGCGACCGCGCTGCGGCCGGGGTGTAAGAAGCGGTCGAACTTGTGGACATTGTTCGGGGTGTTGTCGCCGGCCGAGAAGACAGGGTTGACAATCATGCGGCGGGCGCCAATCTGCACAACGAGTTGCTCCTTAGACCTGACGGGCTTCTCGATGCTGGAGTTCAAAGTCATGTTGACGTTGACAACGGTGTGCTTGTGCTCGTGGCGCAAGAGAGAGAAGAGGGAGAGAGGCTGAGCCTTGTGGCGGAGGGAGGCAGGGACTGCACGGAGATGCACCTCCACGCGCACCCCAGGGTTGACGCCGCCCACAAGGGCTTCGCGGATGATACGGTTCTTCGTGCCCTTGTAGTCGCCGAACTGCAGGAGTCGGCGCCAGTCTTCAGGCTCAAATGGACGGTCTTCGGACGTCTCCCACGGGCTGATCTTCATGTTCTTCAAGCCGCGGAACCGAGCCAAACGCTCTCGGGCGAGCACATTGGGGTGCAATTCGATCTCGTCGGGGAACTCAAGGTCATCCTCGGCATCAGTACGGCGGCTCTTACGGTACTCTGCCAGCTCTTGGGCCTCGTCCTCTGGAGATGGGTCCAGGAACATCTCGGACTGAGGGTACTCTGAAGGACCGCCCTCTGTCATAGCATCTTCCTTGTCTGCGAAGAAACCATCCTCAGGCGCGCCAGTGACATCCATCTCCATATCTTCATCGTCATCCTCATCAACCAGATCAGACCCAGAGTCTGAAACATCGTCGAGATACCAAGCAGACTGGTACTCGGAGGTACCCTTGGGCAATCGCTTGGGCTTGGCGGGAATGTGCGAGTCGTCATCGGAGAAGTAGTGGTGATCATCGAGCAGAACACCCTTCTTCTCAGTATCGGCAACGGAAACCATGTCATCGTCCATCATCTCGATTTCCTCGGGAGCAACGGTTGCCATGTCATCCTGGTCAGCAGTAGGGGTTTCCAGGGTCTGTGTACTGTCAGTGCCATCGACATTCATGGCATCATCACGCTTGTTCTTGGTCGTTTGCAAAGAAGCCGCAGTGATCGAGTCGATCTGGAAGTCACCCCAGCCGGGAATATGAGCGATACGGTCGGCCTTCAAGCCCTTTCCACGGACGACACCAGTAATCACGACATCGTCCACAACCTCCGCGCTAGCATTAGGCCACTGGACTTCCTCAATGAACATCCAGCTACGCTCATCACGCCAACGGATACCCTTAGGGGTGGCAGTGCAAAGAGAGCGAATTGCATTAGAGCATTCCTGGCGGGAATCGAGGGACATGACCTTCTCGACTGTGGGGAAGAAGTGGTTGATGAAGGACTTGAGAGAAGAGGCCACCTGTGGTCTTCTCTTGGCGGGGTTGACTTGATCCAGTCCCTGGACCACAGTCACAACGTTGGAGATACCCTGGCTCTCAATGGAACGCAGCAGCAGCTCACCTTCCTCCTCAACCTCGACTTCGGCAGACAAGATCAGCACCACAAAGTCGGCCATGCGGCAGACATCCATAGCATTGACAAGGTCAAATTTGGAAGGGATGTATTGGACGCTCTGGCGGAATCGATCGACGCGCACTCGAGTAGGTCCCTCGGCGGAAATCTCGCTAGTAATATCGACACTTTCGTTCAGCGCACGGATTACGGCGTTGGTATCAATATCGCTGGAAAGCGGGACAATGGCGACATGACGGGGAGCTCCATGTTGACCAGTGAAAATACTGGTGGCTTGGGCTTTCTCTTGGTGCTTCAATAGCTGCCTCTGGCGGGCTTGGTTGCGGCGATCGAGTTTCGACTTCAGTTGTTGGTGGGGGGTTTTGCGACTGCCCCGCTCTGTCTCGACCTTGCCTGTCATTTGTGTTAGTACATGCAAAGCAGAATTTCTGAATTGGGAAAGTCCTTCATATCATCCTTACCCTTTGCCTTCTCTTTCAAAGCGCTCTTGGAGGCATGCTTGGTCTTGAAAGGCTTTTGGGAAACCTTGGTGGTGGACCGATGGTGGTGCACCTGGGTGGGCGCCATATTGGCACTGGACCCTTTGAATCGAAAGGGCAGGGAGTCCAGATTGAAGTGAGAAGAAAGCAGCTATTCGATAGCTCAATCTGGAAAATCCCACAAAGAAATGAACGAGATTGAAAGCGTTCGATCTTCCGGACAGGAAAATAAAAAAAAATGGCGATAAGAAAACAAAATTCGGCAGTGGAGAGGATAAGCGAGCGGTGAGCGCAAATCTTGGCGCAATTTTTCTGCTTAACCTTTTCTCCGCGCTTGCGACTTTTTTTCGAGCAGGTTGACGAATACCCCAAACTACTTACGAAAATGGCGGATTCAGCCTCGAAAAAGGCTGTTGTCACGGCTGAGGACCGAGCTGCCAAACAGAGACTTGCTGAAGCCCAGAAGGCCTATGGACGTGGCAAAGCAAACTCGGTCAAGAATGTCCGCGACAAAAAGATCCGCGGAACTCTCAAAGAGCAGGAAAACAGACACAAGGAAGCAATTCTCAAGGCCAAGGATGCAGAGATTCTTCTTGAGCACGAGGCTGGATTCTTGGAGCCAGAAGGGGAGCTTGAGAGAACCTACAAGGTTCGACAGGACGAGATCAAGGACAGCGTCGGATTGGAGACGGCGAAGAAAGGTTTCGAGCTGAGATTGACGGAGGCCGGACCCTATCGCGCAGATTATACTCGCAACGGACGCAATCTTTTGCTGGCTGGACGAAAGGGACATGTTGCGACAATGGACTGGCGTGATGGCAAGCTGGGCTGCGAGCTTCAGCTGGGCGAAACGGTTCGAGATGCGCGGTGGCTGCACAATAACCAGTTCTTTGCGGTTGCGCAGAAGAAGTATGCCTACATTTACGACCACAATGGTGTTGAGCTACACTGCTTGAAGAAGCATCTGGAGCCTCTCTTCCTCGAATTCCTGCCCTTCCATTTCTTGCTGACCAGTGCTGTAAGTACATCTCGTGGTCGGGGTTGTCTTTGGACATCTCACTAACAGTATGATTATTTAGACCATGGCTGGCTTCATCAAATACACCGATACTTCGACCGGTCAATTGGTCGCGGAGCTGCCAACCAAGCTTGGCCGCCCAACCGCCCTCGCCCAGAACCCCTACAACGCCATCCTCCACTGCGGACACCAGAGCGGCGCAGTGACATTATGGTCGCCTAATTCTCAAACACCGCTCGTCAAGGCGCTGGTGCACCGTGGACCGGTGCGGTCTATCGCCATGGACCGTCAAGGCCGCTATATGGTATCCACTGGTCAGGACCAGAAGATGAATATTTGGGATATCCGCATGTTCAAGGAGGTGCACTCCTACTCATGCTACCAGCCTGGTGCTTCCGTGTCGATCAGTGACCGCAATCTCGTAGCCGTCGGCTGGGGCACTCAAGTCAGTGTATGGCGGGGCTTGTTCGAGGCCGCGCAGGCTGACACAACCAAGGTGAGGAGCCCATACATGGCCTGGGGTGGTGACGGCCAGCGCATTGAAAATCTACGCTGGTGCCCGTACGAAGATGTCCTTGGTGTCGGTCACGACCAAGGCTTCGCTAGTCTGATCGTTCCCGGCGCCGGTGAGCCCAACTTCGATTCACTGGAAGCCAACCCCTACGAGAACGTCCGACAGCGCCAGGAGACCGAGGTGCACAGCCTGCTGCACAAGCTGAAGCCGGACATGATCTCGCTGGATCCGAACGTTATCGGAAAGCTCGACACAATCAACAACCAAAAGGTCCAGGAAGCCCGCGATCTGGACAAGAAGCCCGAAGACCCGATCGAGAAACTCAAGAACCGCGGCCGCGGCCGCAACAGTGCCTTGCGCAACTACCTCCGCAAGAAGGGTCGTACCAACGTCATCGACGAGAAGAGGCTCAAGGCCGAGGCGCTGCACAAGGAACGCATGGCACGCAACAAGAACCGAATCCAGCAGGAACGACAGGACCTGGGCCCTGCTCTGTCTCGTTTTGCCAAGTGAGATTTTTGATTCTGTGCTTCTGCTTTGCTTGTTTGGCTTGTTGTCGAGTATCCAGATACCCAGCCGTGACTTTTGTGTGAAACCATCATTGCGCAGATTTCGCCGGCTGCTGCATTTCAGGCGTTGGAAGGAGGAAATCTTCATCATCTCATGTTTCTGTATAGAAAGGCTTTACTTATGAACCGGAAAAAAAGCAAGAGTCTTTATAAATGTATCATCAACCATGTGCAATGGGCATCAAAATATGACTCCCTCAGCCTCTATAAGGCTCTCATCTACTCATCCACACTGCCCGAGTTCTTCGGTGCGCCCTCCTTCCACCTCTTCAGACTCTCCTCATAAGCCCCACTGCCCTTCCACGCACTAAGAATCAAATTAACAATATGCTCCATCCCCTTCCCATGCTTCACAACCGCAAAAACAGTCGGACCCCCTTCCCTCATCTTCGCCGCATCCCTCTCCATAACCCCCAAATCCGCACCCACCGCCTCCGCAAGATCAATCTTGTTGACCACCAACAGATCCGACCCCGTAATACCCGGACCTCCCTTCCGGGGCACCTTGTCGCCACCCGCAACGTCAATCACGTAGATGATGAAGTCGGCGAGCTCGCGCGAGTAGTTGGCAGCGAGGTTATCGCCGCCGGACTCGATGAGCAGGAGGTCGGTCTTGAACTGGCGTTGGAGGGTTTGCAGGGCGAGAAGGTTGGCGCTGATGTCTTCGCGGACGGCGGCGTGGGGGCAGCCGCCTGTTTCGATGGCGCGGATGCGAGACGGGGCGAGGGCTTTGTGGCGGGTGAGGAATTCGGCGTCTTCTCTGTTTAGTCGGAGAAGGGAGTGATTAGCCTTAGTGGTTGATCCTGCGGACGACTCTCGGTCTGGGGAAACGAATCCACATGGAGGGAGGAGTGGAGAGCTTTACCTGGTGAAGATATCGTTGGTCACAGCGGCGATGTTATATTCATCGCGCAGAGCATGGCACAAAGCCAGCATCAGGGCAGTCTTGCCAGATCCAACAGGCCTGATAATGCCTCATGTCAGTCACAATCACATCAAAGCTCTCGAGTATAGATCCAAGCGGGGCGTGCCAAAGCAAGATCTAGCTCTTATAGATCTGCGTTGCACGTTTAATATCGACTCACCCTCCAATACCGATAGTGAAAGCACGATCTTTCCAGTCGCGCCCCTCAATCAGCGGCATCTCGCGGTTGACATATGAACCCGGGCCGTCGAGAATCTCGTGAGAGTGGCCGTGGCCGTTGAAGGGATCATCATGCGAGTGGCCGATGCTACCATCGTGGGAGTGAGAGTGGGCCATTATATTTGATGATCACGGGTCTAGTGGGGGGTGGTAGAGTGTTGATGTCGGTCTTGGAGGGGTATATTTTCGCAAGGATGTTCGAGAAGTTGGTCTTGGAGAATGTGAAGGAGGGGCAGTTAAAAGCAAGGGCGCAGTGGGGAAAGTTGCGATAACAGAAAAATGCCGAGAGCTTTGGTTCTCCACCACCTTGGGCTGATGCCGAACGGAGCTCGCCGGTTCGGCGAACTCAATTGGCAAGCCACATAGTTATGGGTCTGTACGAAGTATATTCTGATCCAGAGCTCAGCGACACGGATAGTATAACCAACATCATCTACAAAGTATACAAGCTACAATGTCCGGATCGGACCAAGAGAGAATTTGTGCTGGTATGTATGAATTCGTCAAAATGGCGGCAAAACGATGAGCCTCGAAACAAGAGTCATCAAGAAAAACCTCCAAGCCCATGGCGGACTCGAAGGGGAACCCCCCCCCAAATGCACGCAGACGCAATTCCAATAAACGCAAAGCCCGACGCCAGTGCAATCGCCAAGGCGGATATCAAGGATTCGGCCAGTTCTTCCAAAATCAAAACAGACAGGCCGTCAGTAAAAACAGAATCAACAAGCAAAGAGGACAGCAGAACGGGCAAACTCCCTCGAAAAAGAAGACCAATCCAATAATTCGTCAAAACCCCGGGCATGGCAAAGCCGTTCAAAGACTTCCAAAAAAAAAGTATCACAGAAAAAGTAAGTTTGAAGAAGAAGAAAGAACATGCAAAGCCAGGCGATGTGTCCGGACCATCCAAAGAAACGCTGAAAGGGAGATAGAGTACATTAGGATCGGAGGTGACCAGGGCCGATGAGGATAGGCGCCCACATAGTTAGTTCCTAGATACCACTGGTATAACACACCTAAAGAGGATGTGGTGAGGAAGGGGCACTCCGTGGGCATCGATTAGCTCCATCGTCGGCCAGCTTTATCGTTCAGAGTACCGAAAACCGTAGAAGACAATCCTTGGACATGTGAAATCAAGGAATCCCAAGATAAATGACAAAAAAAATTCACAGAGGGCGGAGGAAGTTCCTCGCCCCAGGTATCCAATGGTGCGCCAATTCCCCGCATCTTAAGACGATGTGAAAAAAAGAGAGAATAATGGGCATAAATATGTGTATGATCAACTCTGATCAGGCTGCGGCCCCCTTCTGTCGTTTGGGCACTCTAGGGCTGGCCTTGACCTTGGCGGTCCCTTGGACAGTGCCATTGACTTCGCCACCTGCACCACCGTCATCAGGCTCATTCTTGACGGTGCTGGCACGGCGGCGCTTGTTACCACCGACGTTGGGGCTGTTGTTCACGCCAACTGGGGAAGGCTGAACTGCACCTTGCATGCCGGGCGGTCCGGCAAGATGGCTCTGAGCAGGACTCGCGTGTCCCGAGCCGGTCAGATGAGGCGATCCCTGGGCTCCTGGCAGGCCAAGGTGAGCCATGGCGGGGGAAGCAAATTGCGAAGGTCCACCCATGCTGGGATTCCGAGCATTGGGTACTTGCTGCATGCCAGGGTTCATCGGCGTGACAAACCCGGCGTTAGGGTTCTGAGGCAGGAAGGTGCCGACCAGGTTGTGGAGGGCTTCGGGGGTGAAAATTGTGGATTCTGCTGCGAGAAATGGAACAGCAATTGCATCTGGGAGATGGTCTCGGCCACTTCCAAGAATCCCATAACCGGCGTCGGGACACCGTTTGAAGTGACCATAGACTCGGGCAGAGATATTTGCGGGCCTTGCTTTTGATTGCGCTTTGCTGCATTTTTCGAGACCTTGGGGCTCTGCTTCTGCTCGGAAAGCTCCATGGACTGAAGCAGACTCCGAGGAATAAACTCATTATGGCTGGTAACAGTGATGTCCAGCATCTCGAGCTTGTTAGCCATATCGAAATGGGCGCGTAGTTGACCATGGGTAAAGAGCTGGAGAGCCGGTCAGTTCCATGTTCATGCAAAATGAATTCACAAAAGGACAGATTCATACCTGGCAATCATTCGTGAACCAATAGATGAATGAAGTCCGAGCGCTCTCTACCATATGTCCTCCATTGGGCATATCCCGTTCGCGGGCACCTTCAACAACCATTTGAATCTGACGAATACCACTGGTATATTGAGTGAGGTAATACCGGGCCAACGCGGGAGTCGAAATTTCGAACTGCTTGGCGCCGACCTGGGGGTTCCATACTCCCTGCCGCAACACACCGCCAGGGGCGTAGAATCGATCAACAAAGGACTGCCAATACATAAGGTCGTGCGCTTCGCCGCGAGTCTGCAAGCATGTTAGTCAGGTGATCAAATATAGACCGAGACCTCAAAGTCTTCTTCGTACCTGGAATCCGCTCAGGTGTTCCGCATACGCATGCAAGCATAGAATCGTTGCGCCCTGGCGATTCATTCTTTGCTGCATCATCAGAGCAGCATTCTGTTGCTGCTGGGCCTTCAACTGCGCCTCCTGGGCAGTCATTGGCTGGCCCTGCTGGCCGGGTTGCTGGCCTGGCTGACCCGGCATACCATGCTGAGGCTGTCCTTGAGGTCCAGGATGTCCAGGCTGCGGGCCAGGTTGTGATGTTTGGGGCAACTGCTGTGGCTGGGGGTTTGGAGTAGCCTGACCTTGGTGAGGTCCACCCTGCGGCTGTTGGGGTTGAGTCGAGGGAGGTTGAGGAGTGTGGTTTGGTTGAGGGGTACCGCTTTGCGGCGGCGGGCCATGCTGGGACTGAGGAGTCGTGCCCTGAGCCTCGTGCATGTTGGGAGGCTGCGCAGAACCACGCTGCGGTGTATGCTGACCACCCTGGGCATTATTCGCCTGGGCTTGGGCCTGGGCCTGGGCCTGGGCCTGGGCTTGCTGCTGGGCTTGGTGTGCTTGCACCTGCTGGAGGGCGAAGAGCTGCTGCTGTTGCTGCTGCTGGAGGTTCTGGGGTTGGCCATGAGGGACCTGCTGTTGAAGGTGCATCATTGCGTTGACTGGACGCATGGCACCAGGGTTCGCTTGCATCGCAGCCAGCTGAGCAGCGCTCACGCCCTGAGTACCATTGGGTAGCGATACGGGCAGACCATGCTGTTGTTGCGCCTGTTGTGCCTGTTGCTGCTGCTGCTGCTGGATCATCATGCGCTGACGAAGGAACTGTTGATGCTGCTGTTGCTGGTGGAGTAATTGCGGGTTATTCGCGACTGAATATGTAGCATGAGAGTCAGTATGCGACTTTCAGAGTGTATATTTCTAATGATAGTTCCCCGATGGGCCAGTTCTGGACACACAACGGCGGGTATAGTGGCGCGCGTTCATTGGCAGGCTTAAGGAACGACAAGAACAGATAAGGACTCACAATTTTGCTGAAAGGCCTGCTGCTGAAACATATGCGCCTGCGTAGGATTCAGATGGGACAGGGCATGGGCATTCGGCATAGGGCCACCAGGACCAGCGGTTCCAGCGCCCGGGGGCATCCCACCCATCATTGGGCCCGCTTGGCTTACTTGAGGCCCTCCTGGTGCCGAAACTCCAGGATGCATCTGCTGCACCATCGCAGGTCCAGGGTGTCCAGCGTTCGGATGTTGAGCGGCCATTGGGTGGTGGCCGGGGGAAGCCCGTGTGGCGGCATGCCTTGATGGGCAGGAAACGATTGCGCCATCATCATTGCTAGCGGGCGGAAGTCACCGCGGACAGGAGCCTTGAAGGGCGATGGATCGCGACCGCGACCAACAGGCGACCGAGGGGAGAGGAGTCGATGGAACTGGCGCGCCTGCGATAGAAGGACAACAGGCCGCTTTTAGTGTTCGGGGTGGAGGCCAAGACGAGGCGGTTCTGGGATAGAGCAGACGCGCAAGACCGAAGCATCGATTCGTTACTTTCCACCCAGTCGTTCACCCACTTCGCCTCAATGCAGGCCACGATATCTCCTGGGGGAGGAGTTTGGCGTTAGTGGGAATGAAGTGGTGGGGAGTGGTTGATAAGAGAGATCGGGTGCGGTTAGGTGAGGATTTGGGGGGAAGAGACGGGAAAAGAGACGGGGCCAGGTTCAGGTAATAGGGAGGCGTGGAGGGGCTGGGTTTTGCTGCAGGTGGAAGGGTGGAGCGGGAAAAGAAGGATACGAAGAGTGTATAGATTGATAGATAGGCTGAGTGGACGAGGAGAACTCACAACTTCTCAAAACCCAAAGTCGGTCAAGATCGAAGTGGTCAAAGGGGACGGCTGTCGCGGGCGCCCATACGGTCAGGGAATGAGGATGATCGCCCGGTGGGAGCGAGAGAGGGAACTGGGGGACGGAGGATCCGGCTCCGAGGGTGGAGGATGTAACCGAGCCAGAGGATAGCAGATCCAAGTCGACTGTTCGAAGCCACTCTGTAGGAAGTATAGAAGATACGAAAGAGAGAAAGCTGGGAATCGTTGCTTTTCTTCTGTGCTGGTTGACTTGTTGAAGTATGACACCTTCCACCCTTTTTTTCTCTTCGCCCTGAGGCGGGTTTTTCCTTCGCGCGGTTTTGCCCAGCGATTCCAGTACGGCCGCGCTAACCCGACTGGGTAGGTCACGTGTCGGCTGTGTATTTGAGCCTTTTTTTTTTTTTTTCCTGCTCTTCAGTTTTCTCTTTTGCCGTGCTGTGTTCCTCGCCACTGTCCTTCAAACCCCTTGTCGGGCTCCTCTATAATGACTGGAGGATTGTCCACGGTCGGATTGAGGATATGTTACGATTCTGCGATCTCGCCACTAACCATCAGCTTACGCTGAGAGCATCCGATTTCTTATGGTAAGTCCGAATGTGGTTTTTGCTTTTCCCCCCGGTTCAAGGATGACAACACCTTTTTACTTCTTTACCCACCAAATCGACCATGACGAGATTCTTCGGACCTCCCTTTCCCGGTTGGTCTGCTACTTGCCAGTATATTTTGTCTGAGAACCATCTTCAATTCACCAACTTTTGCTTGGATGTGAACAATTGCAAGAGACGCGGGCTGACCCAGCTTTTGCTTATAGGAACCACCTCGAGACATGAAACCCTTGGCATCGTCAGATAGTTTGCCCAGAGACTTGGAATCAATTGATATATCTTGCTTCTTTTCTTCTTTTTCTTCTTTGCTCATAAGCAGGCTCTTTGGCATCGCTCGGTATTCTGTCGTAAAAGCTTTCAGGGCGTCATCCGATCCACAAACTTTATTGTAATCCTGGCCGAAGATCATCTCTAGTGCGAGGCAGTTTGTTTAGAATTGACGGCCACAAGAGCCACCACTCGATGAGAATCAAATGTTAATATCCCATCATACATAACCAGATAATGAACTGGGAGGTTGTCTCTCCAAGTGGTATCTACAATACAGTAGATCCGAAGCATTGAGATTGCAAGACAGGTCACATATGACCTAGACACTGTTTTCGAATGCGTCGGAGAGTGTAGAATTTTCTACATCTGGAAACGGCATAGACTAAAAGTGAAATTAATTGAGAGGCTACGTCAAATGGAGAAGTTCAAGAAAGCCATGCTAATGCTAGCATTGATGCTGTTGAAGAATGTATGAAGTACTCCGTACAAATGGACGAATAGACTGGTTCCTACGAGCGGCCTTCCGCCCAGCCTTGGGGTGACAGATCTCACGTGATATGATATTTCTCCCGCGGCGAGAGATCGCTGTCCGTCCTTCACGAACGACGAGGCCTTCTACTTTTCGTGACATAGCCCCGGATGTATCCGTCAATGCCACAGGTATGGCGATCCATTGCACGCCCCTGTCGCTTTGTCGCTCGTCGCCGCCATCCTGTCCCCGTGCGACAATTTCATCTGTCGCGCCAGTGGCTCTCGGTGCCGCCCAATGATCCCCAGAATGGATCCACGCCGGCCACCGATATCGCCGATGTGGTGGATAGCCGTCAATCGCCTCATGTCAGCGAAAATGCCGCGAACCCTGATTCTCCCGCGACCGCCGTCGAACAAACGGCAAAGCCCGTCTCGAGACCCTACGGATCGGCCGTTCGCAGAGCTATGAGAAACAGGCAATCAGAGCAGCAACAACAGCAGAAAGCATCAACAGTTGCGGCAATTCCTAGCTGGTTCCGCGAGCGAAATGTGGTTGCTCATGATCCTGATGGACGTCTGGACGCTGCGCGATTCCAGTCCCAGGTCGAGGTCAGAAAGTCAACGCCCGAGTCGAAGACGGATAGTACAATTCAAGGACAGTCGGCATCTGGTGGTGATGGAGAAGATCCTTCTGCAACGGGGGAGTCGTCTGAATCGGAGTCCCGCTATGCCGTGGCAGAGGCACTTTGGGATGAATTGCGCGCTTCAGTCAAAGCGGGTCTGAGACTGCCGCCTGTACAATACGCAGGAGAGCCACCAGCCAAAAAATCCCATCTGGTCCTTCAATATCCTGGCCCTGACGGCATCATATTCTTGGACGCGGTGGTTCAACGCCTTGCCCACGAGCTGGATGCCGACCTTGTCACTCTCAATGCCCAGGACTTGGCTCAGCTTCTGAGTGAGCAAGATCTTGCAGAGGCCGGCGCGACTTCCACGATTCGATCTCTAGGCTATGAGGTCCATCGGCCTCCAGTCACTGCTTGGCCAGAGCCTAATGAGGGCGAAGGAGAGGGAGATGACGATATCGCGGAGATCGCTGGTGCCCATGGGATACGTCCTGAAGTCAGTACACCGCGATTCATCACAATTGAAGCCAGCAGAGATTCCGGCGATATCCCACTGCCAAGTTGGTTAGGTTTGAAGTCTCTCGTAGCATCGATCAATGGCCAGTCGGACCAGGAACCAAGCATGATGCGCGGTTCTGGCCAGCGACTAGAGGCACGATGGGTTCGGCTTCTCAACGAGGTGCTTTCCTCAGCCGTTCAGCCAACAAAATCAGTCCATCCAAGCCCTAAAGACTCGGAAGAGTCTTCTGCGACGGAGACGGATGCAAGCAAGTCTGTTTTGTCGCGCGATACCATCGTTCAAGTACAAGATTACCGCGACATCCAGAGTTCAAGGGAAGGCTCTAGAGTGATTTCCCTTCTGCAAAGGGTGATCCAAGATCGACGACGCGCTGGTTCAAGAGTACTGCTTGTTGGCAGTACCTCACAGGACCTTCATCATTCCCCTTCACAGGATGGCTCAAGGATATTGCAAAATGTCTTTGATGATAACTTTTCCAAAACTCTTGTTATCACGCCGGCTATGGAGTCAAAGGACCTCGAAAAAACATTTGCAGAAGACCAGAAGAACCGAACAATGGATATCAACATTCGCCATCTCCAGAACATGCTGCGCTTCCGGGTCAATGAAACGTCGTCCGCCATGAAGGATGATATCTTCGGTGACCGAGCTTGGCCGCTCGATACGCTGACTATCAAGCAATCTGGTATCAGAGATCGCTTCTGGTCTTACAATCAGGTGCACTGGGTTGCAACTCTTGCCCTGGGTAGCGCAGAGCCCAATGAGCCTCTCAGCTTTGAACACATCAGGCGTGGAATTGAGCTCATGGATCGAGGAGATCGAGTCACCAGCGAGTGGTTGCAGGGGAAGTCCCCCAAGCCAACCGAGTCTAGCCGTGGGCAGAGCCGAGAGCAGATGTTAGCCTCTCTGCGAAAAACCTGCAATTCTCATGAGAAGAAGTTGCTCAACGGCGTGGTAGATGCAAAGAGCCTTCGCACCACCTTTGCAGACGTCCATGTTCCACCCGAGACTGTTGACGCTCTCAAGACCTTGACGTCTCTATCTCTCATCCGTCCCGAAGCGTTCACATATGGTGTCTTGGCCACTGACAAAATTCCGGGTGTCCTCCTTTACGGTCCGCCCGGTACCGGCAAGACGCTACTAGCCAAGGCCGTTGCGCGCGAGAGTGGTGCGACTGTGCTCGAGGTGAGCGGATCCGAAGTATACGACATGTACGTCGGCGAAGGTGAGAAGAACGTGAAGGCCATCTTCACATTGGCGAAGAAGCTAAGCCCGTGTGTTGTTTTTATCGACGAGGCGGACGCCATCTTCTGCTCGCGCACGGGTGCAAGCAACCGCACTTCTCACCGCGAACTCATCAATCAATTCCTACGCGAATGGGATGGAATGAATGACATGTCCGCCTTTATCATGGTGGCCACCAATCGACCATTTGACCTAGATGACGCCGTTCTACGCCGTCTGCCCCGGAGACTGCTAGTGGATCTCCCAACTGAGGAAGACCGGCTGGCCATCTTGAAGATCCACCTCAAGGACGAACAATTAGACCCCGCCGTCGACCTAGCCGAACTGGCTCGTCGGACTCCTTTATACTCCGGCTCTGATCTGAAGAACCTGTCCGTCGCTGCGGCCCTGGCATGCGTGCGTGAGGAAAACCAAGCCGCGGCCCAGCACCAAGGCGAGGAGCCTTACGAATACCCAACCCGTCGAACCCTGACCCGCGCCCACTTTGACCGTGGAATCGAGGAGATCAGTGCGTCGATCAGCGAAGACATGTCCTCTCTGTCTGCTATTCGCAAGTTTGATGAACAGTATGGTGATCGCAAGGGTCGACGCCAGAAGAGTCCAGGATGGGGCTTCATTGCTCCCTCTACCCAGGAGTCGACAGCTGATACCGCGCGCGTCCGCACATGATTGCTCTGACTTGGGATTGTTTCTTTCTGTACAAGGGCTCGGGCGCCGGAGAGTTTTCTATTTTTTGTAACATTAGAGATACGATAGACATGTACCAATATCCGCAACAGTAAATATGACATGAGGCTGGTGTTTTGATCTTGTGAAAGTTCTCCCTTTTCCGTCTAGCTAGAGATTCCTTTTTCTTTGAAGCTCATTAGGTGAATTTCACTTGATGTCTGGGGGATTGTTAAGGTCCTCGTCCACGCTATGAAACATATCCTTGAACGACGGCAGCATCTTGCTCTGAAGTAGCGACCGGAGAGTGAATGAAGATCAAGCAAATACGCCCCGGAGCAAGAACGTGGCCCCATAATAACCCATCGAGTAGCAAATCCCAGTATTCATGTATTCATATACTCTGTGTCAACCTTCAGGACCTGGAGGTCCTACTAACCTTAAGAATGACCATCCCTGATCCCGCCAGGCGTTTTCGAAACCCCAGTTGGGAATATGCTGCCATGTCCACGCAGGGACATAGCATTAGTGTCACCTTGATAGTCTCGTGGCACAGCATTCATGGTATAATTGCCGAGCTGGGGATTCTCCAATCAAACTTTGAATTCATCATCTACACTGACTCCCTTATCCGAAGGTGGTGATCGTGTGATCAGGATTCATGAGATGTCTGGGACGATACCGCTGCTATCTTGTACCCCTACCCAAATATTTCTTTCAGTGAAAAGGAAGTAGACTTCTGTAGGGCGGCTCTATCTTATGTTCTCTTCTCGACGAGGAAAGATCGCTGTGTTGTATTCATGACGTAGGTGGGAACTGGATGGCTCTCACGATTATATTGTTGCTAGAATGGCCTGTAGAAAGACTAGCTCTTCCTAGTAAATCTCAACCATCTGCCTTGATAGACTCCAGGAATGTCGTATAGTTCAAAAGGATGCGATCATATGAAAGTCTCCACTGACGAAGATCCTGATGTGGATTTCAGATCTATGAATGCCTACTGTAGACATCATGGTGCATCCCCACATGCCTGGAAGGATCGAGAGTACAGACTACAAATAAGTAGTCTACCGAAAGTAAGCATTTATGGTCTTTTATCTGCTTAATCTTATAAGATCCTGTCCCGCCTAGCCTAAATAGCTAATCGTCTTAAACAAAGGGCACGAACCCTTGGGCGAAGGCACGTGCCTCGATGACCGCATTCCGTCTCCACCCGCCACTCAGAGAGCTCTTTTCCTCTTCCAAACCCAACGGGACGAGGGTGCGGACGACAGTGCCGGGGCTACGAGCGCTGTGTATATTTTCTATCATCCCTCTGTCCTGGTCGCTTGAAGTCAATCTGCTTCCCAGAGAGACGAGCCAAAATACACAAGGCCCCACTCCCCCACCGTCAAAAACATGTCACTTGAAAATCGCGATGAGGCCATCCGTGAGGCCAAGATCTTCGTTCGCCAAGTCGTGCGAAACGACTGGGAGTTCGATTCTAGTCTATACGCCGACGGCACACGTCCCACCCCCGCGACCTCCTCAACCCTCACGGACGGAACTCTTTGCGAAGGCCGCGAAGTCGTCGAATGGCGATGCCGAGAATTCGACAGCACAGGCTCAGAACTGGAGCCCCAATCGTCTGACCAAAGTGACTCGGACTCGCAGTCACCAGGGAGGCCTACAGGGGACCCTGCGATTGAACGGCGGCGCAGGCACCGGCGGCAGATGGAAGACGAGATGGCCTGGAATGAGGGGTTACGAATGTGGATGGCCAGACGAGACGCATGGTCTGGGGCAAGGACACAGCGGCAGATTCGTGCCAAGGAACAGAAGCGCAAGCTCGCTGCTTCACAAAATGAGACAAACGGGTCGTCTGACGTGAAGGGCGTGGATGCTGCAGAAGACGGCGGTGCGGGGAATCCCCCGCCCACGGACCCTCGGACCCGCGTTGAGCTAGGTGATACCGGTATGCTCGCGAACAAGACGGAATCATGTCTTTCGATTACGGACAAGGATAAGGAGAAGGTCGAAGAGCAAATGCGCCGCCAGGATCAAGAGGAGGAGCAATCTACTGCGCCAGATGAGGAGACCAAGCGCAAGGAGTCGACAGAAACATGCATCACCGAGCCAGACCAGACTACCAACTATACTCCGCCTATAACCACGTCAGAGATCGATGACAAGGACTCGGGGGAAGAGGAAGATTCTGAAGAGGAAGAAGAACTCGACGAGCCTCTTATCCCAGTTGCGCCTCCGTTCATCTCCTCCACTAACCCCGTCCGCGCAACGATCACCCCCTCGATCTACCCTTCCATCTACACCAAAGTCGTCGTACAGGGCATGACTCCCACCATCCCCGTCAACCTGGCCGACCTGACCAAAGCAATGGTTCAAGGATGGAAGGCAGATGGACAGTGGCCTCCAAAGCCGGCTGTTTCATCCATCGTCCTTCAAGATGATGCTTCCGTCCCGAAAAAGACAGACTCTCCTGTCGATGGAGCACCTCAGTCAAGGCGAAAGAACAGTATAACGAACGCCATGCGCAAGGTCTTCCATATGGGAGCGCATCCGTTCCATCGCCGTGGCTCAACTAGTCAGGACGCTGGTGCCGGTAACGGTGCTCCTAACGGAACCGCCGCTTAGCTCCGTTTTCCACGGGACTTTCGTACCTGTAAAGCAGGAATGCGATTGACGAGTTACGACAAGGGTTGAGTCTCTTTTTTGTGCATTCCTTTTTCGCAATACTTCCGTGTCCATTTTACGCAATGCATCTGGCGTGGATTTCTGGGTGGTTTCAGTTTCTTGAGTCTTCGCGGGCTCTATTACACGTTTACTCACGACCTGGGCGTGTGGGGGTGGTTTCTATTGCTTTTACTTCAAGTATTTTCATGACCCTTATTCATCACGCGGCTATGTCATAATTCATGCATGTCTCTCACGGGTATCTAATATTTGAGAGATTCTACTTACGCCTTAAACGAGCAGGTCTTGACGAACCTTCATTGAATCTAGTCTATCTTTCAACGGTAACATACTATGCAAATACGGTGCAAATACGATGCATCTCCGTAATAGTTCTGAGTAGTCCAGATTCGTAAAAACCACCAGACGCCAATGCTAAACATGCAACAAACTGAGATTTCATGATCTCAAACAAACAGGAATATATAGCCTTCATCACAAAATAGTCATTTCATCATTCCCTTTCACTGTGGTAGCAAGTTGAACCGCTCGAGCCGGTCTACAAAGTCTGAGACCGCATCTTCAAACACCAATCTCGTTGAATCCCCATTCTCAATCAAGGCACTGACTCCAGGCTCAACAGTGACAAGCTTCGAGTCATGACCAGGGCGGGTGTAATAGTATCTGCCATCATGGAGTGACCAGTTCCGGAGGCAGGACTGATGATCCTCGAATGCAAGGCGACGAGCTGTGGCCAGTTGTGGAGATAAGTCATTAGATGAACTCTCCGACGGAAGCACCAAAGGCGAGAGTTCAGCCAGACCGGTGACACCTGCATTCGAATTCGATTCAGGTTGTAGCGTTGAAACCGCTAAGAAGAATTCCCGGAACCACTCGATGTATGATAGTACACCCTCAGCAGCATCGGTCACCCGGTCGATGTAGTCCACCACGACAAAAGAGGAAGAGATCATATCGATGAGCGCAGTGAGCATGTTTACGACGACGGGATCTTTGAATTGGGCCGTCCGATTGGAGAGAGGGCGGAGTGCTTGATGGGTTGATTGAAACACGGCTTCGAATATTCTCAGGAGGGAGGATACGCAGGAAGAATCCATGGTGTTCAAATTGAACAAGAGGTCCTTGAACACGAGCGAGATGCTTTTAATAATCGGTAAACCAAGCAACCAAGCAGTCGAGTTGCTAAAGGCGAGTTCAATGTATGCTGGGAAGACAGATTGCAGAAGCACAGCTCGAAGGGTTGGCTTGTTGGGCAATCCCGACTCGTAGCTATCCTTCATCGCAGAGTGTAGCTGGCTGACTAGATGGTCGTGTTGACCATCCATAGTGGCTCTCTCTACAATACTCTGAATGAACATGGTCAAGGTCTGCAATTCCTTGTTGGAGGACAACTTGGGCTCGTAGCGCTTCAATTTGGCAACAATGTAACGCGGGTCCGAGGAAGGCAGAGGGAATACGGCCGGGTCCGTGAAGAAGGGATCGACGGGCCGAATATCGCTGGTAAGTTCCTGCAAGAACCGGATGATGCGGTGCACAAAGTCGACATAGGCGCCTTGGGCAGATTCCACGGCTCCGTTGCCGAGTTCTTGATAGTTACTTCGCATCGCGGCCATCAGTCTCTTGAGCATCTCGGAGTAATCTTGTTTGGTGACATTCAAATCTGGACTGTCCAAGGCTTCGAGGCTCAACACATGCTCGCGCATGTTCGACAATATGCTTGATATGAGAGAGATTCGCCGCTGACTGAGTTCTTCGAGGGGGATCGTGTACCGCTCAGTCACTTTGTCCTTTGAGAAAGGGAGGTTCTGTAGCAACGGATCATGGAGGCTCCCATTCAACATTGCCTCAGTGAGACGATGTTGAAACTTTAACATTGAAGAGCGCTCTACTAGGCATGAAATCCACATGCCCATGACCAGGACTCGACTGTCCAAGAGGATACGGCCGTCTTTCTCAATACATCCTGCCAGGAAACGAGGTGTGAACTTCCTCGTCTGGATCGTCTCTCGCAGACTAGCCCAAGACTCAACGCTGACAGGATCCAGGTAATTGTCCCATTGTCTGAGTTTGTGAAAAACCATGAGCTGGGCAACCGATGTCCAGCAATCCACAACACTCGTAAGAATTGCGTCTTCGGGGCAATGGTCCTCACCGAAGCAATTAGAAAGAAGACGGGATACGACAGGATGAAGGATCGTTTCAACATGCTGAACACCTTCACTCGGTGGTTCTGGTTGTATCATGGCATGATCAAGACTCTCGTCCCAGTCAACATCATCAAATTCCTGGCTATCATCCTCCGTTGATACAGCAGTTGTGGGGACCGCTTTGTGAGTAGAAGCACCCAATGCAACGACAGGATCCTTCTGAATGTAAGCCACGATCACCTGCAACGCATCGGAAACGACCACATTCACTCGCGCCAGCTTTGGGTTGAAAAGCCCGAGCAGAGATTCGAAAGGCGTCTTCGAAATCAGGCGCAGGGCATGCTCAATCGAAGGTGCCCGTTCAACAGCAGTCTGCATTCCACTCAGTGCCATGGACAGCAGATTCTCAATCGGTCGCTGATTCTGAGCAATAGTACTTTCAATGAGATGTTGAGAGACTTTCTCGCCATTCTTGCTCTGCGTTTCGATTTCTTTCCGAGCATGTGCGTGTTGCTGTCGAAGCTCACTGACGAAAAAGCTGTGCCAACAAGCAAACGGCTCCAACTCTGACATGTCTTCGTTTGTTGATAGCTTGAAGCGAACAAGCCTTGTCCACGCGCGAAGATTGATGCTGCATGTCTCGTTATGCGAGCTGGCTGGATGAACTAAATCTCGGATGATCTCCACTCGAAAGCGTAACCCTGAAGGGATGACCCAGTACAACGTACAGAGTAGGTCATGATGATTCCTCAAAGCATCAAGATCTTCACGACGTAGAGGCTTCTCTTTCGGGTAGACGCGGCCATGGTTTGGCAACAGTCGCCATGCAAAATTTCGAACCTTCTTGTCGTCATATCGCTCAGACAGGAAGCGTAGACCACTTGCAATGATTTTGAGCAAGGTGTGGAAGCATGGCTCGCCAGGTTGTACCTCCAAGGATGGGTTTTGATCAAGTTCATCGAGAAACGAAGGTGACCCGCGGCTCTCCTCGAGCTTCAAGTTATACAGAGTGTTTTGTGCGAAAAAGTCGTATAGGGTATCAAGTATAGGTCTGCATTCTCTCCACCCCCAGGCATTGATCAAGCGATGACATCTTTGAAACAGCGCTCGGCAGTAACTATTGTACGAGATGGGCTGGGTCGCAGAGTTGGTACCATAATTGTCGAGTGCAGGCGACAAAAGCTTCTTGACAAGCGGCCAGTTGTCATGCACAGCTTTGAACCGGGTCTCTCGACGGGCAATGCCATGATGGTCGATATCATTGAGAGGGAGAAGAGAGAACAGTTGACGCCATCCCATCTCCATGCGACCAACATCCCTCTCGTTGCGAGCGATATTTTTGGTGCATGCATCGGCCTGAAGATCATTGAATATCCCGTTCAGCATGTCCGAGCTGCGGAAAAGTGTCTCAGTAATGAGATAAGCTTCTGCTGTAGGGAACTGTTCACGAAGACCATGCTCTCGCCGCTCGGGCTTCTTGTTCTCCTCGAACAGGCGCCAGATCTCAGAGATCCCTGTCTCAGGCAGGATCAATGCAATGGTGTCTGTAGCACATATCTTGACAAGATTCAAAGCATCGCCGGCAAGGGCATTTCCAACGAGACTGTGAGAGGAAATCTGACGGATCTGATTCGCAAAGAGGAGGTTGTAGCAGGCGATTCGCACGAGACCGGTCTTGTTGTATTCGATCCCAGCGATGAAGGCAGCCAAGGGGTCCCTCAACGAAAAAACTAGCCCCATAGCTCGCGCAACGAAGCCCGTCCGATCCACTGGGTCGATGAATGATAAATGCTCCGTTACATAGGTAATGATCGATCGGTATGCATGCGACGCGGCGGTCAAGCCTGATCCTGCATAATCTGCTGGTGATGACGACGCGCTCTTGTCGATATCTTCCAGAATCATGCTGAATACGGATCCCATTTCCGAAGAAATCCTCTCGTTCCATGCTCCCCATTGCAGCATCCGATCTTTGGCAATTATTGTCGAGAAACCAGCCTCCTTGTCCATGTCTCGCTTTGTTATGTTTAGTGAGTGAGAGAAATCTCCGCTGCCTATAATTGTAGATTCGTGGAAAAAGGTGCCGTCGCGCAAAGGCAGGACCCCAAAGTCGATCGAATAGGAGCGTTGCCAATTGAACATTCCACCCAAGCTGAAGGATGTTAGAGCGGGACCAGAGCGATTGATAGTCGGGGAGTCCGAGTCATCGGAGATCGCTGTGATCAAATCTTGATTCTGCTCAAACTCGTCCGATTCGAGATTTATGCGAGTTGGTCGCTTTTTCTTCAGACGACGGCAAGCAATTTGGGATTTAGGATCCGATGCCGTCCTTGTATCAGTATCTACAGGAGCCACAGAAGACGGTGCCATTAGAGCTGGAGAAGGCGCTGCGCTCTTGTCGGAAATGTACCGATCAAGAGTCAGGCTAGGCTTGAAAGCACGAGACAAATGTTCACGTCGGTAACTTCGATTGAGCAATTTCAAAGAACGACGGAACATGTCTTTCGAAGCGGACGGGTTTGCATTGGGCGCTGCGAGGCTGGTTGGAGCGGGTCTGGGATCGTTTCGCCGTAATGATATTATCGGCATATTCCTCTGAACGATCCACTGGTGACCTCGTCGCTCTGACTGCGCTGGCCGCGCAGGATCAGGATTTGCGTTTGGAGCAACCGCAAGCTCGACAGGAACAGAAGCATCCCTCGTCGAGGCTGGTGCAGGTACTGGTTGGTCGTCATGATCTGAGAGAATCTCGATGTCGGCGGAGGCGAAATGGTTAGTGATACGAGCGTTCCCGACAACAGGTGCAGCACGACAAGCGCCAGAAGAAAGGTTCGATATCCTCTGGCGCTTACGCGGCTTTGATGGAGCTCGAGTGGTCTTAGCTCGTGGGATTGCTCCTCTTTTCCAGTCACGCAAAGATTGATTTGCGTCTGCCGTGTCCACTCTTGAGCTTAGCTGCACGAATTTCCGGGTCGGGCTTTGGCGGCCTTGGTCTCGACGCGATCGAGCTCCTCTTGCGGCGATTCGGAGGAACTGTGGCTGTTCTTTCCGTGGCCGAGCAGCCACGTCAGGAGCATCCAAGATACTCAATCGCGGTGCTGACCTCGACGAAGTCTGCTTCGTTCGACGTCCTCCGTAGGAAGAATCCGTGAGCTTGGTCTGTCTCTGCAAGCGAGCTTTCTTCAGTCGACGTTCGGTTTGACCTGAGCTCTCCTTTGATTTCACCCGTTTTAAGCCTTCTCGCTTCTCGCGGGAACCGGATTGTTTGCGAGCGACGGGTGCAAGCATGTAATCAATCCGATTATCCTCCATAGCGTGTCCAGCTCGATCAAATGCATCTTCTAATTCCAACCTCTCCGCCAATCTTTCCTCCACACTGGTATTGATAGAGACAGACATATTGGTGCCTTGATCATCATCTTCACTTTCATCAAAGTCAGCCAAATCAAACAAAGCTCGACTCGAGCCAGCGTTTGCTCTTCCGGGTTGCGGCTTTCGAGTTATCTTTTTGGCAACACCTTTGCCGTCTATCCTCGTGGGACCATGCCGGTTGCTCTGGTTGGCTTTTTGCTTTTCGGATTGCTCCGCATTAAGCCGAACCCACGATGCAGGGAGAACACCTCGAGTTCTCCGTTGCATTTCCTGAATGCGGCGATCCTCTGCGCTTTCTTCGGGCTCCGACGAGGATTCCCGAGATTCTTCCGACTCTGATTCATCATCAATCTCAATGATTGGGTCTAGGTTGTCCAAGTCCTTTCTAATTTGTTCATCCCCAACCGGTGTCGCCAAATCTGACTCCCCACCAGTGGTTGTAGTTGGAGGTGGTGTGAATTCAAACGGAAATGGGAAATCCGCCAATGCTCGTGGTGTCTTTGAAGACGAGGAGACACTTCTCGAATGTGGCGGGCTGGAAGTGATATCGAATATTGACGGGCCGTGCCGACTATTGGGCGTAGTATTGACGTTGATGACAACTTGAGGTCTGCCATGGGCGTCAGGTGAACGTCTGACTTCACGTAAGGTACCCGAATGTGATTTCTTTCTCCGTTTTTGCGAATGCATCCGGTGGAGTGAAGAGTGGTGCTGATCGCGCTGACGAGTTGACTGCCCAGTCGAATCGTTTTCAGGGCGCCTGGCGGACCTAACCGGCGGAAGAAACTCCTCTGGGGGAGGACTTGACCGGAGTGTATTGGGGTCGAAATCATCCTGCTCCTGGCTTTCATCGGTTGTTGTATTTTGCTGGTTCCGTTCTGCTGGCATGGCCATTCGAACCGGTCGAATGCCTCGTTCTTGCATCAGCCTCTGATACTTGGCCATTTCCAGGGCATATGGATGCAATTGAATCGCATTGCGCTCGCGAAAAGATCTCCGTACTGGTTGAGCTATTTCCGACAAAATATCTTGAGGTATGTCGAAATCTGAGATAACTGGATTCGGATTCTCTGGTTGCGTTACTGCAGAAGCGGCCTCGGTCCCATACTCGTCTGCAGCCGGGTGTGGCGAGTGAAGCGATGATGGAGGCGATGATAATGGAGAATCATCATCAGAGATTGCTTGCAGTGCACCTTCCTCGACTAGTACATTATTGGAGTTCTTGGTTGCAATAGATGCCTTTGGCGGTGGTGGTAAGATGAAGGCGAGCTCGTCCGGAGAAGAGCTTCGCGATCTCCCTATATCACTCGGCAGTTGGTCGTTCGGAGGAATGGAATCTGTGGCAACCTGACACTGCGGGTTTTCGACGGGTATATAGGGTTTCTGGGTCATCTCCTGGCTTTTTGTTTTCCTGCCAGACCTGATTTCCGCCACAGGCGAACTAGGAATATCCCATATATCATCCTCAAGGTCTGCCGGGAATTTGAGAGGTTTATTGGCGTTTGTATTAGGTGTTTTCCTTGCTGAGAGTCGTTTCCCATACGTTCTGGTTGCTTGTCGTGGCTTTGCTGGCTGTTCTTCCAATGAACCAACTCTTGCAGCTTGCTTTGTTGCACTCGTAGTCTCCGAGGGCTGCTTGGTGGGTAAACCGCCCTTGGCTGGAGGCGTTGACACCAAATCCACCAGCTCCTGAGATCCTTCAGCCAATGCACTATCATTATGATCCTCAGTAAGTTCTATCGTATCTCGCAAGTCTGAATCTTCGGCATCCGGAGGACCTTGCTCGGGGTTCGACGTCGTCGTAGGAAGGGGGATATATTCGAGATCGATTTCGTCACTCGCATCATCATTCGCCGATTTGGTCGTATCAAGGGAATCAAAGCCGTCATCCTCGTCTGAGTCTGGGACAAACCCTCGTTTTCGCCATGGTTCCATTTGCATCCTCGGCGGGGATGTCCCATGTCTCTAGGGAGTCATCGAGTTCACGTTGCCAGAATGTGAAACGCGCGCAATCAATTCCTCTCGAGGGAAGACACGAGAACTTGAGGAATCGCAGTGGCCAGCGGGCCTTTGGTTTCGACGTTGGCGTGCAGGGAGTGCTTGACGCGTCGATAAGAGATTAATTTGGGGAGACGCGCCTCTAATCGGGTGTTAATCAGTGGACGATAACACCCGCGAGCGTTGCCCGCAGCATCTCCGAGTCCACCTCTCCCCAACGGTACTTCCATTTGGCATTCTACCTTCTACTCAGACTGCCGCAATGAGTCGCAATTTCTTTCCTGTGATTATGGCAATTGGTGTCGGTGTCTTTACTGGTAACTATCTTCTCCTGTCCCTTCTGCCCTCAATGGTCCTGCGGCCACTGGTCCTGACGTCAAATTTCTCCGCAGGCTACTACACCTTCCAGCCAACTTTCCAACAGATGGCGATCCAAAAGGAACGAACTCCTCAGCAACCACAGTCTACCGGTCAAGCTCAAAAAGGAACCAATGCGCCCTCCGCCACTACCGATAGCTCAAAGCCCGAGGGTCAGGGCAGCAAGTGATCTGGTGCGAGATGCCCGCCACATTTGCCAAGCCGAGTATAGGATGGATGTCGGGCACCCTTCTCAGGGAACATTATGTTATACCCAGAGACGACACTGGATAACTGGCACCAATGAAGTGTCAGGCTCAGCGATGCTAGTGGGAGTTAAGGCGAGCTTCTAGGACGCCGTTTAACCCTCCTGATGGCCATGTATCTGCACAGTCTTCAATTGACACCATCCCCGAGGCCTGTCGACTCTTGGAAGGATCAATCATGGCAGAGGAATTGGGAAGTCCTAAGGGACGCTCTCGATGTTGTACATAAGGAAGTATGATGACCACGAAGTGTTTGAATATATGAATGTATTTTTATCTCAATAGTCACAATCTTCAACGCCACGCCCTCCAAGTTTCAGACAGAGAAGCGCAAACAAGTCCGGCTCTCATCAGGAGATGTAACCCAATTCCCAAGTACCCCCATTGTAGATGGTTTCCAATACGCCCAAAGCCTTTCCAGTCTCGCAAAAGTACAGAATCAAATTTCCTCCACCATTTTGCCATTTCCAGCAATGGGTGCACCGAATAGACGGCCAGCAGGCGTGCCGAGCCACTCCTCTGGCACATTGACCTTACAGCCACTTTGATTGCTGATCCAGCGGGTCATCGTTGGGTCAGCCTTCTCGGGCTCGGCTGGTTCTTGATCGGCGGGCGTGGCTTCTGCTCCCTCAGCGGCGGGTTGTCGACCACGACGCTTGGGTGGCTGTTTGTTTAGAAGGCGGTTGATGGTGTCCATCTTCTTGAGTCAGCACAGTCGTTCAACCAACTGGGGTGAGTGGCAAGCTAATTCGCTGTTGTGTTAATCTTACCTTCTCTTCCTCGTTGCGCTTCTCGCTCAAATTCTTACGTCGGCGGGCCATTTCGGCTCGACGCATCGCACGCTCCTCGGCCGTCAGGTGCTTCTTCACTTGGGGTTCTGTGTGCTTGTTAGCTCTGAATGGCTCTGTGATATAAAGGAATTTCAGAGTAGTGTACTTACCCATGGGAAGTTGTAGGAAATCGTTCCCAAGATTGCCGCGCTGGCGCTTGGTGGTTTTGCCAGTGTTTAAGGCCATCGCATCGCTGTCCATATCATCATCCAGCTCATCTTCTTCATCCTCTTCGTCAAGATCATCCACATTAACCTCTGGAACGGCACTCTCTTCCTGGTCGTCGAGTTCACCCTCAGCATCGGTGTCGGTATCGGAGAGGGCATCTTCGTCTTCATCCTCGTCCACGTCGTCCTCTTCTTCCTCTTCTTCTTCCAACTCCATCTCCTTCTCCTCAACGCTTTTCGCGGCCTTGCCACGGGGTGGGGCGGCTTTCGTGGCTCGCCTTACTGGAGGCTGAGGGGGAACGTCATCCAAGTCGATATCGCCGTCGGCATCAGCGTCTTCGTCATCTTCTTCCCCAGGAGCATCCTCATCATCGACCTCGTCTTCTTCTTGGTCTTCGAGGTCGTCGTCGTCATCGTCATCAGATGTTGGGACTTCCACAATCTTCCTCTTATTGCGACTAGCTCGCGGGCCAGTCACGATGGGATTTTCTTGGAATACATTGACTGTGCGGCGGGCGGCACGGCCACCGGTAGCCTCACGCAACTTGCCAGCGGGCATTCTTACAGTAAGACGGAGAGTTCTGGTAAGCTCTCCGGGTGGATCCTCGGAGGATCGGGAGACTGTCACTGATGCTGGGGTAGCAGCCGTAGAGGCACGAGTGAGTCTCTTAGATCTGGTGCCCATGTTAGCTTCGATATCTTGGGTTGCCTCCACAGAAGCACGAGATCGACGAGAGCGACGAAGCTCCATGGTGTCGATGACGCTCAAATGATTGGAGAGGGCGCAATGAATCAGATCTCCACGCGAAAGCGGGGAGGCCAATAGAGTGGGTGGCAGTACAGGGGAGAGAGCTCCGGTGCTTATTTTGGGATGGTGAGAGTGTGTCAGGAGGGGGGGTCCATCGAACAGGCACGAAGTCCGCCCAAAGTCGTCCGGATGGGAGCTGAGCTGTGCAAACCGGGAAGGTGCAGGCCCTTGGGCTGTCTCAGGCGCCACGTTGGAGATTTCACGAACAAAGCGCCCCTCTCAGCTTCAGGGATCTCGAATGGTCTCCTCCTGGCTGCCGTGTTCCCCGATTTCTCGGACGGACTGGGATGGTGGAAGGGGAATCCAGATGCATGAATGTGGGGGAGTACAAAAGAACAGATATAAGAGGGCGAATTGAGACACTTACTAGTACCTTTTTTTTTCCTTACTCTTCCAAGCTGCCAACCTTCAACGGTCCTGGCGCTGATGCTGAGCGAATGAAGTAATCACCGCCATTCTGCCGGGCGGTCACTTGCGGTATAGGCTTTCGCCCTTTCACAGTCGAGACGGAAGGATGAACGAGATCTTGATGGCTTCGAGATGCGGATTAATTGTAATCCAGAGGATATCGGGTAGCATTGCTTCATTCTATGTCAACATATCTCAGTTTCAATTTCAATTCGGAATTGATACTCGTCTAACCACAGTCCTAGGGCCTTATCGGACGCTCATACTGTAGTGGGATATTCAATATCAGATTATAGCGCACATGATCAGATATGAGAACGCTTTTGATAGATCTAGAGATTCAAACATGTACATAGCAAAATGCTATTTTCTATCATTGCTGTGCTTGTTCCTGGGTCTTGACTCGGTCCTACCTGACCAAGACCCAGGACGGAGCCAGCCGAGTCGGTGCGACAGCCGAGGTTGGGCTCACATGGCCCCAACTCTCAACTGCCCCAAGTCCGGGGAAATGCCATCTTCTCCCCCTGCTCCTCCACCACCTGTTCAACGCATCCTCTCCTTGCATTCTGATCCTCAAAAGTCAGATCATAGACACAATGTCCGATCGTTCATCAAAACCATCATCTATTCCCTCGTGGCAGCAACAGCCAGGTTCCGCTCCAACCGATCAGTCTGCGTCGTCACGACCGCCGAGCTCCGAAGATACGCCTGCATCTACCTCACGACAAGACCTCCTTGACCAAGCGTCTAAGTTCCTAGAGGATGAATCGATTCGCGATGCTTCCACAGATCGTAAAGTCTCCTTCCTCGAGTCGAAAGGTTTGACCTCCGACGAGATCCAACAACTCCTCGGCGTCTCCCGAAACCCGGAGGCGAGCAGTGCCGACTCGACCGCGGCCGAACCCAAGACACAAGAAACACCTTCATCCTCCTCCTCGTCAGATCAATCTGAAGTGTCACCATCTTCTCCTGTTACTACATCTACTTCATCCTCTTCTACCACCATGTCGCAGCCACGCTCGACCCCCGCCACCTCCACAACATCCTCCACCGCAGCACGCGACGTGCCCCCAATTATCACCTACCCCGAGTTCCTCTTCCAACCGGCTAAGCCACCTCCACTAGTGACCATGAGTCGGGTTTTATACACAATCTACGGCGCCGCTGGTCTCGGTGCCAGCATCTATGGTGCTAGCGAATACCTCGTCAAGCCAATGCTGGCAAATCTCACTAGCGCACGCCTCGATCTCGCTAGCACCGCGAAGGAGAATCTGCAAAAACTCAACGAGAAGCTCGAACAGAATGTATCCGTCATTCCCGCACATCTCACCGCGCCCAAGAACAAAGGGACCGAGGAGGGAGACGAAGACTCGAGTGACAGCGATTCCATCATTTCAGACCCGACAGAGCTCTTCCACCGAGACATCGGTACCCAAACCACTCCCGATGTATCGACAACCTCGCTGTCTTCATCTGCGAAGGACCCGGCAGAGACGGCTGCAGATGCGCCCACTATCGCAGTTAACAAACACTTAACCCGCCTGGAGTCCATTCAATCCTCGCTGAAAGAAGTCACCGAGTTTGAGAAGGATTCTAGCACCCTCGATGACTCGATGCGTTCACGTCTCACGGACCTCCACCATTACTTGGACGGATTGATATACGCTGCGCCGAGCTACAACGCGACTACCCCGGCATACGGTGGTCTGTACTCTACAACTACCACTACCGGGTCAGACAGCAGTTCATCAGGAGTGCGCAAGTCCGAGGAGGACGCAATTGCAGCCTTCAAGGCGGAGATTCGGGGTGTCAAAGGTGCGCTGCTGAGCGCCAGAAATTTCCCGGCGAGCCGGGGCGGTCGACTGCCCGGTGGTGTGACTGCGTCGGCAAGGTGATGACCGAGTTTACTTGAAGATTGATTTCATTTCTATCACAGGATAAAGTGTATATAGAGCGAGCGTGGGTTTTGAACAGAAATTCGTATACCACCTATCGTCCTGGACCCTTTGTATCAATGTATCGGATTGAAAACCGAATAAGTAAACCCAATCTACTCATGTTTATTTCATGTCTCGTCTATCTCACATTCTCGCCATGCACGGCTATCCAAAAATCACACCGTTTTAGACAAAATGGAAGGAAAATGAAATAGGGGGGATTTTCTTTTCTCGTGACGCAAGTATTTGATCAGACTAGACCCCCGGGGCACAAACTCAAGAAAACACGCAGGCATTAATAGTAACATGAACAAGGGAAGAAGACGAAAAGATGAGGGTAAACAGAAGAAAGGCGTTATATCAAAGTTCCTATCCATTGTTTCAGCGAGGCATGCATCTTCCTCAAAACAAGGTCATTGATCATGAGCCCCGCTCTATTGAGATTGGAAAGGGCTTCATGGGGTTGCCTTGCTCATGCTGATCAGACGCTTAACACCGACCTGTATTACAATGATTAGTTTGAGACCCAAGGTAGATTTCGATAGGGAGACTTACCATCCAGTTACCACACTCTTCCGTTCGGTTAGTCATAATGTCAAGGTGGATGACACGAGCGGTCTCGTAGTCCTTAGACTGGATAGCACGCGCTAGGTTGGCCAGATCTTCCACGGTGTTGGGCTTGAGCAGATCCTCATTGTTTAGGTGGTCAAAGAGGATGTTCAAGCGGCGCTCGGCGTCGTCAACCTGTGCCTTGAAAGATGAGGGTGCGCGGGCCTTGACACGCTGCATGTCTGACGACAGAATCTCGTACACGGGCATTGCGTTCGGCGGGATATGAGACCGGTCACCAGGGGCTATGATGCGTCAGTTCGGCGAATGTTAACAATGAACATTGCAGGGATACATACGGTACTTGGGAGTCGCGGGGGGTGGGGGAGCGGCCATTTGAGACTGGGCTGTGCCGGGTCTTGATCCTTGGGGGGAGGTGGAACAGGAGCCGAAGCCATGGGGGGAGGCTGGGTAACAGCAGGCCCGCTTGGGGCATATGGGCGTGCTGCCGGAGGAGGTGCCGCCGCGTGTGGAGCGTACGGCGAGGGGCCACCATGGGGAGGAGGCGCCACAGGTGGACGACTTTGCAGTTGCGGGCCAGGGGCCTGGGCAGCCGGGTTTGGAGCATACCGGTTGGTTGGCGGCGGTACGCTAGGCGGAGCGTTATACGGCGATGGCCCACGGTTGATTGACGCAGGTGGGGACATGGTCGAGGTGGGAGGAGACTGGGGCAGAGAAGCATAAGGGTTGACTGGAGGGGGCGGCGACAGCCCGGGTACGCTCGATGCAAGAGGCGACGTCACGCGAGGAGGGGGAGGAGCGCCCGCCTTGGGTGGAGGAGGCACAGATGGCGCACGCTGAGGTCCAGTGGGAGGTGGACCTTGAGCGAGAGGAGGAGACTGGTTAGGGAAGGGAGAGCTGATAGTAGCGGCAGCAGTAGGTGTACCACGACGAGGGGTGGGGACCTTCTTAGTGAAGCCTTCTGGCAGATCGTTCCATGCAGGGAGGCCAGTAGCGGTAGTATACGTGGTGATGGTGTTACCCGGCGACTGAGAGCCTGCGCGGGGAGGAGGCGGCACGACACCGGTACCAGCGGGTTGACCAACGAACGTAGACTGAGGACCGTAGGCAGGCGCTTGCATACCCTGGGTTGGCTGGTATCCAGCTGGCGTGTAGCTACTACGGGGAGCACCACCGAACGAGGCGTACGGGTTGGCAGGCTGAGATGGAGCGGCAGTAGGGGGCGCGAATGCGTTCACTGGTGGGTGTGCGGGAGGAGCGGCAGCGGCAGCAGCGGTGGGCGGCGCATAAGCGTTCTGTGCACCAATGGTGGGAGGCGCTGGTGAGAAGGTCTGCTGAGGCTGGTAAATGTTGGGCTGCTGAGGAAGAGGCTTGAAGCTCTTGGTAGTGGTAGCGGCCTGCACCTTCTGTGGAGCCTGTCTCATCGCCAGATTGATACGGTTGCGAGCCACCTCGGCCTCAGGATGCTTGGCAGGGACAAGGTCGAGGTACTTCTGAGCGATTTGCAGTCGTCCATGGGTAGCAACGACGTCGGCATACTCGATGTACTTCTCGTACAAAGTGCTGAGGCGCCAGTCTGAGTCCTTGTTCTTTTCCTCATCCTGGAACTTGGTGACCTGGCGGAAGATGGTCACTTTCTCGATCAGACCCTGCAGGGCACGAACGTGGATAGAGAAGGTGGAGTTATCCGTGTCACTCTCAATTCCACGTTGCTCATTCTCGCGGAGTTCCTCGACCCAAATGGACACAACCTTCTCAAGCTTGGAACCAGCGAGGAAGCAGAACGAGGCATCCTTGCGCGCAGTCTTGTCACCAGAGTCGCGAATCTGCTCTTCAAGGCGGTCACCAAGCGCCTCGCAGAGGTCAGGGAACTCCTTCTCGTCAGCAAAGGTGCACAGAGCAGCCATAACCTCCTTCCAGTTGGAAAGATCGGCGTTATGGACGACATCCCAGAGGTTCTTGCCAACGATAGAAGCCAGGAGGCGCATGTAGTTAGGGCCACCGGCCTGCTTGGAGAAGTAGTACTCCTGCGCCTTTTCGATACACTTCTGACCGCCGCAGATAGCAATCATGAAGGCATCCGACATGCGGTCCTCGGCGAGGGCCACATCGAGAGCCTTTTCGAACTCGCCGAGAAGCAAGGAGCGGGTGATCTTCTTCTCAGCCTCGGTCTCGGAGCCGTTGAAGATCTGGAAGGGGTTGTTGGTCTGAGCACCCTTTGATGCAGCCAGTTCGGTCAAGAAGTTGTCACTGTCGGGAGTTGCGTCGAACATGGACTGCAGGCGCTTGTGCTTCTTGGCACTGGACTTAGGTTTCTCAGCCACTCCATTGGTCTCTTCATCCTCCTTCTTGCCCAGGCCAAGCTTGGACAAGCTATCAGCAGCTTCGTCGGCCGAATCCTGGAAGCCCAGGTACTCCACTAGACCCTTGCGCGGGTTCTCCGACAGCAAGGCCTGGATGACCTTCCAGTCGGCCTTCTCCTCATCGGTCGAAGCACCAGCAGCGCGAGTCTCGCAGAGACTTCGGAGATCACCCTCCTTCAAAGCAGTCTCAAAGGTTTCGGTAGCGTTACCAACGCTTGAGTCAACTTCAAACGGAGTGATTCTAACCTTGGATGCGCGAGAGCCTTTCTCAGATAGACCAATAGAGACGACGCGGCCACCAAAGCCGAACGAGGCACCACAGGGACGCTCGAGCCATTTAGGGGGCTTGGGAAGAGAGAACTTGGAAACTTGAGGCTGTGTTTGGGCCTTGGCAAAGAAGTCTTCACCGTCCAGAGCCTGGTTGTGGTCGACGATGGCTTGGGAGTTGTCCTTGGTGTTTTGAAGGGTCTGGATGGAGATTCTGCCATCAAAGGAAGCGGTGGCGAAGAAGTTAGGGTTGTGCGGGTTCCAGCGGGTTTGGAAAGTCCAGTTGGTGACAACGGGGAATTCGCCATATGCCTCGCCGGTCTGGGGGTTCCAGCAAATGTTGCGGTTATCTTTACCAGACGAGAGCATGAGATCCGGATCTTGGTCGCACCAAGAGAGCGAAAGCACTCCAGACTCGTGGCCCTTCAGGGTCTATAGGGAATATTCATTAATGCCTCAATCAAATGTGCTTCGAAAATGGACACGACACTTACACGCTCCGGGGCATGAGAGTTTCGCAGATCCCACACATAGATCAGAGGGTCTGACTCGAGAGGAGTGGCCGTGATGAGCTTAGTGGGCTATAGAGAGAGGGTCAGTAACAGCGACATTGTGAACGGTAGCTCCATCAGAGAGTCGCACCTTCGCGGGGTCCCATGCAACAGCGCTGACAGCCTTCCGTCCCATGTTGTTCAGCGTCAGGCTCTCCTTCTTGGTCTTCACATCCCAGACAGTCACGAAGCCGGCGCTGCTACCAGTCACCAGGATGTGTGCAACCTTCTTATTCCAGTCCAAGCATTCGATATCATCTGTGCGAGCAGCAGCCGTGCCGAGTCGGAAGGGATTCTCGACATTGTCTAGGTCGGAAATGAACAGCTCGCCTTTCGCGCCACCAGTGGCCAGGAGGTTGGAGTGCTTGGGATTGAATTGAAGGGCTTTGATGGCGCCGGAGTGTTTCGTAGTCCTTGAGATCAATGCATCGCTAGATCTTGGTCAGCGAACGTGTCTCTAGACAATTAGTATGTGAATGCCACCCACCTAGATCCAGCGAGCAGCTTATCGGCGTTCCACAGATCCAATGAACCATTCTCCAAACCACCTGCGATGACACCGCGCTTGGTATCATCAAACTCCGCCCAGGCCAGATCGTTAAACCTAACAGACCCTCGAGGTCAGCACATACGAACGATCACGGAGCTTCAGGGACGACAACATACCCAGAGTCGGTATCGATCTTAGCTACAGGCCGTAGCTCTTCACTGACATCTTGGCGATCCAGACTTAGATCCCAAAGCTCAAGGCATGTCTTATTCGAGAAATCGACGTCGACGGCACCCGCCCGGGTTCCGGTAGCAATCAATGGTGATGCAGCCCCAGGAGACCAGGCAAAGGTGGCCGTCCTTGGGATCTCCCGCAGACGGACCATGTTAGCGGGGAGGGATGTTTGTGGTGGTGAAATCAAGACCAAGACAAATCAAGGATCCAATATAAGCAGTGAATGTAAATCCCACCCCTGTACAGAATTGACAACGGGGGGGTGTGATGCTCGACTGGCCGCAGTAAACCAAGTGGCCTCCTGGACTTGGAGGGACCGGGGAACCCGCGCTAAACCCTTTTAGGCCCTCGCCAAAACACCCCCGAGGCTTGACGCACGTGATATCAAGTTCTCTTTCGTGGGCATGCAACCTGACGTGGGACGAACGAGCACAACCAGCACCTTGAGACTATCTCCTACCTGAATTGCCAGGCTCCAGTAATAATCTTGTGTTGCGGTCTACACTTTCTGTGTTTTATCGGCTCCCCGAAGAATCCCTGAGCTCCAATATCGAATTCCAACGAACACCATGAGCGAAAGTACTAGGCTCAAGAGCACGGTCTACGTGGGCGGTCTCGATCAGGCCGTGACAGCGCAGACTTTGGCGGAAGCATTTGTGCCCTTTGGAGAAGTTGTCGACATCACTTTGCCCAAGGCAGACGCGCCCAACTCCGGCGACTCGCACCGCGGCTTTGGATATGTCGAATTCGATCTTCCCCAGGACGCCAAAGAAGCCATCGACAACATGGATGGCAGCGAGATCTATGGACGCACAATCAAGGTTGCAGCCGCAAAGCCTCAAAAGGATGCCAACGAGGGACTGGGCAGCAAGACCGCCATCTGGGAGCAGGTACGTGGGGCAATGTATTCTCTCTTGATATGGTTGCACCATGACTAACCGTGCATTTCTCTACAGGAGGGCTATTTGGCCAAGTACGCTGTCGATGAGGAGGACAGGCAAGCAGCCGAAGAGGCTCGACAGGCTAGCAACCGGCCCCAAGACCCGATGCAAGGCCTGGAGCAGCTGGACGTTGCAGGGCCTAAGCCCGAATGAATTACACTCTAATGATGGGCACGATCATAACGAAAGACCACGAATGACAATACAATTTGTCGAGAAGACACGCTCGAGGGTTTCCCCTCCGCAGAAAGCCGGGATATGTACACAAGATCCGGTTCCGAGCACGACTGGACTTTTTTTTGGGAGTTCTCCTAACTTTCTTACCGGAAATCAACCCGACTCAAACAAATACATGCGGCAAGAGGTTATAAAGGGTGGGATCGCATTCTCAGGAGCTCAGATAAACAGGATGGTACATTTAGTGATCGCGGCTCTCGGGGCTGTTGCGGTAGAGACGCAGGGTCTTGTCGGTCATGAGCTTCTTGGTGCTCGAGTAAATGGCAGCACCGATGGCAACGCTAGACAATGTTGTTAGCATGGGAATCGGTCCGAAACCTCGACTCTGGACGATTGCTGGACGGGGAGGAAAATTCGGGTATATAGGTCGCGGATTCGGGCGGGCATGTGATATCAAACAGAAACGTACCCAAGAACGATACCTAAATGTCAAACATGTATTAGACAACATTCCATCGCCGTAGATGTCCATTATAGAAGACTTACCAAGAGGGATCAGCTCGGGAGGACACTTCTTGATCATGCGCAGACGCTGGGAGATGGTGTGGGCTATATGCGACCGGTCAGTTCAATAGTCCCTTCCAAAACCCATCCAATGGACCATTTCAATCAATGGCTCCACGAAAGGCCGTGCTGTCGTGGGGGAGGGTAGTCGTACCGCTCTGACCCTCCTTCTGTAGACAGGAGTTAGCATTAGCCGAAACGGATCGTATGACCAGCCGACCGAGGACGGCGATAGGAGTCACTTACGGGGATGGGGCTGTAGAAGGCCCGCGAGGGCTGCATGCGCAGGACACGAGAGGGGTACATGGCGACGGACAAGACAGGCTTGGGAGTAGTCAAAGGCTGCGGGAGGCCGAAGAGAAGGGGAGTGGGATGGAGGACGAGGTGACGGGCAAGCTTTCCAAGAACGTCGCTCTCAGTGGCTCGGGTGTTTTGGGAAAAGCGAGACGCTCAGTGGCTCTCGCTTGACCGCCCGCGGTGGTACCCGGCACGAGCAGCTTCGATCACCCAACGTCCGTTCTTTGCCCTCCTCCTACCTCCCTCTCCTCCACTCTCCAATCCACACCCCGCAAACCCTCCATTCTTCTTCTCTTGTGTTCTTCTGCAGAAGCTACACATCGTCAAAATGGGTGCCATTCCGGAAGTCGACCCCGACGAGCCCGTCGAGACCAAGCCCTTCAAGTTCGTCACTGGTAAGTCTACGCAACACTCCCCCCTCCCCTATGAAAACTGGGGTCAATTGCCCTGCGGAAGAGTCAATGGCTAATTTTTCGGCAGCTGGTACGTCTATAAACTCGGTTTCCATATAATATCAGCTCGCGCTCGAGATACGATTTCGGGCGGGCCTCTCCCGATCAGACTGGGATATATGGTCAGACTAACATTTTGCCGCACGCGATCGCAGGCTATGACGCTCGCTTCCCCCAGCAGAACCAGTACGTCACACGTCAAAACCACATACTCATTTCATTTCTAACGCCAAAGTTCCGTCTCATAGGACCAAGCACTGCTGGCAGAACTATGTCGACTACTACAAGTGTGTCAACGCCAAGGGCGAGGACTTCCGCCCATGCCGTCAGGTATCATCAAACTCCACGCCAATAAACAGGCCCGTTGCAAATTCTGACATGTATTGCAGTTCTACCACTCCTTCCGCTCTCTCTGCCCCAAGGCCTGGACCGACCGCTGGGACGCTCAGCGCGGTACGTATCATACGATCCTCGGTTCAAATCCCACGGGTATACTAACTAATATCTTCGGTTCTTACAGAGGCTGGCAACTTCCCCGCTCACCTCGACAAATAGATAGCCAACGGCAGATTTGCGTTGGTTAGACTGGGCTTCTTCAAATGTTGTGTATTGACAAAGTTCCAATGTACTCTACCTGGTCGCACGGGGATACATTTCCTTTCTTCCTGGATGTAATCATCTGATCTACCGGAGAAAGGGTGTTTATAAGTCGCCGTTTTGCAAAGAGAAACGTGTTTCATTAGCTGACACCTCCGCTTCCGAAGTAAACCGCTTGCCTTTCAAGTAGCAAAGTTCAAGTAGACGTCACTGTACACTCCTGGCTGCATGTAGTGATACGATTTTGGCGCAGCAAGATGAAATCACATGTCTTCGCACTCTCTGGGATGATCAGTAGATTTTCTTGGACCCCAAGCTTGGTATCTTCTGAGCTTGTCATGTACCCTACAAAGCTTTATCAACACATCCTAGTCTTGTCTCGTGTCTCGAACATCTCGAACATCCCAAATACTACTATCCAAGACTCAACTATCAGCAATTTCAAAGTTTTTCGCCTCGACGCTCCTTCATGTCAGTGTCATGTCGAATGAAAGTTTACATTTCCAAAACCCAATTGTTCCTCGCGGAAATAGTCTGCATGCGATTCAGGGTGTATCTATGTCTATATGATTTCAGTCTTCCGTGTGAAAAATAATGCGAAATCCTCGACACCCTGGACATAGGACCGGGTCAGATACGCTGATGATTCAAAGCCAGCGAACCGCGCGACTTTGGCCAACAATCACCCCGGCCCTCTTCAAAGGAAACATCCCAAAGAAAATGCAAATATGTACAAGCCAAAACGATGCTTGTGGGACCTTCAAAATTGCTCCGCCCAAAGTCATAAAGAAAAGAAAAGAATTCGAGTCATATATACGGGGAATAGATCGGGTGAAAATCAGAGATGAACGGAATGGGAAAAAATGACGCGATAAGAAATGCCAACTTTTACACCTGAGTAACTCAGATGCCCTTCAATTTCCGGTAGAGTTTCTTGTGCTCCTCAAGGAAGATGAAGGTGGCAATGGTGTGAGGACCCAGGCGAATGAAGCTAGGAACCCAGCCGCGGAAGGTCCACGCAAGACCCTCCTTGCGGCAGATATCCCGCAAAAGGCCCACGATGCTGTGGCCACGGCTCTCGGCCGGGGATGCAGTCATGATACGGGTCTTGATCACGTCCACCGGGCTGCAGACGGTGGTAGCGACGAAGCCAGCAAGGAAAGAGGCCGTGAAGTGAGTGCCGACATTGTCGCCCATGCCCACCTGCTCAATGCAGAGGCGCTTGAAGATATCGTATGAAGTCAATTGCGAGGCAGTCATGAGGATTGCGCGCGTCGAGTTCGGCCATACACCGCGGAAGAGCGAGCTGATACCCTCGGTCTTGGTCATCTGGACGAGGCCGTGGAAGGCATGGCGGTAGTTACGGCGCTGGGCGGGGGGCAACGCCGCATCTGATTGCATTCGCACGTTGAGAACATCGGCTGGGTTGCCTACAAAGCCGCCAATCAAGCCCGAGGTACAGGCAATGCCAAGCAGGGTGAGAAAGCCTGGAGAGGTAGAGGAGGAGTTCGGGGATGTTGTGGCGAAGCGGGATTTTAGTTCTTCGTAGATACCGAATCTTGTCGTGGAGTAGGTAATCTGGCGTAGAAGGGCGGCAGAGAGCTGCATTCAAGCAAATATTATGTCAGATCATCGACAAGGCAGGCACGAAGCAAGAGGGAGCATCAGGGCATAGGTGGCGCAAATGCTCGCCGATGCTCGGCGATTGGCAGAACATACACCATTGTATAATCCAGTGAACCCATTATGCCTCAAAATGTGAGCAAATGTGCCCACCATTGTCTTGGGGGCATCTGGTGCGCGTGTTTGTAACCGGACCTAGGATGCGACAAGGGTCCATGATCAGCGACAGGGTCGGGGGGCAAATGTTTCGGAGTAAGATCGGAGTGAGCTAAAGATACCTTGACTATGAAGATGAAGTGAGTTAGCACATGCTTAGATCTCAAGACAAGTTCAGAGCCATTCAACAAGCAACATACCCAAATCTAACGGGTGCGTCACAGCGGCGGCGAAGCATGACGCCGAACCTCCAAACCAAAATGGGTAATGCACCTTCTTTGACTTGGACAGGACGGGCGTTGAGACGGGGGCCATCCTCGTATGAGCAACCGGGGCCTCTAACATTTTGCCGGTGTCTGCCATGTCGAAGGGACTCAAGGCTGCGGGAGGAGTGGAGGAGAGGTTGGGGGAGGCGTAGTTAAAGAAGAGCCCGGCCCTGTGCTTTTTTTTTTTGCAGGTCGGCTTTTTCCCAGGTTGACGTAATTTTGGATCGCCAATACCGACGGAGACAAATCAGGCCGCCGAAGCGCCGCTCGGCCGCCCCAGCCGACGGCGTATCGTGGCCAATCATGGCCAGTGTCTCGACAGAATGTGGTAGTGAAGTCCAATCATCGTCTCGGTTTTGATCGAGGCCGGTGGAGTCTTGGGGCTGTAAGGGACATACCGCCCTCTGATGCTCCTACTGTTTTGAACACCGGTCCCCAAGTGATCGTGGACTTGCACTCGGGCTCGGTGGTTAAACTGGACCCCGAGAAGCGGCATGAGGAAGGAGACCTTGGTGATTGATAGCGATTCACCTCATCATATCATGGATATGCACCCCTGACAATACAAACGTGGTGACGGTGTTCTGGAAAGGATGGTTTACGGGCGGGTATCCTCGGTGGAATTGCGGAAGTCGGGACGAGCACTCGGAGAACCGAGGGAGGGGTCACCAACAACGATAAGACTGGAATGGATGTTCTAGATTTGATAAAGAGATTATGAGTAGTAGTATTGAATTAAATCGAGAACTTTACAATAAATGAAATATCAATTTGAAAAGTACAATAACTATTTCAAGATAAATGTTGGTGCTGTCAGGTACCCTGCTACACCTGCACCCTCAACATATATATACTCGGACTGACCTACACACCTATCTCAGAGCACATCACGCATGTAAGCACATCGAATCTCTAGAGTCGAATAGCCGCTTGTTAGATAATCGTAATAACATGAAAAAAAAAACACATATTCCAAACACCTCGGGCTATCGAGTTGCCTGCCTGTTCTTTCTCTACCATATAGCCAGTAGGCTGTACTTCGGGAACTCATTTCCCCGGCGCCGGACATGTTTTGAGATTCCTCCGCAGGCCACTCACCACCAGGACCAATTGACCCAGACTCGCCTCTGCAATGCGGTTATTTGCTACCGGTCGAGTCCTGCGCGCCAGCAGTGGGCGCTGGTCCATTTCCGCGACTCGTCCGAGAATCTCCATTCCCCGATCATACCCGCTCCGCGAGTCCATCCCAGCTGCCACTCGCGACTGGAGCTCCACATCGGCTCGACGGACAGCTGATCAAAGTTCCAGTACCGGCCAGCCCAAGCAAGTGCCGAAAGCGCGGTCAAGTCTCAAAATCCAAGGCGACAACCACCCGACTGACCAATGGACCAACACTCCCGACACAATCCTAAACCACGTGGGACGGCGCCTGTACCTCGACGAGAATCATCCCCTCGCCATTACACGCAAGCTCATTGAGAGCCAGTTTCCTGCGCCGGTGTTTGGCAACTACTTCGAAAAGAACCCCGTTGTCACGACTAGACAGAACTTTGATGTCCTGGGCTTCCCACCAGACCACCCGGGTCGCAGTCGCACGGATACCTACTACATCAACGATAAGACGGTGCTGCGCACCCATACAAGCGCACACCAGCAAGCGTATTTCCAGCAAATCAACCGCAATGAGAAGATCCGCCCGGAGGAGGTTGGATATACCGTCATTGCTGATGTCTACCGCCGTGATGCGATTGACCGGAGTCACTACCCGGTCTTCCACCAGATGGAGGGAGCTATGCTGTGGAAGCGGCCAGACCAAAACCCGCTGGAGGCATCCAAAGAAACCGCAGCCAGGATCAATGCGGATTTAGATTTGATCCCGCGCCACGACGTTCCAGTCGAAGACCCCAACCCAACGATCCACCCGCACCGTAACCCGCTGCAGGCGGAGCACCACAGCGAAGAGGAGGTCGAGGCGATTGCAGCGCATCTGAAGCGGTCTCTCGAGCGCATGGTCATCAAAGTCTTCACTGAAGGAAGCAAGGCTGCCGCTGCAAGCGCTGGTGGTAATGTCGACCCTGAGCCTCTCAAGGTCCGCTGGGTGGAGGCATACTTCCCTTTCACCAGCCCATCGTGGGAGCTCGAAGTCTTCTGGCAAGGTGACTGGCTGGAGATTCTAGGATGCGGTGTCATCAAGCAAGATCTCCTGATCAACTCGGATGTCCCCAACCGGGTCGGCTGGGCCTTTGGCCTGGGCATTGAGCGCATTGCTATGCTCCTTTTCAACATCCCCGACATCCGCCTCTTCTGGTCTCGTGATGAACGCTTCCTGTCTCAGTTCCGTGCTGGTCAGATCACCCGTTTCGAGCCCTTCTCCAAGCATCCCGCCTGCTACAAGGACGTTGCTTTCTGGCTGCCTCCAGCCGCCGTCACCGGCGGTAGCAGTGCTGCAGGTGGTGCCGTGCCGTTCCACGAGAACGATGTGATGGAAATCGTTCGCGGCATCGGTGGTGACCTCGTCGAGGATGTGACTCTAATTGATGAGTTTACTCACCCCAAGTCTGGACGGAAGAGCATGTGCTATCGCATCAACTATCGTAGCCTGGAGCGGACTTTGACCAATGAGGAGGCTAATGAGATGCATGAGAAGGTGCGAGCTCAGCTGGTTGATGACTTTGGCGTGGAAATGCGGTGATTGAAGGGAGTCGAAAATGTGTACTATATGATATCTGCTACTATACTCTCTCTACAACATGTACAATACCAGGGGCTGATTTGCGTCTCTCCAATCAAACGTGCCATGAAAATGTAAATCCATGGGTTGTCGAAGCACGCTCCATGGAAATAGCTCACACAGGAAATCAACTCGAACATATTGCTACACCAAGATGAACCCATGAATGACAACGGGAGGCTTTGATACTGCCAGCCCAGGGTGTATATTGTATTGTACAAGATATGAGGAGAGAGTTTATCCGGAGACACAGATTGCGCGAAAGTGAAAAGAAAGATCCCCCAACACGAGACAATCCAGACGCCTCCAGTCACATGCAACACGAAAAAGGTGTATCATACAGATCCAAGAGACAAGCAAACATCAAGAAAAGGATATTTTTTTCCCGGGTCCAACAACCAGTCGCAACCGAGTGCGAATCCCTATCGTGATCGTGACGTATGATATATGGTACAGAGAGATGAAAAAGAAGATGAGGAAATGAGGAGGACGGGAGGAGAGGAGGTATTATGATCGGGAGGAGAGAAATTAGGAGTTCTTGACAACGCCGACCTTGGCAGCCTGCAGGAAGAGAGGTTTGATTAGAAAGAGTTGCAGGAATAGCGGGTCGTGGTAAAACTTACACGAACGACACGACCGTTCAGACGGAAGCCCTTGCTCTGGGTGTACATCACGTCGCCGTCATCCATGTTAGGAGAGGGAGCCATGAAAGTGGCTTCGTGGAGGTTGGGATCGAACTTCTGAGCCTTGCCATCCACCTGCTCGCTGGGGTCGAAGCGCTCCAGACCGTGCTTCTGGAGTGTGCCCATGAGAGTCTTCTCGGTCATCTTGAGACCGTCGACGAGGTCGAGCAGATCCTTGTTGGCATCGCTGCGCTCGGCAGTGAGCTTCTCCGCGGGCACGGCCAGCAGCGCGCGGTCGAAGTTGTCAATGCTCTCCAGCAAGTCCTTGGCGAAGCGCTGAATGGCAAAGTTGCGGGCACCGTCCATGTCGCGCTTAGTGCGCTCTTGCAGGTTACGGAACTCGGCGACGGAGCGAAGGTATTTGTCCTAAGCGTCATCAGTATGTGAAATCAAGGTTATGATTCAAAGTCATGAATTGAGTGAAACATACCTTCAGATCAGTGACTTCCTTCTTCTTCTCCTCGAGCTCCTTGCGGACGGGGTCCTCCTCGGCATTCTCGGCAGTCTCACCCTCCGGGGCAGCCTCCTTCTTCTCTCCGTTATTCTCGGTGGAGTAGAAACGGCGAGCAGGCTGAGGAGCGAATGGCCTCATGGCCGCAGGAAGCTGTGACTGCAACCGTGTTGTCCGTCGGAGAGCGAGCGGCGCCGCAGATGTGGAGGTAGAGGCAGTCAGGACCGACCGGGCGGCCTGGGCTTGTCTGAAGATGGTGCGCTGGAACATTGTGTAAACTGGACAATTACAATTGAGGTTATGCCAAGAGTGAAGGTAGAGGAAAGAGAGAGGGAAGAGTCTGTTCGGTCTGTTGGTTGATTGCGATAGCTGATCGCCGGGAGAATTTCGTGGAATATCACCTGACCGCTTTAGCTCCGGGAAAACCGCTGGGCCGAAGTAGATCGTGCTCTCCTTCCTCAAGGAGTAATACAGTCAATTGTATACCTAGTGTACAGGAAAGCGTGACGATAGGGATCTCGAAGCTGTAGCTCTACTAGAAATCCTGCAGAATTTTAAGAATAGTGAGCTATTGGTACTTTTTGGATGGTTGGACCAATAATGACCATCGAACTAACTAGTTATGGACTTCAGACTACTGTATGAGTCAGATTGAATTTGAAAACATCGAATAACGTAGTTAAATAGCGAAAAAGATACGAATCATCTTATCATGGCTCTTTGATTGAAGCTTGCTGGACATGCCATAATCTATTCAGAGCCTTTAGCCAGTAAAGTCGAGCTCAAATGGGAGATTTGCTCGTTTAGAAACGCATTGCCTTCGGCAATGGTAGTTTGTCGTCTTTGCGAGCTCTGGTCGGCTATTCTATCCAACAATTGACAGTGTACCCTGAAACTGGTTCACTGATTGACTGAAATTGTTAAGCTAGTGATGGAATAGAACGGTTTGACCCATCGCTGCCTTGCCCTAAGGTCTAATGAAGGCTGGTGTCGACACCTCAGGCCGGACTTCAGGCAACAGCTAGCAGTTGCCTAAAATGGCCCCCGATTGAGTATGGCCCCCGAACACCCCGAAACGAAGTATAAAATCACGATCGAAGAACGCATTCAATCGTTTACCATCTTCTTTCTCATTCAATATCCAGATAAAAGTTCAATTGATATACTCCTCTATACAAATCATCATGACGAAGCGCGCTCTCGACTCTGATTCTACGACGACTCGTCGAGTCAAGCCCACTCTCGTTGACCAGAGGCCATTCAAGATCACCAACTTGGATGATGGCGAGGTGGTGCATCAGACATGTATTGTGATTCACGGTGAATGCCAGGATTTCGATCACTCCGAGGAAACCAACTATGTCTCGGTATCTTCGTCTGACATGCTCAAGAAATCGCGTTCAGCTCAACACTGGCCATTGAACAAAGGCCAATGGAGCGCAGTCGTGATGCTATCTCCGGGAATGAACAAGCTTGAATTCAAGCTTCATCACGTCGGAGGAATTTCAGGATCCCTGGAAATTACCGTGAACTATCTTCCCCTTTTGCAATTGCCGCCCCTACATCTCGCCATTCTGGTCGCAAAGGACTCGCCTCTTCTGATTGACTGCCCCCCAGCCAAGTATGGGAGCATATCCAGTGCACACAGTGGCATTGAAGCCGCAATCTCCAAGCTTCGCATGTCAGCATACATGTGGCAAGCTCTCACTGCCGAAGACTTCCGCCAGAAAGGATTGGGAAGACGCTCGTTCCGCCTGGAGGAGGAATGGGCTCCCAACACAACCATGCAAAAGACCCATCAATATGTTCCGGGAGAGAATTCTCAGATGGGTCCAATGGCAAAGGTCCATATCATTCGGTCGAAGAAGACTGTTGCGGAACTCAGGGATGCCAACGTTGCTCAGCAAAACGAGCGAGGTCGGGACCGAGATGCCTTGCACCGTTATTTCGAGCAGGCACTGATTGATTTTGGCGCTCCATTTGACTCAAAGAGTCGACCAGTTGTTGCTGGTCTGATTCTGGATTCTCATTACTCCGCCCAGACATCTATGATCACCGCACATGCCGCCCTGGGCTGCCACAAATCCAAGGGTGTTTCCTTGGGAATCTTCGGAAGCCATCTTACCTACTCCTGGCCGCGGTTTATGGAGGAAGTTCCTTCCTGCCTAACGGACATGACTCTTACTGGAGACACAGTCGGCAATGATAACGGTGAATGTGAGACTATGCGTGGAGCATGCTTTGTCGGTCAAGGCGCCTTCCTGCACGAAGTCGGCCACGCCTTTGGCGCGAGCCATACCACAGGGATCATGGCGAGAGGTTACAGCAGGAGCTGGGGAATGAACTTCATTCAACAAAAGGATAACGGCTCGATGAAAAACGACGCGAAATGGGACTTGCAAGATACGCTGCAGTTCAAGTTGTTACCCCATTTCGCTCTCCCTGGTGATGATCCCGTGACAAAGGAGTTCCAGAATGCCAATGTGAAGATTGAGGTTTCCCTGGGAGGAGATGACCAAATGGACACTGACGACAAGACTGAAGGCCTGAAGATCTCGTGTTCTGCTGGACTTGCGCAAGTGAAGATCCAAAATGGCGGGGATAACCCCGTCGTTCATGATCTGATGGATGCTACCAGAGCCGCTTGCACCCTATTCCAGATCCTGGAAATCCGCGAGAAATTCGATCAGAGCCAACCGCTGAAGATCTCCGCTCTTGGAATGAATGGCAAGAACCGTGTCGTCTCGGATTTCTGGGCCATGGTCAAGGATCTTCCTTTCATCCGTATCCCAGACAGCGACGTGGTTCTCCAGAAGCAATCTGTACGATCTCAAGACCTCGAGTCAGCTGAAAATGACGACAACTTCATCAAATGGGCCATGCTCCTTCGCCACCGCGGCAAGGATGGTCAACTGCATCGTGCTACGGCTGTTGATCTCCGGGTCGGATGCACCATGGACGGAGCGGTTGTCCACTATGCGGATGGACAGCACGCCAATTGTGGCCCAGCGCGGAACAAGCATAACGGCCAGCCGCACCGCTTTGGTGGACACGCCTCAGTACGACGTGACATTCCTGATGGCGAGGAGATCACCCAGGTCAAGATTCACAAGAGAGAAGACGGATGGGGAAGTTTGTCGGGCATCCGGATGATCTTGAGCAATGGAGATGCTTGGGGTTGTCTCAACTATAATGGCAATGGCGATGATGATAGCGATGACGACAAAAACTCTGATGATGGTGACCAGGAGAATGACTCTGCCATTGTGACTTTGGAACCAGGGGATGATGAGGTGATTGTTGGGTTCTACGGAAAGAGCGACCAGAGAAGCGGCTTCACTTATGAATTCGGTATCCTGACAGCCCCGAAGGGAGTGGAGCTACCAGAGAAGGTTTATAATATGGCGGAACTGAGAAATGACTGACTCCAGGAATGTTTCACATCGGTTGATGCTGGAGGACTCGCTCCTTGGGAACGTGGACTCGAGTTTTTGTATATATTCATCAGTGCTGCATTTCTGTACATTCACGTTTGAAGAGGAAGAGAAGTGGAATACCCAAATGATTCTAAACTGAAATTATCATCCCATCATCATAATCATACCTTAATCGGGGCCGCAGTCACATTACTGCGGAAATCCCGGCTGCTGAATTCAGCCTTAAAGATAAAAGATCCAGCAGGAACACACCAGTCCTGCGAGATCACATCCCAGTAACTGACATCTCTGCGCATGAGCTCAAAGGATACCGTCTCCTTCTCACCAGCCTGGAACCAGACTTTGTCGAACCCACGAAGCTGACTCGGTGGAGTACCAGCTGGAGTCGAGGTAGGGAACTCGACGTATAATTGCGGCACGGCAAATCCATCAACATCTCCGGTATTTGATACTCCTGCCTGGAGAGTATGTACTGGCTCCCAGAGAGCAGGGTGATCGGTAACCCCGGCCAATATTGAATGTACCGGGCCCAGAGTAGATACAAGAAAGACTCGTTATGATGTTTGAATTGTCAAGACACGTCTATGCAACTCTGGTGGCATCATGGCTTGACTTGGAAGTGATCATCCAGCCTGTGGAGATCGAATCGTGTTTGCAAGTTTTCTGAATCATACTCGGAGAAAATGATTTAGGAACAAGCCGTGGAAGCCGTAGAGATGTGGTTACAGGAATTTCTGTTACACCTTAGCCCATTACCAGAGATTGTGCATGGAGTGGGAAAGCCTCCAATACCTAGCGCTAACATTTTATTGAATTTAACCCCTTTCATCTTCATAGAACGGATATGAAGATGATTCCCGAGGGAAAAAGAAAGCTATCATGACAAATTTATGTAGCTTCCATTTCCGTAAATCATTTCCCCATGGACAAGGCGCCATTCTCACCTAAGGATAATCTCTCTACTTTTCCTGCGTTTATTTTGTCTCAGATCAATTATGTGGGCAAAAACTCGTCCAGCGGCTACCCATACACAATCAGTATGAGATGAATTACCTGAAAAATGCAGTCAGACCCAGCCTGCGTTGGCAACAAGCAGTTTCGCCAGGATTTTCTAGTCCAGGATGGCCCAATTGGCCAATATCTCAGTTGAGATCTGTCCAGAATATCTCCAAATAATTGACGAAGACAATTGAATGGCGTCCAAAAATCCTCTCTTCCGCCTATGCCTCGCCTCGGAATGAGAATTTTGTTTACGACACCTGGATTTCCAACCTGATTAGACAGCTGCCTAGCGACCTGGGTAGCCAGGCGGCCGTAGGCCTACTTGGAAAACACTTCAACTGCTTAACATATTTGCTGACTGATATTTCAGGTCCAGACTGGGAGTCCTCGTAATCACTAGCAATCATTCATGGAGAATGTGGGGTACCGGGGTACCGTGAGGTTCGCTCGGGATGTGGAGATGGTCTGTTCAGATGTCCTCATTCTCTGGACAACCACCCGGATAACTGTCCGATGCACTCATCGCGGAGAGAATAAATGGAACACTCCCCGCAATGCAAAGACACTGGAGCATAATCGAGCATTGAGTCAAATTGTCACATACTGCATCGCCCTTGACATTTACTCTCTCCTTTATTCGATCGTGTTTCAAGACACATCTACTCGGTTTGCCATCATCTGACCCAATCTAAATCAAACGGCCACAACCTGTCTTTCCCATATCCTGAACTACTTCAAAATGGTTGACCAAACCCTCGCCGGCAAGGTAGCCATTGTCACCGGCTCATCCTCAGGTATCGGCGCGGCAATCGTGCGAGAACTGTCTTCCCGCGGCGCCAACGCCGTGGTCAACTATCCCTTCGCTGGACTCAAAGACGAAGCAGACGCCGTGGCAGCTTCACTAACAACCGAAGCTATCACCGTTGAGGCAGATATGGCTAGAATAGAGTCACCACAGAAGCTCGTGGACGCGGCAATCGCGAAATGGAATCGCATCGACATCTTGATTAATTGCGTCGCGCTGGCTGTGAACAAGCCACTGGAGGAGCAAACTCTTGAAGACTGGGATTTACTCGTGAATATCAATGGTCGAGGGACTTTCCTTTTGACCAAGGCCGTTCTACCGCATCTCACGAAGGGAAGTGGGCGTATCGTGAATATCGCGAGTATCTCGGCTCGTGGACCGCCTCCTAATCAGACTATCTACGCTGGTACGAAAGGGATGGTCGATTCTTTTACAAAGTGCTGGTAAGTCAACATACTCACTCCAACCAATTCAACCAAAGATTGACCAAAGCTGCAGGGCCAAGGAACTTCCTCCTAAATACGGATGCACCGTCAACTCCGTTAGCCCCGGTCCAACCATGACCGAAGGCTTTGCTGCCGCCGGTGAGGAACAGATGAAGATTCTCCAGCCGATTATTGACCAAACACCCGTTGGTCCGCGAATGGGCCGGCCCGATGAGATTGCATTTGCAGTTGCGTTCCTTTGTGAAGAGCGAGCGCGGTGGATCAATGGGGAGCATTTGATTGCATCGGGTGGATTGTTTATTGATTAGAAATTGCTGGCGACTTTTATTACTGTGGAAAGGATGGAAATATGTCTCCGAGGATGTTTGTAATTAGATGCCAGAATCTGCATGTGAAGTCGATTACCGGGTTGAATTTGCAAGTTTACTTTATAGAGACTATGATGGATTCCATAAACGATAGGCAGAAATAAGCTCAAGTTGTTAATGATTCATAAATAACTCAAAAACTTACGCTACTTGCGCATCGATTCTTATTTAAGGGTTAACTGTACACCGTACTACTTGTATGAAGCGTCTTTTCGGGCTGAGAGGATCTGTAATCGCGCGCGATGCTACGTAAATGTCGCCGAGTCGGCCTAAAGATCGGGGGCCAATTCCGATCCGTGCATACTCACTGACAGATAGTCTCCGATTATTGTTACAGTGACGAAAAATATGTTTGACGAGCAAGGACATAAAAAGGGCCTGTCTGGGCTCCTATATTCTCTATCAATCGTTCGATTGTCAAAAGCCTCGACTTGAGCACCTCTTTACAAGCTTGACTGTTCATCCCATCCATCTCCATGCTATCATGTCTCTAAAAATGGATTCCGAGTGGTGCGAAGCCATGGCTCCTTTCTTCGCTGAATTGGCTGCTAATCCACGACCGCCTATGACGGATCCGTTGACAATCCGATCGGTGGTACAGCCCAGCCTGGCAAAGTGCTTGGAACAACTTCCAGACTTTCCCGATATTGAACACGAGATACACAATATCGCTTCCTACGATGGACATTCGATTGCCATACACCGATTCTGGAAAAAAAGACCTCGATAAAACTACGCCCGGTCCGGCAATCGTCCACACTCATGGTGGTGGCACCATCCTGGGTGATGTGGCTATGTTCCGTGGATACCTTAGCCAACAGATCCAACAGCATGGCATCCAGGTATTCTCCGTTGAATACCGCTTGGCACCCGAGCATCCCTTTCCCACACCCGTGGAGGACTGCTACGCAGGCCTGGTCTGGGTCAACCAACACACGGACCGATTCTCAATTGACCCCCGTCGTATCGCCGTGATGGGCGAGAGTGCTGGAGGTAACCTGGCCGCCAGTATTACCCTGATGGCCCGCGACCGCGGGCTCTCACCCCCAGTCGCGAGGCAGATTCTTGTCTACCCCATGCTGGACGACCGCAACACGGCCCCGTACCCAGCTCTCCAGAACCTGGTGACCTGGTCAACCGAGTCTAGCATCGTGTCTTGGGCAGCATACCTGGGGGCGGAGTCTGGTAGCGACAGTGTATCGCCATATGCAGCCCCCGCTCGCGTAGCCAGCGTCGAGGGGCTGCCCCCTACCTATATAGAAATCGGGACTCTGGACATCTTCCGCGACGAGGTGCTGAGCTTCGCCTCGCGGATTGCAGCGGCTAATATCGAGGTGGAAGTGCACATTTATCCAGGGCTACCACATGGGTATGATATGTTTGTGCCTGTTTCTGCTGCGGCACAGAGGGCGATCACGGATCGGGTGCGCGCGGCCTCTGCCTTGTAGCGCAAATGAATGGGGGGCTGGGGGTGTGGGGATAGGTTGTCAATAGTTCATCAGATTAGAAGGCAGCCTCGTTTCCCCCCATCTTCCAATGGTAAATAGGCTCGTTGATCCCTGTACGTTGTCGCTTGCGCTTCCGGGCCGAGGACTCTGTGGCAGCGAGGTTACCGTAAAGGATCAGGGATCCGAGCTTCCGCGTGGCATTGCCAGGCGGAGCGAGGCCAAGCTCTTGTCCATATAGAGTAATCTCTAGGCAGAGTCATAGATTTCATAAGCGCGATCCTGAGATGAGAGTGTCGGGGGCTGAGGCGGAGAGTAGAAGTGAGAGGCGGAGCTCTAGTTACGTACTCGGTCCAGTCAGCGAGAAGAATGAAGGATGAAAGTCGAATTGTACAACCCCGTACTGCGCACTCGGGACTATCACTGCATACGGAGAAGGAGGATAGCCAGAGGAGAGCCCAATCGTAGTCTAGTGCATAGTACAGAGGCATTCTGTAGTACAAGTACTGCCTCTCCTCTCGGTCGGCATAACCGGACTGCGCCTAACAAGGTGTGGCGCATGCAAATGTGGCGCATGCAGCAAACATTGCGATGAATAAGCTGGTCAACCTCCCTTTTCGAGATCAAGTTGGCGCAGTGGCCAATAACGAGGAGGCTGAGGGAGTCATGAGGCTTGGAGAGGATCCTCCTCAAAAGACAGTGGGTCAGGAACAAAGTTGATGACTGGCAAACTGCGGCGTGGTCGGAGTGGACTCAACTTGCACTGCCCGCAAGACGCCTCCGGTAACGTCGCCCCCTGCGCCCCCCGGACTCAAGAACGGACAAAGAAAAGGAGAATTCAAAAACTTAAAGATAAATATCTGCATGCGGTCGCCAGTCTCATGATTTTTCAAAAGTCATAAACTCAGACGAAACAAAGAGTGGTTTTGCCTCCGCAAAAAGTCTAGAACTTTGATTTCTCCTTATCCAGTGGCAACTCCTCCCTTTTATCTTTCCGCTTATCCTCCGCGCTTCACTCCAACTTCCATCTCATCGCAACACTCCCACCTTCCAAAGGGAAACTACCGCAACAAATCCTACATACACAAACACACACACACACACACTCAACACACCATGGCTGAATCTGTATCGCCTCCTCGCTCGCTGCCTGCGTCTCCCGCTGGCCACTCCTCGCGATCACACTCGCGCCCGTCGCTCTCCATTGATCTCTCCAGCATTCCCCCACTCTCGCAACCAACACCTCCCTCCAACACTCTCCTGATCACAGAGCTACATGACCTCATCCTCTTCCAGCCCTCCTCGCTGGAGGCCATCCGCAACCAAATCACGGTCGTGGCCCGCTTGCACTCCTTTTCGCCACTGCCCTCCTTCCGCCGCATTATCTGCTCGTTCCACTCCGATAAGGATGCCATCGCTGTCCGCAAGATGCTCGAGGGCACTCGCCTGTTGAACCGCAACGTGCGCCCGCGCATCTACTTTGGCGAGCCAACCCCCATCCTCAGCCAGGAAGAGGCCCAGCGCAAGCAGCTCCTCGAAGCCCCGCAGATGGACAGGCTCTTCTTCATCTCCCCACCACCCAGCCCACCCCACGGATGGCAGATGCGCAATGAGGACCCGCCCAACAAGGAGGCGCACGCCAGTGATCTGGCCCATGCCTTGGCCATGCTCAAGACTCACCAGCCCGAGCCGATGAATGTGGACCCCGCCACTCCCGTCTCCATCACATCCGATAAGCGCACTGGTAGCTGGCCCCTGGCTGGCTCGCAGCAGCGCAGCCGCAGCAGCACTATCATCTACAATCCAGAGGACCACGGTCACAGCCCCAACCTCCCGGCCGTGATGGTCGAGGACATGAGCTTGCCGGTGGACGAGGATGTTGACATGGACGTGGAATTGAGTCCCGTCGAGATGTCGGTCAACAAGATGCCCCCCAAGACGGCGCGGCCTCCAGTGGAATTGATGCATTAGATGGGTAATGGGATGGTTGCTTGTGTATTCTTTGGCAGTTTTTAGCGATGGGTATATTTGGGCATAGATCATCCATCATGTTACGGTGGCTTGTGAGCATTCGGCGTTGGTCCAAGGGTGGACTCTTCTTTTGCTATTGCATTATCTTGGATTCGGGCTTCTTACATACTTCTAGCTTCCTCTTGAAAAGCAAGCCTATATCAATAATGGAACATTTTGCTGTGTCGTTTCCCAACATTGGACTTTCCTAGATTCTACAAATCGTATTCACATACACCACATCATTCATATTGCTCAACCCCTTCGTACCTTGCCTGAATAGATAGTTAGTATCGTCCCCAGTCTCAAATATCCAAAGAACAATCGCTTCTCACCTTTAGACTCAAGCTCTGTGCAAGGCTTGCATGAACAGCCCCCCTTCCCAAGGCCCTGAAACTGCAACGCATTCCAAACCATCCACAACCCCTTCTCCTCAACCAACTCCTTCCGTTTACCCTGACGCTTAAACTCGCGCTCTTTTTCCTTCACATCCCTCTCCACCCTCCTCGCCTCTTCATCGCCCTCAACATCCCCATCAAGCGTCAACCTGCCAATCTGCCAAACAACCAACCCCAACGCATCCGCAACCCTCTCCGCACGCCGGCCATCCTTAGTATCCCTCAATTGCTCGCAAAGTCTTCTGCAATAATCCAAAATAGTAATCAACCGCGACCGAAAACATCTACTCCGCCCTTCCTTCGGGTTATCGACGAACATGTGCGTTAGACAGTTAATGTTCGCCGTGAGATGGCGCCGCGCGAGATGTTCTTTGCTCGATTCCGCCGATTTGACAGCGTCGACGAGAGTGGTCATTGAGCCCGGGAAGGAGGAGCGGTCTGCGATTCGGTGGCAGAAGTGCATACGTTCTTTGCTGTCTTCGGGGGATTGGAGGATTTCGATTATCAGGCGGATGTCGCGCTGGAAGGTGGTGCGTTCGGCGGCGAAGTATGTGGGCCAGGAGATTGATGACATTGTTGTGATGGGGTGGTGGTGTGTTTGGATTAATAGTGTAGGATGTGTAGTCGTGGTGCTCGATGGGCCTGGAGGAATTGAAAATGGGAAATAGTATGGACAGAGGGTCCTCGTTTTGTCTCTTTGGGATGAAATTACTCCCACAGATAAAGCTCTTTGCTGCTGCCATGTGTAACTGGCCCCTGCTTGGTCCCTTGGTGAGTCCATTGTCTATACCTTGTAGGATGTCGTTCCCTCTATATGTCGACAAAGAACACTAGAAATAGGGTCAATCCACCGTATCCTGGACATTCAGGTTTAGGCAAATTGTAGATAGCCATAGTGGAATGCCACGTACTTCAATAGAATAGGTCATGACAGAGAAAAAAGCTGTCACTGTGTTAAGGTCGACTTGTGAGGGTACTGTAGGCCAGGGCTTGGGTTTCACTTATGGAGGCGTTTTGACAGGCGAAGATAACACCTCCGGGTATTCACCTCGATATGCCCATACGGCGAACTGTGCCACAGTCTCATATGTAGTGTCTTGGAAGGTCATTTGCATAGATACCCGTTCTTTGCAGTCGTGCGTAAGGGCTGCTGCTAAACCTTTACATTTCGATTCAAGGGGCTTTCGATGGATGATGGATCTTGATGGATTCAGGTCTGGTCGACGAGCGAAGCTCCACGATTTTCGATCCTAAGAACCTATGCCGTGTCTAAAATGTGCAACTTCAAAGAGCTATAGTACTTACTCGGCAAAGGTAATGCCTTTACCAGACTCCATGGAGGGCAGTAACAGGAAGTTTAAAGTTGGATAAGCTAAATACCTAGATGATAGTAGGGGAAAACTGATGGAAGGACAGAAAGGGAACTATATAGATTCTCAAAAACGAAAATATTCTCAAGGCAAGTGCCATCCATGGGACCTCCCCGAAAATCTAGAGAAACGGCATGAATAAACAAGCATCTCTCTAAAATTCCAGAAACATTGTCAAATTGTGTCACCCTTCCGGATCTTGCCATGGAAGCGAGTCTCGTGGCGCAAGACGGCATGTACCATGAGCATCTCACTTGTGAAAAGAGAAAATCTGGGATCCGATTGTCCAACCATGAATTAGATAGAGGAGACGAATTAACGTTCAAATGTCGCAAATCAGAAATCAGACAAAGCCAAAGCAATATACCACAACCCCAGATAATGACCTGTACCTGCTTCTAGTCCGCTGAGGGTTGCCCGATATCCCCATGTAACACAAACGCCGCAGCCGAAGCCGATTACATAACCCTCAACGGTTCCTGAACAAGAAGATCCTGACCACGTCCCAAATTCGTGGGTGCCACTGCGCTTACTGAGTGTATTGTTATCAAGTGTGTAGCGCACCCCATGCTCAAGCTGCAATGCCTCGAACTTTTGGGTGGGGTTGTAAACGCCAGTAGCACCCTCGGTTGGATCAAGGAGTGCGAGATCTTCTGCAGGAATTGTGTAGCTTTGTGGATCAAGAGAAATTGTTTTCACGATATTGTTGCCCGGTGTTAAAGCCATAGAGAGTATCATGCCATGCCAAAGAAAAGTGATAAGAAGAAGCAGCGACGGGTCTGCTGCGGAATGTAAGTTCAACGCACCCCAAGTCAAAACAACAATGAACAACGGTTAACCACCTATCTCACAATTAGCTGTGCCGGTCTCTGCTGTTTCGAGTGCTGCGAGTGCTGCTGCTAGATTACCCGCCGTCCCGCGATCCCCAACGAACATGGACTTTGAATCCTGGAGCAATCGCTGAGCGTTTTGACTTGTGAATATTGTTTCAGCAGACTCTTTTCGGTTAATGTCATACTATCGGATAGATAATGACTATGGAAATACTATGTAAATTCGGAACATACATATCGATTGTATAGTAGACTAAAGAGCGAGAGCTAGACTCGCCATTCCGAGTAAATTTCCCTCGTCCAGATGTCTTCGCATATGATGATTTCAGGAAACCAAACATCCATATCTAGTCCACTAAATTCGAAGCAGTGACAATAGTTGTACAGCATGATTCTGATAGGGGCCAAAAAGCAGCATTCAGATACTGGATGCGCCATGGCTCAAGAGTTCGAAGTATCCCTTTCCTTTCCAGTCCAGCACAATGGCCCTGACTTTGAAGGGTATGCTGGAACAAAGCGGTCGTCATAAATCAACAAATATGAATAGGTATTGTCACAGACAAAGAGCCCCGGGTCCTCCCTCCCCTTTTTAAACTCAAGTACAAAGCCATTGTTCCGACAAAGCCCATCCTTTGACCACAACTCTTCTTTGCACGTACAACTTCCAATTGCCAACAAATGGAATTGTTATAGACGTATCAGACTGAATCAATCAGACTATATACTATTCATACCTCTGAAGATATCGCTCCTTGTGTTGTATTCGTCTATAAAACCGAGCCAAACCCTAGAACAACAACCCACCCATCCTGTTCGCAATCCTCTCATAGATCTAGCATCAAGATCCGACAAGGTATGACCCCAACCCCAGCACAATCAATCTCCCTAATAAGCCTCAATTCAACCCAAACCATGTCCACCCCAACCTCCCACGACCACGACCAATTCCAATCCCAAAAAGACACGCTCCTCCTCCAACGCCTCCAAAAAGCCATCTTCCCCACAACAATCTACCTCACCGACGACTTCAAAACCCCCTACCTAATCGCAGCAGAAGCTACAAACACTCAATACCCCAAGACCCTCCCTATACTAACAATCTACAACGAACCAGAAAACAAAGTACCCAACCACGTCCTCCTCCCAGCCACACTGCACCCTCTCCTATCACGCACCTACGCTCCAAACAGGGCCATCGAAAAACAGCGTAAAAGTATCCCGTTTAAAACGTACTGGGTAGGCTTTGACTTATCATTTATGCACCGGTACAAGAAAGACAGTGATTTTATCACCGCGCTAGATCAAGCGATGGAAATCGGGGGCTTGGCTTTTATCGTGGATGAGCCGGCGCAGGCACCCGTGAAGGCGTTTTTGATGGAGATTCGGGGACTGTTTGGAGGTGAAAATGATGTTTGGGCTTCGGCGCAGAGGCAGGTGCATGTGCTGGATCAGTTGGTTTTTGGTAAGTATGTTGCTCTTGGGCCGGAGGTGTTGGGGTGGGCTGGTGAGGGTGAGTAAGTAGATGGCTATGAGGAGGTTTTTTTGATGGAATGTCGTCGATGGATGGGGGGGTTATGTTCCAGGAAAGTTGACGGGGCATTCGTCTTGAGTTTGTGGGGAGGACATAGTCTCGGAATCGTCTTCGAGGGTTCGGTAGAATGGTGAGTTCTACTGCAGTCGATTGTTTTCGTCGTGTCGATTCCGAAATCACTTAGAAGTCTAGCTGAGAGTCATCAATCAAAGCGGTTTTGGGATGTCAGAATTGTACATTGTAGCAGTATCGTAGGTTAAAACGCTTTTTCTAGAAATTATGGACACAATGATTCAAAAGGACCGAATCATGTTGGCTCATCCCCGGCTGTGGGAGTATCACACTCGAGATGAAAAAGATAAGAAAACTCCAGATTACGCCACCAAGTCATCAGTAAAGGACAAGCGAAAAAGAAACTCCATCCAGCATGCTCAAGCCCGTTTTGTAACCTTCATAGCACCCCCTGTTAATCACAGCACTGCTCACCCACTTAGAAACCATAAGTGCTCTGGCCGTACGGCGTAGCACCGTATGGAGTCTGTGCGCTGGCTCCCCAGGGAGCATTTCCATATGCACCCAAGTTGCCGTCGATGCCCTCTGGGGGCTCGTATGCGTCCGGGTCGCCGGCTCCCATCATCTCGGCATCCTCTGGGCCACCGGCGTGGCCATTCTCGCCCTCGCCGGTGAGCTCGGAGACGGTAAGCGCAAGCTTCTTCTGCAGAACGAAGATTCCCTGCTGGACGATCATATCCGGATCAAGGTTGCCGATGCTCTCCACGTCCAAGTAGAAGATGTTGGGCTCGGCATCGTAGTCGAAGGGTTGATCGGGATTGTTGGCTTGCTCCCAGGCAGCATTTTCAGAGATAGGCCTTACCATCCTCAAGTCAGCACGATGCACAGGCAGATATCGGAGGGGTTAAGAGTATTAGACGAAACATACCATTCCTTGATCGGATCCTGCTCATACCAGTAATCCACATGCTTCAAGTTATTATGAGGATCATACTCAAAGCCCACAGCCGCAGTAGGCGCCCACTTGGCATGCTCCTTAGCAGTGCCCTTCTTCGCCAGACAAGTCAACTTGATCTCCTGCCCCTTGGCCAACTTGCAGATGAGCGGACCCTTGCCCTCGGGGTCAGTGATGACCGGGTCACCAATGGTATCATTCATCCGCTCGCCCTGGACCATCAGATCGCGCGCATAGACAGACATGATGCCCCGTTCACAGCGCACATGCAGCGACAGCGTCACGCTGCAGCGCACACAGTGGTCCTCGCAGTCGCAGTCCCGGGTGTATTCCAGATCCTGCTCGCAGTTCTTCGCGTTGAGGGGGACCAAACCCAGACGGTGGGCGAGCATCTCGTCCGGGATGACGGAGGTGTTGTTTTCGATTTCGATGAGATCGAGCGCGACGGTTGGCACTTCGGCGAGAATTACGCGGCGGAGGGAGTTGGCAAAGGCGAGATCAACTGAGCTCAGTCTGAAGTCGACGCGGTGTGGTTCCACCTGCAGGGTCGGTTGTGTTAGTCGTCGATTCTTGTTGAGCTTGTAAGAGACTCGTACGTACCTCGCGAACGGTGACCTGAGGCCCCGTGGGCTCGAGGTCCATCTCATAATCCATGCTGTGAAAGCGGGCGCGCTGATCGCCGCCACCCGGGTCTGAAGCTCACGGTCTATCTCCTGCTCATATGATGAGTGGAAAGTATGAGGGAGAATTGGTACCACTCGGAAGAAAGGTGAGAGTGGTGGTGGGTGGTGGTGAGAGGGATGAGGGTGTTGGATATGTATCGCTGCAGTGAAGATCGCGCGGCTTTGGGCCGTCGAAGTTCGGAGCAGCAGTTGGCGCTTTTCCTATTCGGGCGGTCTGCCTGGGGAGACCTGCGAAGTACACCTCGTTGCAGCGGACTCGTGGGCGATTTGTGCTCTCAGTAGGTGAGCAAAGTTAGTAGCAAGTCAAATACCCTCTCTATCAGCTCCCATTGAGATTTTCATCCCGAAAATTGTGTTCTCATTATGCTGGAGGGCTTCTTTAATGTTCCAGAATATGTAGGGGGATTGCTGGTCACGTGGATTGAGCCATTCGTGATCTGGACATGCGGCTCGAGAGTGGCATCCCTGCAGTTAATTCATCTGCTAAGGCGTAAGATTCGACCTTCAATGAATATCATAAAGCCACTTCAAGTGAGAGTGCTAAAAATTCAAGGTGTCATATACACTTGATCTTCTCCCTTCTTCAGCGACCTTGATCTTTATTTTCCGGACCAGCAGTCATACGAAATGCCAACTAGCGCACATGAATCCAGGGAGGAAGCATATCTGGACACTACCGTACGCTCGGCAGATAAGATTGATAGCAAAAGTTATACTAGCTGCTAGATCAGGCGTGAACGTGTTAGTTGAGCTGCAGGCAGTTATGACTACCGAGGTGATCCTATAATAGTACAAAAGGAAACCCCGCTGGAGCTGATCGCTCTCCAAGAATGCAGTACATAAAGCTGTCTGGGTAGGATAGACTCAGATAGAATCGGATTTCGTCGACATGAGTGAGGTGACAACAAGACTTTAGGTTGCTGGACACGTTTTGAAGTGCGACGAAGAACACCCCTCTATGCTGCCATCCCTCGAACACAAGCCGGTATCAGAAATACAAATAGTTTTACAGTGCGCAGTCATTGAAGAGTAAAGCGTATAGGTCAGATTAAACTTTCAGATACTAGCAAGTACTAGCAGGGGAACAGCAGATAAGCCCTGTTCTTCAAGTGACTAACGTATATGCTCTTTCCTTTCCCAGTTGGATAATGAAAGAGCTAGCATATAGTCTGCAATAGATCTGACCACAAGCAGGTTCTCTTCGTCTGCTTCACGGTCCCATTGATCCCGGGACATCCTTCTATCAGGTATGACAGCAACGAGAACAGAATATAAATCACCAGCAGAAAACGTGGTCGGGTAAGGCAGCAGCCCAGCCATTGCGGCGAATGCAATGCGATAGCAAATAGAGGCGGCGGGTGAGGAGGAGTGGTGAGGAGAGAAAATTCAACAAAGCACAAAGCCACCGTTCTTTTTTTGGGGGGTCGTATCGTGTCATCATCGGGGTGGTGCAACCCATTGCTCCCCGAGGGGTTCCAGAGGGGGAAATGTACGAGAACCGTTGTATAAAAAGACAATATATACTAAACGATAGCCGGTGCGCTATCGCTTCAAAGAGCTGCGATTCAGGGCTTCGAGCAGCTCGGGCCGATTGGCCAGCGCCGTCGCGGCTTGGGCGTAGCTCACCCACTGCCGTTTCCTCTTGTGCATTTCTGGCCATTGTGATTCTTCCTTGTCCACGCTCACTTCGAAGAATTGGTAGGAGGCCTTGGGCGCTTGGGCGGTCAGCAGACCGGAGGGGCGCATGTCTGGGATCAAGCCCAGATCGCGCAGCACGGTACAGATGACGCCGGCTTCTTCCCAGGCCTCACGGCACGCGGCCTGTTGTGCTGTGGACTCATCGGTCTCCCATCCTCCCTTGGGAAGGACCCAGCCTCCGGGACCGGCGGATTGAATCATCAGGACTCTGGTCTTGTCTGCGGAGAGGGGGACGACGCCGGCCACGAGGCGTTCGCCTTTGGAACCATAACCTACACGAGGCGATCAGGTCAGCAAGAATGTCCGATCCTTCCATGTCATCCAGGAACGATCGAGAAGACCATGTCTGATGCCGATTGGTTCCGCATGCCGGAGAGAACACCCACGTTGGTTTTTGCGCCCGACACGGGACTCCATGGACCGATCTTGTGCCATTGCAAAGGTCGGGTCCTAATCCGTCTCGGCGATCTTTTCGATTGGCTCCCGGTGAAGCCGTAGGACGGTAGGGAAAGGGTTCAAGTAAAAGAAGTGAAGTAATAAAAAAAAAAAAAAAAAAAAAAAGCGGAAGGCAAGACCGGGAGAGATCGAATGCCGTAGAGAAGAGGAAAAAGGGAAGAAGTCTCAAGCTCCCGCGGAGCCAGGAGGACTTCGGGGGAGTTTGGAAAGAGAGAAAGCTTCCCGGGGAGGTTTTGGAGTTTGGAGTTTGGCGGGTTCTGGATTTGGGTTGACCTGGTGGGCGGTCGGAAAAGGGAAATTTTTCTTCCCCTTGGGGCGCGAACGGTCGAGACTGCGGGGGAGAAAAGAAAAAAAAAGTAGAAAAGAGAGTCACTGGGGTAAAGGTCAGTCACTCTTAGGTATTGCCATTCATGCCCGTAATGGCCGGGGACCTGGAATGAAGACAAGTACTAAAAGGCATGATCGGTAGGGGAAAAGGAGGAAGAAAATGGAAGAAGTGGCGGAGGAGGGGGGGAGGGGAATGAGAAGAAGAAGAAGAGAAAGAGAGAAGATGGAAAATGAGGATTCGCAAAAAGAGCACCAGTGGGCGTGGAGGGGCACAGGCAGACCTGGCGGCGCAATCCGGACCTGACTAAGAAGGGATTACGGGTTGTTACATTTTTGGTATTGCGATGATTCTGGGAAGTAATCTTCTAGTCCGGAGCATCAGACTATGCGCCTAGTCTTTTTGGCTAAAGGTTCTCCGTTTCGGAGTGTTCTCTCGTGGTTGGAACTATACTTTAACGTTCAACGGTAACGGGCCACCGGGAACCAGGCATTGAGCCTTCAGAGTGCTTCGAAGAGGCTTGTCTCTTCGTAGGAATGAGATTCTGTTCTGATCACCTTCCCCTGTCGTTGAATTGGACTTTCTTCATGGATTTTAGTGACCTCATTTCTTTTGCCAAAGCAATTATAGTCGTTCGTCCACCCGGAGGAGGGGGGCTTCCCTGGTCTTATAGTTGGTCATGTGACCCCTTCGGCACTCCCACGACAAGTGGAGGACTGGAGGACCGGAGGAAGAACGAGAAGAATCCCATTCAATCCGCATAGTAATAATCCATGGTACCTGTATTATCATTACAAGCCGAAAATGAATATCAAATTGGCATCCAATGTTGAAATTATAATAATAGAACGCAAATCTACCGTCAGAATAATGATGATTTCCCACGATGACCGCGCATTCCGGACTTAGCGGTGGTTCTGCCCTAAAGCAGGTCTCGGGTCGACTGGGACCCTCCGCTGGTACCGAGCCCTGAACGGCCTAAAGAGAGTATAGTCCGGAACAGAAACAGCCAGTCCAGTCGTCCAGTAGTCCAGTAGGACTAGTAACTACTGTAGTATTCCCCCTGGGAAACTCCGAGCGATTCGATCGTGATCGCCGATTCGGCAAGTTGACACGCCCATGAGGTCATGCAAACTCTGGCCGACACCTACGTAGTTGCTAGAATACTAACTACTCTTCTGACAAAAGTGGTCTAACACTGGCCGATCCCCGATCTCCATAGGTAATCTGTAACTATAAAGTACACCCGCTTCTACCTTGGCTACCGGAATTAGATACAGTACTCTGGTCCGCAATAATCTCAAAGATATGAGCCGCCTACGCTAAACCATGATGGTAATATGTTCTACATTATTTCAATACCAATAGAGTAATTCAAATGTATCCTTTTTTTTTTTTTCCATGATCTGAAATTGTATCGGAATTGACTCTCTCATTATTGTGAACTCCTCCTTCTCCAGCGTAATACCACCAACCCCGCCAACGCCTCATCCAACGTGGCCCATTCTTTTCTCCTTTCAGCATCTCCCCCCACCTTAACCCTCAACCCGCAACCCCGTTTCTTCCTGCAATAACAACACATAAACACATAACACATATCCCAAACTCCCCTCTCCCCCCTGTCTCTCTCACTCTCTTCTCGATTCGCCACAATCCCCGTGGTTTGCCTCCGCTCATCCTCGCAGGCACAATTTCTTGCTTCCGCCGGGACCGCCGACTATCGGCAGCCAGTCATTCCGCGGATGGAGCCCGTTGACGCCGAACGCGCGCGACAGCTGTCGCTCTTCCGGCCCCTAGGTACGTCCCACTTGCGCCCCCCAACCACGAGCCACTGAGACCAACCCTCGAGTCCCCGTGGCGCGTCCGCGGGTTCTGCGTGGCTGCGAGAGCTCAACCCGCGGCGCCGGATCCTCGGGCAGGGGCCGATCGCCCCCTCGCCCGTAAACATCATCATCCAAGTCACTAACTAGCTACCTATTTTGGCCCTTCCTGGAACAGGCTACCAGCGCAATTCTTGTGGTTACTGTAAATCCAATGATGGAAGTAGGTCTTTTGCACATCCCACTTTGAGATCCACCCCCCACCTGCGTTGGGCATGATTATCTGACACGTCATTGTCTGCCTGCCCAGGCGTCTCATATTACACCAGCTCCGTGGTCGTGCGGCCTGAGCACTATGAGGAGCTCATCCATCGAGGATGGAGACGGTATGTATCAACGACCTGGGACTTTCCCATGACTGATTCTCATGACTCATAACTATCTAGATCGGGCAAGCTTTACTATAAGCAGAACCTGCAACGGTCATGTTGTCCGCATTATACGATGAGGCTGGAGGCAGACGCCTACCAGCCTCGTCGTGACCAGCGCAAAGCCATCAATCGCTGGAACAAGTTCATTCTGGGCCCAGAGTATATCCGCAAGGCGGCTCGGCTCTGCCCGCGGACTCGAGAGTAAGTGTCTCCCGACGTTGCTCAATCATAAAGACTGCCTGTGTCTCACAGCATCATGCAGGGAAAAGCGGCATCGGAAGTGTAACTTTGACCTACAGGCCGCAGTAAACGAGGCAGAGTACAGCAATGTCAAGCGTCCCATCGATCCAGTGACCAAACGCCCGCTGGAGCCGGCGCACAAGTTCGAGGTCAACCTCGAGGCCGACTCGGTTTCCAAGGCCAAGTTCGATCTATTTGTCAAATACCAGACGACGGTCCACAAAGAGGATGTCTCTCGCTGGAAGACAAAGGACTTTGAACGGTTTCTATGCTCCGGCATCAAACGATCTCCCAATCCGATCACCAAGTCGAATGCGGCCGAGAAGAAGCTGGGATCATGGCATCAGTGTTACCGGCTAGACGGCAAGCTGATTGCCGTTGCGGTGCTGGATCTAGTCCCGAGGGGAGTGAGCTCGGTCTACATTTTGTAATGTCCCCGGCCCCTCTCAATCTGTGGACTCGTTGTCTAACGAATAGTTTGTTCCAGCTATGACCCCGATTACGAGCACTGGGAGTTTGGCAAGCTGAGCGCAATGCGTGAGATCGCCTTTGCGCAAGAGAATAACTATGCGTACTATTATATGGGTATGTATTTACTGCGGTCAGGCATCGACCAGTGACAATTAACACTGCACACAGGATATTACATTCACAGCTGCGTCAAGATGCGGTACAAGGGCAACTTCAGACCCCAGTACATTCTCGGTGAGGCTTGATCATCCCTTACTATTCTACTCCGTCGTTGAACGAAGCTTTCCTTTGGAGCGCCACTAACCACTGCGCATCAGACCCCGAATCTTACGACTGGGACCCACTCGATGGCGAGCTCTCCCAAAAGCTCGACACCCAGCCCTACGTCTCCCTATCCCGGGAACGGGCTCCCCAAGACGCCAGACCGTTCCCAGATATTGCCCCGGACGTGGACGAAACAGACCTATCTCTCTTTGACATTAACATGCCTGGGGTATTAACGCTGGAAGAGGTGAAAGCCCTGGATCTGGACCATTGGCATCTACTGTATCATGGCTCGTTTGTGCAGATGGATGTAAGCGTTCCTTTCCTCCCGGGTCATATAGCATGGCAATTTCTAACGCGGTATAGGATCTTGTTGGCTGGGAGAGAATGCCTGTGGATAGTCCGCAGTCGGTCAAGGGTATTGTTGCTGAGCTTGCTGCGGTTCTTGGACCGAAGCTTGTGAAAGATAGTGCTGTGGTTCTATTTGATTGAGCATAGCGGGAAGTGGAGTTTGGCCATTTGCATTTTGCTTTGTGCATGCCTGCTCAGACTTTGGTTATCGAGTCTGAGACTTGCAATACCTAGACCCTACTTTCAATCAGTTCTCGGGTTTTGGCATGTCTAGTGTCACCCTTGCTCAAGGGCATTTGAGTTGGCTGGTTCTAAGTTTGGGCTACTTGACTATAGGATCTAGAGCCCTTATTGTAATATTCTACCTCATGATCCCCATCTAGAATATACTCGCATGATTAGTACGGTGTCACTGGGTTCCATAAGTTTGAACAGCCGGGAAATCCAAAATCATCTCATCGGCCATACTTGGAAAGGCAAGTTGAGGGACAATGCCAGTGCTATCTAGAAAGATGTCTTAAAAGACACCCAGAAAGATCTTCCAAAAAAATCAAGCTGCAGCATATTAAGATGGTCTTTTTTCTCTTGGTCTCCAATTTCAGACTTTTGAACAGTCACTGTACAACTCAGCCGCACTCCCTCGCAACCAGCAAATCTTTTACTACCCTCCCACTCGCAATACTCTTCGAAACAGACGCCCCCTCACGCCCTTCAAACCCATTAATATAGAACATTCCCGGAACCAACTCCCTCCACGCCCCATCATCCTCGCGCCCTCCATCCCGCTCGATAACAGGTATACCATTCGGCCAGTAATCTCGATGAATCCAAGCTATCGTCGGCCTATCCACACATACAGACGACGTATTAACTGCCCCTCCTTTCAATGCAAATTCTTCCCTGACTTTTTCGTATTTCGGCTGCACAAAGTTAGGGTGAGCTTGCTGAGGTATAAAGAATGATTGATTGGGGAATGTGATATTCCCCCGTGTCTGATTGAATAAGGCCGCGAGGTCATCGTCTGAGAACAGGTTTCCGGAAATGATTCTTGTAAAATCAGCCCATGATGATATGTAGTCATAGTATACGACTCGTTCACGGGCGACGGAGATGAAGGGGAGACTAGTTCTATTTGAACTGGAGTCTTGATGGTGGAGATATGTAGGCCATAGGTCATTTCTTTCTATAAGGTTAGAAAGGTACGCGGCCAAGCCCTGCGCGACTAAGCTGTTTAAGGTAGGAGCTTGCCCGATATCACAGTACTATAGACAATGCCGACGTCTTCCTGACTTAATGACAATGCTTCAATAACATACATTGTCCAAACTATCTCCTTTCCTTTATTTTATCGTCTTGTAACGTTCTTACCCTTGAACTTCATCTACCTTTCTAGTTATGGCTCCGACCGAACCGCACCAAATTTTCCTGATAACCGAAATCCTGGAAATGATCCTGCTTGAAACCGACATGCGCACTTTGCTCACGTCGGCTCAAAGGGTCTGCCGGAAATGGCATGATCTAATCCGGGACTCATCCAACTTACAAGCCACACTATTCTTTAAACCGGCTAGATATATTCTATCACGCGGGACGCCAGGTATTTGCAACCCATTACTAGATGGATGTATATGGCCATGGTTTTGCGCCAAACAGGCGCGTGAGTACAGAGCACCCCCAGTAGAAGGAGGGGCAAAGATACCTCAGATTGATCCTCAGAACGACGAACGCTTTCTCCGACAAGGGGCAAGTTGGAAACGAATGTTCTTTCAGCAACCTCCTCGTTCGTGTATCGGATTTGTGGAGAAAGATGGAAAGGCAGTGAATGGTCCCGCATACACGGAAGTGGAGGTTCAACCCGACGGGGACTACCTACGACTCGGGGATATAGTCATCCCTTGCATGAAGCTTCATGCAAATCTTCACCCTCTACCAGAAGAAGGGCTGCTCTGGTTCGGGTATGTTGGCAGTGAGGAATCATTGAAAAGATTTCCTTTCCTGGCAAATTATCCAGAAGACGACGAAAAATATGGAGAAATACCGCTGAGCCAGGTAGCATACGTTGCCTCAACATGTCTACGAGATTGTGATATTGTGTTTTTCATTCTAGAATGTGGGCGCGTTCGAGGGCGGTGGGTTAGTAACAATTTTGCTATGGACTTGCGTTTTTGGCTGGGACTTATGGGGATGCGTCTCGTGCCTGGGCAGATATCTATTCCAATGCTGGTGAGCTAGGTGGTTACAAAATCTTCTGCCTTGCTAGGTGTGATTAACCAAAGCACCTTGCTGCATAGCTCTTATATATACAGTCAGTCAATGAATTTCTAGCTCCTCAATACCGAACTTAATCTTTGGTCAGTATCAGGTACTTAGAACTTATGATGAAGTGACATATTTCAACAGGAAACTCGAAGCGAACAGGTTAACTTGGTGCCTACTGATGAACGTATTCAAGACGAAGAGGAAAAATAACCAAAAGAAGGCGAGTCAGAAAAGAGAGCTCAGGTATACAGCAAAACAGGCAAGCATCCAAGCCCCAAAAAGATATTTCAGGCACTAGTTGATACGACACGCACGGGGACCCGCTAATCGAAAAGGTCAAAAGACCAAATATGTCAGAAGGCTATGTTCTGACAAAACCGAGACCGATATTAGTAGCGCATATAACATTAGGGTGACGAGGCCCAAACACCTGATTACAGTCAGGATCAGGACTGTGTTGATGTACCCGCATATTCTCTATGTATTTATCGCCGTAGTTAGTTCTCAGAGTTCTTCTAATCTACCCCGTGAGCTTGGTTTTCCCCATATATCCTTCATGCGTACTATCAGCTCTTTGGAAGACTTAAATTATCTATCGTGCCTCAAAGAGCAGCTCGTAGCGCGGACAATGTGAATAGATTGTCTCATCATGTACTCTTGCAATCATGAGGAGAGACAAAGCAATCCCTCTTAGTAGCCTGGAATACTCGTGTATCAAACCGACCTGTAGATCCATCGCCAATAAGGGGGATTGTCTCTTTGAACAATTCACAATACATTGTTCGTCTGGTGCAATCGACCGCCTTTCAACCTCATCGATTTAAGGGCATTCAACAATGACTATAATTCAAAGACAGTCAAAGAATAATCATTCTATTGTTAGCATTGAACTGCGTGAAGAACTAGAGTATACCTCGAATATAATTCCGGTCTACACCTAAATATCCAACCCATCATCATCCATCATCAGCATACCAGTCTCCCTTTACACCATCATCCCCTACACCATCCAGGCCTTACCATCTCACCAGCTTACATCTGACAATGCCTTCCTTCTACAAACCCCCTCCATACGAACTCCTCCCAATCAAAAAAGCACCCCGAATGCCCCCCTCAAACGACGACTACAACCCACAATCAGTAATCAAGCACCTCCTCATCCTAGCAAAGGCCACACAAACCAACACCAACGAATCAACCTTCACCCAATGGCGCGACCAGCTTAGCGCAGACCTCAAAAGTCTAGTAAGTCACGCCCACCTCCTCAAACCATCCAACTTAGTCACCCTCCTACAGCACGGCCTCGTCACTCCACTAGAACACGTCGACGGTCTCCGGACCAAAAATACAGCAATCTGCTTCCCTGATCGGTGTCAGCGTATTGTCAAGATTGCTAGCGGTCTAGCGGAGTGTTTAAACACCGAACTCCGGGAGAAAGACACCGTGTTCGATGACGAGACTTGTGAAAATATCGCATGGCAGGGCGAGATGCACGGCGAGTCTGGGAGATTGGCTCGTGAGCGGGCACTTACCAGCGCATCTACACTTCGAGAAGAAATAGAAGTCTACGGTATTCCAAAATCGAGAAAAGACAGAAATGCTTCTTTTACCATCGCTACAGACGGCGTTGTTACTATTCATGCTTCGCTCAAGGTTAATATGTATATGCTTGCTGCGGCTGTTGGATGTCTTTCCCTTGCTGGGCGAGATGGAACGGATCAGTTTGCGGATGAAGTCCGTAGTACCGTGATGGATGATTTCGATCAGTATTTGTGCTCTGACGATACTTATTTACTCGTATTTTGGTCTCGGTTTAGGCCTAGCGCGCAAATTGCTGATCGGTGTGGGTGTTTGCTGTGTGATGATGGTATCTAGATGAACATGGTTTAGCTTGGTGTGAGGGTGGAAGGTCTTTCTTTTTCAGAGGGGCTTTGTCGAGGAGCGGTATCTAAATTCAAAGTCGTGTGTTGCATAGAATTTATCTAGTGTCAATGATCTATATCCAATTGAGCAACCTCAAGCATAATACGTATGGCTGACTACGTCGGGCACTTAAGGTGGGATTTCGACTTTAAAGCGAGATCAAAATGCGTAGATCAAATACGAAAACGGATTCAAAAACTATATGCCACCAGAAATCTCTATTCCTTTTGTCTTGCAGACGCCTCGCCTATCCTCCCTGTTCGCCATAAATTTGCGCCAACAGATCAGGGCCAAGGTCAAGACCGGGGAAAAACGCCGTCTCCACAAGAGCAAAAGAGCAAATAGGCCCCGACACCAACCTTGCGTGAACCAGTCCAAAACGCCGAGAATAGTCAAAATCCATCGAAAGCAAAGTCAAGATGACACCGGGTCCGATGCTACATGACAAAGGAAAAAGAAATGCATGCAGGTCGGATATAAAGACATGAACAACGAAGAATGGAAAGTGGGCTCCGGCTATACCCCGTCAATGCCCTCTTCCTGCCCATCAATGCCACTCAACAAAGACGAAGATGGTTTGCGCCCAGAGCCGTATACCATCTCCATCAATTTGGCTTTCTGGCGTTCTCGTACTGAGCGGAGGTAATCATATGTACTCTCCAACCCCTTGATCTGGCCATCGATAACAGCTTCAACAGGACCGAGCATGCGACCTGATGCACCGGAGCTCCCTGATCCAGATGCACCCTCGATACCCACGAAACTGACTGAGTCATTCCGGCGCACGAGTGGACTGACCAGCTTCCGACGTAGCGTCTCCAGGTTCACCTTCAGCGTGAGCAGGCGGCCCCGGTGATCAACTAGGAGATGTTTATTGGCAACAGTGCGGCTGCGCACGTTCGCGAGGAGCTTCTTGTTTTTCTCATACTTGCGGACTGCGGCTGCGTCTGGGCCTAGCACGCGGGTCCAAAGAGAACTGAGCATCTCGCCCTCGGCGCGCTCCTGGGCATCAGATTCGCGGACGACGGTGCGTTGGAGATTAAGGAATTGGCGGTCGATTGATTCGAAGAGTGCAAAGAGTGCGGTTGAGTGGGATAATTCGCTATTAATGGACTCTTCCAGAACGGAGAGGAACTCGGTGAAGGTGCGGGTAAGGGTGGCTCGCGTGCGCTGCGCTGATGTTGGACCGAAGACGGCCATGACGACGTGGCCTAGCGTTGTGGTGGTTGCTGTGCTGCCGCCGTCGGGGACTTCGGTCGTTTGCTCGAGGGCGCCGATGCGCGACAGCATGTTGTGCACGTTGTCGAACACGATAGTAGGAAGTGTGCTGGGCGGTTGGGCGGAGAGTGTTTCTAGTTCGCGCTTGGCCCAGTCCATCACGATCAGGATAGAGTCGACGTCCGAGTCTACATTGGCGAAGAATCGGGTCAACTCAAGGGAGAGCGACTTGAGCGAGTCGGATAGCTCGTCTAATTGCCGGACGATGATGGGCGCACTAGTCATGTTCGTACCACGCACCGACTCACTCAGATCCCAGACTGCAACCCCAGTCTCTTGCAGGGTACCGATCTGCTGGACTCCATTCTCGGAATAATAGATCAACGGCTCGAATGAGCGCGCGAAGCCTGACAGCTTGACCAGATCGGGGATTGCCTGCGGCAGACCTGGAAGGAATAGTGCGCGCATGAAGGCGACTGACAGAAGGAGGACTATGACCGACAAGGTGGTATTAGACTTGGAGCTGGTGATCTTATCTAATTTGCCGTGCAAGTAGCCAAAAACGGCAGCAAAGGGTTCACGATGCTGGACCTCTGCGCGCACCGCGAAACGGATGTCTTTTCAGCCATGCGAACAAGAGACGTTAGTGTTTCCATGTCCCAGGAAGTCAAGAGTCACCCAGGTTCAGACAAGGCCTACAGTTACTCAGATTCTCTGCACCAAACCCGGATCCATCATCCTCGGGAGGGCGGCGCGCTGCGCCAGGGGCCTGCTGTGGAATTGGACTGGGGGATCTTCCGGTCTGTGGGGTACCTGCGCTATGGGGTAGGGGCACATTGGCTGCGATAGTGACATCGCCCTCGTCACTGGGCTTTTGCCTCGTCGGGCCTTCGAGGGCATCTTCATACTGTGGACTCGGCTCGCGCGACATGGACGGCGATATGCTCACTCCAACCGTGGGCTTTAGTTCCAAATGGTTTGCATGGAGGTGGGTCTTGCGCCCATAGGGCTGATGGCGGTACCAGCCACTCCCTTGGACGTAGTCGTGCTGGTGCAGGCCTGGCGGCGACCAGCGATCTCCCGCGGTAGGGTCATCGATTTCACCGTCAGATTCTTCCGACCGGAATCCAGAGTGCTGGGACGGCAGACCAAAGAGAGGTGAGCGGTGCGCATTACTGTTGTTCTCAAAGTCCTCGAGCGAGGCATCGAGCGATGGATGGTCGTCGAAGACGTTATCTAGCTCGTCCAGCATAGCGGACGGCGTGTATCGGTGTAGGCGCTTCAGAGCGAGGGGTGTTTCTGCAGTTGCAGCGACAGCGCGCAGGAGTGAAGTGTCTTGCGATCGCGATCAAAATCACTTGCGACAGAAGTGGAGGTCGAAGGCTGGAGGCTGTAGGGTCAGAATCAGATCGGTTAGTGAAAGCGCCCTCGAAAGAGAAGATCATGCGCTGGTCCTTGATACCGAGGAGAGTGGCCAAGGTTAGGAAAAGGAATGGCTGGGAGGCAATCAACCCCGCGCGCCAGCGTTGGGATCGATCTGGATGCGATGCGATAAGTAGCGCTTGCTGGTGGGGGTGAGAGGCAGTACTCTGTGTGTACACCCTCTGGAATGCGGGTAGCTGAGAAGTATAGAACCTTGGGTCTGATCTTGAGTCTATGGTCCGGGTCTGGGTCTGATTCAGGCACAATCGAGCATCCACGATATTTAACAGAACCCAGAGGCAAAGACGGAGGCAAGAAGAAGAGGAGCGCCTCGTCCAGTAATGCGGGAATCGAGGGAACTCCTCACCTGCAGAGGAGGCTGGGCCAATCAATTTCGGAGGATGAGCTGTAGCCCATCGCCAGGTACTTGCGCTGTACTTTGAGGAGGTACCACACAGGTACAGTTTGGCTGGGGAAATGCGGTTAGCGGGACTTGGAGAGTACACCGGGCAGTGCCTGACCGCCATTGGCGCCTGACGAGTCTCTCCCTTCTCCCTTCACTGCATTGGAGGAGGAGAAATAGTGGCCATCCTGAAACACGGCATTTTCTCGACTCAACCATTGGCATTCCTCGATTCTCCAGTCTCCAGTCTCCAGTTTTCAGACTCCAATCAGCCAGCGGTGCCACCCCCTGCGAACCTTGTCGTCAACCCATGCGAACCCTCCCCCAAGATCCCTCTGCAGCCGATCGGCCTATTCCAGTACCTGCAGTGATGTGCATCCACCTACAGTACGCCAGATATAAAAAGAAAGCGACTAGAATCTTAAAAGCAGGATTAGATGATGGAAAAGAAGAGGAGAAGTTTTTTCAAATCTATTGCGGGTCAACCATTGAATAGTCTTTGGATAATATTACATGACCGGTCCCTTCCAGGTCCGGAAAATCAGCCCTCGGCGCCAAACCAATCCCCCGACGTCTATTGGAATTGCTCGAGACGGGGTAACAGAGAACAGAACGAAAAGGCCGTGGGAGGGGAATAATAGCACATCAGGTCATTTAAGCGGTGGACTCCTTGAGGTAGCTGTGAAGAGAAAGGAGGGGTTAGCCGGAAGAACTTCCATCCAAGAATCAAGGCAGGTAAAACGTACGTGATGAGGTCGTTGCGCTCCTTGGCCTTCTTGAGACCACCGAAGGCCATCTTGGTACCAGGGATGAACTTCTTGGGGTTCTCGAGGTAGGGGAACTGTACGGAAGGATTGGTGGTTAGCGATCTCGCTTCACTGGCCTCAGGAAGTGTCAATTTGACCACTAGATCAACGATGTACTCACCAGAGTGTCCTCGTTCCAGGTCACACCAGCCTGCTTGTTGGCATCGGTGTAGGCGTAGCCCTCGGAGGAGCCAGTCTTGCGGCCGAACAGACCGTGCAAGTTGGGGCCGACCTTGTGGGGACCAGCAGCCTCAACGGTGTGGCACTGAGCGCAGCGGGTCTGGAACAGCTTGGCGCCCTTCGCAGAGTCACCTGGAGTGAAGAGCGAATTAGTCGGCTGAGGCTTGGAGGTGGTTGCAGGCGACTGTGGCTGCTGCGACGGCTGCTGCGACTGAAGCAGCGCTTCTTCCCGGGCCTTCTCTCTGGCGGCGTGCAGCTCTCTGCATTCCTCCACGAGGTTCAGAGTCATCGCGCAGTACATGGCGAGGGTGCTCATGGTGGCAGGTGCGCAGTCACTGGAATTGGAGATGGAATGAATTGACTGGATGGCAAGTCGAGAGAGCGAGCTGAAGTGAAGTGGAAGAGTGAGGGTTGGAGGAAGAGAGGGAGATAGGTGTAGTAGCTGGACGGAGGTCGCAGGTGAGGTGAGGTCAGAGGCAACGACTTCGTCTTCCTTAGGTGGAAGTCCTACACCAGGTCCTGTTCATCCACCAGGCAGACACCTCCACGCGCATCCTTCAACCAGTTTTCTCGCTTTTCCACATGTCGCGCATGCCTCCGAACAATGGCATCATGCGCGTTCGCTCTCTCTCTCGCTCTCGACCAGCTTACCCATTCATCGATTCGCCCATCCGCCAATTCCAGGCAAAGCCAGCGTGTAGGGGAGAAACAAACTTACCAGGAGTGAACTTAGCAGCTTCCTTGCCCATTTTGAAAGAGTGTGAGAGGAATTGGTTCGAGAATGAGAACTGTACAGATTGGATAAGACGGCAAAAGAAGGAGGAGCAAGATTTTCCAACTTTTTTCGCCCGTATTTGTACCGTCGCCCCATTCCACTCCCGTGATCCGCACGTCCACCAATCAGGACCCGACTATTTCCAGGCCCGACGGGCGCAACCGGGTTCTCCTTCGGTGAAAACATGCCATCATCAAGACTGACAAGCTTCAGCTGGATGATTACTTGCGCACCAGGCCCCAATGGATTGATGCTTGCCATGCTGAGTACTTGAACACTGACCTCCAAGTTATCATATGTCCCCAATGAGCATCCCGGGCTGGGTATACTAACTTCGATTATTAGAGCCGCAGGTGTTGCCTCTCCCCCAATGATCTCATCCTTGCTCATTTCCCCTTCGGCTACAACGGCTTACTACTATCTATCCAAGACCAAAAAATAACCCAACCGTCCAATCTGAATCAACGGACTAAATACTTCTCGTCCTCTATGGGCTTTTCCTCCTCCAGCCCCTTGATAAGCCTGGGCACAATATCTCATTCTAAGCCCCTTGAGACCTGGAGGACGGAGTACACTTGGCCTTTTCCCCGAAACTGGTCCAGAGACTGGTCCACCAAGGCTGCGAAATGCACCCGTTGTCATTCGCCGTCCAGGGGTCACGCCACAAGTCCACAGTCCACCAGGGCCGGCTGTGGAACCCGAGGCAGGAAAAGCGCGGATTGTGATGTTGCGGAGGAAACTCGGCACTCTCTTTGCACCTGTGGGCTCCGGGGGCTCCGGAAAGCACTTTGCACACTCCGGAGTTGGAAGAATAATAGACAGCGCCAGCTTCCTTTCTGGGGTGACGACGAGGCTGTTGTAGGTACATACATATGGTAGAGAGCACCTTGTAGAATTACCATAAACCACCACTCTATACTGTACACGAATTGTATAAAGGTGCAGCTCTCTAGAGCTCCGGTTAAATCAAACTCTTTTTTAGCGCTCGGAAGAATGTGCGATTATTATTGTGACGACACTCTGCTGCAGACCACCAAGCCACTCTCTTCCCAACGAGCTATCACGTGATATGTGGAAAATTCCCGTCCGCCGCAGCGACCGACAATCAACACTCCAGCGGGGACCAAGCAACACATCCAACCACCAAATAACCACGGAATTAATCTGTGGTTACAGATTCAATCACCATGTCCCCAGCACAGATCCCCCACTTCCTCCTCCCCCGAGGCCTCCCCACCGCCAGAACCCTGCGCACCCTCCAACAAACACAACACGCTGGCCATGGCTTCAACACTTCAACCCGGCGCTGCTTCTCCGAGTCTCGCAGCGTCGCCGCAAGACCGAAACGGGTCACCGATAAATCGCGCGTGCTCTCTCAACCAGACAAGTTCCGTCCCCCGTCGCACCCGCAGCGTCTGGTCAATCAAGCGCGTACCTCGCCGACGGGCCAACCAGTCAATTATGGCCGGGCATTGAGCGCAGAGGAGCGCGCAGCGCAGGATAAGAAGCAGTACCCGAATATGTTCCCGCCCGAGGGAACAGTGATGTTCAAGTTCTTGACATCGCGGTGGATTCACATTTGGATCGCAATGGTAAGAAGCACCCACCGGTATCCACGAGTCCCAACTAAACTAATTCTAATTTCTCTCGGGCTTATAGAGCATCCTAACCAGCCTCGCAACATTCACCTTCACCACAAACTTCAAAGCAACCTCCCCCTTCGCCCACCTCCTCCCCTCCTGGTCCGACCTCCTCACCCATCCAATCGACACCCTCTCCCAGGCAATGCACGTCTACCGCATGCACGTGCAACACGAGTCCATGCGCGTCCGTGAACAGCGCCAGCGCCGCGTCGAAGACGCCGAGAAGCGCCGCCAGTACCGGATTGCGCATGGCCTGGAGGACGCGCCTGAGAAGGAGGGTGTGGTTTCTGGGGAGATGGTTGATGATGGCCAGTCGCCTGTTGCGGTGGATGTTGCCACTGCGGCTGCTGGGGATGTAGCTGGTGTTGGGGGCGCCGGGGCGAGTCAGGAGTTTGTTGATTGGGAGGGGAAGAAGAAGCCTGTTAAGAAGTGGCTTGGGATTTGGTGAGCTGTGTTGGAAGTGGTGAACTGAGAGAGAGTTGGGACCCTCTTGGTAGTGTGTGAACTCTAGGTGGGAGTTGCTTCCAGGGCGACTGGAAGTGTATTGTATTGATATGTTGATATCAAATGACTACTCCTTGTACATTAGATTAGATACTTGCATGTGGAGAGATTCAACCTCCGGTTTATCAATTTACGACTATGAATCGCCTCTTTTGTACGACGTAATATGGCTAAATTCGAGATGGTATTATCTAAACGGGTTCTTTTTTTGCATGTCTAGACAGAACTCATGACACCTCCACACCCTCCAAACCTTCCAAGACTTCTTCACCAACACCGCCCTTTTTCAACGCCGTCTTGACCATCTCCGCAATAACACTGCGCTTAACACCTCCCCGGCGCGGCCGCCACACACCAGGAACCTCCTCCTCACCCGTAGCGGGATTCAAAACAGCCACGTCTTCAGTAGGCGCTACGGCACCCAGCATGCTCACATTCTCCGAGTTAGGCACACCCGGCTGAGTCAATCGAGATGGAGGGTCAACCGTGCGAATGGAAAGCAGCTTCAAGGTACCCGCCTCGCTATCGCGCGTAATAGAGATAGCCAGCACAGCGTCCGCAACGGCAATTTCCTCCCGATTGGGATCAAAGATGATGTTCTCGCCGACGGAAATAACGAGCAGCGTCACAGGTGGACGAACGAACGATGACCCGGTCGAGTTCGTTTTCCCCGAAGAAAGAGACGGTCGTGGATAGAGATACTCGGCCACAGCCCAGTCATCGTCGAAAAACGGATCCTCCTCGCCTTGAGACTTGCGCTTGGGAAGTTTCGTAGACAAAAGAGCAAGATGTGTAGTCAGCGAGAGAAGAGGAAGAGGATATGCAAGAGGTTGCGAGAGAAGAAGAACCTATAGCACCACAAATTAGCAATCCACCCGCGAATCAATAGGACGAGGCTGGATAGAAAGTCCCGCGCAGAAAAAAAACATACATCAATGTACAACCGCCAATGCCACCGTTTATTAATGACCAGCCGCTCCTTAAGCCCGCCAGCCATATCACTCGCCTCCCGCGTCCCAACAGCACCCACAAGACTCTCCCGCATCATCTCAGACAAGAACACCGGCAGCGCATCGTCATCTCTAAACCCAGGAATCTCAATCGACATCTGCACCCACGACCCATGGCCCCCAACAGCAGCAGACCCCTCCTGCTCGCCGCGATCTAGACCCGCGCCCCCATCATTCCGCGCAAGCGTCTCGTTCGCTAGGACCGTCTTCTCGACTTCAGCCTTGACGCCGACGATAGCCTGCGTCCCGTCTGCGAAACCGATGCGCGCGCTGCCGTTCGTGCCGGGCAGGATATTTGTTTCGGCGGTTAAGGGCCGGAATTGCGTTGGTGAGCGGCCGTCTGGGCGGATGGGTGTTTTGGGGAGTGAGAGGGAGCTGTAGAGGTAGGAGAGTTCGGCGGGGGAGAGGTGGGGGACTTGGGAGGCTGATGAGGCCTGTCTTTGGTTGGACATGGCTGGGTATATGTGGGATTGTCGTCGTGAGGAGGGACGAGAGGTATGAGGAGTGATTGCGCAGCTCCGCTAGCTGAGCTGCGGGATTCTTTTTTTGATGGAGATGATCGAAGTCTGCAGGTGAAGGTGCAGTCTGCGGTCTGCGGGCGTTCTTGAAGAAGATTACTGCAACTCGAACCAGTAATAAAAACTTGAATGGCGCGACAAACTCCAGCCACAAAACGGTAGTCGAATGTGTTGAGATATCAATCGTGAAAAAAAGTCATGAGGGCCAGAGCTGCTCGATTGGGAAATCTTGATGGCCGCCGGATCATCATTGCTCCGAGCCTATTGGGCCGCATAGTTCGACAAAACAACGAGACGGACATCGCAACAGCGACAGTACTGTATGCAGATACTCTAAAATTATAACCAAGTCTCTACAGTTACCTCTTAATCAGGACAATCTATCATTTTCCAAGTCCATTTCCTAGACGTCTATGCCAATTGATTGCCGCGTATAAGCCAAGCGGTCTTTATACTAGTTACAACCTCACTTTGTTTACTCGATACAACGTCGAAGATAGGGATGCATGTTGCTACCTACGAAATACATCGACGCCACCAGATACCATCTCAACAAACAAGTCAAGTCAAATTCTACCAGCACATGACTCTAAGGAAACCGGAAACCCCAAATACAGCCAAATGCGCCAACCTAATGGCCAACATACTTTGAACCGTCGAGAACGGGTTCTGAACCCGAATCTACATTGAAGGAAATCGGTTATGAAGGTTTTGATGGAGCACATGTATAGAGAAGGAGTATTATGCGTAAAAGTGTATATATAAAAGGCCCATTCGCCATAGGAGATATATTACAATCAGATAATCCCACCAGACCGGATCCCAGCCAGTCTAGCGTATCAGTCGAGGACGAGCCCTAGAAAAAGGATAGTAAAATGGTACAAGAAAGTAAAGAGTGAACGAAAGAATTCCAACCCCGATCGACGATGAGGAATTGAAAAGGAGAGTGATATAGCGAGATAGAGAGAGAGGGCGGCAGAGAGGGAACAAGTGATAGACAAAAGTAGGAGTAGCAGGGTAGGGAGCCAGGACAGACAATGTACAGTGTGAGAGAGTAAAGTATAGACAAAAGAAAATGAAAAGACCATGTTCATCGGAAAAAGGAGGGCCGATAGGCAAAACTGTGCAAATGCAGGGATGTGGATTGTGCGTAATAGGGAGTGGTATATAATGCGGCTTGCGCGTAGGTGGTATCAAGATGAGTGGAAGGAAAGGAAAAGAAATGTGGAAAATGGACAATGTGCAACGCCAGATGAGGATCGCAAGCGAAAGGACTCCAGATAACCCGAGAGAGGAAATGGTGGGAAATGTAAAGAAAAGGGGGAATCAACACATAGTGCGAGGCCGGGTCCATCTATATCAAAAAAGGCCTTTGGGGGTATGAAAAGAAGAAGAAAAAAATATGAAATGAGGGGAATCAGAAACCGTGTCCGCCAGCGCAAGATCAGATCAAATCGAGAAATAGCCCAACCGTGAGAAGAGATGGAAAAAGAAAGAACCCGAAACGAAAAAAGCCGATACGCCTAAACTCGGTTTGTGTCCGCTTTTTGGCGCATTCTCTCGCCTGATTTTTTGTTTTTCTCATTTCATCTGGAGTGAGGAAGATGGAGATAGAGATGCAGATGGATGGTGTTGGAGTAGGTAGGAAGGAGTTGTTTCGAGATGGTTTGTTGAAGATAGGAGTCGACACCGCTCTCGCTTAGATGTAGTTGGATGCAGAAGGAAAGTGCAAGGTGGTCGCCTTGTTATTCCACTCCGCCTCCTCGTAGGGAGGGGTTGGCCATTGCCGATTGGAGTTGGAGTTGCTGGTCTTGGCCAGGCTCTGCTTGACAGGAGTCTCAAAGTAGCCATCGGCCTTGGCGGTGGGTGAAGGAGTGGGATAGGGGCTGGGGAGGGCATGCGAGCCATCGGTGTGTCGGTGGCTCACATCGGGAGCGTGAGAATTCAGTGATTGTGCCTGAGCAAGACGATTGGCAGCCTTGCTGGCAGAATGCAGGACCTCATCCAGGAGCTCGTCCTCTTCTTCCGGTGTCTCATACCGGTGAACGGGGTGACCCGTCATCTGCAGCGCTCGCCGTGTCCGGCTTGAGATGGGGCCGGGGTTGCTGGTGGGCATTGACTGCCGCTTAATGGCGTTATCAGAGTTGTTCGTCAGGTGCACGGGAATATTGCTGAGAGTCGACGTGTCCAGAGCGTACTTGACGCTCTGGAGAGCCTTGTCCAGCTCACTGAGATCGGAGTGCGGCTTGGGATCGCCCGGGTGCGATCCATCAAGAGCCATTGAGGAGCGGTTTGACCAGGGAATACAGCCGGCGTTAGCCTCGATATCCTCCACTGCTTGATTGGCCTGATTGCGTCCAGAGAGGCGGCGCGCACGCTTACGCAAGTGTGAGAAGAAGCTCTCCTTCGTGGTAGGAGTAGTACTGCCTGAGCCATTGAGCATACGCTCAGCCTCCTGGCGATGCACATCCGAGTAGTGATTTCCATTGGAATTGACGGACAGTTGACGGCCAATCTTCTTAGTCTTGCCCTGGTCGGTCTCGGAAGGCTTGGATGCTTCACCATGCGCCACCGTGGCATTGGCTTGTGCGGTCACGGAGTTGGAGAGGGGGGACACGGGGCGGATCGAAGGAAGAATGGGCATGGGGGCACCGTTGGCCCAAGTCGCCCGCTTGGCATTCGCTGGGCGGGCCTTGACCGGCTGGATTTCAGGGACGGTATTGTAGGTCACAGCAGGAGGTCTAGCAGGGCTGTCCCCATCAAGAGTCGGAACGGGGCTCTCAGACCGGCCAATCAATGAGCGACGGAACCACGAAGGCTTGGAGGAAAGGGTTGGGGAGTCGCTAGGAGTGAGTGTGGGGGACTTAAAGCTCTTGTCGGACGGTTTGCGACCCAGCAGGCGCGAAGAAGTAGATGACTTGGGCCGCAATGGGTCCACCGCATCAGTAAAGAACTCGTGGTTCAAAGCCTGAGTTGAGGTCGGGCGGTTCTTGGGATCCCACATGAGACACCAGGTCACAAAATCGGCGAGCGCCGCCGGCCATTGCGGCTGCTGAAGAACGGTGTCCATTGAATGCGGCGCCATCTTGGGGAATGTGAAGCCCAACTTGTGGGCCAATCGAGATCCTTCGCGCCACTCACCACCACCAATCTTCGCACCCGACTTGCTGTACCAGTTTCCGGGGCTACCCATAATCTCACACACGCGCCATACTTGATCGACTTCATTACCTCCTGGGAACAATGGCTTGAGCGTAGCGATTTCGACAGCCATGGCGCCGACGGCCCACATATCGACGGGGGCGGAATAGACTCCCGCACGCAGGAGCACTTCAGGAGCCCGATACCAGCGGGTCGAGACGTAGGTGGTGTAGGGCTGTTTAGAGTGCGTCTCGCGCGCAAGACCGAAGTCCGCGATCTTCACAGTGTAGGTTGGAGGGGTGGAAGGAGGCGTGACGAGGTTAGAATAGCGGCTGAAGGTAGAGTCATTGGGAGCGGAGGTCGACACCAGAATGTTCTCGGGTTTGATGTCGCGGTGGAAGAAGTGGTGGGCGTGAATGTGGTCCAAGCCGGACAGGATCTGATACAGAATACTCTTGACGTGCTTGCCTTCGAAGTACTTGTGATCGCGGGCTTTCATCAATTGGTAGAGGTTACCATCCATGTACTCCATACAGATGTGGAGCTTGTGGGTGAGGGGGTCGAGAAAGATGTCGAGCGCGGGGACGAGATGAGGGTGAATGGGGAGGGTGCGCAGGAAAATGACTTCTCGGAGCTCTAGACATGGGCCTAGTGAGTCGAAAGTCTTCTTCATCGTTTTAATTGCGACCTAGAATCGTTCGATTAGTATTCAGGTCGGTCATCACCCACGACGGTTGTTGTTTTCGTATCAGGGTCCATACCATCGTCCCCCGTCGCGCAATGTGGGCACCGGCAGTCCGAACACGGGCCAAGGCGACGCTACCAAAGCTGCCATCGCCGACCTCTTTCATGACCTGAAATCGCTCTTCCAGGCTAGCCACGGACGTGTTTGTCCGCCGAGAGGGAGGATCATATGTGACAGTCATGGTGGACGGTATCTCTTGGGATCTGCCAGCAGATGAAGAGAGGTCTTCATTGCGTTTCAGTCAGTTTTCTGCAGGCTCCAAACAAATAGCCGCATATCATGAGCGATACGTTCGGATGGGGGGCCTCATACATTAGAGAGAAGGGGGGGTGTTTTAGGGCGGAGATCCCACGACAGTTTCGGGGAAGCAGTCAATTGGGGCCGACGCGCATCGAGGAATGTAGTTATAGCGAGTAAGGAGGCAGCGTTGCTCCCATTAGTTGGAACCGGGGACGGGGTGTGTATGGGTTGGTTGAGGTGAGTTTGTCGGGATAGTATGTAAGGAGTGACGGAGTAGTTGGCAAGATTCAGTTGGGTGGTGAGGTAGGGAGAAGGAGGAGGATGAGTGAGGAGGGGAGATTGTAGAGAGGATCAAAAGGTTCAAGAGGAGGAGGGGGGCAGAGGAGGGAATCAGTCCATAGAATAATGGAATTCGATTCCGTCCGGGCACGATGCAATAATAAAAAGGAATAGGCCAAAATAGGAGAAGGCCGGTAAACCCGTTCGACCCGTTTGGGAGGGGGGCACAGGAGAAAAAGCGTGGAGCGGAGGCCAAGGGAAGGGCCAGTCGAGCCAGTTCGAGCCAGTCGAGCCCCTGAGGCGTTGACAGCTCTCGAGCTTCGGACGGGGCCGTGGGGACGGTAAATTAAACCACGTTAGGGCGCAGATCAGTCCACTTGTTTAGGATGATCCTGGGTTTTTATTACCCGTTTTTGGAGGGAGGAGGTAGAGTAGGGGGGTGGAGGGGTTGGAGAAATGAAGTTCGGAGGTTGACAGATGTCGAGTGGAAAGAGAGAAGAAGCGAAATGCTGATAGAAAAACGCCTGCACGAGGACGAGGCCAGAGGAGGGGGTAAGAAGGAACAGTTCAGTGGAGGAGGCATCGCGTTCAACCCTCCATAATTATTCTGTAAATTCTCTAATAATAATCATGTTTTTTAATTTTTCTTGAAAAATGCCAGAAACTAAAAACTAATTAATCCCGCGAGACGCCAAAAAAGTACGAGGAGTAATAATTCCGCGGTAATCATCTATACGTGAAGAATTACGGGTCTCATCATGACCCGCCCACAACTTCGTCCATCGTGAGTGGACTGCTCCCGTATATTATGATTGATGACGAAGGGAAAACACACCAGAACCCAGACTAGACCGAGAAAAGCCATCCACCAACAGAATACCTCGTCCACCAAAAAGTTCACCAAACTCAGTCCCAAGAACGGGCAGCTCCCGCGTCATCCAATGGCACCCTCCGAGTGGACGGCGCGGGTTCCTGATACTGCCGGCATACACGATCAGGACGACGATTCCCGCATCATCGATGTTTTTTACGGTCACGTATGGTATGTACGAGCCACTCAACACCACGCTAAGCACTCTTTGGGGGGTAGACTGCTTCCAACGGTCGTTCTGGTTCATGGATTAGTGGCGATTAGTCAAAGAGTTAGTGAAGACGCTAAAGGGAAGAGGGACACGCTTCTTTTTGTTTTGGAAAGAAAATAATTATCTAAATATTAAAACTAGAGCGAGCAAGAAAAGCAAGTCTCATCGTCGTTGACGAAGGAAATACCGCAGGCTAGTCTCCCTCCACCGCCGAGTAAATTATTGACCCTCCATGAGAAATCGTGATCAACTGATCAAATGACCAAAGGGATCCGGAGCAGTGAGTGGTCTCTCTCTCCAAGAAACGGTATTGTATCATCTGCCTCGGTAGCACAAAACAAACCTGCACGCTCGAGCGCCTAATTCACAGGGGGGTTGGGCATTCACCGTGTGGCCTGTCGCGGTCGCCCACGCAGCCCTGGAGGGGGGGCCAAGTAGCGGCCCAGCAAGCAGTTCGTTACTTATTGGTCGGGGGAGGGGGGGCAAGAGGGCTTGGTGGCCGCGTTGTCAGGAAAAACATGTATTTTATACGTGCCTCTCGAGGGAGAAGAGGTATTCGACTTACAGTACGGAGTACATCCAGGGCCTCGTCGCGACCATTTAGGTCGGGGATGCTTTTTACAACCCGCGTGGTAGAACTCTATAGTGGTGGAACTCTATAACTCCCTATTCCTACAGGTACCCGTGCCCTCGAGACCTACTTCATCACTGAGATTACTGTACGTTGTAGCTCTATCACGAACCAAGTTGACAGGATCAAAAGTCATGACGTTGGAGAAACACATCACAATCAGATCTCCCAGCCCTCTCACACACACCCCGTATTATTCCCTCCAGCTTCGGTCCGACACATCATTTTTTGGCCCAGGGCCTCGACCACAAGGCGCACACAAAACCCAACCAGGTGATGACTGCTCTGATATGTACTCCATACTCCGTGCCTACTCCGTACATGTCCTACCCTTGGTTTCGGGTTTCGGGGACTGATCTTTAATCAGGTTATAGATCATGGATCATGCTAGATCGCTCAATAATCCTCATCAGTATAATAGTACATAATGCAGTAACATTTCCGTCCTCGCATCGGAAAAACTGCAACATCTCCCCTGTTTCGCCCATCAGCGCGATTGTTGATGCTCGTTGACCGGGCATCCGGCGCGTCTCGCCACCGGATCTTCCTTTCGTTGGATCCGAGATACTCTGGGGGGAAGAGAGCGGAAACAGGAGCGCTTTTTCTTTTCTTTTTTCTTTTTTCTTTTTTCCATTTTTTGAGAAAACGGAGCTCCTACTGGTCCGAATATCCACCCCACCAATGATGAATCACAATCATTTTGAAGCAGTACCAAATACATTCAAAGCGCAGTGTGTTATGTCGTACTTATAGTTTTATAGTCCATGAGGGAGGACATTGTTTTGTCTTTGTGACGGGACAAAAAGACCAAGAGGCAAAAATTGAGGGACATTAGGCTCGGGTAGACGGAGGCGTTCGCATAGACCTGGGGAGAGTAAGCTTAAGCCGGACAGTACCATGGGTCGGGGCCTCTGGGCAATGCATCCCACCTGCATTTATTTTGCTAGCGAATTGTTATTGGCAGCCTTGTTTATTGAATGTGGTCTGTTGCATCCGTTGACAGACATCGATACATTATGTATCACAGCACTCGTTATCCCTCTCCATTCCAAATCATCTTTACTCCGTACACTCGGATCCGTTTCCCCCTCTGCTTTGCTGGCGCGGGGGGAGTGTCGAGAGGCGCCAGCCCCGGCAGGCTGGTTAATACAAATTGGACACACCGATGCGACGCCCAGCCCATTATTAGGACTGAAAGCGGGTGCTTTCCGAGACGCGACTCAGACGCCCTCCGGCTTTGCACTTTGATTCGATTCGGTTTGGCTGGGTCTCGTCTGCTGTCTTTCTTTGTTGTGGTCGTTTTCGCTGATGCGAACCGAAACTGGCCCCCCCCTCTCGCTTCGACGACCCTGTCGGGACTACGGAGTAGTCATGCCATAATTGATAAAATCTCTCAATTTTCAAAAAATACCAATCCTTCGACTCCTTCCCGTGTGGCCCAAGGATCATGGGTAGGAGATTAGGAAGCGGCGATCTAGGTCCAATCATAATCCTGGTCACCAAACGGTCAGCTCAATGGCTGGGAGACTGGGGACAAAGAAACGACACAAAAAAGGACCTCATCAGATCCCGATATCGCCAGCGATCATCTTACTCCCACCTGTAGATTTACAGGGCGCATACGCTTTCCGCGAATCCATGACTCTGGCGCTGCTCCACTTGCCAGGAACCCGAGGACGCAGACGTGGGTGGACGATCATCGCAGCCCAATCTACCTGTCAGGTCGGGGACTGTATATGGGCTGTGAATCGATACGTAATGAGGTCGATCGGTCACTCTTAGGACTGTAATTTGTACAATATTATTCTGATGCATGGCGTATGGTTACCGAGTGCACCTCCGCGCCATTCTTTCTACGAGCGGGAGTGCTGGACAATGACTGGTGATTTCAAATGAAGCTATCAAAACAAAACAATCGATAGATGTACATGCCGACAGTAAATAATCAACCACCCATTGTCCCAAATTATTATACATCACAATCACTATAGTACTGTACATATCTGTCGACTCCGTATCAATTACGTGCAGCCGATATGTACTGAAAGAATGCACCTGTCAAACCCGACGAACCCTGGGGCGACCGTTTGGCCCGCCAGGATCCTTCGAGGCCGCAAATCACATCTCGATCAGGGTGCTGCGCTGCCGCGTCCACTCCGCGAATAGACTTCGCTCATGTCAATCCTCAATCATGTCGCATTCATCGAGCTCACCGGTATCCCTCTCAGCATATAGACTGTGGGTAATGAGCATGTGATGCATGAAACAATGGGAACCAGATCGGGGTCCCAAGGAGCGTTCGCTTCCCCCTGTCCCGAGCTCACTGCAGGAAATCTGGAGTACAGTCCATAACCCACAGTCCCTGCGGTAGGCTCACAAGGGCCGTACCGACGGCATACGGAGTCGTCCCAGCGATGAATTACCGGTGGGCCAGGGCCCATGAATTGGCTCGAAAAAGCAAGAGGAGCCAAAGCAATGTCCAACGAGAACGAAAAACATCGCGAGACCATGTCTCCACCATATGAACATAGCGTAGTGCGCTTAAGCAAGAAAAGAGAAGCTTGGGCACCGGCACAGCGCCCAGTGCAGAGCATTCCAATCACGATCACCATGGAGGTTGGAGCAGCACCGCCAATCCTCCACTCTCCATCACCGCCACGCCATCAACACACCTCCAACGACCTTGGCACTCACCGCATCTCCCAGAATACAGCCAACCTCCCTACACCGCGTATCCTAACGACGCCTCCGCAGTCACGAGTGGAGGGCAGTGGAGTCGGGACCTCGCGGGACCTCCAACTGAAGATGCTCGTCACTGGCGAATCTCCCCGGTCCACAGTATCCACGGCACTGACCAACACGCCAATTATCAAAAACAGAAGATCATAGTGCGATGGATCCCATTTACACGCCAACAAAGCCATTGGGCGGACTCGAAAGAGGTGGGAGGAGGCAGTTGGCAACCAGTTCATCGGGTCGCAAAGTGGACACTGATTCACCGCGCCCTCCAAGCATTATTATTGCTGGTCCACTACGCACGCGTTTATTGCTCAATGACCTCGCGGATGTGGACCTAGTGTCGCGCCGTGCTCTCGGGGAGCGGCGGATACTCCACTGGCGTGGGCCTCGTCCAGGCCCGTCCGACTCTCTCAATTTCCTTCAAACCAGAAGGAAAGGAGGGATCACTCTTGTTCCCTTTCGCCACTTGGGGCCAGCGCTCTGACAGCAACTATTTGCACCGCTGCCAGAGTGCCGGGAGGCGCCGGCGTATTTTGTTTGTTCTTTTGGGCTTCGAGAAGGGTCTTGCTGGGACCTTCTATCAAACTTGACGAACGCAAAAAACGGCAAGTATCAAACTTATGATGCGGAGTTTAACTTCACATGGTCATTGACATGGTGACTGGGCAACGCTCTGATGCGTTGATGCCTCTAACTTTTGCCATTGTTGATTTAACCGTGCCATTGCTTTGGCCTTTGCCACTGCCACGGCCGCGCCACTGACCAGAAAGAGCCTTGAGGAATCACCTGTCCATAGCCTCAAGTCTTCTCCAAGAATAGCCCTCAACGGGGCGAGGCAGAGTCGCACTGCTGCGCCTGTGCTTTCGCTGTTGCCTCGTGCTCTATTATTGTTTCTATTCTTTTTCTGCTTCTCCTTCTAGGGGCTCCGCTTAACCGTCCATCTCGTCAAATTCTTGTCTACCCCTCGGCTCCCTGAAAGAGCAACAAAACAACAAACCTGTTGATATTAACATGATGTGAGATTCAATCAACGGAGGCAGCAGCATCACTGCCACGACCCACAGCAGGCGCCGAACAAAGGAATTGTTCCAAATTAAATAATTCAGTATATCCCCTCCAGACCCTCCCCCTTTCCCAAATCCATCAACCTGGGACACTGGGAGCATCATCGCACGTATCAGGCAAATAAGGAAAAGAACTCCTACGTCAACCACCAACCTTCCCCCCATTCTCCCGCTAATCGACCCGATCGCATTCGAGGGTTGCCCATCCCATCTTGTCTCCCTACCTAACCCAGCCCTAGTGCCCGGGAATCCTTGACCCCTGGGACACTCCAACTTCCCATTTCCGTAACCAACCTCCGCTAACCTAGTAGAATAACTCTCTTATCCAATCCAACCTTACCCCTTCCAGTAGACTTGCACGACGAAATCCCTGGAACTGCGCCGGGTGCGGACCGCTGGTCCCCACTATCGCTGCGGAAACGCAGATTCCTATTCGACACTAGCGTTTCTGGAAGGTTGGAACCGCGGCTTCTATGGAGATGGACGAGGATGCGCGGCCCCTCCCCCCTTCTTCTTCCACCTCCTTGGTAAACTTTCTAAATAATCTATGCGTGGAATAATGTACCCTAATTTACTGTCCTCTCTCCTTTTTCCTATTGCCGGGGGTCTGACCGTCAACGTGGACCGAGGTGGCTAGTCTATTTCTGACGGGATGTGCAACTTAGCTTGTTGTAGCTTGTGGTTTAGGTTGGTTGCGTGGGAAATCGGGAGGTCCTCCCCCCTTATGAAGTTTCTGGAAGGCTTTGGCGTATTAGGTGCGATCCAATCGGGGATTTTAGTAGATAGGGGTTGATGGTTCATGGAGAGGAAAGTGCCGCTGTGGATTGGGCTTGCCTTTGTTTTGAGGAATTTTGGAAGCTTAATTGTTGTTGTCCATGATGGGCTGTAGAAAAGGAGTCATGTTAGAATTGTTGCGGACGGAGAGCTCCGTTTCTTGCGGAGTACCGAAATTGTGAAGGGTGGAAGTCTACTTAAGAGCAAGACATTGCTTGTCTCCTTAATGAAGTGATTAAGGGTTAAAGAAACAGGGAATGGCTGCTAAGAATTTTTACCTACATTTCGTGCGCTTATTAACTAAGCACCGTTTCTCCTTAGATCTGCTATATCTCCTATACCGCGAGTAGGCATATGATGGGTATCAACTATTTAGTGGCTATACATTTCCTAGCATCAAGAGACGAAACGAATATGAAATTGCTTCCTTAATCAGTACTATACGTTTCTATCTTCAATAGAAGTATCCTTAGAGACAGAGTAGAACTTACTTCTACTGGCTTTGTGATAGTGAATGCTTTGTCTACCCTAATATAAACGGTCCATCCATGACTGCATATAAAGATTGTATGAGAAGATAATTAGCACTTCTGTAAGAATATTATAAAGTGTCTCTTTCTTCGGGTCAATTTCCATTGTAGAATAAAGCGTCTTGCTTTCTCTTAATTTGTGCACTTTTATAGTTCGAAGCTCACGGTGCAACGGGGCTAAGTAAGAGATATGTTGTTTGGCCTCACCAGCCGAACACATATCAGACGAGCAGAATACATTTCTTTCCTTGTCTAGATTTCCGGTGATACCCATAATGACAGAATTAGTTCCGTACTGGCCTAGAGAAACGAAAAATTGCTCTATATCTCTGCATGTCCAACGTCCACAATAGATAGCAATCACTATCCATGACAACTCTTCCCATACAACCCATACAGGCATCCTCTCTATGATAGACTGGGTTAATTTCCATCCTAGATCTTCTCCAACTTTTAATCATTGAGCTCTGCCAAGGACGTCCTGAGGCACCTTCCCTCAGCGCACCGCGCCTTCCTTGCTTGCACCGTCCCACGCATTTAACATCATACTACCCGGTCCATTCGGCACCCTCCCCGACGACAACGACGACGACAACAACTTCTACAGTTGATTGTTTCCATGTCGGCTACAAGCTCGTTGATCTGAGGCACGAACAACATGGGAAAGAAAAATCGCACGTTCACTAGCGGCTGGGCGCCACCCGGTGGATGGAAAGGTGATATTGGAGAAGGGTATATGCCCCTCGACCTTTACTTCTCTCGAGGAAATATTTGCTGACAGAGTTCTTTACAGATTGGAGAACATGGCTCTCCCAGATCCGTGGGTATACCCTGAGCATTAGATCCGTGGTCATGTCGATGGCTAATCCACCACAGCATCACCTGCGCTCTTTGCGAAAGAGATCTGCCAAAAACGAGCTACAGTGCCTCTGCACTACGACGTCTCCACTTGGAAGTCCGCCGCAATGGACTTAATGCGTTGGACAACCAGCAAGTTGCTCGGTGCGAGGGTTGCGGTACCCAGTCACGCCCCGAACTTCAATGCATGTCTTGCAACAAGGTCCGGCCAATTGACGACTTTGCTCATACCCAGCGCCAGTATGATCAGCCGGTATGTGTGTTGTTAGTATGTGGCTGGGGGTTAGAGTGCAGCTCGCTGATATGAAAACGGTGAAACTGGACAGGTCTGTCTTCCATGCCAGGACGATTTGCAGCTCGATGAGCGAGACAAGGGTTCCACTGGACAAGTCTCGCGGGATATGGGCAAGTCGAACATGGAGCAGAGAGAGGTTAGACTTGTCGCTTTCAAAGTGTTTTGGTCTGCTACTTTGGGCCATGTGGTTAACACTCTCTTGCTCTTCTAGAATCCTGGATCCGCCGTTGCGTTCACCGAGACTAGCAGCATGGCTGATCATGGAATGTCAAAGGAATCTAGCACGGAGGAGGAGGATGATAAATCAAAGTCGATGAATCGATATGACTTGATGAGAGCAGAGCAGGCATGATTCCACCGTTTCCTACATATCTTGGTGGAAAGTTGTGATATCGCTAATGATCAGATCTCCAAACAGTGGATTAGTGGCTCAGCTTCTAATTCGACCACTCGGAACTCCCCCTGGATTCAGAATGAGGGAGAGGAAATGCACTTTGATGCTGTCTTTGAGGATGATGAAGAGACCGCGTACTCCGGTTCATACCAATGGTGAGGTTCTGCGTGACCTCTGACCAGGCATAACTGTCTAGCGAACTCGCTGGTGGGTGTGATTGGGCATCATTGGCTCTGCATGGAGATTGGAGGATCTTGGGGGTGCTTTGTGTTTCCTCTCTTATCCAGTGGCCTCTCTTCCTTTTGTTGCGGGGAGATACGAGATTCTGTGAACGATGAATCTTTTTGTCCCCGGTGGTAGTAGCATACTACTGGCCTTGGTTGATGAAATTTAATGACCCCCTCCTCATTCTGTCCACTGGACCCATGAGATTCCGGAATTATTTCTGGTAGTTGAAATCTCCTGCTCTCCAGTAATTATGAAGCATTCTAGGGTACCCCCTTGTGCACACCCACGGGTATGACATCAGTGGTTCCACCCCACTCGAGCCACCGGTTCAGACCTTTTTGTATACTTTTATCTTCTTTTGTACAGTAACTTCGGCGGGCAAAGAGACGCAAATGGTATAGGATCTGGATCAAGTACGAAACAATCATCAATATTGTGGGAACTATCTAGCTGTAGGTCTCAAGAAAGTACACGATGGAGTCCAAAAATATATCTTGGCCCCGCGCTAACGCAGCCCGACCATGACGGGCCAAGGGCAGGTCTTAGGTAGGTACAGCGGTGGAATGATGACATTCCTCTGCCCGCGAGCCAGCTAACTACAACCCGTGAAGCCCATCCTTGATCACCGGCCAGTCGCCCTTGATTGGACACTGCTGGTCCAACGGAGCGAAGCCGACTGCTCGTATGCACCATGGCCGTCATGACACGCTTCCCACGCTCCTCACGATATGAAACGTGGTCAACGGCCACGCTGATAGGCGTAGAATGCATCGTAATTGACATAGTCGACATTCCTGACGCAGGCATCGCATGGAAGACGGATCCCGTCGATAGGAAAGATGCCGATCATGACGGGGGTCAACCAGAAAGTGCCCCGGATGGGCCCTGCCCTCTTGTGGCACTCGAATAGATTAAATCGGGCGCCACATTTCAACATCAACCGCCAGATTGCACCGGTGACGTCGAGTCTTCGTCTCTGTCCTTGTGCTTCTTTCCGAGTGTCCTCCCTCGTGGTTCTTTCTGTCCTTCCTCGAAGAAAGAAGAACAGTGACCCGATTTATACGATTATCTTTGCCCCGGAGTCCTGTTCCTGTGACGCCAGACTTGTTGGAGATCGCCACCCGTTTCCCCACAGCCCCTCCAGCGCTGACAATTCCTCTGCCTGACAACCTCCCTCGGGCGTCGGTTTTGTTTCTCGGTGTTTCTGTCGAGCCTCTGTGTCTCTCAAGTGTCTTTGCTATTTGCGTGCCCTCATCGTGACTCTCTTCAGCGCATCGACATCCTTGCTCGGTGCGCAGAGACTCCCCCGTGGTTCTCCCCACTCCCACCCTCCCCACTGCTGGTCTCTGCCTGAGGGCTCTGAATTACCTCCCAGATGGCTTACGATGGCTACCATTCATCTGCCAACCCCTATCAGCCAGGAAACATAAACTTGAATTTGAACTCCGATCTGAACGATCCTCACGGGTACTCGCAAACGCCCCCATACCCGTCGAGCAGCTACGAGCCCGACCGTCTGGATATGCCCCAACCACAGATGCCCCAACCACAGATGCCTCCGCCGGGATCGTCCCCTCACAGCATGGATTCAGATACACCCCGACCGCAGAATGTCGGACCGGGCCATGGCTACCTCAACGAGGCTGTCAGCTCGGCCGTCCACCATGCAAATTCTTCCGAATACTTATCTCCGGATGTTCTGAGTCAGATCACCGCAACTGTCATCCAACAGCTCAAAGCCACGGGTCTGGGCAATCTTCAAGGCCCTGGCGCATCCGCTGCACCGCCTTCACGATCGCAATCGCAGCAGCCTTCATGGTCCCAAGGCCGAGATGTGGCACCTCGCCCGCACTCCGAGTCGCCTCCCAATGTATCAAAGCGAGGCGACACTTTGCCGCAGATTAATACAATGTCCAGCAGCTTCGAATCTACGCAGCCATATACCGCCCCTCCGGTACCACCGCCATCTGGATTCCCGAGTGAGACCCGCGATACACGTCCAACCCCGAAGCCGTCGCCAGATCTGTTGACCAGCAGGCGCGAATCGGTATCCAGCCACGGGAGTCAGAAAATAGAACGGCCGAAACCGCCATCAAGAGATGCGACGGTCATGGAGATGACGACACTGGAGAAGATCTGGGGGAAACTGTTTGTGGATGGGAAGCCAACAAAGAGGCTGGGTCAGTTCTTACGAGGAATTGCGATGCACCTGGTATGGAATGATTCATTCATCTGAGATGACATCGGTGGGTAGAGGGCTAACTACCGTGCTAGATTGAGGATTACCCACCGGGAAATACCATCGTGATTGTTCCGGATAAGTTGCAAAAGTTTTATGCTGATACGGATGTTTCGTGGGACGCTTATCCATGGCAAGGTTCGTTACCCCGGGACAAACATCTGGCTTTGGTCAAGGTATCTAACTGATTTATTCCAGATATCTTTGATGACCGAACATCCTCAATCTCAAGGCTATTCCGAGAAGTTAAGGCTCAGCATCATCTTGTCCAGCTGGACGACCTCAAGGAACGACCCGATATTCCAGGTCTAACACCCAAGGGCTTCGAACTATGGGCCACGATTATGATTCAAGCTCACCCGGAGCGCGAATACGAACGTCTACAAAAGGCAGTCCTGAACATGCCCATTAGTAACCCCGATGATAAGAAAGAGCGCTTCCCCAAGGAGATCCCGCGCCGGTTGTTCCCTGAGGTGGCAGATCTCAAATTGAGAGAGGAAGTCGAGGAGCATATCATGAAGCATTGCGGTGTCGATTTGCCCCGTATTACAGACGAGGAGCGTTCACAAGCGACCCGGTCAAAGAAACCTGCCCCATCTCACCTTGAACCCTCTCAGCCTGCACCTACCACATCAGAGTCGACAGAGCGGTCCCGATCTTATGAACGAGGTCGACCCCCTCCCATGGCATCGTCTTCCTCCGCCGTGATCGACGACGAAGACGAGCCTCTTCCCCCAAAACCCATTGAGCGCGAAAGAAAACCATACACTGCTCACCCCGGCGGTGGAAAGAAGTACGAAGAGACTGGCCACACACGCAGTCGTACAGAGTCCTTCTCAACGGGTCGCCCACTTGATGTTCCCAGCTCGGCTACAAGCCACCGCCACTCAACCGCAGACAAATATAGCGCTGATCCGCTGTACTCTGCGCGATCAGGCTCGGGGCATGGCCATACACGGCGGCGATACTCGAGAGGATCGCGTAGCTCGTCCCGTGGCATGAGTCACGATTATAGACACTCGGAAAGTGACCTGCTCACCCGGGATGCTGGTCCTCCTCGATATGGCGGTGTTTCCACTGGAGAACTATACACGGAACCTACACCGATCTTGCCCGACGAGGATGTTCGTCGGTATAGAGAACATCACCGTGGTGGAAGTCGTGCCAGCGAGGATGAGTACTACCGTGGTCTGCTAGGAGGACAGGGTGGTGGACCCGTACCTGAGCACAAGCGGTACCATTAAGGGATGATATATCATCCTTTGGTTTTCAATTTATTGCAGCTCTACCCTTTTAGGGGGTTCGGTTTTTGATTGCCTCGCTGTTTTCAATACTTTTTCGGCCGGCGTTTCGTTGCATGAAGATACCCCCCAGTCTCTGGGGCTGGCGATGATGACTGATGAACCATGTCTCATGCTTTGACTCTCTCTGTTGATATATCCTGTCTCTGATCTACGTCTGCTCTATTTTCCATATATACGTCACATTTTATGCCTACTTACGAATGTCCACAAAAGCGCGCTCATATCCTGTCCGGTATTTAGCAATAAGCTTAGCCATGGTTTTTATTTGAAAAAATATCCCTCAGCTTCTGTCCGATGAACATGAGCTTTCGCCTTATACTCCGTCCTCGTTTTTTAATTAGCATCATCCGCACCTGATATCTTCTTCCGCCGAATATCACGCATAACATTAACACCATCCTCCTTACAAACCCCGGCCTCCTTAGCCCTCTTCCGCTCCTCCCTCTCATACCTCTTTTGGATATGTCGATAATCCCGCTCTTCCCGCTCAGCCCGCCTCTTGACCCGCTTCTCAGCCCGTTCCCTCTCCTCAATAGCCTTGAGATCCCCCCTCTCCGCTTCAGCTCGTAACTGCTCAATCTCCTCATCGAGCAGAACCCACGGCACGGCAAGAACCTCGACTAGAAATTGCAGTCGTTCATCGACGAATTGCATCTCGGCATTTGTGTCCCGGATTAGCGTGAAGCGCTCGAGATGGAGCTGCATCGTTGCCCGGAACCGGGAGAGTGTGCCTTTGATTTTGACTGTTGCTCCGGGCTGCAGGCAGGTTATATCCAGAATTGTGCGGTCGGTGGCGGAGACGTGCTCCGTCTGCGTTAACTGTGTTTTGGTGCTAGCTGTCTGTGCTGGGCCGTCCAGGGATGATGATGCCTCGGGCTTGGCTGTTGAGATACCCGAGGCATGGGTGTTATCTGGCTGTGTTTGGTCCCTTTCTTTGGGATCGGAGTGCAAGACACAGACATCTATTGTGGCGCCGCTGCTATCGTCTAGCGTTAGGATTGTGCGTTTGGTTATTTCTGTGCGGGCTACGACCACGCCGACCACGCTGGCGAAGCGGATTGGGTGGTTATTATAGAAGAATATTGCTTGGCCTGGATGTTATTAGCAGGTGTTATTTATATGCTGTTTTCATCCTTGTAAATGAAATAACGTAACAGAGGGCTTGTTATTTGCGATAGAAACCTAGTGAGGATCACTGCTCTCGGCCTCGGAAGAGGCTATCCTCAGACAAGGGTATGCATGAAGCCACCCCAACACACAACACACGTTGGATATAGAACCAGCACCCCGGAAAAAGCAAAGAGAATCAGGAAATGAAAGAGTAGGTCCATACCTTCAAAATTTCGCGGCCTCTGTAATCGATGGACATCTGCAGCCGCCATCTTCACCCAGGCGAAGTGCGTTGGCGAAGCCTTGAAGCAAAATGCGGGGTAGAAAACAGGGTCCGCATTGTGCGCTGTCGCCATTGGGTCATTTTCTCGTCGGGGGTATGGTGTTCATGTATGGGTTTGATTTTGTAGGAGGAGAGACCTGAGGGTGAGGGCGCTGGCGACGTCGTGGATGAGGATGTGCGGGGTCACGTGGGGATGAGTATATCCGACGCGTCTTTGATGTGTGAAGAGTTCTTCGTGCTGAAGCTGAGACAAGGCCATTGCTGAACGCACGCTAACGCATGATGCTAGGTCTAGCCACAAGACTTAGCCTAAGGACTAAATAGTCACAACTAGCCAATTACAGTGCCGCTCTAGAGCAATCATCCAAGTCATTCCACAGGGCCACTAGCTAATACAGCGGAGTCTCCCCTTCCATCATCCTCTTCTTCGGATTCCGCGGAATCTGCTCCTGCCGTCTTCTCTCCTCCGGACTGATATCATCCACATTCGTCTCCTTCGCCTTCCCCTTCTCACCCTCCCCCAGCGCAGCTCTAACCTCCGCCTCACTATGCTCATGACCCGCCGTCGCAACCGTCAAAATCTCCCTCTCAAACCCACCCACATGCTCCCACTCAATCCCCGCATCAGTCAACATCCTACACCCCTCGGACTCCCCCACAAACGTCCCCGGCTCCTTTACCCCAAAATACACCTTCTGGATACCGGGCCGCCCGCTCTCGCGCGTCCGCGTAATCCGCTGCACACACGGCGCATTACCCGACAACCGCTTCCCGCATGGCTCCATCGTGACGTACATGATGAGCTTGCGGCCCGGCTCGGCGGGTAACACTGAGCCGACTTGGTCATCGGGGACGCCGTGGACGGCGGCGAAGTTGGCGAAGCAGCATTGTTCGGCGTGGGTGTTGCCAGCGAGCTCCATTGTGTATCCTGTGGAGAGGATTTGGTCGGCTGAGCCCGTTGGGTCGTTGTCTTTGCGGGAGAGGAGGATTGCTCCGACGCGGAAGTTTGTCGGGCGAGGAGGGGATTGTTCGGCGAGAGAAAGGCATTTTTGCATGTAGGTTGCGTGAGGGGATTGAGTCGTCATTGTGGTGGTGGGGGTTTCAATTTGGTTGGATTGGGATGTAGTCCGGGGAAGCGTAGATTGACCGGGTAATTGTGGGATGTTCGAAGCGATTGCCTGTTCCAAGGCATAGAGAAATCGAGGGAATTCACCGTAGGAAGATGGCGTTTAGTCTCCTTCGTAGTAAGATGGGATTTCAATCGATGACCCAAAGGTGAGATTGTGAAGCTCTCATATCAGAAAGCGGGGAGCTCCAGCAGAACGATGACGGAATAATCGGTCCCGCGCGTCTGGTTCGCGTAGACTCAACCCGCGCCGCGGTTTTTGCTCATCTGTTGTATTGCTATTGCTACCCTCTTTCTCACGCAAGCTCAGAGCGGCATTGATATCAATAAATCCCACCCCGTTTGCAGCGCACAGACATTTCCAATGGCGAAAGGTACAAAGACCAAAGACGTCATTGACGAGCAGCCACCGTCGGTCGAGGAAGATCTCTACAAAATTCTGGGTGTCGAGTCCAACGCAACCCCAGAGGCAATCAAGACTGCATACAGGAAAAATGCTCTAAAGCATCATCCCGGTAATATCTAAACTCTGATCATCTCCACAACATTTATCCCAACTCAAACTAACCACTATCGTATAGACAAGGCCAGCGAAGACGCCCGCGAAGAAGCCCATAAGAAATTCCAACAAATCGCCCTCGCCTACGGTGTCCTCTCCGACGAGCGCCGTCGAAAGATTTACGATCGCACCGGCAGCACCGATGATGTCCTTGGCGAAGATGGCGACTTTGACTGGATGGATTTCTACCGCGAGCAGCTGTCCGCAATGCTCGATACCCGTGCCGTGTCTGATTTCCAGAAGAAATACCAGGGCTCCGATGAGGAGAAGAAGGATCTGCTGGAAGCCTATGAGACGCACGAGGGTGATATGGATGGAATCTATGACTCCGTGATGCTGTCCAATGTCCTGGATGACGACGAGCGTTTCCGAGCCATCATCGACCAGGCCATTGCTGACGGCGATGTGGAAAAATACACCAAGTACACCGAGGAGTCCGAGAATAAGCGCCAGCGTCGAGTGAAACGTGCCCAGAAGGAGGCCAAAGAGGCCGAAAAGCTTGCCAAGGAGGTTGAGAACAATAAGAAGAAAAAGGCAGCTGCAGCTGCCAAGGCATCCAAGGCCACGAGCGGTGGAGGCGAGGATGATCTGCTTGCTCTTATCACCAAGCGCCAGCAGCAACGTGGTCAGGGCTTCCTTGCTCAGCTGGAGGAGAAGTATGGTCAGCCCAAGGGCAAGAAGCGCGGTCCTGAGGATGAGCCATCGGAGGAGGCGTTTGCTGCCGTTGGTGCTCGCAAGAAGTCTAAGGATGTGAAGCCGAAGACTAAGAAGTCTGCCAAGGCGTAGATGATACTGCAGTATTGCGCTTTTCCACCATTATCTGCATGTTGTTTATTGAGCGCTTTCTTGTTTTGTGGTATTTTGGGTGCTTGGGAGCTTGTTTGGGCTTGCATTTGGTCTGGTCCGGTCTGCAATCTGATTTTCTTTCCCCTCTCTTGGGTCTGGTGCTTGGTAGGGAACTGGGAGGAGCTCCATAGTTTTGTTTAGTTTTCAACATTGTTCTTTGAATGCATTCGGCCGTATGAACGTATAACTGTCGGCTTTCCGTTACCCCCTTCACTGTATCCGATGCTTGTTATGGGACTGAGCGAGCTCAATCATTTCAATTAGCTTCGCTTCGCAGGAGCTTTGCTGAGCATTTCCATCTGGGTTCACGACAGCGGCCCGTATGTATGACGGTCCACCAAAGTCCCAGCTCCTCCCTGTATTCTTTCGTGCTCCCAGTTCGATGTCCGCAAAGAGAAAATAGCCATTGAGTCCGCACAACTGGTGCAATGGATGGCAAGTGTGCGGCCAGTTCTCCGAGGCCGCAATTCCAACGGATGACCTGGTCGTGACTGCCCAGAGCCTGTCCGCTTAGTCGTTCTGCGCTTAGTCGTCGAGGTCTGGTCGTTGGGACGGGGCAGCTTCACTTCATAGCAGCGCCTTCTCCAGAATCTTCCCTTCCTCGACAACCCACGTTACCCCTTCGCGATCACTCTCAATCGCTTGTTCATGCTCATCCAGACTGTTCCCGACGAGAGGACTGTCTCATTCCTGTCAAGCTTCTCATTCTTCACGTTTCCCCACGTCCTCCCCAGCATTCTGTGCCTGTGCATGCCAGCCACCAGCTGCAGCCACTGAGTGTTCTGGAATCCTTCGCTTGGCTGATCTAGCGCAGCTGATCAGGGTTCACCCCTTGGGCGCAAATACCTTATCGTTCATAAGCTGGGCGATCAGTCTCCACATTCCTCTGCCAAGGAGCGTTCTCGTTGGCTGAGTGGCGTGCCGAGCTCCCCCACAGGTCAAGCCCGCCGCAGGCGGAACCGCACGAGATGTCGTACCAGCCTGACAGCCGAGTCTCCCCCACATCTTCTTCCTCTTCTCCAGCTTCCCGGACTGCACCCGAAGAAAACACCCGAGATCGTCTGTATTCATCGCTCGACTTGACCCTTCCTTTCCGAGAAGGGCGATTGCTAGGCTTACACCGCGCTGTTCAGGACGTACTGAGACCCCCGCAGTTTGCAAGTAGCCGTCGATTTCGCCGATCTGCCTCACGGTCGAGACGTGGAGCTCGAAGCCCCGTCGAGCCATTCGCTTCATCACCATTACGGGCTGCATCGTCGGTCATGTCGGCAGCAAATTCTCCAGAGAGACAGCAGGCCGATACCGAGGATGTTCGGCGTAGATCAGTTGATCAGCCCTCACAGGACGATCGCCGAGCTCCCGCTTCTCGCGGAACTGGGATTGACGAGGATGCCAAGTCCGACCTATCAACAATTTTATCGGAGAAGACCGGATCGAAAAAGAAGATTCAAGGACGAAAGGCAATGGCTGCCATGATGTCGGGGTTGGAGGGGCGGTTGTTTCCCCGAAGTCTGAGTCGTGGCCGAGAGTCCAGTCGAGGGTCGTCACGTCGCCGGAGCTCCTCGTTGGACTCACGTTCTCCCCCTTCTGCCTCGAGACTTAGTCGTTCTGTCTCCCCCACCAATCGCTCATTCCAATCTGAATCTCAACCCACCACCCCCACCACCTCCGACAAAGAAAAACAACTGAGGATGGAAAGCTCTCACAACAAATCTGATGAAGCTTTGGTTAAGCCTTCTGGTACTATGCCAAACTACGTGAAACCTGCTGAACATGGCGAGTCCGGAGAGCGCCTGGCGAAAGACGTCTTCGACCGTGACAACAACATCATCGAGAGCAGCAGCAGCAGCGATGATCAGGACGACGACGACGACGACGACTACGAGGAGTCTGGAGAGGACGAGCCTATTCCCGGAGTTACTTTCGTGACCGTCGATCGAGGCCGCAAGAAGAAGAGTGACGACATCACCAGCATCACCGCCAGTGACTTCAACAAGCCAAAAGACGCCAACCTCAAAAGCACAGAGCAGGGTACGTGCCAACCAGTCAATGCCCACCCTCCTCCATACTACCGTCAACTGACACAATATCTAGAATCCCCAGCTCCCAAGCACAACATTCCAGGAATGGATAAGAAGCCACGAAAGTCTGTTCTCAAGGCAGTCATTCGTCCTCAGACCAACTACGAAATCCCAACTCCACGCGCCCGATCTGCAGCCGGCACTCCATGCGGATCAGATGACGAAGAAGAAGAGGCCGCTATCAACCGTGCCCAAGGACTGAGCATCTACGTATCCATGATCGACAATCGCGTGCCCAACCGCTCCATCCGCACGATTGTCCGTGGCGAGTTTGACGAGATCCAGAAGGAAGCCGATGAGGGTCGACGCCGCCAACGCAAGTACCTGGTTGCTACAGACCTCAGCCAAGAGTCCCAGTACGCCTTGGAATGGACAATCGGCGGTCTCCTGCGCCCTGGTGACACCATGTATGCGATCTACGCCATGCATGAGGACACTGCTACGACCTCGGTCCAGGTTGGTGAAGGCGCCAAGGCCATGCAGGATGCCATGGCTGTCGTTGGCAGCCAGACGAAGGAGGTCTCCCGCGGCGGCACCCTTAACCTCTTGGGTCGACTGAGCTCTGGAGTCGCTAGCAAGGCGACCTCTGTCGACGCTCGTGCCTCTCCAGCCGCAGAGGCAGACCGAGTTCGGGCCGTCGAAAGGATCTCCGGCATGTGTGTCGGATTCCTTCGAAAGACGGGTCTGCAAGTCCGCATTGCCGTGGAAGTCATCCACTGCAAGAGCCCGAAGCAGATGATCACTGAGGCTGTAAGTGAAGACTGGATATCTCACATTGCATTTGAATAGCTGCGAGCTAACATGCCTCTTTAGATCGACGAGCTGGAACCGACCCTTGTAATCGTGGGGGCTCGTGGCCAAAGTGCCTTGAAGGGGTGAGTTTGTATCACGCTGCATGATTGAATATTACCGGGACTAACAAAATATAGAGTTTTGCTTGGCTCCTTCTCTAATTACCTCATCACCAACTCCTCGGCTCCGGTGATGGTCGCCCGTCACAAGCTCCAGCGCCAGCTGCCAAAGCAGCAGGCGAATGCGAGACTGGCGAACAACCTGAACCCCTCCAAGAGTCTCCTGGATAAGTTGGAGGCAGAGGCTAAGGCGGAGGCCAAAGCCAAGACCAAGGGGAAGGTTGAGGAGAAGGCCAAAGAGAAGGCCACTTAAGCACGATGCATCGATAGCTCGTGCTCTAGCATTGTTTTTGAAGGAGGGGTGACGAGGCCCATGTCCTTCTGTATGATTACACGACGCGATGCTGCATGGATAAGGCGTCTTGATGCGTATTCTTACCTGTATTTAGTCTTAGCTCCCATGCTCAAGATATCTTGATACCCTGACTGTCATACTCTCATGACCTCGTTCTATCATGATATGATTATCATGATTTCTTCTTTGAACTCACTGCAAGTTTCAATGTCACAACGTAGTGGTTCGAGGATGTGTAACGTAACGTATTCTATTACGCGTGTTTTTCTACCTAGCCCGCCGCGTCTGGACATGTAAATAAACATCGCTGGGGAGAATATGCTTACGCTCCCTACACAGATGCTACATACTTTTCGTTTGTATCGAGTCTTACTTGTCAGTGATAGAGCTGTTGCTCAACCTATGCATACCTACAAGACAACCTGGAGGGCTCTTTCTTGACTTCCAATTCATTGTGTTCAAACTTCCATCTAGTGTATTATAGGAATAAACTGGTCGTAAAATGTTGTCATTACCTTATGTTTTCTTCTGCTATATCACAATCCCAACGGTAGCCTCTGTATTCACATCCACGACCCAGGGAAAAACAGCAACTAAGAAGCTGCAAAAAACCTGGGACAAGGCTACCAATGTTACCCAATGCCAAATATCGAACGATACAGATGCGTAGACTTATTCAGAGCCATTTCTGCCACATATTAGTTTCACCAAACTCAATTAAGCAAACTCTCAACCTCTTGGGAGGGAGTGGGAGGTGAATTCTTACAGGGATGATTCCGCCGAAGTTGCAGGCCAAGGAAACAACCTGTCCAAGGCCAGCGAGAGCTCCACCGCGGCTGTACTGGGCAGCAGCGTCATCGAGGCACTTGAAAGTGGAGCAAGAAACCGAGCTGCCCGTGTTGCCGGCGTTAAACTGGTCAAGAAGGCGGTCGATGCAGTTGTGCCAGGCCTGCTCTTCAGCAGGGGAGTACTTATTCTGCGATTGGGTGTATTGCCACGGCTGCTGGTACTGGGGCTGCGCCTGGTATTGCTGGGGCTGCTGCTGGTACTGAGGCTGAGAGCCACTGTACTGGGCAGAGGCAGCAGCGGCCAGGGTAGCAATAACAGCAATGGAGAACTTCATTTTGGTGGCTGTTGGAAAGTTAGAGATTGATACTGGACGATTCTGGGCGTTGAAGTCGTACCGTGGGAATTGAAGTCGTACCGTGGGAATTGGGAAGATAAGCGTGAGCTTGGAATATAGTCTTGTAGGACGATTGAGGATGAGATGAAATGCTTGTGATGAATGGTTTCTGAGGGCCATTGACAGGGTATTTATAACATTTTGCTTGACCAGATCCCTCTGCTCAATGACAATTATCGTCCTCGGTGAGAGCAATGTGATTCAGGTCAAAGTCTCGCATTGCATAGGATCGATGTCACAGCTGACCTTCAGTAGGTAGCTCAGCTCGCCACAAAATCGCAAGGTACTGAAGCTATTGAAGCACTCCATGCCGTGTGACTGGAGATCCTCTGCCTTGGAAGCTTGGATTGCATCAAGTGCCTTGAGAGGTAGACCTATTGCTTCTGTGCCATAATTATTCATGAAAATGCCTCATGCGAGGCACAAATATTCGTAGTTTGCCTTCAGGCAAAGCTATTCTGCCTCAAGACAGGGAACCATGCAGTTTCCAGGACTGTATGTCTCAGCAAGCCACCTGTAATGCTTTTGTCTGGCCTCTCTCAATAAAACCAGCCCTCCTACTTCGTACAACCACGCACTTAAGGGATGCATAGTTCCCTTGATGAGATATTTGGAAAGACAATGTCAAAACCATAACAGAAATGTTTTGATGTTGGAAGATTCCAGGTAGAAGAGACACAATGAGACAGCGTCAGTATGTACAGGGGACAGATTTGGCTATAGTATGAATCTAAACCACTCTTTTAAAATACATCATGCCCCGCGAGTAATCACTGTAAAAATTGTAATGTCATCATGCAAATTGAGAGGGCAAGACTAGCGCCTACGTAAACTACCATCCCTGCGGACTTCCCTGGTCAATTGTGTCCCTGATCTACAGTACATTGTATTTCAGCTAGGATTGTCCCAACTCGGTCGATCAATTGTTCTCAGCAAGCCACCGGTAATAATTTTGTCTCATCTATCTTGAGGAATAACAGAACCTGGTTCGTACAACCACGCACTCAGGTGATGCACAACATCCTTAATAAACTAAGTAACAATCTTAGCAACAACGACTTTGACCTTGGAAGATTCTCATTCGGTGCGAAAAACACACATCGGAATGGACCAGTGTGTTCGGATTACATATCTGGCCATATGGTGACACCGAATCCTCCTATGAAGCTAACATACTGAAATTACTGGGGCAATTATATCAAGGATGATCATGCACATCAACAGGGCCGGTGGACGAATACTGTCTCGCATGAGATGCGTTGCGAGGACTAGCGCATATTTTAACTGTCACCTACGCGGATATCCCTGGTTAATTCATAGTAGGATCTGCTTTGCCTGTCAGTCGCATCTGTCTCAAATAGATCAGTCAATTGGGCTCAGCATTGAGACCCATGACGAGTACTAATCGAGTCAAGTTGCTCCTGCGACAATAGAGCCACTCAGGGAGCATAATTATGTAAAAAGAACGTCATGTCCTACCCGAGTCGAACTTTCTGCAATGCTATGCATCATCAAAAGATCAGAATTATGCAAAAGAAAACAAACCACTGTCCGCCTTCGTTGTGACGAAAAAAGCAAAGTCCAATTTCCCCAGGCTTCTGTAGTGTTACACAGACAACTCTTTTAGCTCCACACTACAAGGATCTGACCTATCTCAGTCCTTGAAACATGACACCGAGATCCAGCGAGCTTCAAGCTTAACTGTTGAAGAACTCCGCAAGGGGCTTTGAGTTGCGGCACGGGTATACCCGCGCATACTATGGATGGCTAAATTGATGCTCGTTCACGAGGTGCATACGTATTGCATCAAGTGTAACCACGAATTGACTGCCACATCTAACCTTCGTTCTTGTTACGATATACTCCTTACTCTGATGATCGTATTGGATGGTTGTTCCCGATTCCATTGCCATTACCCATATGGGAGGCAGATTCTTCTCAGCTCGAGAATTGGCTTAGGAGTAGCTGATTGTCCACCCTGGTAATACAAGACAAAGGGTTTATAGCTAAAACTTCTATAAGTACCCTCTCACGGTCTTGGAACTATCAAGCTGATCAGTGCAGCGTTATACAGGTTCTCTGGCCATCATGGCAAGAATCACTGCAGCACTCGCATTTTCTCTTGCGGTCTCCTTTTCCACCGCCCAGAACGCTCCAGTCCAAAGCACCTATCGAAAGTATACCCTCGACGATATTATCCCCACTACCGACCCAGCGTCAGGCCACGTCAAATGTTGTCCACAAGGAACAGAGTTTGATGGACAGGCCTGTGTCCTCGGTACCCCGATCTGTCCCGAAGGAAGCACCCGTGACCGCGAGGCATGCGTCTTCAAGACACAGCCATATTGTGACAATGGATACGAGTTCAAAGACGGCCTCTGTATTACTATCAAGCCTCCTGCTTGTATCGGTGATACAATTCTCAAGGGGAACCACTGTGTGATTGAAGGGGAAGCACTGTGTGGCCCTGGATATCTGCAGCAGGGAAACGTCTGTGTGTCGTTGAAGCCGCCCGTGTGTCCCGATGGCGAGCACTTCACTGGCACCAGCTGTGCCTCTATTAAAGGCCCGAAATGTCAGGATGGAGCCAAGCTTGAGGGGGGTCTTTGCATCGACAACCAACCTCCCACTTGCCCCAAGGGAACCTCTCTCGATGCCGCCTCCTCTCGTTGCATCTCTGTGTCCGTGCCCAGCTGTCCTGAGAATACCGTCGCCCAGAATGAGCAGTGCATCTCTATTGAGAAGCCTTCCTGTGGCAATGATGCGATCTTCAACTCCAAAATCCAATCTTGCACCATCACCGAACCTCCAAGGTGCCCCGCTGGAACGGAGCTGGATGACAAGAAGTGCGTGTACATCGGCCAGCTTGCTTGCCCTCCGGGAACGACTGGTTCCATCGACAAGGCCCATGGTACTGCTCGCTGCTGTCCCCTTGGCATGACTTGGGATGGCAACGTGTGCTCTACCAAGCCGATCGAAGGCAAATGCCCTGACGGGAGTGATCCGATAAACGAGCGCTGTGAGAAGCACTCCAACCCTCCACCACAGTGCCCGCCTGGATACAAGCTCGACAATTCTCGCTGTGTCTGGCAGGAGCCACCGACGTGCCCTCAAGGCTCTCGTTTCGATGCTGGTCACTGCATTACTACCTCGAAGCTACAGTGCCCGCAAGGGTTGGTATTGATTGGTTCCGACTGTATCGTCCAACAACCTCCGTCTTGCCCTGACCAGACCAAGCTAGAAGGCAACAAGTGTGTCAGTATTGTCCAACCATCCTGTGATCAGTCTGCAAAGTGGGACGGTAAGCGTTGCATCGTCAACAGCCATGCGTTCTGTGAGGATGGCATTCACAAGGGCGACGATTGCATTACTGGAACTCCACCGTCCTGCCCTGACGGTTCGGCCTTTGATGGTGCGCGATGCGTGTCAAACTCCACTCCACAATGTCGTCAAGGTACTATTCTTAGTGAGGATGGATCATGCCTTACCTCCACGCCTCCTCAATGTCCCCCCAACACGCACCTCCAAAATGGCTACTGTGTTTACGGACTTCCAGTTTGCCCAGCAGGCCAGAGATATGCCAATGGACGCTGTGAGAGCGCCGAGTCGCCACAGTGTGCGCAAAACTTCGTTTGGAAGAATGGACGGTGTACCCGCATTGTCGAGGAGCACTGTGAGCCTGGATTCACCCTCAAGGATGGCCAATGTGTCTCTGTGGCTGTCCCCGACTGTGGTGATCTCATCTTCAATGGAAAGGCATGCGTCAATGGCAAGCCAATCTGCCCCGAAGGTAGCTATCTGGATGGAGAGCGCTGCTCTTCTGTTCACGAGCCACAATGCCCCCAAGGCTTCAAGTTTGACGGGAAAAAGTGCAGTGCCTACCAGACTCCCCAGTGTCCACCTGGATCCGTTTTCGACAAGGTCAGCCAGGATTGCATTTCTACTCGGCAGCCCGAGTGCCCGTCAAACCAGAGATTCAATGGCAAGCACTGTGCCATCATCACCGGGGAGTGCATGGAGTTCGAATACTGCCCCACTGAATCGTACGGAAAGGGATGTCGACGTACTCAGCTTGGAATTGTTTGTGATAGCACTCCATCCCAGAATCAACAGGGTCAGCCAGGCAACAATCCAGGCTCCTGGCAAGAGCACCCACAGTATGGACCCGGAAGCCAGGGTAACCCAGGCTGGAATCAACAGCAAAACAATGGGCGAATCAGTGGTGGCAATTGGAATGAGCGGCCAGCACAGGGCAATCCGGGCTGGGCCCAGCAGCCGAGCATGGGGCCCAGCAATGGTGGTGGTAACTGGAACGAACGACGGGTCGCTGGAGCTTACCAGCAAAACTATGGCGGTAACTGGAATGAGCAGCCAGCACCTGGACCTGACGCTCAAGGTAGCCAGGGTTGGGCCGAGCGGCCAATGGGTGGCTGAAGAGAATCTTCAGGCCAGTAACCCAGGACACGATATTCCATGTCCAACAACGATTATCGCAGCAGATGGCACATTATTTACGCTGCAACCTGTCGCTCTTTTACCAGCTGAATTTGGGTTTATTTTGTAAATCGTCGCTTAGCTGTGATTGTTCACTCCCTCTTCAGCTTTGTTGTCGTCTTTACCTCTAGGGCTAGTCATTCATTCTCAATCCATATCCTTCGCCCCTCTCATGTGTACAGTAATACATTTCAAAGTATGAAAAAGCACATATTTAACAATCCATTTCATCAAAGTCCTGATTTTGAGAAACAAATCTATTCTATTCCTTTATCTGGAGTATCCAATCTCCCTAAATCACATTCCTCAATTGCTGACCAGCCAAGAACCGTCGTAGATTATCCGCAATCAAAGCCTCGCAGCCCTGAGGTCTCCCTCCTGCAGCATGAGGGGAGATAATAAGGTTCGGCGTCTTCCAGAGCCTACTAGACTCAGGGAGAGGCTCTTGCTTGAACACATCCAATGCTGCTCCAGCAATCTCACCCTTCTCCAAGGCATCCGCAAGGGCATCCTCATCAACCGAAACACCACGACCCACGTTGACAACCCAAGCGTGCTTAGGAAGCAGCTTCAATCTCTCGGCATTCAGAACGTCCACTGTTGATTCAGAGCCTGGCAGAATCAGGACCAAAGCATCTGTTTCGGGTAGAAGCTCGGGGAGTTTGTCCTCGGCGTATACTTCAATTCCATTTCGCACACCCTGACTGCGAGCAATACCTCGGACATTCGCCCCAAGGCCGGTCAAGTATGGAGTCAAGGTCTTTGCAATACTTCCAAAGCCCCAAATGAGCACACGAGATCCGCGCAGGGTGGTGAAATCCGAGCGTGGGAACGAGCCGCCCAAGTGGCCGGGCCACTTCGACTGCAGCTGATAGTCGCGCATTTCGTAAAAGTGTCGCGCCCCGTTAAGCAATAGACCCAGAGTGTGCTCAGCAACGGGATAGTCGTGTAGACCGGAGCCGGTGGTGACGACGATAGCGGAAGTATCGAATCCAGCGGACAAGACGTCGTTCGGACCGGCGGCAAGGGACTGAATCCATTTCAAGTTCTTCAGGCGCTGTGCGGCATCCTTGAGGTTATCTGGGCTGTTGGACCAGGTCACCAGAATTTCGGCGTCGACGTGTTCCTCGGGAATGGGGGACTTGACATCGTAAGGGTGGAGAGAGATGGAGAAGCCCTGCAGGCTCGGCACGTCGAGTCCTGGTTTCACGGAGGTTGGGTAAAGAAGCTTCATGTTGGTAGAGTGAGAGCTGACCGTAACAGATATATTTAACGATAGATGATTATGAACGAGAGGAAGATCAGTTAATGACCCTTTTTATTCGACGGGCTTTGAATCATTAGTGCGGGGATGCGTGGGGGTTCGGCGAGTGCCTGAGTTATGTAAGCCGGTCCCCCTCGGGCATTTCCCGAACGTTGGCTTAGCTCGTACTTCAGTCCATCGGGAGAGGAGGATCCGATATGTAGGTAGTTGAAAGTTCTGGTGGATGAGTTTTTATGTGTAGTTATCAAAAATGCCCGTTGCTTAGAATTGCCTTCTTTTGGTGCATTATGTTGGTACTTGCCTACAAACAATTCTTTCACTATGAAATGGAAAAGTCGGAGAAACTCCGGCATCGGGATATTGGCGGCATATCGAGTTACCTTTTCCACCAATGGTGGCTAGCCAGAAGCACTTCCATGCGACACTCAAATGTCAATAATCCTTTCTTATACGGTAGCGTTACCGTCGTGGATAGATCGGATTCGGCATGTCGGCGGACCTGCATTGTGATCCAATAAAAGTAATTTCAGTAGCCGCCATGCACAGAAATAGTTGTGCTTAAATTAAATGTAGTTCCCCATTCGGAGATAAGGCAAAGATCTCCCAATCCACAAGAACCACTCTGGCCAATATTTATACCTTATCAGATGCACGTTCAACTATCGAGATTCCCAAGCCAGTTATGACCAAAACCCGTGTCCGGGAAGAAAGACTCACATCCAAAGTCCGCTCCAAACCCTTCAAAGCCCAACTCCTGAACACCTTCCATTCCCACGGCCCCCAGTCCCGCGTCAACGGGGGACGGCATCGAGCTAGTATCCTCCCTCAATTTCAGCAAATCATCGCATAGCTCCAAGCTATCCCTTGCGGCGTGCGCAACCTGCAGCTCAACCGGAATGCGCGCCTCAACCGCTTCGGCCTGCGCAAGGATCATACTCAGAAACATGTGGTTTTTCACATTGGTCTCGCCCTGTCGTATGCGTTCTTTTGATAGCGAGATAAGGTCACGGACGGCCTGTTTGAGGAAATCTAGGTACTGCCGTGTCCGATGCAGCATACCGTTGAGACGCTGTGTTTCGACGTGTGTGAGGAGCTCAAGACTGATGGCCGACGTGGCGCATCGGATGCCATCGCGGAATACTCCACCGCCGATTGCCACTAACCGGGAAAAGCCAGGATCTGGTTCTGGAGAGATGATGGCGAGGCCAGCGTCGATACTGAGCTTGAGTGAGTAGTGAAATATCGGGTTGGTGCGTGCCTGGTTGCTAAAGGAGTATGTAGGGGAATCATGAACCGGCGGATTAAGTAATCCAGCAAATTTCGGTGGAAGGGAGTCGATCCATCGCCAGCTTTTACCCAGCGACTGCAAGCCTGAAGGGCGTCGATCAACTCGCAACTGAGTGAGAGGACTCGATCATAGGTGACTTCGGAATGGAAGTCATTGAGAAGCCGGACAATCCGGAGACAGACGGATAGCGATTCGATCAGTGCAAGCTGAACGGATGTAGTCGTAAATGTGCCTTAGGGATATACCTGGAGCTCTGTCGTCGACTCGTCAAGACTCTCATCATTGATATTAGACGGCGGCTCGGTATCAAATTCGTCATATGATATCCTTGGCGGCACCCACGAGTCCAGGGATGACTGTACCGCGAATTCAAGAATGGTGTACCAAAGCCTCCGGCGCAGTTCGACCTGCAGTACCGATATAGCTGGGAGATGTTTGGGGTCACGATGCAACCCGAGTTGCATTGCGCTGTGGATAAGCGATCCAATTGAGATCCATATTGTATCGCCCCCGATTGAGAAAATCTGCCGAGCGAGGACACTCAAGCAGGAGACCTGTATCCCAGAGATATCTACGCGATCCTTTTCCAAGGGTCCGGAGAGCCAGGTCTGAGCGGCGTAGATCCATTGTTGGACCTAATCGATGTTACGATGTACCGCAGCTGTCTCCGTGGTCATATAGACTCGACCCTATGCCGATGACGAGAAGAACCTTAAGACGTATCTTCGGTGCAACGCCGTCAGGGTTGTCCCAGAGTCGTTGGTACTCTGACCTGAAGGTAGGGATGTGAAGCATTCGATGCCTGTATATCTCTGGGAATTAGAACCACTCAAGGTAAATTCCCCAGATATACGTACGCTGATTCGAATGATGACAGGTACAGGTTGACCATATCATCGGCCATCTTGCGGCAAGGGGGCGTCAACCCGACAGGGGGCAAGAGACCCCTAGTAGGCCGACCAGTCTTGATGTTTCTCGCTCTCTTCTTGCATTTGCGAAGGTAATCACCGGCCTGAGATATCAGCATAGACACATCAGGGCTTTGGAATGAGCTGTCCTTGCTATTCTTGCCCATGATCTCAATATAACAGGCGATTATAGCGGCAAATTCATCAGCCGCGCCCATCGAGCGACTCCGACCCCAATCTCTTGACTTGTTCAGGACAGCTTACCACTCTTGCGTCCCCGCGGGCGATGGACCTGTCTGGAGGGCCACGGTAGTTTCAGATCGTACTTTGACTACATTTGAAGGACTGCCATCGATCCGAGAACCACCCGCCAGAGCTTCTTCCAGCCTCTGTATCCGATGCAGAAGATCATTGATATTGCCTGTCGGATCCGGCCCAGGATTCGGTAATGATTGCTGTAGGTCATTGTAGTCACGAGGAACTGTTAGGGGGAATTCTGGGCCGCTGGGCCCGCTGGTGGTGCTGTGACCCTGGGCGTGGATGAGTTACTGCCCTGGAGAGGCACCAAAGTAGATTCATTTGAATGACTCGAGTCTCTCCCCTGAGCGTGGGCGAGCTGTCTGGATGTTGAGCTGCCTGTCAATGGCGGGGAGGTTGCAGTCCAGGGCGGTTGAGACCTGGCCGGGGAACCATGCTGCTGGGTGGTGATGGTGTCGGGATTGTCGTCAAATATATTCGTAAAGGGCTTGTATATACACCGGGACTTGTTGCGCAGACAGTGTGCACAAGGGTTATTGTGGTCGCACTTGATCTTGCGGCGGCAGCATTCTTGACAAGAGAGAGCCAGTCTTCGACGCCAGCGCTGCCGTGGCTGCAGCTGTGGCTGACCTTCCATGAGGGGCAATTAGTTGATCAAAACGATACTTGTCTCTTCGATACCAAGATGCTGTTCAAGTCAATCTCGAAATAGTCTAGTCAACCCTGGGTTTGGCTTGGCAGCAGTGAAGGGGATGAGCCTGTCAGCTAGAGGGCAGGGAGATGTAAGAAGATTATGCCGAGTTCCTGGATATTTCATAGGACGTGAATTATCGGGTCATTCTCCGGTCCAGTGACAACTTCGCTCGAGAATTCGGTTAATGCCTACGATTCTAGCCAGGAAGGAGGTTTCCAGGGCTCCACGAGTGTGTTCCACTGGAGCAATGTGTGCTACGACATCAAGATCAAGGGCAAGCTTCGGCGCATCCTGAGTTATGTCGATGATTGGGTTAAGCCCGGAACATTGACGGCTCTAACGGGGGTGTCAGGTGCTGGCAAGACCACACTGCGGGATTGCCTTGCCGATCGCCGTGCAGGTGTGGGCGTACTCACCGGCGAGATGTTGGTTGATGGGAAACTTCGAGATAAAAGCTTCCAGCGTAGGACCGGTTATGCGCAACAGCAAGATCTACATCTTGAGACGAGTACGATCCGTGAGGTAAGTTGCTCCTTGCTGCGCCCGTCATCGCACAATTCAAGTCAACTGACTCGACTCTTAACTTCTTAGACTTTGAACTTCTCTGCTCTTCTTCGCCAACCAGAGAGCGTGCCTATGGCTGAAAAGCTGGCCTATGTTGATGAGGTCATTCACGTTCTCGGCATGCAAGAGTATGCCGATGCTATTGTTGGCGTGCCAGGGGAAGGGCTTAACGTTGAGCAACGCAAGCGCCTGACTATAGGCGTCGAGTTGGCTGCTAAACCACCGCTACTACTCTTCATTGACGAGCCAACGTCTGGCCTCGACTCACAAACCAGCTGGACTATCCTGGGCTATCCTGGACTTACTGACTAAACTGTCTAAAGCGGGCCAGTCTATCCTTTGCACCATTCAGCAGCCCTCTGCCATGTTATTCCAACGGTTTCATCGCCTTCTCTTACTTGCTGAAGGGGGCAAGGCAGTGTATTTTGGTACGTTATTCTTGAGCCGTGATGTGCCGGTAGAAGCTAATAGAACCGTACCCTCCAGGTGAAATTGGAGACAATGCAGAGACCTTCATCAATTACTTTGAGCGGAACGGTGCCCAACCTTGCCCACCTGGTGCTAATCCGGGGGGGCCGGGGGGGGATGCTCAAAGCTATAGGCGCTGCACCCGGCAGCTACTCAGAAGTTGACTGGCACGAAACATGGCGCTCCGGCCCTGAATACCGTTCTGTCCAGAGCGAATTGGACCAACTTCGAGTCAAGAACTCAGGGGACTTGTTAACTGATAGCCATGAGAATCATGCTCTATACAACGAATTTGCGACCCCGCTATGGCATCAGCTCCTTGTGGTGACCAAGCACGCTTTCCAACAGACATGGCGAACACCATCATACATCTACTCCAAACTACTTCTCTGCACCACCACCAGTTTGTTCATCGGCTTGGTCTTCCTCAACTCTCCCCTGAGCATCCAGGGACTACAAAACCAGATGTTTGCAATTTTCGAGCTGATGAGTATTGTTGGGCAATTGGTGGACCAGCAATTTCCCCACTTCATCGCTCAGCGCTCGTTATACGAGGCTCGTGAGAGGCCAGCCAAAACATACAGCTGGAAAGTGTTCATGCTCAGCCAGATCCTCGTCGAGATACCATGGTACACCCTCGCCTCCGTGCTCATGTGGGCGCTATTCTATTTCCCCGTTGGCTTCTACAAGAACGCCGACGTCGCCAGCGAGGGCATTGAGCGGGGGCGTGCTCATGTGGCTCCTTTTCTGGGTGTTTCTGATCTGGGTATCTACGTTTGCACACTTATGTATCTCATTCGCCGGCTCTGCCGATGACGGTGGCAATATCGCTAACTTCATGTTTGTGTTGGCCTTCTTCTTCTGCGGCATCCTGGCATCACCAGACCAGATGCCCCGATTCTGGATCTTTCTGTATCGTGCCTCCCCACTCTCGTACTACGTCTCAGCTATCCTCTCAACAGGTCTCGCTAATGCCAACGTGACGTGCGCGAGCAACGAGTTCATCACTTTCGACCCGCCCGCAAGTCAAACCTGCGGCGAGTATATGACGGAGCATATCTCGGCGGCGGGTGGGTATTTGCTGGAGTCGGACACCACAAGCAACTGCCAGTACTGCAATGTCAAGGAGACAAACGTGTATCTAGCGGGCATTCACGCGGACTACGACACGAGGTGGCGCAACTTTGGCATCATGTGGGCGTATGTTGCTTTCAATGTTGCTGCGGCGTTGATCTTGTACTGGGTGGCAAGAATGCCCAAGGGCAAAAAGAAGGTGTCGAGATAGGCATTCGTTCGTAGACGAAGTATACAAGATTCGATTCTTGATATCTGGACGCTGTTGGTTTCGTTGTATATAAGTGTATTTGGTATTTGAAATGGAAATCTCATCTCGGCGAGCAAAGCGTGTGACAATTGAGCTGATGCATGGACAAATGCGTTAATGGACCTACCCTGATTTGAAACGAGAAAGGGGTTTTCTATACGTTGAGTCAGCAAAGATGAGTAGTTGAGTTAGACTATGTATGTTGAATGACAATGCAAAAGGACCGTTACCATGGGAAACATTCTAAGACTATGATTTTTGTGGCAGTCTCTCATGCATGCTGTAACTCCATAAAGGGGTAGGGGTCGGGGCAGACTTGACCATTGACCATTGACCAAGAAGGGATATTGCACTTTGACCATTTGCGATACACAAGACAAGGGGAGTGGGTGGTCCTCAGACCTCGCTGAGAATGGTCGCCAGTAATGAACTCCGAGCTCGGAGCTGAGACAAACAGATAGTCGATGTCAGAATATGAGCCTGAATGGTCACAAACTCCGGGATCTGTAAAACAGGGGCCGTGGCTAGGAGATCCACAAAACATGAAGGATCTCCGGTAGGACAAAACTCCAGTACGGGAGTCATTTCCTCCTATATACCGTCATTGATTCCAGCTTTGACAGGGATTGACCAGCGATGAACCCAAAATCTCCTATTATGATCCTCGGTATGAATTATCTACGTCAGGCTCACTACGCTCAGCTAGCTCGCCAGGAATCTGACTGCTCCCGAAGACACTAATTGCCTCGATATCTACGGAAGGCCTCCCGTGGTCCTTCCCGTGATCGGCTTTGCGGTTGGCTGATAAGCCTCAGAAACGGCTCAACCGGCTCCTCAGCCGATGGATTTCCCCGCAGTGGCTTACAGTTTAACCCCAAATGACCCTTCCAGTCGAGTAGTACCTGAGGTGGTGGCTACACTGGTCAGCAATAGTGGTCGGCTCTCCAACTATCAGCCGTTCACTCCGGACTGATTCGCTAGGGAATGATATACTTTATTTCTTCTTTTTCCAAGGTTGTTCTGCAGTCCAAATGAACTCAATTTCTTTCCTATCAATCTATTGACCAGCAATTAGTTCTTGCTACGGTTTTGTCCACGTGTGAGCCGGGTCAGTGCACCATAGTCAATTAGGGTGGCAACGGGCACTATCTGGGTGGCTCATAGCTGGATTGACACCAGGTTTCTTTATCGCATTGCAAGATTAAGGGTGAGAAAAGAGCGCAGATTGGATAATCTTACATTCTCACTCCTGCCCTTGAGTATCTCATTGACCGACAATCTATGGGTCATTATCTTTGCCAGAGGAAAACATGTCCTGAATAGGTAAAGGCCTCATCGGATGGGAACCCGATGATATCTCATCCGTTATCTTAGCCACCACCCCTCATAATCTTAGCGTGGTCAGCCAGGTTTCCCAAGTCAGGACTAGCGAGGAGGACGCCAGGAAGATTGGGCTATCGGTGTCGATTGCACCCGAGGCTTTGACAAGATTGCGGGGGAAGTGGAGACTTTTATTGGTGGATCAGCGTCTTAAAGTTGATTTGGCGTTCAAGTGCGAAGACTAACGTGATAGCAGGGCGAATAGAATGACAAGGAGATTGTCACCCGCCAACCAGACTGATTGTAGAATAAGGCTCAAGCGTCAGACCGTAGACTTGAAGGCAATTGTGATACCGGCCTACATTTAAATACAGGGCCGTATCTCCGCAAATTATTGACAATCTTTAGTCACTTTACATCCATCGTGAGTGATCGGATACATGATTCTGTATGATGACGAGTCTCAATGAGAAACAAGAACCAATGATTGAAGAGAAAGGTGGCTACTCTGCAACTGAAATCAATGATGACAAACCAACTACTGGAGTTGTCATTGACAACACCGACCAGCTGAAGCGACACCTTGGTAACCGTCAGATCCAATTGATCGCTATCGGTGGTTCCATTGGAACAGCGACCTTCGTGAGTATTACGTCCGGCCTGACCAAGGGTGGCCCTGGCAGCTTGTTTCTGGCATACACCATCTACTCATGTATGATGGGTCTGGTCAACAATTCCATGGCCGAAATGGCTGTCTTCATGCCCATCAGTGGCGCTTTCATTCGCATGGCAGGCCACTGGGTCGATGAAGCTTTTGGCTTCTGGGCTGGTTGGAACTTTTTCATTTATGAAGCACTCCTTATTCCATTCGAGATTTCGGCGTTGAACCTGGTCTTGACATTCTGGCGGGATGATATTCCCGTCGAGGCAGTAGTAGCTGCCTGTATCGTCATCTACTTGTGCGAACTCACTTTCCTTTTATGATTCCGAGTCTCTATCTTCATTGCTTCCTCAATTTCAGAGACAGTCTGCTAACTTGTAGTAAATATTAGTGTTCTTAACGCGTTTACAGTCAAGTGGTATGGTGAAGCAGAGTTTTGGCTTGCAACTGGAAAAGTGCTGCTGATTCTCATCGTCTTTCTCTTCACATTTATCACCATGGTCGGTGGCAATCCCAAGCACGATGCCTATGGGTTCCGCTATTGGAAAACCCCCGGCTCATTTGCCGAATACATTTCAACGGGGCCTTTAGGTCGCTTTGAAGGCTTCCTAGGAGCTGTATGGAGTGCATCGTTCACCGTCGTCGGCCCGGAATACATGTCAATGGTAGCGGGAGAAACCAAGCTGCCTCGACGCTACCTCAAGACAGCCTTCAAAACCACTTATGCTCGTTTTGCCTTCTTCTTTATCGGCAGTGCCCTATGCGTGGGCATCGTCATTCCATACAACGACAAGACACTACTAGATATCCTCAGCGGCTCCTCGAGTGGCTCGGGAACGGCAGCTGCATCTCCATATGTCATCGCCATGAACAACCTGGGAATTACTGTGTTGCCTCACATCACCAATGCTCTATTGGTGACGAGTATTTTCTCTGCAGGCAATGCCTACACATACTACGGCACTCGCAGCCTTTATGGCTTGGCTCTACAAGGCCAGGCACCCAAAGTCCTTCAACGTTGCACTAAAGCCGGTGTCCCGATCTACTGCCTCTGCATTGTCATTGTCTTCCCCTTCCTCGCCTTCTTGAACGTATCCAGTGGTTCTGCTCAGGTTCTCACCTGGCTCACCAACATCATCACCGCCGCTCAGGTCATTGACTACATTATCATTTGCGTGACCTACCTCTTCTTCTATCGTGCTCTCCGCGCGCAAGGGTATGACCGACGTACTCTACCTTACTACGGTTACTTCCAGCCCTACTCTGCCTGGATCGGCCTGATTTGGATGACCTGTGTCGTATGCTGCTACGGCTATTCTACTTTCCTTCCAGGAAAGTTCACCGTGGGCGGTTTCTTCACTTATTATACCATGGTCCTAGCTGCCCCAGTCTTGTTCTTTGGATGGAAGTTCTTCAAGCGCACCAAGTTTATCAAGGCCCATGAAGCCGATTTGATCTGGGACCGACCGGTCATTGATGCGTATGAGGCGACTTTCACTGAGTACACACCAGGCTTCTGGACTGAGATTCTGCAGATGTTTGGACTGCGGAGGAAGAAGAAGATTATTCAAGAAGCTTGAGGCTGAAGAACGCAAATTCTCCTGGAAGTGCTTATTTATTGATCGATCGTGATGCCATAAAGTGATGGACGTACTGTATACTGTTTGAGCTGGAATCAACGAAACCCCAACCTTTCGAGATAATTATTTCCCATGTTCCCCACCTTATTCGTAGCTAGGGCGTAATATTAAAAATGGTAGAAACGCGAAATACCCTAAATCTCGGAACTGAAGAGTAAGAGGGGCTAGGTATCGATGGTGTCCTGCATGATGATCGCTCGAAGTAGTCCCCAAGCAGCTTAGCTCTATAGTGGTGAGCTTTGTAGTAATGATCCCAACGCTCCCTGCCCCATCTGAATGAAGCTCCTTGTCCGCAGCATGAGGTTTCACGGAGACGATAATATATCCATAAGGGGGGAAGCAGGGGTCATATCTCTATAGAACAGTATAGGCAGCGAGTGTTGGCGCATGCTTTGAATAGTGTTAATGATCTCAATGACGGGCAACCACTCAAATAGTCCGAGATATTGTGGAAGCAATAGATGGCTGCAAAGATAACAGTCTCCGCAGCCAAGCGGAGTAACAGTGGTCACCCATATCACGTGCCTCGTCACCGCCCGAGCTCCCAGCATCCAGACAGCTTGGCCAACCCCCCCAAGGCCATCCCACCCTCTTACTATCGTCTACCCCCCATCCGACCTTCTTTGTCCTGTGCTGTGTCCGTGGAGGATCTTGAATTGATTCCCCCGCCATGGCCGACTTTGTCGACCCCCGGATGACCTCCATCAAGCCCCGCATCCGTTACAACACTATCGGAGGTATCAACGGACCGCTGGTATTCCTCGATAATGTGAGATCGTCCCTCAGCTCGGCCTGGAACTAAACATAGAATGCTTGCTGACCATGGTTTATCCCCGATAGGTCAAGTTCCCCCGTTACAACGAGATTGTGTCCTTGACGCTTCCCGATGGCACGGAGCGCTCCGGTCAGGTACTGGAGGCTCGAGGTAAGCTTGTCTCACTGCTAGCATGAGCTCTCCTTGCCAATCGGAAACTGATATACTATCTTTTTGCTATAGGAAGCCGAGCAGTTGTGCAGGTGCGCGCCGATACCGAACCGTTTCCTACCCCCCTTACGACCAAGATGTTAACATGATCATATCGCGATTAGGTGTTCGAAGGCACTTCGGGTATCGATGTTAAGAAGGTATAGCCATTTTATAGGCTGACATTTGAAGAGAGGTTTGCTGACTGTGTTGTCAGACGAAAGTTGAGTTCTCCGGCCACAGCTTGAAGCTGGGTGTGTCTGAGGACATGCTGGGTCGTGTCTTCGACGGTTCGGGACGTGCCATCGATAAGGGCCCTAAGGTGTTGGCGGAGGACTACCTGGATATCAATGGACAGCCTATTAACCCGTACTCTCGAGTATGCGATCCTCGCTCAATCAATATGAAGCTATGAAAGCTGATATAGCTTGTCTAGGTTTACCCCGAGGAAATGATCTCCACCGGTATCTCCGCTATCGACACCATGAACTCCATCGCCCGTGGACAGAAGATCCCTATCTTCTCCGCCGCCGGTCTCCCCCATAACGAAATTGCTGCTCAGATTTGTCGTCAAGCCGGTCTGGTGAAGCGTCCCACTAAGGATGTCCACGACGGTCATGAGGAGAACTTCTCGATTGTCTTTGCTGCTATGGGTGTTAATATGGAAACCGCCCGCTTCTTCACTCGCGACTTCGAGGAGAACGGCAGTATGGAGCGTGTCACTCTGTTCCTGAACTTGGCCAATGATCCCACTATTGAGCGTATCATTACTCCTCGTCTGGCCCTGACCACCGCCGAATACTATGCCTACCAGCTGGAGAAGCACGTCCTGGTCATTATGACTGATTTGTCGGCTTACTGTGATGCTTTGCGTGAGGTTTCTGCTGCCCGTGAGGAGGTGCCCGGACGTCGTGGTTACCCTGGTTACATGTACACGGATTTGTCGACCATCTACGAGCGTGCTGGCCGTGTTGAGGGCCGTAACGGTTCCATTACTCAGATCCCCATTCTGACCATGCCTAACGATGGTAGGACAACCTTCCTGCTTTTCGATTTTCGCTCCTGTCTGGGCCCCTGGAGATTGACTAATCCTTTTTTTTAGATATCACTCATCCTATTCCCGATCTTACAGGTAATTGAATGATCGATTCTACACATTGTATCCATTCTGCTAACACGATAATTTCCGCAGGTTACATTACTGAAGGCCAAATCTTCATTGATCGTCAACTTGCCAACAAGGGTGTCTACCCTCCCATCAACGTGTTGCCTTCGTTGTCACGTCTGATGAAGTCCGCTATCGGCGAGGGCCGTACCCGCAAGGACCATTCCGATGTGTCCAACCAACTGTACGCCAAGTACGCCATTGGTCGTGACGCCGGTAAGATAGACCCCCTGTCCCGCACCATTTACAATTCCTATTCTAACCCATTTCTCTCCCTATAGCCGCCATGAAGGCAGTCGTCGGTGAGGAAGCCCTCTCCTCCGAAGATAAGCTGTCCCTGGAGTTCCTCGAAAAGTTTGAGCGCACCTTCATCAGCCAGTCTCCATACGAGTCTCGATCGATCCACGAATCTCTCGACATCGCTTGGAACCTTCTCCGTGTGTACCCCAAGGAGCTGCTCAACCGTATCCCTAAGCGCGTCCTGGACGAGTTCTACGCCCGTTCCGCCCGCAAGATCGCCAACAAGGATACTCGTGACAACTCCAGCGAGCAACAGCAGAGCAGCAATCTCATCGATGCGTAATTGTGGAAGCCGTGGCTAGTGTATTTCTGGAATTTCTCGGGTTTTGTGTTCGCGCCGAGGGGGAAGAAAGGAGCGCGCGGGTGTAGGGCCAATATTCTTTTGGTCTCTGCATGATCATCTATTCGCCATTGCATATACTCTTCTGTGCGGTTGTATCTGTTTCCAGCTTTTTATTTGCTTTTCGTTTTGCGTATTCGCCCTGGTCTACTTTCCCAATACAAATTCTGGATCCACATTACGAAAGATTGCATCCATATACACAGGCCGAAATCAGAAGTTGCTTATCATGGCTGAGTTGACTTTGGATAAACCTACACATGGGCTATGATGACAGAGCAACAGAGAATTTGTTGGAAACTATTCTTCATGCTAGGTAGTGTTCTGGAGTCACTTTGGGTCACATGACACCTGACATAGGTCAGCAAGAGTAGTCTGGGTAGGGCTCTATCCACTCCATTCTATTCGACTATACTCACCAGTGAGACTCTACTGCTGATCACTTAGCTATCGCCTTAATTCAGTTGCCCTTCTGGGCTCTCCCACAGTTCCCAATCATCTGTTGATACTATCTTTCCGGCATCACAAAATGGCACCGACCACGAGATCAGCGGCCAGGAAGGCGTTCACTGCGGCAATCTTGACTCCTCCAGTCTTTTAAATACCGGAGGTTCTTGAAATTATTCTGCTTCAAACAGACATGCGCACTCTTCTAACGTCTTGCCAACGTGTCTGTCGAGACTGGCATAATCTGATCACGAAGTCACCGTGGATTGAAAATGCCCTCTTTTTCATTCCTATCAATGAATCCGAATGGGGCGCGGGAGAAAAGGTATCCAATACGCTGCTGGCAGAGATGTTTTCTGCCAATTTTCCTGCCAAGGGCGAGCAAAACAACGACTTTCACTTTTCCGATTGCGAGATGACTAAAAGTTTGGATCGGTTTGTCCGGAAAGATGCTAGCTGGCGCAGGATGCTCGTGCAACAACCTCCTATTTTAAAGCTCGGTCTTTTTTATATTGATTCTGGTAGGGGTGGCGATAGCGCTCACTGCATTAGTATTCCCGTTAGTTTTGCAACCCATCTAATATGGAATTCCTCGGCTGCCACGGTATATCTAGGCAAATCCGAAGAGGCAAGCAAACGGAGACGAGGGCCTTCGAATGGGAAGGCTCTTTGAGATCTTGCTATTCGATTCGCCAATTCGAGTGGGAAGGCCCAGACCTGCACGCCTTTGTTGGTCGACGGATGAGCCAATTGATTTCTATTCAAGGCATGAAATGAACAAAGACGCGTTTCAACGAATGCTGGGTCAATTAGGTCTAGTTTTATATACCGCGCAAGTAATCCAATGCGGGATGGGCTTCCGGGGCGGACCTTATTAAAGCGTATCGAGACCATGGCTTTGAAGTTGATTCCCAAACAAGAGAGATAAAAGCCTACAGAAGGTCGGCGAAGGAAATACAATGGTCGGATATAGATTCAGAATCGGAAGAAGACAATTTGGAAGAGCTTGATGAGCTGTAGGGAAAGGTCGTTGAAAATCACAGATTGGGGATGAGTTTTTCATGTGCTTCTTAGGGCAGGAGCTGTCGCTCCCACCGGCTCTCGCAATATGTACTATTGGACTAGCACTGCCCGGCTCGTTCTTTTATGCCCGTTGGCCTTGTGTGTCGTACCTCAGCCTGTCAATTACCTACAGTAGTAGCTTTCCCGATACAGACCTGCTGCCAGAGCGTCAGAGCCAATCGTTTGTCCGAACCCCCCTAGCAGTCCACCACCAAGACCTCAACCTCAAAGAAACCTTATCCCAAGCCAAAAAAGATCCGTCTATTTTTTTCAGGCTGTCAGGATGCATAGTACAGTGTGTTTGATCCTCGACGGCACTCCCTATAGTATCAAGCGTGAGAATTAACTCGACGGATAATCGAGTGCTATTTCTTGCATTTTACCGCAAAATACTCGGTTCCAATGATCACAAATGGGCCCGCTACTGCCAATCTAGAAGTCACTTCATCTGTTATTTTAGAAAATTTTAGACATCGACCTATGTCGGCTTCAGGATGGCAATCTTTCCTAGATGATTCGCCGCTGGCATGGTCACGCAGTCAGACCGTCTCATGATCTGCAGGGTCTCGTAGCCCCGATTTTTTGGAATACAGGAAATGCATCATTTGTAGAGTATTTAGATGCAGGATCTCTACGGGCTAGGCTCTGGTGGCGTCCAGGTGGCGTTTACGATCACGAAAATATTTGGCGAGCAGTTCGTGTTCTTCAGCTGCACTCTTGTCAAACCGTTGGCACAAATACCCGTAGCTGCCATCAAATGGTGTCTTGAACCCCAGTAGCTAGACTTCGCACTTCCTGCTCACACAAAGATGGTCACCTCTGAAGCTTTGGACAAGAGGGGAGTAATATCAGCTGTACCTCTGGCTCACGATAGAGGGGCGGAGAAGATGCAGGGTCGCATACAGGAGATTCTCATCGCGTTCGCTGTTATGACATTGCCAATGTTAATCTTCTCCGGCCTCCTGCTCGGCTTGGTCTTTCATTATCGCATCACACAAAATGATTTTACCTCTGGTGATCTAGCATTTGATTCCAACCAGAATGATCCAAATGTCTATTTTGTCCGAATAAGTGCAACCACACTCACCACCGTTGCCTCATGGTCTAGCACTATCGCTCCCATATTAGTTGGCTTCGGTGTCGCTTTGGTGTCCTATCCCGTCGCGAAGGGTCTTTTGATGGCCTCGGAAAATCATGACGTGGCGCAGCTACCAACACCCTTCCAGCTCTCATTGATTGTCCGCATGATTTCAAGCGGCTCGTTCTCTGCCCTCTGGAGCTGGTTGATGTATTCCTTTGGCTGGAGAGGAAGACGCGAGCGCCAGGGGAGAGCGATCAAGAGTCTGACGACCATATTGACCCTAGGCATTTTCTTAAGGTACGTTTTATTTCAGTCTCCAAGAATACTACCGAGTCGCTAGCTTAACAAGGATTTAGCACACTTGTCCTAGTTACCGACACCTGGCTTCACTTCGCGACCAAGACCATCAATTTCATCCAAGTGAATGCAAACTCCGATGCCTCAGGGCTTGGATTCGGCTTGTACCAGAATTGTACGAACGTAGACAGCACTCTTCTTAGCTGTAACCTCAACAACCCTGTCTCGGGCGATGTCCTACTTAACCCCGACCCGATGAGAATTCTTTCCAACATTTCAGATACAATGACCGTCCCAATCTACTCTGTAGGTCAAGATCAGTACGCATACATCGCGAGCCCGGAAACATCTCGCCTATCGCTTCTTGACTACACAGTCTCAACATATGCCATACACTCGCAATGTTCTCCCATTACCTCCCAGTGCGCCAGCCCCAGCAATGTCTCCGGGGTTGGCACAACCTACAAGTGCCCATTTGCGTTCCAAGGGACCGTCAATACGGCCGTGGGCGCCTCCAATTCCGTGACCATGGCCTATTTCACAGACTCTGCTGGCTTCAACAATAACACGGATGAAACCTTGATTGGCAACCCCTATTACTACTCCGCCATAATCCTAGCAAATATGCGCAATGCACGCCCAGCAGCCCTGCAAAATGACCCGGAGGTTCTGTCCGGTGGACACGGCGGCGCTACTATCGTGGCAGTGGGCTGCACATCCACCGTCTACGACGTCAAATACTCTTCCGTCAACGGCACTATCAAGAACTGGAATTCTAGCAACTCTAATACATCTACGACCCTTATTGTGCAAGGCACACAGCGCCACACAGACGTTGGGAACCCAAACCTCATTCAGGCTGCTAGCGTCGCAGGGCTGGGCAACTCCGCACAGGATATCGCAGATCAGTTTGCACTAGCATATAGTCAAACCGCCTTGGCAGTTGCGTCGGGCGCATTCGAGCCACGCGCCGCTTTAGCGTCCCAAGTGCGAGAACAGATTCTTGTTGCGCGCGTTCCTAAAGCGCCCCTGTTTGCTTTGGTTGCCGCAAATCTGCTGCTTGTGTTGCTAGGCATTATACTCGCCATTGTAGCTCTGATAACTGTTCGGGGCAATACAGGAGAGGTGCAGGCGCGTCTGAGTATTCCTGCATTAGTAGCAGCGCCGTTTGAAGTACGCGTGGCAAGGCCTGTGAACGAGGTAGAGGATATGTATGAGGAGAGGCATGGTGAACCAGGACCGCGGATTGGATTTACAAAGGCAGCCGAAGGGGGCTGGGTGTTTCAGAGCTGGCGTCCAAATTGATCAGATGTGGTATGTTGGAATGAGAGCCGTTTTTTGCAATCAAATTCCTATAGGCTTAATTAACGCTCCTTCTATGCCATTTGCATGGATCTCCTATAGCCAGTTCCAAAGGAACCTCCTTTGGTTTACCAGTATAGATTTGCTTCCTCAGATCTTCATCCTCTGCCCTCGACGAATCGGAATGTTCCTAGTTTGAAGAATTTAGTTTTAATGCATTCAACGAGTAAGGGATAATTCACATGGTGTATTCAACTAAGGCTGGCAGAGCCTCTACTTACTAGTACCCTCGCAAGTACTACCTCAATAGTTCGAAGTTCTGCTGCGTAGAAAATAGATGTATGCTCGTCTCTCGAGATTTCGCTTCCATTGATGTCCATCCCGGACCACATTCTCTAGCTCATTAGTCAGAGTAAAAGGGCATTCATGATCGTGTAGGCTTTGCAGAATGAAAACGTGTGATCGAGTGCCTTTCTGGCAACCAGTCAGAAGATGAGAGCCCGACGAGAGCGAGGAAGCTAGTCGTCACCCAAGGAATCAGGAAAAAAGGATCCGAAGAATCTCGATGTCTGTCGGAAAGCTGTGTATCTCCAGGGGAGAAAGAAGAAGAATGGAAAGGTAAAGCCCTTATACAGGTGGATGTTTTGGTTTGGTTTAGATTATTAGAATGTCATATTGCCGCGCTGACAGTCTCGACTCTACTGAAACGCAGGGAGAACTGAAAATATTGACCATATATTTTATAAAAACCCAGTATGGACATAAGAATAGACTCCGCATAAGAAGGGAGAGGGAGAAACAAATCAGAATACACGCTTTTCTGAAACTCCCGTGCAAAATCATCTAGTAAAGAGTCTTCAAACGTCATCAAAGAAACATGAAAATGGATGAATAAGGCATAAAGCCACCGCACTGACCAGCCTCATAACAATGAAAAGCCGAGAGTATTGCTGCCCTGAGATTCATTGAAAGATGCGAGAGGATGCACCGCTTAGAAACGCAAGTCCCAGCCGATCTTGGGACCCAGACGGGGAAGCTCATCGGCAACACTCTGGACATCCTTGTCGCCACGACCACTCAGGTTCAGGACAATGTTCTCGCCCTTCTTCATGGTCTTGGCTAACTGCATGCAGCCCCAGACAGCGTGGGACGACTCCAAGGCGGGAATAATTCCCTCGTGCTGGGCGAGGGCACGGAAGCCAGCAAGAGCTTGGCTGTCGTCGGCAGCAATGAAGGTGGCACGGTCAGCATCCTTCCAAGCGCTCAGCTCGGGACCAACACCGGGGTAGTCCAGACCGGCGGAAATGGAATGAGTGTCAGAGATCTGGCCGTGCTCGTTCTGGAGAACGTAGGTGCGGACACCGTGAAGGACACCCTTAGAACCGCCAGACAGAGTGGCGGAATGGCGGGGAGTATCGACACCATCACCACCAGCCTCAACACCAATGAGCTTGACGCTGAGGTCGTCGGAGAAGGGGTAGAACATACCGACGGCGTTACTGCCACCTCCGACGCAAGCAACAACTGCGTCGGGGAGCTTGCCGATAGCCTCCTTCATCTGCTGCTTGGTCTCTTCACCAATAACGGACTGGAAGGTGCGGACAATGGTGGGGAAGGGGTGAGGGCCGATGGCGGAACCAATGATGTAGTGGGTGGTGTCGAGCTCGACAACCCAGGCGCGGAGAGCCTCGTTGACAGCATCACGGAGAGTACGGCTGCCAGCATCGACGGCAACAACGGAAGCACCGAGCAGCTTCATCCGGAACACGTTGAGGGCCTGGCGGCGGACGTCCTCGGCACCCATGTAGACAGTACACTTCATACCAAACTTGGCGCAGACAGTGGCAGTGGCGACACCGTGCTGACCAGCACCGGTCTCGGCAATGATTTGAGTTTTACCCAGACGACGAGCAATAAGAATTTGACCCAGAGCGTTGTTAATCTTGTGGCTACCAGTGTGGTTAAGATCCTCACGCTTCAACCAGATGTTAGCACCGCCAACATGGTCAGTCAGGCGCTGAGCGAGGTGAAGGCTGCTGGGGCGGCCCATGTAAGGGTAGTAGGAGCGGAACTCCTCCCAGAACTTGGGATCATTGCGGGCAATATCGAATCCTTTCTCGAGCTCTGCCAAGCAATCCATGAGGGACTCGGGAACATATTGACCACCGAACTCGCCAAAGCGGGATGGCTGTGCAGAGGGGTCCTTGGTAATATTGAGGGCCTCCAGTTGATCGGCCAGGCCAGGGCCGGCAGGGGTGTCAGCCTCGGTGATAACCTTGGTGGGGGCAGACTCGGCATCAGGAAGGGCCTTCTGAACAGCTTCAATCACATTGATCTCATGGGTCAGAGAACCCTGAGTATCACGCTCGCGCTTCCGGCCGGTAATGCTGGAGAGATAATCCTCGGCGGCCTTGGCGGCCTGGCCAGCAGGAGCGTTCCCAACAACGGTGATGATCTGACTACCAATGACGACACCCTCGGCAGTATCCTGAACAGCCAGGAAGTGCTCACGAGTGCTAACACCGAATCCAAGAGCAGCGGGGACATTGCCAGAGTATTCGTGAACACGCTTCAGGAGCTCGGGAATATTAGCGCTCAGCGTACCGGTGGCACCAGTAACACCCATGCGGGAGACGACGTAGATGAAGGAGTCGGCAATCTTGCACAGAAGCTTCATGCGAGACTCGGAGGTTGCGGGTGCGATCAGAGGAACGTAAGAAAGACTGTGTTGTTAATTCATGGATTAGCTACTTTCATTCGATTCTAATTTGAATCCATCCGATTGACTTACCCAGTGCGGGCGCAGAGGTCGCGGAAGCGAACGGCCTCCTCTGGGGGCAGATCGACCATGATGAAACCATTGACACCAGCCTCCTTGCAGTCCTTGAGCATACGCTCCTCGCCGTAGCGTAGTACAGGGTTGTAGTAGCCCATCAGCATAATGGGGGCCTTCAAGCCCCGGCGTCGGGCGGTGCGTACAAGCTCAAGGACTGTGGTCACGGTAACGCCGTTCTCGAGGGCCTTGGTGTTGGCTTTTTGGATAGTGGGACCATCTGCGATTGGGTCTGTGAAAGGGATACCGAGTTCAATAATATCTACAATGCAAATTGAGTGGTTAGTTTCCAATTATCTATCATTTCCAGGTACCCCGCCAACCTCAGCGTGCGAAACAACATACCAGCACCGCCATTCTCCAATCCAAGAAGGATATCAACAGCCTCTTCAGTAGTAGGGTATCCAGCAGTGATATAGGCGACCAGAGCGGCACGCCTTTGCTCCTTGCACTTGGCAAAGGTCTCCTTAATGGCGTCCATGGCTGTGGGTGCGGAGGAATTGGGAATCGTGGGGTAAAATGAGTGTGTCGACAGAAAGTTGTCGGGGCGAGTCAATTGTGTGCAAGAATATTTATGAAAAAACAAGATAGTCTCCCAATCGGCTCAATGGCAGGCGATAGACCGATGTGCTTAAATGGGAGGCAAGAGTATCTTTGAAGAGTTGGCAATCCTCGGGTGAGTCAGTCACTGGATCTTGCCTTTTTCCACCGGTTTCGCCCCGCCAGATCACGTGTGGCGATAAGATAGTGCTTAATCAGCAGATGACTCCCTGAGGTGGCGAGTGCTTATGGAGATCGGAGAATTTCCTCTGGTCCGAATGGAGAAAATAAGCCCACAATTAAGAGTGGGCTTGAAAGGTACATTGTGATAGCTTTGATACGGACACACCGATGTAGCTGTCATAAAAGAGGAGTGGAGAAATCGTGAAGTTAAGTCTTACGACATCACATAATTGACGTGTTAGAAACAGGAAGACATTACTTGTGAATGAGCAGTGATATGATTCTACTTTAATAACACAGAATCATAGAGGATACTACTAAGACTGCAAAGTGAATGCAACTGCAACTTATTATTTCTATGATTGAACACTAGCATTCAATTAGGTTCCAAAAGGTTGTATGTTTGTTAGTTAACTTAGTTAGTTATAGAAAAGTATTACATAATCATATGCAGCTAACTAAGTTAGGTGATCCGTTGTCGGAGGCGGCGGAAAGCCTTAGTCAAAAATCTAAAGACACAGGCCCTATGATTCATAGATAATAATCCTGATGGGGCAATTTCAGTATAAGAATAGAGTACGGTATCACTATACGAATAGGTGTTAGAAAATCAATGGGAAAATAAGCACAAGATGGAGAGTATTCACATTTGAGTTGTAGACATTCTCGGGGCGAAGAAAACTATACTAGGTAGTTGTGGCACGCTGCTGGAGCACGACAAACAAATACAGTATACACTCGAGAAAAATCTCAAAAACAAAGATCCAAAGATGATCAGGAAAGACTTGATCAGTTAGAACGAGATAAAAATAAACAAGATACACAAAAAGTCCCCCAGCATAAAAGGGGGTGCTATCTTCCCAAAACGCCACAACGATGCAGTAAACAGTAATAACAACCCTCAGCTCAAAGCAAATAACAATCAAAAAGATGAGTCCCAAATTAATCCAAACGGAGAGAAGATGATTCCCCACAAGCAGAGTCCAGGAAGCCCTCGAGCGTCCAAAGACAACACAACGACTCCAAAGGCATTGCTTACGCAGAACAACCAATCTCCGATACGCCGGGAACGAAATAGACAAGCGCAAAGGGACAAGTCCAGAACGTCCAAGATCCCAAAATCCAAAATATCGGCGAATCAATATCCAAAAAATCCCAAAATCTATCCCAATCCGTCCTGCGAATGCATAAGGAATGACTGCAGCGCCCATGCTATGCCAAGTACTCGTACAGTAGCCCAGATAAGTAGTGTAAAAAGGAGAGGAAGCCCAAAATGCCCGGCAAAGTATGCAACCCAAAAAAAGGAATGAACAAGACACCGTCTAAAGAAGAACAAAACAATGCAAGGTAAACAGGGTGTCAAACCGCGGTGCGATGAATAAGCAAATAATATGTTTGGGTCGAGGGGGCATTGAAGGCATCAAAAGTGTAAGGAGAGACGTGAAAATCGTAAAGAAGCTGTTGACCGGGACCTCGTAATAGAGTGCAAATTGAACAGCTTTCCGAGGAAAGATGCTCTTTCTGAATCTGTTAGAGATGCCGGCGACGACTGGGCTTTGCGTAAGGAGTGACAGGAAGGAAAATCGTATCTTCAACAGAGCAAGAGGGGGGAAATATGAAAACAGAAAGGGAAAAAATCAACAGCAACAAACACAACACAAAATCGACTAGAGTTCAGAGATCAGTGACCCTGCGGTCCATCGTGTATCGGATACACCGGGTCCATGTAGCCATAGGCAGTGGTAGTGGAGGGAGTTGAAGCGCCGAGACTGTGCATCTCCCAAGATGTCCGCGAGGTGGAAGCGACCAGACCGTGAGAATTTTGAGGTTGGCAGATGGCAGCATATGAGTACGCTCCGACAGAAGAGTAAGGCTGGCTGATGGGAGGCATCAGCACACGGAGATCGGAAGCAGCAGCCATCGAAACACCAGACTGATCTGGCTGCGAGACATACACCGGAGCAGGCAAGGCGTGGTGGTGACCATAGGTGCTGACGGGGCCGGCATCAGAGAGCGACTGCGGGGAACCAGCGCCATGAGGCTCGGTGCCCGAGTCAGAGCCAGTGCCATGGCTGGCGTAATTTGTCATCGGTGTGGGTAGCACCCCTGCGGTAGATGAATAGCTAGCGGACTACAAAATAATTAGTCGATCTGAACGATTCGAGGGATGACTGGAGTACTCACGTATTTGCCAATGATCTTTCGCAGAGCCTCGGCAAGGATGCTCCAAGGAAAGACCTTGACGTCCTTCTCAATGTTACGCGGCTTGGGTGCAGGGAAGCCCATGATCACCTTGAAGAACTCCTCGCTGTCAGCCTTGGCTTTGGAGACGGTCAGCGGGCGGAAGCCCTCCAGGTTTCGTCGAATACGGTTCTTCTCCTCGACAGTGAAGCGGACAGCAACAAGGGACTCTAGCAGATAGATAGTGTCCACACTGGTAACGAAGCACTCGTCCTTGCCTTCCCAGTGAATGCAGCTAATGCAAATGCTGTTGGGGGCGCGCTCCTCGAGAGTCACAGGCTTGAACTCGGCATTGATCGTGCTACCAGTCTGAGAGCGAGTGAACTGCACCAGGCGGCGCTGGGCCTCACGCTCCTCCGCACTCCAGCCAGTGGCCATGGAGTTCAAATCACCGTTCAGCTTCAGAACAGCCTTGGTCGGGTACATAGCGTACGGGTTGAAAGTGGAGTTTTGTCCAAGGCCGGTGGACTGCTGCTGCAAGGTGGAGGTGCGGATCAATGTAGGGTTGCCAGTGTTGGAAACGCGTGCTGGCGAGGGACCCCGGCGCTGGGACATAGAATGAACCATGGCGATACTTTGACTCCGCATATCATTCCCAGGCATGAAAGATGGGCTCCAGGCGGGAGTGAGAGGAGAGGGAGCACGCAGAGCTGGTTGGGAAGTGGCCGAGACACTCGAGTATTGAGTAGGGCCGACACGAGGGGAAGAGGCAGCGTGATACGGGGTGACGAATCCTGTCATAGCGGGCAGAGTCTGCAGGTACGGCGAGAAAGAGGCCGAGCGGTTTTCACGGTAGGTATAGTTGTCGTGTTGCTCAACCTTGGGAACCACCTGGTGGCCTGCGGTGCGCTTGGCGGGTACTGAAGCGGCCACCGCGTTGTCCGAGTAAGAAGAGAACTTTCTCTTCCTTGACTCAGCGTCGGGCGAGGGCTGGGACACATGCTCGTAGGTGTACACACCAACCTGCAAGGTTGTGGGCGGGCAGTCACTCTGGGTCTCCAGGACGACCTGGAGGGGGACCGCCACGGAGGGGGAACCAGTTGAGATGAATGACGGGGCATCAGCCGAGAGGCAGTACTGGAAGTTAGTGGCTTGGAAGCCAAGGAAGTGTGGGTTGCACTCGCACTTCTTGCTTCCAAAGACGATGTACAAGGCACCATAAGACGAGCTGTGCAGGTCAAATGGGGACTGAATCTGCACCACTACCCGAGTACCTTCACAGCCACGCTGAGGGCTATATGTGACAATCTCGGGGACTTGACGGGGCCGAGCACCCATCATGGGCGACTGCGCCTCTTCGTACGAGCTACCATACTCGTTGTTGGGGATGTAGGGGACACAGTCCGAGATCTGGCTGGCCTGGTCGGCCATGGGCGAGGGACGAGAGAAGTAGTCACGTAAGGGGATTGGCCGTATGTCGAGTACGAACTAGCATCCTGCAAAGACCGCGTGGAGGCGTAGTCTGAATCGGGGGTGTCAGTATAGGCAAACACCAGCAACATGTATCCATCGCGGGGTAGACATACCGAGTACAGAGCCGGCAGCGGGCTTCTGGAAACTAGACATAGACAGTATTGGCTCAGACTTGGCCCACAGGCCGTCTGAAAATGCACCGACAAACTGTGACTCTTCAGAATCCGAGAAATCCAACGACTCGCCTAGAATGAGAGGCGTTTGGAAATCAGGGTCGAACTGGGCGGGGAAAATCAGTAACTAGTCAGCCAAAACATTCAATAGAACGAAACACAAGAAGGCCGCACACGCAGGCTAGATCAGGGGGAGTGGTCCAATGTCACACCGATGAGGGGAGCAATTCAAACCGGATGAACCAGGATGAAGAGCAACACCATGCAGGCGTCCCAAAGGAGAGACGAAGGCAAAACAGAAACCGAAAACAGAAACAGGAGGCTCACCAGAACACCGTGAGTCTTCGAGTAAGCCAGCTTGAAGGTGTTGCAGCGACTGCAACAAGACTGAACTGTTTGAAGTAGCGAATGACTGGGAATTTATCCACAAAAATCGACCACGCGGAGGACACGCGAAAGGGGTGTTCTCCGAGACAGAGACAGACGACAACGAGACGGAACGAGCGACGAGCTTGAAGCTTTTTGCGGTCAGGCTCAGAGAGATGGCGGTACCAACGGACCTCAAATCACCATCCAGCAACAGGAGGGAGGCGCAACGGGGCGGAGACTAGACGAAGGATGGCTGCAGCGGGAGAGATTGAAAATCACGCTGTAGTCCAATGAATCAATGGTTCATCAAGCCGAGCACGAGAGCTGAATTTCCGCAGACTGGCGAGGTTTTGCTTTCTTTTCTCCAATTCCCGTGAGGTCTCGGGAAAGGCTTGACGTCGATTGGGCCGGGAAGCGAACTAGTCCAGCAATGAGTACGAACACACGTTCCAATTCCCAGTGTGTAGGGCTCCAGGCCTGTTCTTTTGGGAGGCAAAGGGAGGGAATAACTTGGGAATGGATCAATGAGAGGCTAGTACTGGTTCGACGGGGGAGAAGCAAAGCCAGCGTGAGACCGGATCAGTGCATCAAACCATAGACTCCCCAGAACCTCTCATCAACAACGACGCCCAAAGCTCCCAAGATCCAGAACCCAAAGAGCCAAAAGCCAAAACAGGATGCCCAAGGCCCAATGATGGAAGACAGGGGGGAGTGGGATGAAACTCACCAGGTGATTCAGAATCAAAAGACAAAAAATTGAATGCCCCTTGGACACTTTGACGTCGTCCGTGTGGCCTAATATGCAAGATCCGTGACGAAACAAGCTGGACGAAAGGAGAAGAGTCAATAACAAACACTTCAGCCGAGATGAGCTCCAATGCAATAAGATGAGATGAAATGACGACCCTCTCTCAAGGGGAACCAGCACTATCGAAAATGATAGCAGACGGGGAAGTCGAGCCGGCCGGGTTCAACGACGCTCATCATCTCCCGGAGGCTCGTTGGCTATGATCCAACGGGGTCATGATCCCGTCGACAGGGTCCGTGACTGCAAGGAGATGGAACATCTGGAACATGGCTCCCCCAGATAGGAAAGGATGCAAGGCACGAGGGGGGAAGGAGTGAGACCGTGGGCTCAGGGAAGGAGGGGCAAAGGAGGGAAGGGGAGAAAAAAAGAAGGATGCAGATCAATGCAGGTAATCCAGGAGATTAACTCTGTTTTGGCGACTAACCTGATCTTGATAGTTCAATACTGCAGAGCCAGTACCAAAAAGGAGCCCAAAAGGTAGTTTCCGTCCGAGACCTTTCCAATAGATTGGATGATCCAAGGTGCTCTCAGCCGAGACAGTCGATTCACTAAATGGCTCGATAAATCGGAAATTCCAGAGACGAATCAAGAGGTTCTCTGGCGATCTAGAACGAGTGGGCGAGCGAGAGCGAATGGCCGAGATATCTCTCGAGGTGTTGAAGATGGTGGGTTGGTCGTATATCGTAGATTGCCCGCGCTTTTGATACTGTCGGAACAAACGGCGTCTACACGAGAGGTCGTCGACGAGTAGGGGAAATTGAAAACAAAAATTCACAGTCGCAAACGAACCGCGACTGCGTTTCGACTGACACAATCTCCGAGAGCTCAAGAGTCGTCCTGGCAAATGAGGAATTTCCCTGACGATCCCAAGGGCGAATGATTGTTGTCGCCAATAATTAAATATTAATGAAAATTCAGGTTATAACCAGTTCCTGCGTTCTCCGTTCTTCTTGTCCTTCTTCTTCTTATCCTTCTTCTTTCTTCCTTTTTTTGGGAGACAGATTCCGATAAGAGGTTTGGTTTTCGAGGGTTCCAGTCCAGGATCTTATCTTCAAGTAGCCTGAAAAAAAAATAAAGTAGTAACGTAGCGAACGTGATTCTCGTAGCAGCAGATAGCGAGCGTAAGAGCGAACGTGGGAGAGCGAATGTGTTGAGACCTTCAAGGTGTCATCATAAAAAGAGTCCTTGGAAATAAGGAAATATTTCAAAGAGGAAGGGGAGGAGAGGAGAGGAGGGGAAAGGGAAGCGAAGCAAGGATGGCAAAGGGTTAAAAGCAAAGGTCATATACGAGCGATGGATTATTATTAGCAGTCTGGTCGGGCAGGTCAGAGTGCAATTCCTCCGGGCTATACTCTTCTCGGGTGGGCACTGGGACTGTCCGTAGGACGTACTAGTACTACTGGGGGGGTGGGAAGCCTGGGAAGGGTGGACAAGTGTGGGCAGGGCCACTAAGGCCACGAGCTGTGGAGTCTCGGGACTCCTATGCTTCTCCTAGTTGGGCATGGTGCCAAAAATAAGAAGGGGGGGAAATGGAAAATTGATCATGGATTTCTATGATTTATCAGAATATAATTATTTTATGAATATTGGGAGGGGATGGGACATGGGAGTCAAAAAAAATTTAAAAATCCAAATATTCTTTTTAGGCAGCCCTAGGTTGGTCCACCCTTCGCCCCAGCCCGACTGAACGACGTACCGACTAGCGGGAAATCGTGGCGGGGGATGCACAGAGTAACCGATATCGAGGGAACGGGGGGGCATATAACCGCTTTGCAGCGTCATACTTGATTTTTGAATGCTCGTAAAATTTACATTTAGTTAACTATAGCTAACTACTGTGTATGGAAGCACCGAGTTGCCAATCTATACCTCAGACATGATCTATTTGGCCAGGAGATATAGTCCAGCGATACCTAGATCGTATAGTTTTCTGCCTGTACTTTATCGTAAGAAATCCTGACCGAATGATCGAGTGACACGGTCCAGGGTATCGAAGGTGGAACGACCGTCATCCGAGCGAGGTAGACATTGTGTATGGTACATTGATCCATTTCCATACTGACCTGACAACCTTCTGATCCATGAAATAGCCTCATCTAGGATAGGCCGTGGACAGGGGATACCGTACATATCATGGACTACTTTGTATATGTCCCGAATCCTCATCACAGACAAGTACCGTCTACATAATTTACCTAGGACATCCACAGTGGTACTTCCAAAAAAAGCGCCTCGGGAAGCCACTAAACAGCGTCGGAGGTACCGTTCCGAGGCGTCCGACCGGGCAGATCGCAAAGATCTCCTTGGTCAGCCATGGCTTGTCTGGCGCCGTTGTGATTTCTTTTACTCAATCAACTCCATCTTTCCAATACCAAGACCAAGCAACCCTGGGACCCGGGCGCTCCAAAGATGATAGAAAATTTCAATCAAATCTGCTTCATATCTGTCAATTGGGATAGCCAAGAAAATGACCATGGGTACAAGAAATACTAAAATACGGGATTGTAGTAATACGACTGAAGAAAAATGGAAGAGCATGGAAGTGAACGCGACTCGGAATAAACACCAATCTGGCGCCCTGCGCCGCGAGGAAAAGTGGAGCCCATGAAAGGTTGACCGGCAGGTGGTGAAAAAAGCAGAGCAAAGGGAATAGAACCATGGGCAGGGAGCAGGATCTTGAGTGAATAATGATGATCACAACTAACTAGTTAGTGAACAAAATCAGAATGAATGACTTCATCAACTAACGGCAGTATAACTCAAACTACCGAATTATCCTCACTTATCCGATCCAATGCCGTTGACATAGCCCAGCCTCCAGGACAGCTCCTCGTCATCACAGATCGGATTTACGGAGTACAGTACTACTGTAAGGCCAGGCACTAGCTACGTAAAAACAATGGAACAAGCGACGGAAAGATTGTAACGCTATCCAGGTCAGCAGCAGCTCTTTCTTCCTGCCAACAGCGCCCAATCACCGATCTCATCGGTCTTCGGAGGCTATCCTACGGTAGGATTGGCTACCAATCAGCATTGTCAAACTTGCTGACCTGCTGATATAATTAGTAGCAATAATGTCTCCTCACCAGCTTTAGCTCCCAGCCTAAGCTGAGAGCGCCTTAGCCCCTTTTGTCAGATCCCGGTTGTTGCGTGCCGCTCGAAGGTATTATCCGGAGCCTCGGAGAGCAACTGTTAGGAACTGAGAACTTAGTTGCTTTCGCGGTGCTAGAAGCGAGGTCCTGGCGGAGGGAAGCTCCCAGTACAATTAGCCCTTGCCTTGGACGTCGGAGCAGGGACTTTGGAACTTGAATCTTTGGGGGGGCTTGGCGAGAGGACAGGGCGCGTCCCTTGGGTCAACGCCAAACTGGTGGAGGATGTTCTCCAAGCCAAGCCTCCTCTCCCACGCTTTTTCTCCTCCGCTCAAGCCACCCTCAACGGGGGCAGAAGACCCTGCATGTCCATTGCCCAGTATTTTCCAGCTTGAATAAATCGAGTGTTTATGTTACTTGTTCATTATTCACAATTAATCATCCACTAGTCACATCTGACCCTCTCGACGATATCTCTTTCTTTGCTCCCCATCGCGATCTCCAGATCCTGATCCTCCCGGCTATTCTGATCTTTGAGGCATTCGCTCCTTGACAAAGGGATCAGTCTCCACTCGAAGGATCGCCTCAGCCACACTCATTGGCTCTTCACGTCGTTCTCCCCCTTCCATCGCCGGCTCGGCCGACCAGCACCCTTCCTTTCACTGGCCTCGTGGGTCTCTATGCCATCATGCGGGTCATCCATTATGTATTCCATCCCTCACGCGCAGGACGCCCCCTCGAGGAGGAGTCGTGATAACCTACATCTACGGGGTACATAGCGGATACATCGATTGAGAATAATGACACACGAGGTGGTGGATGTACTGTATGACCTTTTATTTTTTGCTTTTTTGCGACCAA